GTTCTTGACTGTATTCAGCCATTGCTATCGCGTGTTGCGCACGTAAAATGCCGTTCCGTTCAGCTGCCCTTAGGGTGAGAGTTTTTCAAGTATATCCAATCTTTTTAAGGTATCGACAGACATGGTACTTCGATAGTGAAGTTGCAAATTCCTGGTTCATAAACTCTGCGCAATCATCCTGGTATAGGGTAGGGTTCAGATCATACAGGGCCTTGATATGCTGTCATGCCCACCGTTTAAGTCAAGGTCCTCGATGGGGCAGCTCACTTACCATGCCTATGCGGGTGTCAATCTGAGGCGTCCTACCACAGTTCGTGGTAGGGAGGCGCTCATGGGTGCCTTCCTGCTCGAATCTCTTGACAATCCTGTAAATGGTTCGTACCGATCGGTTGATGACCTCACTGAGTTGGTGAACATCAAGGCCCTCGATGTAGTTCTCGATAACTATGGACCGTGTGCTATTGTCGCATATTTCCCCGAACATTTCGAACCGTTTGCGACCTTCCTAGGCCTTCAATGGAGTTGTTCTGTTGATTTTACGGTGAGGACTTACGGAGCATGTGCAGCTACCTGCAGTTTGCGACAGGCATTTTGCAACCAGCAGTACTGTCTGCGCATGTTGCAGAACCAGCTGCGGGCATTGGCGCCTGTACCCGCGGCTGTAGTAACGCGTCTCCCAGAGCGAACATTGAAGTACACCCAAAACAAGAGCTCGCAATGGCCCGCTTAGCAAAACGAAGGAGAGAAGAAACAACTGAACCTGACGTGGAAGACAACGGCAGTGACGCGTCTGTTGTGTCGTCTCCGGTGAGTAGCCTTGCTCGAAATGTATGCGCGGGCCGTCTCTAACACTACCTCTGACAGTCAGGAAACAAGAGGCGTCAAACAGAGTCTTCGTTGGCGAGGGATGAGGATAGCGGTGGCGAAGATGAAGCCGGAGCGCGTTTGGCCACTGCGCGTAGCGTTGAAGAGTCTACTCTGTCGGATGAAGGCGACGAGGATGAGGCCGAAGTACAACAGGGGGTCCTGCAGCATACACAACGGGAACGCTCTGCCCCCAGAAGGGTAAGCATCTTGAAATGAATTTCTGGCAAGCGTACTGACGTTCCTTGTAGGCAGGCGGTGCAGAAGCAGGCGTTATCAAAAAGGTTCAACTAATTAACTTTATGGTAAGTACACCCCACGTAGTCTGCACTTCTTATGCTGACTATATTTGACAGTGCCATTCATACCTTGAGGTGCCTCTAGGGCCCCAAATCAATTTCATCATCGGACACAACGGCAGTGGTAAGAGTGCGGTCCTCACCGCGATCACGGTATGTCTAGGTGGAAAGGCGACGGCAACCAACCGTGGTTCTAGCATGAAGAACCTCATTAAAGAAGGAGAGACTACAGCCCAAGTCACGGTCACTTTGTTGAACCGTGGAGAAGATGCTTATAGGCACGAAGACTATGGGGATGAGATCGTCGTCGTCCGACGCTTCAGCCGTGATGGGGCAAGCTCTTATAAAATCCAGTCCCAGAACGGTCGAACAATATCCACTAAGCGTGAGGAGCTCGAGGAAATCTCTGATTTTATGGGACTGCAGATTGACAATCCCATGAACGTCCTTACGCAGGACACAGCGCGACAATTCCTCAGCACATCATCGCCACACGAGAAATACGTGCTATTCATGAAGGGTGTTGAGCTTTCTCAGCTAGACAGGGATTACACCGTCATCAGTGAAAGTCTCGAGACCACGAATCATGTATTACGGAGCAAGGAAAGCGCATTGGAAGGTCTGGCAAATGCCGAAGAAGAAGCCTTGAAAACACACGACGATCTGCAAAGAACACGAGACATGCACGCTGAGCTCGAGGAGCTCAAGAAGCAAATGGTGTGGGCGCAGGTCAAGGAGAGGGAAGATGAACGTGATGAGGCCGAGGCCAAAGTTGCGGGACTTGGTCGTAAGGTGGACTCGGTCAAGAGAAAAGAACAGGAGGCGAATGCGCAACTGGAGAGGCTGAGCGTTCGGATGGCTGACCTCAATGGATCTTTTCAGGCGAAGAAGGCGGCAGAGCTGGAACCACTCAAGGTTCAGCTGGAGCAACATAAAGCGAAGCTTCATCAGGCTGATTTGGAGCGTAAGGACTATATTGTAAGTTACTGTCGATAGTCTTTGCTTCCCTAAGCTGACGTCTTGCAGGATCAAGACCGTGATATTTACAATCAGATCAAGGAGGTCGAGACGAAAATCACAGCAGCACGCCGACAACTTGAGGTAGAACAAGGCAGACAAGCTGAGCGTGATGGTGGCGTCCGCGCCGGCCTCGAAGCACGGCTGGAAACCCTGAATGCAAATCTGGCTGAAAAACAGGCAGAGTCAGTACGCATAACTGACGAGCTGCGAGTATTCGACGGTCGAATTGCTACGGCACGCGCTGATACCGAAAAGTTGATGGATAACTTGAAGCAACAAACCGACCGACGGGATGAAGCACGAAACCAACTGTATTCCTTGGAGCAGAGCAAGAACAATGCTCTAAGACGGTTTCATGAGCACATGCCGGACCTCATGCGAGCGATCGAAGCAGATAGACGTTTCAAAGAACGACCTATCGGCCCCTTTGGATTGTATATCAAGCCGCGGAAGCCGCAATGGGTTGGGGTCATCGAGGTCGTTCTTGGCGGAACAATTAACGCATTCGCTGTTACTTCGCATGAGGATCGCACTTTGTTAAATAGCTTGATGCAAAAATGCGACTGTGCCGGAATCAATATCCTTGTGGGTAAACGTGATATTTTCGATTACTCCCGCGGTGAACCTAATGGCAATTTGGACACGATCTTACGTGTTCTCGACGTATGTTTCCGTTTCGTTTCCAAGATTTGCTAGCTAATGTCGTTTATTCAGATCGAAGATGAGTTTGTCAAGCGCCAGCTTATCGTCAACCACCAGATTGAGAGTGCCGTTCTCATTGCGAACCGTCGCGAGGCCGACGAGTTTATGTATACGCGACCACCAAGGGTACAATCTTGCTACGCCCTCAATCCCGATCGTCCAGGTCATGGCTATCGAGTTGGAGGAAAGCGCGGTGTTTCATCCACTACACCGGTCGTCCCCAGGGGTCCGTCGCGTTTGACGACAGATGTTGACGCAGAAATAGCCAAGGCAAGGCAAAGCGTCCAAGTTTTGGAGACAACAATCCAGGATCTTCAAATTCAGGTAAGGCAGGCGGAGCAAGCCGGGCGTAACCTTGCTCGTGAAAAGCAGGAGTTGCTTATGCGCCTCCGTGCGATCAAGGTTGATATTCAGCGAGCTGAAGATGAAGCCGACCGAATCAGGGACGACCTCCGAGTCAACACGGACACGGGAAGGATTCAGGCCTTGGAGGAGCAGATAGCTGAATTCTTAGCTGAAAAGTCCATATACCAAGGACAGCAACAGGATCTGGTACAGGCAATGAACCGCTCCAAGACCGTGGTGGAAGAGCTGAGGAGCGAGGGTGCTCAAATTCGAGCAGCCATTGTGACAATAGAGGAAAAACTGCAAGAAACCACGACGAAGCTGGAAACCGTCGGCGGGGAGCGCATTCAAGCTTCTCACGATCACAATCATTGGGTGCAAAAGCTGGCACAAGTGAGGGCCGACCTTGAGGCGGCACAAGTTGCGCTTAAGAAAGCCGCAGATCTTGTTGAAAGTTTCACAAGGGACGCTTCGGGATTTTGCGACCGAGTCGACCTGCCTGAAGATAAAAATGCCAAAGCCCTTGACAAAGAGATGGAAGCGAAGGCGCAAAGCATTGCTGACACAGAGAAAAGGGTGGGTATGACTGCTGAAGATGCAGAAATACAGCTCAATAAGGCAAGGGATACGCACGCGCAGGCCAAGAAGGAAGTTGAGGCATTAAAAGAGCTCATCCAGGATCTGGGATTGGCTAACCAAGTACGGATCGAAAGGTGGAAGAAGTTCACCAAGATGATCACAGTGCGGGCGAAGTCAATGTTCCAATACATGTTGTCACAGCGTGGGTTCCTCGGAAAGCTCATCGTGAATCACACAGAGCAGAAGTTAGAGCTTCGTGTGCGTCCTACAGAGAACAATCAGCGCAATTCGAAGAGCAGAGAGAAGGACCCACGCAGTCTTTCGGGTGGCGAAAAGTCCTTCTCCACGGTTTGTCTGCTCTTGTCACTTTGGGAGGCCATGAATTGTCCTATTCGTGGGTTGGATGAATTGTAAGTTATCGACTCTTCGTACATGGATATATTCACTGACTGGAGCGTCAACAGTGACGTATATATGGATGCCGTCAACAGAAAGATCTCCATGACGATGATGGTGGATGCTGCTAAATCACAGTCCAACAAGCAGTTCATCCTTATCACGCCTCAGGATATGGGGAACGTGCCTGATCTGATGGGTCGCCATGTAAGTACCGATGAGTTGTCGTCCATGACATCTATGCTAACTTTTCCCATAGGTCCGTGTGCATCGTATGATGGATCCTCGTATTACGGCAAACCAGCGCCGGCTGGATGATATGTAACAGCAGACTTTACTGCTGGTAATCAAGATTTTTACGTTTTCTTGTGTTATATGGGGCGGCGCTGTATGGGGCGGCGCTGAGGAATGCATTTTGTTTGCACACACCGGAGTGAAGTGACGTGCACGGCAATGAGAGTGTTAATCATTGTATAAGAGCCAATTAAAAGCCAGCCGTCGAGAGCACAACTGAGGTAGAATGTGTGGGCCAAAATGCCTTCGCGACCTCTCATTCATCTTTGCCTTTAAGCTTCAAAGCGATGCGTACGCATGTAATGACATTGTCATCCTGATCGGTAAGAATGATATCACCATCAACAGTGACCTATGGATTGTTAGCGGTATGACAGGCATTCTAGGGATTCTCGATTCACCTTGGGAACATCATCCGGAATATGTGCGACAGCCCGAAGCGTCACGGGTCCTTCCTGTAGGGGACACTCCCCCTCTACGAACAGATCAGAGTCCAGTTCATCACAGAGGTCAAAGTTCTTCTTCAGCTTGATGAACTTCATCAACCTCAAATCCACATCTGTACAAGGAATACCAGTTAGTCACGTCCGCGCTGAACTCGTGAGAGAGAAGCTTACCAATCGAACCAGAATCTACTGTATGTGACAAGTAACCTTGGATGGTAACCGTGAGATTCTCGCCAACGACGGGGCTTTCCGGTACAATCGTGACACCACTAGCATTTGCCTGCAATGTATGCTCTGAGGTCTTGCCGCAGAGCTGCCAGATTGGCGGAGGAATCGCAGTCTCCGTCGGCACAGGCGCAAGGACCCGCTGAGGTTGTAGTTCGGCAAATAGGGAGGCATTTGCAAGGGATGCCAGTGCGAGCGCGGTGTATAGAGTTGAGAGAATTTGCATGATGGATACGCTGGCAACAGACGACAAGGGAAGTATCGAGGCGGCGGTTGCCTTCATGAAGGCGATGGTTAAGGTTAAGGTTTGTATACCTCCGCCGACTGTAGTCAACGTCACCTGGCATTGTCGATAAGTCGTGCAGCCTTATGCCATAGACGACAGTCTCTAAACATGAATAACGCTTACAAAACATACTTAAATGCTTAAGCTACTCTTTTCCGTTCGTCCTTACCCAGTCCCGTGTTTCCCAGCTTCCCACCGACGACACTCCTGCAGCGGCCGCGCTTCACTCCATCGCAACTCGACTCCGCTTGGATCACGAAACCAAACAGCTATATCCTCAGTTCAACGCGTGAATCAGTAGACAGCTTCGTCTTGATCTCGTATCTGCTGTCGTCTACCAAGTTACCAGTTACACCATCAATTACCTCCGCAAAGCGACTTTCGACGGCGCACGGTTGTCCGATACTTCTTGCCTTTCAATTGTTACCCACGAATCATCCTAATACGACATGTCTGCTGAGCAATTATCACAGCAAGTGGCTTCTATGAACATGTACTTGGTTCCACTGCTCTGTGCCGTTTAGAATGCGCTTGGCTAACCTATAAACCCCCCACCAGCTCTGATGAAAGCAATTGGAAGAACCAGCTAAGCCTTCCCGCAAAGGACACTCGACCGCAGACCGAGGATGTCACCGCCACTAAGGGAAACGAGTTTGAGGACTTTTACCTCAAGCGTGAGTTGTTGATGGGAATTTACGAAGCTGGCTTTGAGAAGCCCTCGCCCATTCAGGAGGAATCCATTCCGATTGCGTTGACCGGCCGCGATATCCTTGCAAGAGCCAAGAACGGTACCGGAAAAACTGCCGCTTTCACTATCCCAGCCCTCGAAAAGGTCAACACGAAGAGTACTAAGATTCAAGCTCTAATCCTCGTACCTACGCGAGAGCTCGCCCTACAAACTTCTCAAGTTTGTAAGACTTTGGGAAAGCACATGGGTGTTAATGTCATGGTCACTACTGGAGGAACAACTTTGAAAGATGATATTATTCGTCTTGCCGATCCCGTGCATATCCTTGTGGGTACTCCGGGTCGTATCCTCGATCTCGCTGGCAAAGGTGTTGCCGACTTCAGCGAATGTCCCACTTTTATTATGGACGAGGCCGACAAGCTTCTTAGTCCTGAGTTCACTCCTGTCATTGAACAACTCTTGGCGTACTTCCCGAAGGACCGTCAGGTTATGCTCTACAGTGCCACTTTCCCACTTGTTGTGAAGAGCTTTATGGTATGAACAATCTTGATTCCGGCACATGGGATTTGCTGACAGACTCCTATATAGGACAAGCACCTCAACAAGCCATACGAAATCAACCTCATGGATGAGCTCACCCTCCGTGGTGTTACGCAGTACTATGCTTTCGTCGAGGAGAAACAGAAGGTTCATTGCTTGAACACTCTCTTCTCCAAGCTTCAGATCAACCAATCTATCATCTTCTGTAACTCGACCAACCGTGTCGAGCTTCTGGCGAAGAAAATCACCGAGCTGGGGTACTCTTGCTTTTACTCGCACGCTAAGATGCTTCAGAACCATCGTAACCGCGTTTTCCACGACTTCCGCAACGGTGCCTGCCGTAACCTTGTCTGTTCCGATCTCCTGACCCGTGGTATCGATATCCAGGCTGTCAACGTTGTCATCAATTTCGATTTCCCTAAGAACGCCGAGACCTACCTTCATCGTATCGGTCGTTCAGGTCGATTCGGTCATCTTGGAATTGCCATCAACCTCATCAACTGGGAAGATCGCTTCAACCTTTACAAGATCGAACAGGAACTGGGCACGGAAATCCAGCCTATTCCGCCCACCATCGACAAGCGATTGTATGTGGCTCCCAACGCTATGGACACTCCTACTCAAGTTCCTCGCCCTATGCCGCCCGCCGGCGCTCAGCAACAGCAGCATCAGCCAACCCGTTCGCTGTACCAGCAGCCGGGTCAATATCAACAACGGCAACAGTACCAAAGACAGAACCATAACTCGGCGAGAGGGCCCGGTCCTCAGAGCAACGGTGCCGCAATGGGACGCAACCCTAGGTATGGTCAGAACCAACCTCGGGGCAACGGATATCCTGTTGAGGCAGAGCCATCCGGTAGCGTTCCAGCGCAGTAAAACAAAAATGCGTCTGTAAATATGTTGAAATTGGACGGAGATGCGGGTTGTTGAATGGTGGTTTGTATGGTGCATGTAGGTGTTTGTTTGGTGGAGAGGAGGTAGGATCAAGGTTCCTTTGCAGGTGTCCTTGTCATGTTTTGTTTCATGGGTTATCTGAAAACGCTCTTTTTGGCTGGACCGGTACTGCTGAGTCTACTCGACCGGAAGGCAGTTTGGTTGCGCTAGATGTAGTCAAGATTCAGACAGTGTGCGGTCACTACTGAATTGAACAAACTATCAGGTATGGAACGGAGAAGAGAAAAAAAAGAAAAAAGAATCCGGTCGGGCGGTGGTACTTTGTGTACTTAGTGTACTTGAATACAGCTTTTCGACCAAAATGTTTCGCAACCTCTACAACAGCTGTTGTGCGCGACCTCGAAGGTGTTCTCGCACCGTGGGAACGAAGGCTGCCGTGAATTCTCGTTCGCTTGCACCCAATCAACTCAGCATCTGTGCGCGTTTTTGACTATTGTGATCAGCAACGTTGTTGTGAAGTATATATACGCCATCGTTCACGTACAAACATACTTAGGTACATAGGCAGTCATGGAACCTCGATGCCATCGTTTTCAGCGTCACGGATCTTGCTATGATCACATCCATATGTAATGCGCGCATGCCCACTTTGGTTACCATGGCTATACCCTCCAATGGCGAAACGATGGGTGAATCTGATGCACGTCGAGATGGAATCTCCAAAACGGAATTTCATGATAACGTATGCATCTAAGGAATTCCATGATAGAATTTAGAAGAACTTATGAAAGCTGTCTCGGTCTTGGCCATCCCTATGACCCTATGATGCAAGTAGTCAAGGATTGAACCCATTCAGGCCTAACAAAATGTGTAATCCATGTCAAGATCATGGATTAGACAAGGATTACACATGGATTATGGAAGTTAGCGTGGTTTACAGTCCACGCTAAAAACCACAATGGAAACATTGCTCATAATCCTTGACATTATCGTGGATTACGGTCTGGAAAGAAAATTCTGCAGTTTACGGCATCATATAGAGACAGGATTAGCATATATGACATCATAATGACGTCACAACTTTTCCATTTGGTTCAGTGTGTGGCAGTGTGTGGGTATTCAGAAATGCGAACATATAAACCAGAGCCCCCCCACCACTTGAAAATTTCCGAAAATCTTCTAAGTCTCCACAAAGAAAATCAAAGTCAGGTATGATAGATGATACTTCTCTTTGCGTCAGCTTATGCTAACATGTTCAGTTATGGACCTATGATACTGCTACCATGGCCATAAGGATACTCATAATACACTTCATTTTCTCGCATTTTTGCCCCCATAATGGTACGCATTTGCCCCCAGTTTGTAGCAGTTCTCCTGCCTTTTCAAGTCTTACCTGATAGAATCATGGATTGGGGGTAGTCAATCCTCTACAAAATTACAGCGAATCAGATTATAATTCAGGGGATAATACGCTAAGGTCTGACCAACCCTTATAAAACATAGACAGATTATTTTTTCAGCAGGCATGCTCACGTGAATATCCATGGTGGTAAGTTTGCCTCGAGACAGGTTGAGCAACGTGGCTACGCAGATCATGCGCAGACCCTGAGTGATATCTGCATGAATTTCCTAATTGGGCGCATCCGCTCGCCCTAGGCGATTATTTTTAAGTGATTATTTTTACGACCCTGCTCGTCGTTCTCGTAAAAATAATCGATGTTTATGCATAGTAGCCATGGCAACCGCACGATCAAAACTTAAGCGATTATTTTTTGTAGAGGATTGACTACCCCCATTAAACCCAAAGAAATTAGGGATTATGGCTGATTAAATTAAGCAAGGGGCGCGCGATAGCCTGCGAAATCACGCATAATCCATGACAAAAGATCAAGGATGAATCCCACTTTTTTTGTCCACGATTAGTTTTGACACAGGGTGAATGTAAAAATTGTGACGTGAACCCAAAATTACTTGTGTAAGTGTGTAAGCCATGTAGTCCCCATTGCGTATTTGTTTACAGCCGGGCTTAATCATAGATCACTGTTGTGGAAGAAATGCCAAACAAACTCATGGATTGCAATCCTTGACATTATGACGCATAAGCCCAATTGTGATTACAGTGTCATAGTTACAGTCCCAGAAGGTCAAGGATCTTAATCATACCCGATTCCTTATTCTTCATTCTCTCTTCCTAGTCGCCCCACATCATCCGATTTCCTTTCTTGCAGAATATATCTATTATTAATGTCTTTATCAGCCTCCCTTTTCGTATTATCTTAACATTGTATCCCTTCCTTTTTATCGATTTATCCCTTCCTTCGTTTTCCTCACCTCAGATTAGTCTATAACTTATCCCCTCTACTTACTTAGCAGGGGATCTCAATCATACCCGATTCCTTATCCCTCCTTAGATTTCCTACTCGAAGTATCCCGAGTATTCCTCCTCGCGCCTCCTGCTTAATTGCAGGAGACATATCTATTGTTAATATCTTCAATGACCCAATTGACCTTCTCTTACTTATTATATGGCATCCCTTCTAATCATGAAGAGAATGTTCCCAATCCTTGCTTCATGATCTCTCCTTCCAAAATTCCATTCTTCCTGCTTCTTCCTGGCTCCCCCCAATCATATTGTAGGATAATTGCCTAGAAAAAGTCACCTAACGACATTTCCAAAATAACATACAACCTTCTGGAAAAATGGCATGCTGGCATAAGCATGATGTGCGCACATTGTTTTCCTTCATTGAACCCAGAAGGCCCTCCAGTCGCGAGAATCATGGATTACCAAATCCCGTTTAAATCATGATTTGGAATTATGGATCATGTATGATTCTATTCGGGGATGGTAATCCATGAAAATGTTGTAGAATGTAATCCACGCGTGTGTTTCGGGTTTAATACATGATTGGGTCATAAATTTTAATCCGTAATCTTTTCTGAAATCTGTACGGATTGTAATCGACGATCGGACACGTAATTCACCTATAATCCCAGACCAATGCATGATTCTGACACGGATTAGGGGCGTGCCTAAGAAAATCGGTCTTAATCCATGAATTTTGAGATCGTACGGAGGGCCTCCTCCTACATACGAACATTGTTCAACATACACAATGTCATGTATATATCATATATGCATCACCCCGTATTCACCGTCATTGCCCTACGAGACCCCTAAATTCTACCAAACATGATTATAAAACCCAATAAAAATTATCCAGTATCACGAATAGAGTTATTCGAGTTAATGGGATATTCTGGGCACAATCTGGATTGTTAATTCGACTTGAAAGTAGAATATTCTATACAATTTACCACCACTACATTGTTATACTCTTCTACCTCATGACTGTACACTACACAGACGTGACATTCATTGGTCCCATCTATCACAGCCCATCAATCTAGGCCCATTGGTATTATTATGAGATTCAAACGATACCGACAGCAGTTGACGGTACAGCCATTTCCAAATGTAAATGCCTGTTCCACCAGCAAGCAGCAGTTCCGTCTGGGTTCTACTCACCCAAATAAGAGGAGACATCAAGCAAGATTGTCGAGATTAAACAACCATCATGTTAACCTTTCAGCAACAGCGATCATGTGCCCAGTTTGGCTTGGGACGATACAAGCCATAGCATCAGGAGAACAGATGGGAGAGAGCCAGGGACTCGTACATCGATGGGAGAGCACCAAGGAGGCGTAGAATTTGATGCTTTCGTCAGTCAGTCGTGACACATCCAGGGAGATTCAGACGTTGATGGTGGTGGGTTCCTGGTTGGTGCTGAGGACTTGGTGGGCGCAAGCGCATCAGCGCATCAGGGCTTGTGTCGCAGGCCAAAGAACCGCCACCAAAGACCATTGATCCTTGACGAATATCATTCCAGGTCAAATAAGGTATTCGTGTACCATGAATTGGAATTCCACTCTACTTGAATACTTTCCCACTTTATTCGTGTTTTTCGTACAGTTGAATGACTTATTCGAGTGCCTTTGCTGAAAGTGGAATATGTTACTCCATATTTGTGCAATCACGAATCAGGTATTCATGGAGTCGAATTCGGGGGGCTCGTAGGGTTGCCCCACGAATCCAACCCCCATGGCAATGCCCTGATATGATGTAAGGGTCATGGGATTCCCATGACATTTTCATGGGATCGCCATGGGATCTCCATGTCCGCCAAATTTCATGATGTAAATCCCACGAAAAATTCCTATGAACGAATCCCATGAAAATATTTCATGATCCTTAACGCGAAACCGATGGCGTATAGCTGTAACTATGATCCCAATCTTCAATGCTTTCTGGAACTAAGAGTGTAGCGGCACTCTGCCGGCATATGTGTCTGTGAATGATACAATTACAAGCTGGCCTTACACCCGCACCGCCCTCCTCCGACAGAGGCTTTGTACACATTGTCCTAACAAATCATTTCAGTCCCTATGAGACCCAGAATTTTACCAAACACGAAAAACAACACGACTAAAATACTCCAGAACCACGAATCGAGTTATTCAAAAAACTTGGTTATTGTGGGCACAACCTGAACTCAGAATCCGTCTGGGTAGTAGAATTCTTTAAGCAAGTTTATGGACACTACACGCTTAAAGTATTCTGTCTAAGGAGTGCACATATCTGACGTTCACGAATCTCAATACATTCCGCATCATCAATCCAGGCCTATTGATAGCTACTTATAATACCCCTATGCCACAGTCAACTCATTATTCTTCATTATCTTCATCGTCGTTGAACTTCCCATCACTATCATCATAGTCAAATTACAGATTGACACTATGATTGAACTCGCACCGATTTGGTGCTCCCGGCGTCCTCAACGCCTTGTCTCCTGGCTGTTTCTTACCGCGAACCTTCCATTTAATCGCTTCTGGGCGGGTAAGTGAGGACCGTACATCTCCAACATGCGCATATGCATCAACCGTACAACCGATAACTGTCCTACATCGTAGAGCGTTTGCATATGACTGGATTGGGAATTTGGTAATCAAACCTTGGCACGAAATGATCGGCTTGAATTATAACCACTTGTGGTCATAGTAACCGCACTAAATCAGATCGAGACATGGATTATCTTGTTACCTCAAAGTTGAGTGTATGAAAATAATCTATCAAATTTCATGGGATTCGCCAATCCTAGACAGAATCATGGATCGTAATCCTTGACATTTTGGATTGAGCCAGTAACAATGTCACTATAGTTACTGCAGTTATGCAGTTAGGAGTGAATGGGTTTAATCCTCGACAAGTCGCGCCATAGGGTGGGATGTATATAATAAAGCCCTATGAACGTCAAAATCGTGGGTTAAACCGAGACTCACCTAGGCGCGCGTATATGAATCAAAAACAATATTGTGTATCCTTCTGGGATTAGTCATGGAGTACGCACAGAAATCTCACACAAAACAAGAATTCCATTCTCTCAGCCAATTGATACTGATGTTCCGGACTTCGCCCTTAAATATTGTATACTACAGCTGGATGGATTACGAGTCACGATTTCGTCATGGATTTACCACCAAGCTGCTGGGCAATGATTCATGTCACAATATCATGGATATGTATGATCCACACCGCCATTATGAATGACAAAACCGATCATGGTCGTGGATTATACCAAAAATAAGCATGACTATACAGTTACATGGCGGAAACATCTAGGGGAAGTCGCCATGGTGTAAGCGTGAAGGCCTGGCCGCTCCCCGGAGAGCACACACCTAGGCAGTAGTCGTAGTAGTACTAGTAATGGTAGTACGCATTCCAGCTCCACCCGTAATCCAGCGTTGGTGGATTTTGCTCGTGGAATTTACACCCTGGTGCCCGTGGAATAAAGTGCCAAAAACCACAACGATCTTCAGCACAGAGTTTGAGTGGGATTTCCAAGAGCTCAAAATCCACGACATTCACCGGCGTAGGGCGCCGGGCCGCTCGTTAGACCCAAGGTCGGGGGTTCTAATCCCGCCCAGTAGTTATATAGTTCTTCTATGTAGGCATAAGCGTTGTAAGGAAAAGACCCGTGACAGACAGACAGGGCGACCTTAGCCACAGTTTTACGAGGAAAAACCCGTGATGGACACGGGGGTGACCTTGCCATGAGTCTATATTTAGCACACATTTCTACCTAGCCATGTATGGCCATGGAAGGGTAAGCTCCCGGGAAGAATGAACCTTACGAGAAGGGGTACGCATACAGCTGGTGCCGTTGAGGAGGTTTGAATTTGGTCTAGGTGATCAATCCCTAAAGTGCCGCATTCAAAGCGTTCGCAAAGTTTTGTAGCAGAAGGTCTGTTGGCTCCAGCCCCACGCTGACACGCACCAGGGCTGCATCAACACCGTATTGCGCCGCCTATACAAAGTCAGCACGTGCAGGTCAGTCAACAGTCTGGAAAACTTACCCATTCGAGCTCTAGATAGTGAGCCAATAGGGTATACGGAGAGCTGAGGGTGAAATTCGTTCCCAAGCTCGGACCCTTCGCGGTATGTAGGGCATCATAGAAGACTTGCGCATCTGCTATCGTGTGAAAAGTAATCGACATGAGGCCACCATAACCTCCTTCCGGGTTCTTCACGGCGTCGTAATTGGCACGTGACGTACTGTATTTAGGGTAGTGCACCTGCTTCACTGTAGTACATGAAACATCAGCACAGCTCTGTTATTCCCAATATGAGCAAATACAAACCCTTTGGATGCTTCACAACCATGTCGGCAAGAGCTTCAGCATTGTAGTTGATGCGCTTGATTCGGGACAGATAGTCGCGACTGTTTCTTTCCATGAAGATGGCATCTTCAGGCCAGTAAATGTCCTCGTAATCGTTGGCGACAGCGTCCTTGAGCTCCTGATAATGTCTGCCGGCCGGGTTCAAAACCATGCTGAGAATATTGTTAGAGAGTTGAGCGTTCAACAGGGGTGTACCATCCATACCTGCCACCCATGACATTGCTGTCTCCACTGAATACCTTCGTCAAGCTGCTAACAACGATATCTGCGAAAGGCATCACATGCACATTGACGAAGTTGCCAATTGTCTCATCCACCACAATGAAGAAATCATACTTGTCGGCCAGAGCCCTCAGGCGGATGAGATCGGGCGACATCAGCAAGGGATTTGAAGGAAGCTCACAAAACAAGGCGAGGATGCGTTCACCAGATTCCAACAGCTTTTCAAGCTCGTCAAGTTCCTCAGAGGACCCACGGCCATAGAAATGACACCCGGGACCCCATTTCTGCAGAATCTTCAGGGTATCAGTGTAAGGGAAGCCGAACGAGACAGACTTTCGCGGTTGGAATGTAGACAAAAGTACACGGTGCGTGTTGAAGATCGAGCTCATACCAGAAGGGAACAAGTATACGTCACTCTCGGACAGGCCGTTTGCAGAGCGTTGTCTAACATGCTGCTGAGGTTCTCCAGACTGGGTCGAAGCCAGTGCTGTGTCCAAATCCACATTCTCAGACAAAGCGCCCGCGATTCGCCTCCTCATCGCCGCCTTAGCCTGCCCAGCAAAGCTAGTGTTCAGATTGCGTCCATAACGCTCTTCAACGTACAGCATGTGCTCACGACTCAGCCCATCTTGCACCTCACCTTGCGATTCTTCCACAGTAGGCGACGACAGCGCCGGCGTAGTGCTGGAAACGGTCGCCGAGATTTCAGCAGTGTTTCTTCGCGAATAATGTTTAAACCTGTAAGGTCCTTTGGAGAACTTATCCGCTCGCAGCGGTGACTCTGCTGCAGATAGTGGTGTGATTTCTCGCGATGGAAGATTGTCTGTATGCAGGAAATATTCCGCCATGCGACTGGATACACCATCGCCAGTATGCTGCCAGAACTGCTTCGCGATCGAATATAACTCCGCAGGGAACAGGACGATGAACAGTCTTACAGGTCCAGCTGTAGTTCTGTCATCTTCGGTCGGCGAACACTGCCGGGTGAATTCCACGATCCGAACCAGAGGAGGCGCGTCGGCAGGGGTTTTGGCAAGGATGAACTCTCGCGACCTTTCAGCAACCCTTCGTGAAGGGTAAAGCATAGCCTTTTCGCCATCATTGCCAAACCTTTCCAGGCAGATCTTGGTGAGATGTTGGATTCGGGAATCGATAAAGAACCTTTGATCAACACTGTTAGAAGCGTAGGATAAGAATAACAGTCGAAGAAACGTACCGAGGGTATCCGTTACGCATCTTGCCCACAACCCATTCCTCGCCTTCTTCATATGCGACGTTGGCCTTCCACGTCGGCAACGTTACCGAGACGGCATGAGGAGTGTTTGCAGGGATCGGAGCACCGACTTCGGTCGGCGGGGGCTCGAGAAAGACAGCTCCCATGTAAGCTGATCTGATGTCGGTCGAGGAGTTTGGTGGTGGATCAGGTCTGTCGGGAGACTCGACCCATCAGCGGGGCGGTGCACGTGACCCAACTTTTTTGGTAAGGAAGCGCCGGCACCTCGAGAGCAGAAAAACACCAGAAAACACAGAGACCATTCGATCCTGCTTCAATGGTCGACAAACGCAAGAGAGAAGCAGTGGTAATCCCAGGGCCTGCGCAGAAGGTACGTTGGATTGTTGCTACTACGCCTTGAATCACAATCTCTAACATTTGATAGGCGTCGCGGAAGGAAACAAGCGCTCCAGAGTCGCCTCGGGCTTTTGAGGATTCTGAGGTGTCGGACTTTGTTGAGGAGGACGACGATGATGATCTTCTGGAGGATGAAGGTGACGACGAGGACAATGAGGACGCTATGGATGGCGTTGAGACTGCCATGGTCCCTACTGCAGGAAAGTCGGGAAGGGATGCTCATTTCGCCCCTCCGTCGCGTGAGGAAATCCAAGGACTGCAGGAAACGAGCGAGCTCTACAAGTCCAACATCTTCAAGCTTGAGATCGATGAGCTTCTTTCTGAGGTTCGCCTGAACCTTGAGAAGATGAAGTCGGTCGAGAAGGCTCTTCACCACCTTCGCAATGTAATTGACAGCATTCCGGAAACGACAGAGACGTCGTTGCTTGCTTTTGAGGAGAACATGTCGAAGAAGCACAAGATCCAGGTTCCGTTCTGTGAACCTCGTCCTTCTGCAGACGCACAATATAAGTTCTCGTACCGCAAACCGGCAAATATCAACCTTGTTGGAAGTTATGCCCTGAAGACTGTTATCAAGCAACCGGAGGGGTTCAATGTGGATGTTGCTATCACCATGCCCAGCGAAATTTTCCAGGATAAGGATTACCTTAATCATCGCTACTTTTATAAGCGTGCCTGTTACCTTGCAAGCCTTGCTGCTGGTATTAGGAAGGCCGACAAGAAATCAGCCTTCAACATCGAGTTTGCGAACCTCAACGGAGATGTTCGACGACCAATCCTTGTTATTCGTGCCGGCGGTGATGGCAGCGAACTCGATTTCACGAAGGCCAAGTGTTGCATTCGCTTGCTTCCGGCTATTCCGGATGCTCTGTTCCCTGCCAGCAAATTGGCACCTACTCGTAACTGCGTTCGCCCGTCCAATGCTGCGACCGACTCGAAGTTGCCGCCCACGCCCACTTACAACTTTTCGGTCCTGTCAGACATGACCTTCTTTCCCCATCTCACCTTGCTCTACGCCAGGACTAAGGCTTGCGCCGCTTTCAGAGATGCTTGCACTTTAGGAAGAATCTGGCTTCGTCAACGCGGATTTGGAGGTGACATCCAAAGGGGAGGATTTGGAAGTTTCGAGTGGTCCATGTTGATGGCATTCCTGTTACAGGGTGGTGGTCCGAGAAATGCTCCGGTGCTTGCGGATGGCTACAGTTCCTACCAGTTGTTCAAGTCAACTATTCAATTCTTGGCTAAGCGGGATTTTGTCAAGGAGCCGGCTATCATGGGTAATGAGAGCGATGTGGTGGTGGAGGGAGGCAATTTCGTTGACGCGAAGCACCACCTTGACCTTTTTGGAAAAATGTCCGGCGCGTCCTTAAAGTTTCTGCGGGACGAAGCTGTGCTTTCGTTCAACCTGTTGAACGAAACCGCAGTGGACTACTTTGATGCGCTCTTTTTGAAACGCATGGATGAACCTGTCCTCAAATATGACCTGTTCTTTACGGTTCCCGTGCCTTCGGCGCACGACAAGTCGTATGATGCGACAGCCAGACTGGACTGTCCTGATTATGCTGTTCACTTCTCGCAGCGCCTGCATCGTATTCTTGCGCGTGCGTTGACGGACCGTGTCAGCCTTATTGCAATTAACGGGACTCGCGTTGATTCCTGGTCCATCGAGGCATCGCCAAAGTCGGACGCCAGTGCTGTTCAGGTTGGCCTTCTACTTGATCCCCAGGCATCTCGTCGACTTGTCGACCATGGGCCTGCCGCCGATGACAAGCAGGAAGCAGCACGTTTCCGATCTTTCTGGGGTGAGAAGTCAGAACTGAGAAGATTCAAAGACGGAAGCATCCTGGAGAGTCTTGTGTGGAGCGCGAAATCGGTGGAAGAGCGTGCGCTTGTGGTTCAGCAGATTGTCAGCTATATCGTGAAACGTCACATTGGTCAGGCCGTCGCCGATGGCATCAATTACAAGTATCTGGACTTTTCTCGCTTTATCAATGTTCCGAAGCAACTCAAGTCCTTGATCTACGAGCAGGGTGAGCCATTCGAGACCTTTCAGCCCGCCCTATTTGCCTTCGATCGCTTTGTCAAGGACCTGAACGGCATGGAAGACTTTCCTCTGAGCATCTCGACCGTGCTTCCTGCATCTGCGGCTTTGAGGTACTCTACAGTTTTGGCACCGTTGCCTCGCAAGTACTCAGAGCTTCCGCTGGTGCCCGCCGCTCTTTCTTACGTTGACGTTATCGATGTTGTAGTCCAATTTGAGAGCTCTGGCCGATGGCCCGATGATCTTCGGGCTATTCAGAAAACGAAGGTTGCGTTCCTTCTAAAGATGGCCGAGATTCTCGAGAACACCGCCGAGGGCTGTTCTGTTCGCGTGGGTTTGGAGAACGAGGATTTGGATATCGCCAATGCTGGCTTCCTTGACGTGGTGTATGACAATGGCTACGCATTCCGGGCCAGAATTCAGCACGACCGCGAGATGACGCTCTTAGAGCGTTCCCTCAAAGGCAAGGCTGTCTTTGGCAAGGACAAAGACAATTATCAAAGAGCCCTTGATCAATATCGCAGATTCTTCCTTAACACCCCCAGGCATACCTTCGCAATGCAAGCACTCTGCCAACAGCACCCATCACTGTCATCTGTCGTTCGTGTGTTGAAGCGATGGTTCAATTCGCATTTCTTGACATGTCATGTGCCCGAAGAGTTGATTGAATTGATTGCCGCAAGCTCATTCACGGAGTCCGGATCGTGGTCTACTCCAGCCAGCACTTCAACCGGTTTTGCTCGCTGCATTGCTTTCCTGGGAGGCTGGGATTGGCGTGCTGACCCCCTCATCATTGATTTCGATGGTTCTATCAGTGGAAGCATGAGGACGGACATCCTTGAGAAGATGGCTGAGCTTCGCAAGCAAGACCCCGCCATGGCTCATCATGCAATGTTTGTTGCGACTAGCTACGACCTCACGGAGAGCTTCTGGACACGCAGGCAGCCGACGAAATTGGTTGCAGCTAGGATTACCGCTTTGGCAAGAGCAACTTTGGGCCAGTTAATGCAGGCTACTGGTCCTGCACAGCGAATCTTTGCCACACCTACTTCCGACTATAATTTTCTGATTCATCTGAATGCCGAATGCAATCCGACTGCTTACAAGAGTGTTGCCGTTGATGCCAAGTCACTCCTTGCTGGCCGTACTCAGCAATACAAAAACACCGCGGCGAACTCAATCGCAGACGTTCAAGTTGGCTTTGACCCCATCTGCAGATTCCTCGAGGAAGTACAGGCGACGTATGGAGATAGTTTGTTGCTCTTTTACGACGGCTTAGGTGGATCTGTTGTGGGTGGCTTATGGAATCCCCTTGTTCTTGGAGCAAAGCCCTTCAAAGTTAACCTGGGTTTCTCTGCTGAACCCATTTCTGAAGTTGCAAAGGATAAGGTAAGACTATTCACGATTTCGTCTGCTCCCCATTGTACTTACAGTGTTATTAATTAGAAAGCCAAGTTCGTTATCAACAAAGCTGCAATCTTGGCAGAAATTCAGAGAGTGGGTGGTGACATGATTGGATCGATTGAGGAATCAAATTAGGGTATATTTATTAGCTTGGCTAATTGTGCTGTGTGCTTTGCCTGTGTGGATTAGCCAGAACTATCTGTATGCTGCAAAAGCTTCTGACCACCCTTTCCACCGGAGTGAAGAGGTTCGCGTGGGAATTGACACCTGGAAAATCTTAATGAGCACAAATTCACGCAATCATCAAGTGAAACTTACCAAGCATCACGAACTTCAAGCACCTCATAATCTCCATGTTGAGACGTGAATATAGTATAGTGATCGCTGTTTACGTCAGTGACGGTGTGTGTCTCTAGAATTCGTCGTTTGCCCTTCTTCGTTTCACTCCGAACATACGTAAACGAGAAAGGCGCTGTCCCGGTGAAGTGGAAGGTGATCTCTGCTTGGTCACCTTCATGTATATCCTCCACCACGGTCAAACCCTCACGGATTCTCAGGGATGGGAGATCATGTATAGTCTTGGAAAGCTCCACTGCCACCTTGCAATTATTCACATGGTCCGAAAGAGCAACCACAGTAAAGTTTCCCGGTCTTTCAGCAACACGAGAGAACGTCGAGGTTGAAGCAACAGCGACACGCTTCTTGCCGTCGAAGACATACTCGATATCAAATGGCGGCGTTCCCTGAAGAGCAAAACCGATTCTGTCACCCACGCAATAATCAATGCGATTATCAATCGGGACAATCGATGCTGGCTCGGTAACAGAGACCGTGACCTTCTGAGCGTGGTCCTGGCGTGATCGGATGCATCCGTTGGCGTCGCTGACCTGCGTAATCGTAATGACATGATCGCCAAGAGTAAGGGCCTCCCGTGGAACACGCAATGCGTATTCTGAGGAACGCACTGCATTCACGACGAAAGACTCGGTCTCCCCAGATCTGTCATGCTTGACGTCGAAGGTGACTGCAAAAGGCGCTTTCCCCTTGAAAGTCAGAGGTATAGTTTCGATGTTGGTTTGATCATCGATTGCGTCTTGTGAACAAAACCGATATACTTTTCCTGCCTCAGCAAAGCGTGCTTCAGGACGTGGATTGATGATCTGTTCCAAGACGAGTACTCCTTTGCCGTCTGTAACGTTTGGTGCCGATGGGGTGCTGTACCGGGCGTCGGAAATCCCCTGGACATGGTTAGCTTATGAATCAATTGCGATGCAACGGGGACCCAGCCTACCTTAAATTCGTATCTCCACGTGCCCGCACGACCAGTGTGCATCCTGATTGATGCAATCTCCTGAGGTACGGTCAATTCACGATGTTCGCGACTGAGTTCTTTACCGTCTTCGGCGGCGTGGATGATTTCGTAATCGACAGTGAACGGCGAAAGACCACGGCAGCTGATTTCGAATACGTCCTCGGCGCCTTCACAGACAGACTTACGAGTATAAACATCACCCTCACGCAATGAGCCGGCGTCCACGCCAAGGGACAAGCTCGGCCTCTCCAACCATTCCACGGCTGCATTTTTATGCGTCGTGCTAACAAAGCCAGGGCAATACCTGTCTTTCACCTCCACAATCTCGTACTCGCCTTCCTCCTCAGCTTCGATAAATCCATTAGGATCACGTATCACAGTAAGAACTGGCAAGCTCCCCAGACCGGGGACAGTGTACTTGACCTCCCAAGGAGCATCACCGGTCAACCGCACGGGAAGCTTAACCCTGGAGCCGGCAGTGGTACGAACAGCACCACCATTGAAAGCAGCCGTGGGACGTTGTCTCCGCACTTCAACAACGGCATCTCGTTCTCCGAGCATGGTTTTGCAGCCATGCGAATCCTCGATGCTAACCAGCGTTACAGTATGTGAGCCGCCCGTGAGAGGAGGTGTAGTGATCTTGTAGATAGACGTTGTAATCTCGCCGGCAGAATATTGCTGTCGTTGGCCGTCATGAATGATGTCGTAAGTCAATTTCCACTGCAAACATTCGTTAGCGATATTCTTCCACATTCCTTGAACAATATGACATACCGGTCCCATTCCGATGAGTTTAACATCAAGATCGACAGTGCCACCAATGCATGTCTGGTATTGGGACAGCCGTCCAGCATCCACGAAAGACGCGCCGGCAAGCGGGAAGACCTTTGCCTCAGTCTGGAAGGGTTTGGAATCCAATGGTACCCCGATGTAATTGTCATCATCCAGACTGAGGAACTGGTAGTCATAGTGCCCAGCTTCTTCAGGCATGAATTTCAACTGATGCCGAGATCGAGAGATCTTGACTCGATTGACTTGTACATGCTTCTTATCCTTGGTGATCCGGTAGGCAACCTCGAAAGGAGGAGCACCCATAAAAGTGAGATCGGCCGTAACTCCAATGGATCCAGCGCATTTATCCTTGATCTCCTCGAACGCGACGGAAACTGCCGGTTCCGGGGGAGTATATACCATGCACGCACTTGGCGACATCACGCGGCCCCTGCAAAACTGGCTTTTCACATCGAGCAGATAGTACACTCCGGCTCGTTGAGCCTCGACGTAATCATGTCTTCCACTCAGTTCAACCATTTGCAAGATATCGTAGTCGAGGCTTGCTGGGTCAGGTTCGCTCATGATGGAAGTCGAGTTGACATAGCCAACACGTGCTCCAACAGGAAGGTCAGAGGATTTCAGAGAAATGGGAAGACGTGCCGTTCTCCCCTTCAGAAGCTTGATCGGGCGGTCCGCATCACAGTTTCCAAAACTCAACTCAGGCCTTTCGTGGACATTGAATCTGAACGAGCGTAGGCTGTCAACATTGTCCTTTTCGTCTTGGGAGCGGCGGTCAGCCAGGTGCGAGACGACATTGCCGACAGCATCGGTGACTTCCTCAATTTCATAAGTCCATGCTCCAGAGGTGTGCAGCGTTGAGTTGAGCAAAAGGTCAGTCACAGTTGCAGAGGCCCAACTGTAGTCATCAAAGTTGTGCAATGCTACTGTATCTGAATCAGAGTTGAGAACAGGTGATTGAAAACCGGTAGAAGGGTAAATAGAATCGAATGTTGTGGTCGACCTTCGTTTCCCAATCCATTGACTGTACTTGACGGTAAGAGGCGCGACTCCTCGTACCTTCAGGGTGAGCTCATCAAAGTCTCCCGTACATCTGTCTGGTCGGTTTCGTGCACCTTCAGCAACGTGGAAGGAAGCAGTGGGGCATTCGACAACCAAAGCCGACGATTGATATAGCCTGACGTCCATCTTTGACTTGTCGATAACCCGTTCAAGCTTGTAGAGTCCTGGTTCCGCTATGTCCAACGTGATGACCTTGACTTTGGACTTTGCATTTTTGGAAGGCACACCCCTTTCAGGGACATAGTCTTCTGCGTTCGACATGATACTTTTCAGATCACGACCAGTCACGTTGAAGTAAGTCTTTTCCGATGTTTCGAGGTCGGTACGCGAGTATTGCAAGTAAATGGGTACGGTCGAGTTGAGTCTGATCGGCAGCGTTACCTCGTCGATTGACTCTCCAAGACAGAAAGCGGACGCTGCCGGATTGAGTTTTGCTGTGGATTCTGGCAGCAAATTGACAGTGTAACGTCCTAGAATGTGAGATGAATTGTAGATGATGTCGTTCACGCTCACCCTGTTCCCAGAAAGGGCAAGCTCTTTGTCATAGAAAAGACGAACGATGCCCCAGAAGATCGCGCCGAGGGGAATCTGCAATCTCATGGACACACCAAAGTCGAGCAAGCAAATGATGCAGATTTGAATGATTGTTGTTGTCTGCTGGAAACTGAGCCATGGGATTGATAACAGTGGTAAGATTGTAAGAAAGAGTCCGTCGAAGGCCATCCACTTGAACGTCCAAGCCATCCCCAGGTCACCTTCTGTGGAGGTGTATAGTGTTACTACCTCATACAACTTCCATGCCTGCAAGAGAAAGAATGCAGAGACGGCGTATAATCGCTGTGTTGGTACATCGAGAACGGACTCAGGGATGAGTGTCTTCTGTCCTGGCGGTGGCCGAGGAGCAGCCATTATCACAAGAGCAGCAGATCAATGGATCAGATCCACCTTTGTCAATTGCTTTTTGAGTTGACTTTGTCGTATTTTGTATTTTGTTCTTCAGCTGCTGCACGGAAGCATCACCGCTGCAAGGGCAAGCTGGCACACACTGAACCTTAATGTACCCGGCCGTACACAAAGGACAGACAGCATACACCCCCAATGGCTGATCCGTTGCAACTGCTGGACCGATTGGAAGCGGCGAAGAGAGACTGGAAGGGCTGGTGTACAATCGAGAGTGAACCCGTGCGCATCCCTTCTCCCTTTCGTGGCATTCACCTGACTCACGCGTGTCGCAGGCTGTCTTTACTCAGCTCGTCACCGATTTCGGCGTCAAAAACTGTCAAGTAGAGGAGGTATACTCGCTGGACGAGGAAAGCCTTGCATCGCTTGAGTGAGATTGTCCAGATCCGCATCTTGAGCATCCCACTGAACGCGTGCTGCGCAGACCTGTTCATGGCCTCATCTTCCTCTTCCGTTGGAAACAAGACCGCGATGTTCAAGCGGACTTTGCATGTCCGGAAAATGTCTGGTTTGCAAATCAGGTAATCGACAATGCATGCGCGTCCCTTGCCATTCTCAACATTGTCATGAACTGTGCCGACGTCGACATCGGTGAGAACCTGAGAAGCTTTCGGAATTTCACAAAGGACTTTACTCCACCAGTGAGTTTCCCGAACCGTTGAATGTACTGTGTCTAACTCTTGCACAGCTACGAGGCATTGCGATGGCCGAGTTCGACGCGATTCATCGCGTGCACAACACTTTCGCACGGACCACAGACATGATGGATTCCGACGCAACCCTGAAAACGTCGGCCTCGAAAAAGCGAAAAGTTGAAGAAGCTGATTCTGATGATGAGGATGGGGAGGAAGACGTGTTTCACTTCATCGCATATGTCCCTGTCGACGGTTGCCTATGGGAGCTCGATGGTCTGAAGAAGGGGCCCAACAAGATCGGAGAGTGCACGAAAGAGAACTGGACACGTCTTGCCGCACCGCGAATACAAGAACGTATTACAAAATATTCTCAAGAAGAGATACGATTCAACCTACTGGCAGTCATTCAGAATCCACTACACACCCATCTACAGAAGCAAGCCCGCAACAAGGCTCTTCTTGAGAAGACAGAGCGTCAGATATCACTGGAAGAGTCGTTGGAACAGAAGAGCCACGTCTCGGACATCACAAGTGAAGCGCCAATGGAGCCGGATTCAGTGCCTGGAGAACTGGAAGAAGACGCCGATAATCTGCGAGCCAGAATGAAGTCATTAGAGGAGACCCGAAGCCGGTTGAAGAACGAGATAAACGACACGGAAGCGCGAATCGTGGATGAAGAGACAAAGGCCACCCAGTATCAGGTGTGGATAGCGAACCTCGAGGATGTGCCTAGTGCTGACAACGGTGTAGGAATACGCAGAAAGAAGACGACATGACTACACGCCTTTCATTCGGAAGATGATTGAGAAGTTGAACGAGAACGGGATACTGCAGGCTCAGCTGGAGTGATTTGGGTTTTGTTATCTTAGAATTATTTAAGAGATCCTTTTTTCCGCGCGTACTAGGCTCAATGCGCGCTAGGCCCGGGGGATACAATTTTGCTGGTTCATCGACGGTCGGCGCTCTCGTTGTTCAGTACCACCTGTTAGTCACCGCTGGTTCTATCATATCTACAATGAGCTACGGTATGCTTCATTGAATCGATATTCATCGTGGACGCCGTGCTGACTTTGCTTGAAACAGTCGCTAAGGGAGACAAGCAGGGAGAGGAGGTTGCCCCCAAGATCCACCGGATCCGTATCACCTTGACTTCTCGCAACGTCAAGAACCTCGAGAAGGTCTGCTCTGACCTTGTGCACCGTGCCAAGGACAAGGAACTCCGCGTCAAGGGCCCCGTCCGTCTCCCCACCAAGGTCTTGAAGATCACCACCCGCAAGACCCCTTGTGGTGAGGGTTCCAAGACCTGGGACACCTACGAGATGCGCATCCACAAGCGTCTCATTGAGTATGTTCAATCTCCCTGTTATCGCAACAATGTGCTAATTGCATCTCAGCCTCCACTCTCCTTCTGAGATCGTCAAGCAGATCACCTCCATCCACATCGAGGCCGGTGTTGAGGTTGAGGTCACCATTGCCGCTTAAGCGCATCAAGCAGCTCTGTCTTCTTGGATGGTACGAATTAGTGGTCAGAAGTCTTAATTGATATTCTTTCCGTGTTCACTGCATTCTGTCAACATATCCTGTGCTCCGCGGTGCTGTTATCAATATTCGCTATCCCTATCCGTGTACCAGCATTCTTATGCTTAAATCGGACAAACAGGGCTTTATCCTGTAAGCTCCCTGGTAAAACTGCAGGTAGTATCCTTCACTAGTCTAGGACCCATTCCTCGACGTCCTCCACACCTTATATAGACGCCTATCGTAATGACAGCGGTGGCTCTACCTCCGGAACCATGCCAATAATAAACACTTGTGCTTGAAATCTCTTGAGCAGTTCTTCAGGTAAATCGCTTTCTTGCGGCGGATCCGGTGCACCCTGTTTGAGAAGGTAGATATTGCTCGTTGCACTGTTCGCGGTTGCTCCGAAGGCAGACGAGCCGGCGGCCGGTCCAAAGTTGACAAAAGGTGTAGGTGCTGTAGGTGCTGTAGGTGCCGGAGATGACGTTCCTTGCGAAGCCTGGGCGAAGGGACTCGAACTGGACTGACCGAATGGATTTGCTGGCGCAGCTGTTGATGCGGCCGACGCAAATGCCGAGGGTTGTCCAAATGCGCTCGCGGGTTGTGATGTTTGACCAAACGCTGAAGTCGAGGCAGACGTTTGACCAAATGCAGATGGTTGTCCAAAAGCCGACGGCGCAGATGTTTGCCCGAAAGCAGATGTTGGAGCGGCAGATTGTCCAAAAGCAGATGTCGAACCTGCCTGAGCTGCCTGTCCGAAAGCTGAGACCGGCTTAGAAGTCTGGCCAAAGGCACTACCAGAGTTTGGCGTGTTGGTAGAACCGAACGCAGACGCTCTACCGAACGCTGTTGGGGCAGCTGTTTGTCCGAATGCTGAAGGTGTACTCGTCTGTCCGAAGGCAGATGTGCTACTAGGTGTACCGAATGCACTGGGAGTGCTAGTCTGACCGAACGCTGATGGCGTAGCGGACGACGTACTGTATTGACCGAACGCCGACTTACCAGCTGCAGGCTGAAGATTGGTTCCACCAAAGGCGCTGGTGGTCTGGCTTTGACCGCCGAAGGCACTGGGTGTACTGGTCTGCCCGAATACAGACGTAGGCTGTGAAGGCTTGCCAAAAGCACTCGCTGTCCCAAACGCCGAACCAGAGCTCGATGACTGTCCGAACGCTGACGTGGGCTGCGACGTCTGACCAAATGTGGGATTACTCGTTCCCCCAAAAGCCGACGTTCCGCTTGTGTTGCTGAAAGCTGACGACGCAAAAGCCGACGCAGGCTTATTGGATCCGAATGCGGACGTTGCCGGCATACTTCCAAATGCCGATGAAGTCGTCGCTTGGCGGCCAAACGGCGCAGCAGGTTTCTCGCCCTTTGCTAGTCGATCCATATATTGTACAGCGCCACGAAGATCTCTCAAGACATCTTGCACTCTGGCTTGAGCTGCGTTTTCCAACTGCGTCGTACTCGAAACGTAGTTGTTGATGGTTTGAGTTTGGTTGGCTTCGTATGCTCGTAGTCTCAACTCCTCCGGACATACGTCCAATCCCTCAATTCTTTGAGTAGTGTTAGCATGTATGACAGAAATCGACCTTTGTGAAAACGCACAGATTCGGCAGATCTTTACCAGCAGTGTAGCTGGAAAGCTTCCATAATGGTCGTTCGGTGGTTAGATCCGCTCTGATAGACGGTTCACTGTTGAAACAAGCGTTAGATCCCGGCCTCAGAAGACTGAGTGATAACTCACGAGTAAGGTGGAGCCTTGCCCGGATTATTTCTAGAGCCAGGCCCAGCTGCACCAAAGCCCGGTCTTCCTCCTTGGTTGGATCTCGCAGGTTCAACGTGCTCAAAGCGGCAACGCGCACCGAATTTGCAGAAACCCGTATCTCTGTAGTTTGTACAGATGGCCATATCTCCAGTGTCTTCCTTCAATGATTCCTCCTCCTTGGTGTAGTGTTTCGTAGTTGAGCAGTTGCCGGAAAGTGCTGCTATCGATAGGCATGCACACAACGCGACGCTCGGGGTGAATGCTCCAGCACGTATACAGGTGCAGAACGACAACAATAATAGCCAGCAGCAATCGCAATGGAAGACGTAAGTTGATGGCGGGCGAGAGTGATCAGGGCTGATCTTGGAGTGCTCTAGGACGATCTCTACAACACCTACTTCGCTCTGGATCCGAACTTGACGTACTACTACCCAAAGTCTACAATCCTAGATATCCAACACAGGCGAGAGACTTTGGATGGGAAACTGTTCTTTGATCTGCTTTTAGCAGAGGTGGCAGAGCTGCCAAATGGTTAGAACACCGCAGAAATTGGTTGCTTCGAAATCAACTGACACGAGTTGAACAGCGTCAAAACTGTATCCACCAAAGAACACGGGCGAGCTGCGCGATCTTTATAACGCCATTTTAACATCAGAAAAGTTGGATCTCTTGAAGAAGCACTCATTCTTTTACTATGTTCTGAAAGACTGGAATGCCGAGACAGAGTTTGCCAGGGCAATGCTCATACCACCTCACTGGTGCCGGTTGATGGATGCGTACTGGTATCTTGATCAAATGGATTTTCCGGTAAACAATCATGCGATTCTCCCATGGAACGACACGCGTACTGATAGTTTGATAGTTTGCGCTTTTCAACCTGTCGACACCCTCTCTGAATCCCAACTTTTCCGACAAGATTGTAACGACACTTGCTGTACACGCACCTCCTGTTGTTGCGGTGACGTTTGTCCAAGTAGCGCAACCAGCTCTGGAAAACACAGATGTTATCAAGGCTTATATGTCGGCTCTCTCCCGGACTAGTGTTGAGGCGGCTTTCACGTATCAACGAACGCTTCCGCCAGATCTGAGGGAAATTCTTTTCGCAGATCTTCTTCACATGTGTCTGGAATATAAGCCCGGAGCCTCGCTTGCGCAGCTGGTTCGGCTTCCATTGGATGCGATTGAGGAAGACATCTTGACCAAGACGTACTCGCAATCAGCTTCGGAGTTGGCAAAGGAGACATTGTTAGTGTGGTGTCTGCATCGAGGGAAAACGAACGAGGCACTGGTAATGGCCAAATCAAAGTTAAAATCGGCGACTACAGGGCTTGGAGGAATGAAAGATGAGCTTGAGAGGGGGATGTACAAGTCGATGCTACAGGTGCAAAGGCAGCTGCCAGGCAACCACTGACACAAAGTACAGAGACAGCCGTCTCAAGTATCTAATTCGCAAGGATCATCGGAATGCTAGTCAATCGTACAAACTCCTCCATATTATACACTCGTTTACTGGTCAATAAACTTCTTGACGCCCTCGAGCCAGCCAACGTACTCCTTCTGCTCCTTGTACTCAATGAAGTCAGGGATGAAGAGAGCCAATTCGGTGTCAATGCCGCGCTCCTCAAGGTATCTCTCCATAATGACCTGCAACTCCTCATCGAGGTTGCTGAAGGGAGGACCCATGTAAAGACCCCGACGATCCCAGTCACTTTCGACAGTACCATCAAGAGCAAGCTTCTCGGACTTGTAGTACTGGCAGTTGTCAATAAGGAAAGCACCATCCTGAGCAACAGCGTCAATCATCAAAGCACCAGCATTGTTCTTGCTAATGGTGATGTTGCAGCGAATGGGGAAGGAATCCTCGTCCTCGAGGGCCTCGTTTGCCTCCGCAGAGCGTCCACCGGAGGTAGAGTCCGCCTCCAAAGCACCCTCAACTTCCTCATCCTCGAGGAATTCGTTCATGCTGTCCTCAGTGTTGTTGATTTCGGAAACAGAGAAGACAATCTTGATGCTCTCATTTCCGAACTGCCTGGTCATGGTAACCTCATCCGTACCAGCCTTATCGGTGATCTGGAAAGGTCCCTTCTCGATGTACTCTTGGACATGCTCAGGAGCAGTCTGGAAATCGTTCTCCTGCTCAATCTTGAGCTCGGAGGAGAGCTTGGAGCTGAGCTCCTTATCGACTGTATCCAAGTTAGCGCGAGATCCACAAAGACCGTCATTGGTACACGTACCCTCACCGGAACCAAGACGGACAGCAGACTGAGTGAAGGCCCTGCTGGTCAAGGAGGGGAGCTTGGAGACCAAAGCCGGCTTCGCAAGCTGGCGGACAGCAGGGCGAAGGGCAGCACGGCCAGCAGCACGAGCGATGTTACGGACAGCGAAGGCCATTTTGAGAGATGGATTCAAGTGCAGACTGGAATTTGGAATATATCGAAGACCGGATTCTCGAAATGTTTCTACGACAAGGACCGCGTACGCATTTACACCTGCAGCTCACGTGATAGATACCGACCGGAATACTCATAGAAAGCATTGCAGCATTGTAACCAAGAGTCTCAGAGGAGTGACCAGCTCCACTCAGGCCAGCTTCTTCGAGAAGGCCGTCTTGTTGTTTGTTACTATATTTGGGGATGTATGCATGGAAATGCGTGAGAGGCGACCCGAGCGCGCGTTGGACCAAGAGCTCTTTCCGTCCGTTCAACAACCAGTCGGCCTTTCCCCTTCCAAGATTGATGCTGGAATAAGTCTGAAGGACCATGGGAATCTCGGGCTTATTGCCGCTGCTGAAGAACATCCAAGTCAATACACATGTCAGGAACTACAAGGACCACGGTACGCGAGCAACCTATAGTCGTGTTCGGACAACGGCTGATCCATGTGTATGCAGTCGTTGGAGTTGATGCCTATGTATGGCTACACAGAGGGGCATTCGCTTGTGCTTGGGACCTGGCTTTAGGCAAGCATACCACGAAGTGAGTACGCTTCACTCTGACTTGAATGCCGTACTTATCTCGCGATAGATACGTCGACTATGCGATGCACCAGGTTAAAATGTTGCAGCATCATGGTGTAATACCGTATATCGTTTTTGACGGAGGGTATCTGCCCAGCAAAGCAAAAACCGAGAAGGAAAGGCATGCAAAGCGCCAGGAAAGTCGAAGAGCTGGCATGGAACTCTTAGCCCAAGGAAAGAAGCGACAAGCCATGGATATGTTCAAGAAATGCGTGGATATCACTCCTGAAATGGCATATCAGTTCATCCTTGCTCTCAGGAAGGAGAATGTCGATTATGTGGTGGCTCCGTATGAAGCGGACGCGCAGCTTGCATACCTCGAGAAGATAGGTTTGATTTCGGCGATCATCACTGAAGACTCAGATCTACTGGTGTTTGGCTGCAAGTGTGTGCTACTGAAAATGGATCAGTACGGCGAGTGCATCGAGATTCGACGGGAGCGATTTTCGGCGGTGACAGAAGTAAGCTTGGTGGGCTGGACTGACCAGGACTTTCGACACATGGCCATTCTTTCGGGCTGCGATTACTTAGCCAGCATTCCAGGCATGGGTCTCAAAACGGCGCATCGATTGCTTCGGAAATACAAAACCGTCGAACGAGTGCTACGGGCTGTACGAATGGAGGCTGGGTTCAAAGTGCCTGAGAACTACGACACGCAGTTCAAAATTGCCGACAAAACATTCCTACACCAATGGGTATACTGTCCTTTAGCACAGAGACTTGTAATGTGGAATGAGCCAGACTCACCTTTGACCGAAGAGACAATCGCTTTTATTGGGCGTGAGTTGGACCCGGAGACTGCACGCGCTGTTTCCTCTGGTGCTCTTAACCCCAACAGTCTGGAGCCGATAACTTTGATGGAAGGAGACAAGGAGAATGTGAAGCCGCACAAGTGGCTGACAAAGTGGTCGACACCTTCGAAGTCAAAATTGTCTCCGGGCAACAACAAATCAATTACCTCATTTTTCTCTCCCAAAGCCCAAAGCGCGGCAGCAGAGAAACCAGGAGCACCTCCACACCAAGAAAATACATCACCGACGCATGGCAAGCGTGGTCATGCCATTGGGGCCGCGAAGATCTTCAAGCAACCCGAAGGAAGACACATCAAGCGGACGAAGTCGGATGTCCAAAGCGAGCAACAGACGGCCATCAGTCCTTACTTCAACACTGCTGCTGCACCGCAGACTCCGCCATTCCAGGATATCACCAATATGTTTGGAGCCGTTGGTGAAGCTGTTGACACTCAGCAAGTTGAGCAGGTCTCTATTACTGAGAAGGGCAAGCAACATATTGAGGAGCCGTTTTCGGATGACTTTCTTACTCCTGACGAGCTCGCGAACCTCAGTGGACCGACGGTTGAGACTGTGCACACGAAACCGTCTGAAATTCGGAAGTTCACGTCAGTTTCCTCAGTTAAGGAATCCGTGGTGGTTATGCCGAATATCGAACGATCAGAGTCAACGCTCGAAGACAATGTCAAAAACGTCGCTACCGGTTGGCGCGAAAGATATGCGCGTTCTTCGCCAGTCACTGCCAATGCGAAGCCAGTCAGTGCTCTGGCTCGTATGGGCATGTCTGTCTTATCGAGGTCTAACAGCAGAAAGCCTCCGTTCCTCCTTAGGCGGAGTAGCTCCTCCATGACTTCAGTCAACGTAGGAGCTCAGTCACAATCGCAGTCTGATTCGCAGTCGTCAAGTTTGTTTGACGGCTCGTCTCAGATTTCACAAATTTCAGATACCACAGTGAGCACATCTAGCCTCGAACAGTACAGATATAAGGGTTGACCTGTACGGCGGATCACTCAGGTTTAATACATGCAGGTTAATGGTTATGGGGTTGCGGCGTTATTTTATCATTACAATTAATTGGGGTCGGGAAGAGGAGAGTAGAGTATACACCTGGGCAACCAGTCATACAATGCGCTGTATTATCAATAAAGCAAGTCTATGTCGCAGGACTCCTGAATCGAAACAAACCCCCCTAAACGACTGCACTCGTTCAAACCTCAACGTTGTACGTCCAGCGTTCTTCCTTAAGGCCCTTCGCAGTGTCTGAGAGCAGCACCTCCTTCCTCGTGTTCACATAAACAGTCTTATCCAAGATATTCTGCTTCAACGTCGACAATTCCTTCGGGTCGATGGGCTGTTCACAGAGGTGACTGAGGTTCTCAACAGCCATTTCCAAATCCCTCTGATTGTCCTCGAAGATCTCGGTAACATTGTTCCTCTGCAAGTAGAAGGCGAATGCGTACGTCCACTTCAACGTCTGTCTTGCCTGAACAAGAACATCCACAGCCGCCTTCAAGAACTGCACTTCAATCCAAGACAACTCCGAGTTCGCTTGCAACTGAGCCATCTTCTTCTCGGTCCGGTTATACAGTTCACGATCGAGCTTCGCAGACTGTTCGTGATTCGCAAAACGATTGTAGTAATGGAGATAGCGTTCCAAAGAAGCACGAGACTTCGCTTGAGCATCTCGTGCATTGATACTGTTTTTCTCCTCATATCGATTGCAGTTGTACCAGCTCGTACCATGCTCGGCCCAAGGCCCCATGCACACCCAGCAGAATTCATACTTGCACTTCCGGCAAGTCATGTGGTTGCATCCACCGTTCTTCTCGATCGTCGACTGACATTTCAGACATTCCTTGGTATTTGCCGAAAGCCAATTCGCAGTTTCCGAGTCATCCTCGCATTTCTTCAGCCATCTTTTTACCAATGCGCACATGCAGGGTTGATGGTCGGCTAGCGAACAACCGAAGCAAAACTCATGGCCGGCGGCGCAGGTAACGGTCGGAACAACGGTTTGAAGTTGCTTCAGAGACGCAGCGCACTCGACCGCGTTCTCACAATTTGGTGCAGGACACCACTTGATGTGTTCATTGTCGTCCACATAGGTACGGTCGAGGAGCGTAACGTAACGTTGATAAACATCATCCCGAACGATGAGTTTCACAGTCTTCTCATCCATGACCACGTTGCACTTTTCTCCCGGGCATTGAATCTTCCGCGATTCCCCCTCATCCTTGATCTTCTGCGTCAAGTAATATTCGTAGCAATCCTTGCAGAACCGATGCTGACACGGAAGAGCATAAGTATCCATGCCCTCATCGTCGTTGCAGCAGATATCACACATAAAGCCTGGGACAACTTCCAGCTTGGGCGGCGCGGAGTCTTCCGTTGTGATACCGGCAGCTTTGACAGCACTATCGGGATCATCCATATATCGTTCCAGAAGCTTTTCCCTGTTCCACTTGAAATGACGTAAGAGAGTCGCAACTTGTTCGTCAGGAAGGCCGAGAACTGCGGATACTTGCTGCACCCGCACCGTCTGCACTCTGCGAATGTCGTCGACTGAGAGCGACTTGTGTTCCACTTCGTACGGTTTCAACTTGTCTTTCTCGGCAATGACAGCACCAAAGTCGTCTACATCGCTGAACACTATAAAATCGGAATTAGTCATCAACATTGACCAGCATATATGGACGAGGAAGACTCACCTTCATCCATGCTATCATCGAATTCAATATCGGACATGTCATCTTCCAGCATGAAATCGTCCTCTGAGGACATTTCAGACTGTTTTGTACGCTTGATTTGAGGCCTGGCCCCTTCACTGGAGCCGCTGTTTGAACGCTTCTGAGGAATGAGGGGCAACGAGGTTGCCTTGACGTCGACAACGGACGGCTAGGGATGTGCAAGAGTACTCTGACTGCTGATAGAGGAATCTCTTGCTGGGTGACTGGGGTATATGCTGACGGGTCCGGGCCGTAGAGGGATGAATGCTGTTGGTCGTGGTGGAGTGGCGGATTGTACGACAAGACGTATCCATGTATGTGCATGGCCTTACATAATCCGGCCTTAATACAGGATGGGTAAGAAAGTTAATCTTTAATTGTCTATATCTTTCGTGTCGACCTACTCATCATCACTGCTGTCTTCTTCCTCACTGGCCTCCACCAAGTATTGCACGAATCTCACCGCTGCTTCTCTCAGCTTGCCCATCTCAGGAATTGCCTCGGATCCCTTGCTCTGCGGGTTGGCAAACCAAGCAAGGATACCATCCTCATCCAAAACGTCCTCGTCGTAGAGATATCTCAAAGCAAATGTCCAGAACCTAGCGAAATCAGGCTTCTTGGCACACATGCTTTGCAAGCTCAAAATTACATCCACCTGATCTGCCTGGCCAGATGTCATACGGCCGAGAAGAGACGCCCATCGACCAATTACGTCCTGAACAGCCTTTTGTACCACAACGCCAGCCTGCACCTTTTTCAAGATGAGACCTAAAAATGCATTGATGATAGACGCTCGTACTTCGTGGTAGGAAACATTGGCGGCCATCCTAAGAGTATTGATCTCGAGGGCGGCAATATCGACGGGATGATCGTCCTCGAATGCACGATCCAGGGAAGCCTGCGCCTCCTTGTAGTAATCCGCGTGCTCCTCAGAGGCATCCGATGTTGCAGACATGGTTGTTGCCGTAGAGAGACGTCGCTGTCCCGGTCCTGGCGTGTAATCATCTTCCGACGAAGCAATTGACGACACAGACGTATCCGACAGGTTGAGATGCTGCATGTTGTATACCAGCCTCGATGCTTCAACATTTCCAGCCTCATCCTCGTCTTCGATGTCCGACTCTGCCTCCTCGTATGCATAGCCCTCTCCATCAGTACCTACTACCCGAGGGTCGCTACTGATCTCCTCGTCCTCGTCCTCCTCATCGATGTACCTGGTCAGTCGAGTTGCACCGGCGACAGTAACGCCATCCGCAACACGAACACCATAGGAAATAATAGCGCCTGCCTCCACCTTACAGTTCTCACCCAAAATAGCTCCATTCGCGATAATCGCCTTTTCCACCACTGTTCCCTTTCCAATCGTCACATCGTCCCAAATGTAGGCTCCGTCGATCTTCACATTGTCTCCAATCGTACACCTCCGTCCAATTGTACTACTCTCAATCACCGCTCCATGTCCAATTCGCGTATCAGCGCCAATCACCACCCTTTCCTTGATCTTACACGATCGTGCCAGCACGACGTCAGCTTCCTTGTAGATATGGCCACGGCTGTACTGGTAGGTCTGGTCGCTCATGAGGTTGCTGTCGGGAACCATGGGATATGTCCATCTTGACAGCGTATCCTTGCTAATTGCATCGTACGTCTGGAGGTTGCGAACACGGGCAGAATAATCCTTCTCCGCAACGTGGCAGTGGATCTTCTTTCCGAGGAGGTCGGAGGTCAGAATTCCGTGTACGAAGTCTTGACGCATCTCCTGGTAATCGAAGTTTTCGGTGAAGAGAAGAGGAACATCGGGAGAGCAGATGTCAATCTGACAGTCGATCAAGTCATTGCGCAGCTCAACCTCGGGGTGATCCGCAAAGATCTCCACGTTCATCGCAACATTAGTTTTCCGGGGAAACTGCTGAACGGGTTCCCAGTGTACACACTCATGCGTATTCGAATCCAACACGAAAACCGAACTCTCCGCTCTTGCCCTCGTTCGGTGCGTCGGGCTAGCTTCTCTAACAACCATCGTCATGATAGCATCCTTATCCGCCTCCCTCCGCGCACGGTGTTCTTTCAGAATATCGTCCAAGGGGATGTTAGTGACGACATCACCACTGACCAACACGAAGTCCGACGTGATCAACTGCTTCGCATCGAGTTCTCGAAGAGCGTCACCAACGGACATAGACTCCGGGCTCACAATGGTATGAACAGTGAAAGGAGAAGACGATAACGCCCATTTCGAGTTCTTGATATAATCCTTGACCTGTTGCGCATGGGAGCTGAGGAAAACGTAGACCTCATGGACACCAGCCAAAGCAAGAAACTCGAATGTGTACTCGATCAGAGGCGTGTTCGCTAGAGGAAGAAGACACCGAGGCTTCTCGAGGGTCAATGGTCGAAATCGGTTGTTGTAAGAATCACTAAGGACGATAGCCTGTGGTCAAGATCAGCCAAAGCGCTTCATGAGGACCGAAGACGAGGTAGCAAACCTGCAAAATATGTTCCGCCTGTTCGGTTTGAGGCTTCGAGCCAGACTTTGGAGGAGCCATGGGAACTGTCGTGAAAGAACGTCGGCGTTCACTTTTTTGACTGCGACTTTACGTTGCGCGCTGCAGCTGCAGTTCGATGCGTCTCGTCGCCAGTGCATCTCAACACAACACAGAACGAACGCATGAAGGAGTTGTATAAATGATGGAACACCTACTCCATCTGCGTCTGTCAAGAGCTCTGTGCAGATAGTGATAAACTCTGGCCTAAGGTATCATGGCCAGAGGAGCTCACATTTGCGCAGGAGATGGCTATGTTGTCCACTGCAGAGGTGGAGATTGGGGAATTGGAGCAGCTACCGTGGACGCAGTCCTCGCTCTCATTGTGGCATGGTCCGTTTCAGGATTAGAAACTGACTGAACTATCTCCCTTCCAATCTCTGTCTGTTGAGGAAGACTTCCCCGGCAAGACCGGCCACATTATGAACGCCGCACACTCAATCCAATCCCTCGCATGACTCCCAAACCGCACGGGCGAGGAAGACCAGATCTTAGCTGTTGGTGGACATCCCAATGTTTATTATGAGCCGACGTCGGTGCTTGAGATATTGTGAACTTGTCCATTGCAACAGCAATCCCTAGCTGCTAGGCATCTTCTCATATCTTACTTCCATCACTGGATTACTAATAATACATACTCCACGTCTCTTGACCCACTTACGGTCACATTTAGGTCTTGCCAGTAGGCTCCTCACGGTTAACATACTCCTTCGAATTCAACTCCAGGAACTCAATGGCCATCTCGATGCACCCCTTCAGAATCCCTCCTAGGCATCAAGCTCGTACCTAGAGCTATTCTTCTCGAACTTCTCGACATACAAGTGGATAGTGGCACCACTCAATCCAGTACCAGAAAGACGAACGACAATACGCAATCCCTTCTCGAAACGGATGTAGTGATCCTGGTGGTGGGAAGAGAAATTATCAGTGACGGATCGAACTCGCGAGTTTGGGCCGCAGCGGCAATTGAGGTCTCGGAGACGAAGGTAGACAAGTGGTATTATTGTATAACGGAGATGACTAAGAAGAATAGAGCTGATAACTCCCGATAAACGCCCTATAGTGATGCTATGCGATACTTTTCACTGCAATGTAACTGAGATGCTCAAAGATGGAAATAACGAAACGGACCCAACCCTCAACGGCCCATAGTAAATGATTGCAAGGATGCCATGCTGCCCTTGTGAGATGCATAGAGGCTCTTGGCTCTGACAGGCTCAGGCATGGCCGGCAAACCAGGCACTCCACTGATCCCCAAACCGATCAATCCACCCATCCTGCAAGCGTCCGGGCTTGGCCTGAACCAGGTAGGTCCAAACTTCTCTCCTCCTTCACCAAAGGCAGGCTTCGGGCTAGGTGCTGATTCAATCATCAGGGGCTCTGCAACGGTAACACGAGCCGGCGAAACAGGTGTAGTGTAGGGAACGTCCCATAGAGTGGACGCGGTGGATGACCACGACCCGCGAATGGAGGGCGAGCTGGCACATGGCGAGGGCATCTCGGGTACAGGACCAGTCCTTTCTGCACGACCCTGGTAGACTGGTCCGGCTCCCGAACAAAGTGGGAAGGTTGACGATTTGGGTGGCATGATGGGTCTCCTCCTGCTCGAAGGACCCAGCATGATATCGTCAATTGCCTTCTCCAGAGGGACATCTGCAGCCCCCGTTTGAAGAATGCTCTTCCTCTTCGCGAGCTTTTCGGCAGAGACAGCAGCGGCCAAGCGTTTCTGAGCTTTGGTTTGAGGGGAGCACGGAGGAGTGAGGAAGGTCTGGTGGGCGAAGCGGGCAGTCCGAGGAGGTGTGGTAGCTAGGCCGACGGAGCGAGCGCTCAGGAGGTGAGTTGGAGAAGGCAAAGGCGCACTCTTCAGCGAGAACGCAATGCGCGTAGGGGAAGTGACAGTCAGCATAACGGTGTTTTTGGTGTTGTCGGAGTGAGGATCCTTGGAAGGAGCGATGGTAGAGACGACATGGAGAGGACTGGGAGCAGCAGCCCTTTTGGTTGAAGTCGAAGAAGCGAATGACATAACGATCGAAACTGTAGTACGACAGTCAAAGGAAGCAGCTTGAGGGCTTCAAGAGCAGAGCAGAACGAAACGGAAAAAGGAGAAGAGAAACACGATTGCGGAAGTGGTGATCATGAATCCGCCAACCGAGATTGTAACGTCATGGTCGTCTACGCTGTCACATTGAGGCCCCAACCTCTGTAACGGATGGCTTATCGTTTGATTTCCATTGGGTGTTTCAACGTTGGTGGTCATACGTACAAAGGCGACCCGCAGCTCGAACGTTAGAGCTACCACCCGCAGGTAAATTATAGACGCTCCCAAGAAAAGCAACGGCCCGAGAACAAACTTGATTGCGGTACGGTTTGCAAGTTGATTTCATTAAGAACGACTGATCATTGTAAACGGTTGAAAAACAAGAAAACCCCTATCGCCACGCCATTTGAATCCTTAAATTCCCATGTGAATCCCGAAAGTAACTCCTGAGCGAACATACACGCACCCTTCCGACTCTTCCCGCCTTAAAATTCATCGGTCCGGGCCTTCTTCGAACCCGACGGATCGTACAGATCATCTTCTCTTCCGCGCCTCTGTCCCTGTTGATGCTGCGGCTGGCTCTGTGTGGGGAACCCGCTTAGCAGTTGAAGGTAATCAGTCTCGGCGAACCCTTCATTAGCATTATTCGAGTCCATGGAAGACTGCTGGTCGGGTTGTTGAGAAAAATAACTGTTGGCATTATTCGAGTGCTGCGCAACAGACTTGTCCTTGGCCTCGGTAATACGAGGGTGCTGAGGGTATTTTCCCTGTTGGTCATCCGGCTCGGGTAAAGCACGCGGCACCTCAGACATCTCCTTCATGGCCTTCAAGTGAATCAAATGCTTTTCAAGCATTTGCTGCAGGCCGTCCTTGGTAAAAGGCTTGGGCAAGATATCGTTCATACCTACGATTCGACGTTAGCCCATCGCATCTTGACACGTTTGCGAGCGGGAAAACATACCGTGAGAGAAATAAGTCATCACATCTCTGCTTTGCACGTTACTCGTCATCGAGATGATCGGCGTTAGCGGATCAAACTGTCTGATCAAGCTGGTAGCACTGACACCATCCAGATTGGGCATGACAATATCCATGAGAACCAAATCATACTTCGCCAGGTTCATCTTGTTCACAGCAGAGACACCGTCCACGGCCATATCAATCTCACAACCGAAAACCTGCAAGAACTTGCTCGACAAGCGACGGCACACCGCATCGTCCTCCACCAATAACACCTTGGGAGGCACCGCCCACCCAGGAACAAATGTTGAACGGTGAATGCGCATCGTGTTGCCTCGGTTATCGGATGTAGCATTGACATGAGGCATGTTTGATGGCGGTGGGTTGTTCATGGTATTGCTGATTCCATCCAGAGGAGGAGAAGTGTCATCGGGTAAACGAGGAGTCAAGTGACCCACTGTAAACACTCTCAAACTGCCATCAGGCCCGTTCTGACCTTCTGGACGTCCATACAGAGAATCACTCAGCTGAGGTAGCGACTGTTCATGGGCCTGCGCCGGAGGCACAGGACCGTATTGCTGCGGATGATGCGCCTGTGGTTGAGGTGGATGAGGCAGCATGTCCGACTGTGCGTGCTGAGCCTCGGACGATGAACTTCTGGAAGAATCAATGTCAATTCCTTGACCGTAGTTCGGGGCATCATTCCCGTTGAATCCGCCAAACTCCGAGCCAGGCATACCCATAGCCTGTGCTCTCTTGGAGATCTCACTCATCTGCTCGAAACTCGCACGAGCAACCTCAGTGTAACTTGAGATGAGTTTTTGTGCTTGCTCACTTGGCACAAACGGGCCGTTCTGCTCGCGACTGCCATTGGTATTCTTGTCCCCTCCTTCGAGATTGACGAGGTAGGAGATAAGATTTTGCATCAGGGCATCCTGTGCGACCATATTGCGCTGAAAGTTTAGCATCTCCCCAATCACCGACTGGTAATTCCTAGACAACTTTTGTAGGTGTCCGTTCATACTATTCTGCAGTTTCGTCAACGAGTCAACTTGGGAGGAAAGTGTAGCAAGCTGCTGCGCAGAGGGCTCATCAGCTGCCGCAGGCTTGCGTGCTGATGGTGCCTTGCGCTTGATATTATCCAAAGAGTCCCTGTTATGTATTTGAAAGTCTGGGTGCTTGAATTCCCATGCACCATCACCATACGGATTCACACCTCCTTCTTCCGTATAACGCACTTTGTGGAAATCGTATTTGTTCAATTGACGCACGAAACTGGCAAAGTTACTATGTTTGAAATGTCGTGGAAGAATACTCTTGGTGAACTCGTTCGTCTAGACCCGAATACTTAATAATCCGACCGAGCCAAGGAATGGTCTGCAACATACCTCGAGTACGATGAAACTGTCACCTGAGCTGCTCCATCGAACTACATCGCGATATGTTGGGTCCTGGAGCATCCTAAGACGCGGGTTAGTGCATGCGTCACCGAACGACATGCGGACCGTCGTACTTGAACAACTTCTTGACCTAAATGTGAAGACGATTAGCAAACAGAGCTTTCCAAAGATAAAGAGGAAAACGACGTACAAAATCACTCGAGGACGGCTGTGTACCTGTCGGATTCACGTTCATGATGCCGTGTTGAATTGCGCCGCAATGAGAAGATAAACGAGGGCGTGTCGAGAGCCAAGAGCGCAGGAAAAGGCGTGCCGAGGATTGAGAGATAGCGGTATCGAACGACGGAACAAGTCTTCACAGAATGCTCTCAGCTGTGTCCTAGGCGAAGGACCTTTGCTGTACGTAAGGTCTTGGTGTAGAGTTTCGGCGTCGAGTGAGTGGCGCGCACAAATGAACCACCCCAGTCGGCGTGAATCCATCGTAACTGACAGCTGAGTGTATACGTACAACCTTGGGTAGCAGCAGCATACACCCGTACACACCAACAATGGCACCGTTCAGAGCAGCATTCACCCCGGTCAGGTCGGCATTGGTCCGCTCCTTCCACTCTACTCCCGCTGCTTTCATTGCCAAGGGCGATTCCATTCCTTCCGTCCCTCTCCAGGTAGCCTTTATCAGATCTCCGTACATTTGGGCCAAGTGACTGAATGTCATTGCAGGAATCCTCCCCTGCCGACAAGATCTCTGTCGCGGACTTGGTTTCCAAGGTCAAGAAGGCCGTTATCGTCGGTGTTCCCGCAGCGTTCTCTCCTTCATGCTCTTCCTCCCATATTCCCAGCTACCTCAAGGCTGGCGAGGAGGCCAAGAAGAAGGGCATTGAGGAGGTCATTGTCGTCTCTGTCAACGACGTCTTTGTCATGAAGGCCTGGAAGGAGAACTTGACTTCTGCTTCCGATAAGATCCGCTTCTTGGCCGACCCTCAGGGCAAGTTCACCGGAGAGATCGACATGCTCTTCGACGCTTCTGGCTTGCTCGGCAACCAGCGCAGCAAGCGCTACGCTCTCGTCGTCGAGGACGGCAAGGTCTCTAGCATTCACCTCGAGGAGGACCCTACTCAGGTTACCGTTTCCGGTGCCGACAAGGGTGAGTTTTTCAATCTTCGATGACAACGGGAACTTACTGACCTCTTTCAGTCTACGCTACCCTCTAAATATTTTGCGTTCGGATGACCGAGTTTTGATGTACGATTTCCGTGAGAATATCTTGAATACCAATAATATAGTATCGATACATATCGCCGTGTCTTCACACCACCTACACCCTTGTATTCTCCAAGTTCTTCTTGATTTCTGCCACTTTGGCATCATCGACATCACCGCTGTGCAAACCATTTACTTCCGTCCTCTTCGTTCCGTTGGGTTCGAGACGTCTCTCGTCATTGATGCGTGTATTAACCATGTCGGGGTAGTTCAAGGTCAATTCAACCTGTCCGAAAAGACTTGCATCGACAGCCTCGACACCCAGCATGAAAGAGTGGTCCTGGTTACCAACTTCATATTTCCAGCTGCCAAACCTGCCCCTGGACAAGATATCCATCTTTCGAAGCTCCGGCAACACGACTTTCAAAGCGTCGTCCCTCTCCAATGAAGGAGTTGGGTATCCATGGTCGAATCGCCGGTGGTAAGTGGACACGATCTCGTCCTCGGGACTCAGAAGCGTCGTTGCTATGGCTCCTTTGATTGTGTCGTAGATGATCGTACGCCCGTCTACCGACTTGAACTTTGACGCGCTTACTTCGAACATAAGTGACCAGTAAGGTCCATGCTCAACTTTCGCGCCTTCCCCACACACGTTGGTGGACGCCGTCCAGTTCGCTGCCTTGGCGATGGTGGGCAGCTTGCTTTCACCGGACGGAACGTTGTTGGGAGAGTAATTCGAGAATACCGTCGCACGGTAAAAGTCACAATTATCCTCGGGGAAGTACAACCAGCATTTGTTGCCGATCCTCTCAGGCCGCTCGCCTCGCACGCCGATTCCAATGATGTGCGTTGAGCTGAAGAACAAAGCTTCACATGCCTTCTTCATGTCCGGACGTGGCGGATGAAGAATTGAAACAAGTTGGTCGACCGGCATCGTAGAGATAAGGCTGCGGTTCCAGCCAACAACTCGACCGCCGGCGAAAGTAATCGTTTTGCTGTCGGTGTCTACGCGCACAACCGTCTGTTGCAACTGGATGTGTTCAGCAGGCAAGGTCCTACCGACAGCCTTCCAGATCCCACCAGTTCCACCTTGGTCAGGGAAACGAAACGTAGCATTAGGACCCCAAGACTCGCTAACTTGGTTCAAGACAACGTTCTTGACGACCTGCTTTAAGTTGGGCGCCGCAACCCGCTCGCCAAGCCAAGAGCACTGCATCTTCGTCGTAGGAATAGCCCAGACCTTGAAGTTGTATGGACGCATAAAGACGTCCGCAATCCCGGTTCCCATGCTTCGAACAATCCATTCGTCGAATGTCTTTGGCTTTGTAGGGTAATGCGTGAGACTTGCGTCGATCAAGCCTTCGAGACACTTCAGTTTTTCCTCCGTAGGGAGAAGGCAAATGTTGTTCTGGTAGGGATATGGGACCCACAGTCCCATGCTCCAAACATAGGAGACTCTTTGGTGGGTGTGCCAATCTGACGTTTTGGGAAGAGCCTCATTCAGGCAGTCGTCGAAATACTTGTAGTGTGAGAAAATCACCTATGCGAGATGTTATTTCAAGTCCTCGTAGGGATAGTGATAAACAGACATGACCGCCAACGTCAAAAAGGAAGCCTTCGGGCGTGACGTCGGTAGAAGCGAGACCACCGACTTGGGAGGCACAGTCGACGAGGAGCCAAGAGACGTGGGGAAATTGATCAAGACGCTTCGCAGCACCTAACCCAGTAGGACCGGCACCTGTAAAACAGTTGAGCGCTGTTCCCTCTCTACGACAAAATGCAGTTATACCAATGACGAGTACGTCCACCTGAATATCGCTGGTGCTGTCGTGAGAAACCATCATGAATGAGTGTCAGGGTAAATGGGTATGACAGAGGGGAGGACGTAGAGTTATGTAGACTCCGTAGACCAAGGAATGCTAAAAAAACTCGGACACGTAGCTTCTTGTCGTTACGACAGCAGTACGCCTGTTTGTTTTAATTGCGGGCAGCTCCCGGCAGCCGTATTTACATATGGCTTAGGCCCGCAGCCAGATCTCGATGACAACCTTGATCGTGACATATACCAAGCCGTTACAGAACTTTACTATATAAAGGGGAGGTTTTGGTAGCTTTATTTCTTCATTCGAATAACAAGCACTTCTTACTACTCCATCCGTTACACCAAGGCTCGACATTTCCCGCCAAGCAGCCTCGGTGCTTGAAGAAGAGCGCTGCCTGTTCCGGTTTCCGTTAAGCCCCCTTGGTCACCTTCAGCTAACATGATTCCCGGTCCGAGAGAGTACACGCCAAGATCTTGGTAGCTAGAAATTGATATTGTTGGTCTACACATGTACAGCTGGGTATTGCACGTCAAGAGGATAACCCGGCTGTCAGTTGCAAAGATCCTAGGTTACAGACAAACAAGACGACCATTTTAATAGACAAAAACGTAAAGGCAGATAGCGATGGAACTCTGCGAGCCGTGATCTACAACGTTATGTACGGCTGAGACATGACAGGCTTATTCTTCGTCAGCAGAAAATCCAGATGCCTGAGTGGCCCGCGAAATCCTAACCACCGACACAAAACGATAAACGACTCGATCCGTGAGTTGGAAATCGAAAACGAATTGATTTAAACGTCTACCTCGCCTAGTTTATCAGACTCTTTTCTAGCGCCGCCAAAAGTTCCACCTCTCTCATCAGCGGGGTTGTCGGCGAAACGAAAAATCCCCGGTCCTACAACTCGAAACTTCAACACCGAAAATATGGCAGCGCATCAGTCCAGTCAAGCAGCAATCATCGAAGATGACGAGGTCGACTATGAATCACTCTCGCCAAACTCTTCCATGACGGCCAACATGCTTGCCGGTGCTTTTGCGGGTATCATGGTGCGGACGATTTCGATCCCTTGATCCGGTGCCGAATACTGAACATTCTTCCAGGAACATACTGTCATGTACCCCATCGATGCTATCAAGACAAGAATGCAAGTCGTCAACCCATCGCCCGCGGCTGTTTATACTGGTGTCACTAATGCGGTTGCACGGATTTCCTCGGTGGAAGGTGTTCGGGCATTGTGGCGAGGTATGACCTCTGTGGTGATGGGCGCTGGTCCAGCGCACGCTGTTCACTTTGCTACATACGAGTTTGTGAAGGAAAGTGTTGGTGGCAACGAGTCCGGTCATCGCATTTTCGAGACCGCCGTTGCTGGAGGGTGTGCGACCATCGCCAATGATGCTCTGATGAACCCTTTCGATGTCATCAAGCAACGTATGCAAATGCACGGCTCAACATACAAGTCGGTTCCCGAGGCCGCTCGTGCTATTCACAAGGCCGAAGGTTTCCGTGCTTTCTACATCTCCTACCCTACCACCCTTACCATGAACATCCCTTTCACGGCCATTCAGTTCTCAGCGTACGAATCTTTCTCGCAGATGCTTAACCCGACTAAGAAATACGACCCTCTATCACACGTCATTGCCGGAGGTTTGGCCGGTGCCACCGCAGCTGCGTTGACGACGCCATTGGATGTCATTAAGACCCTTTTGCAGACGAGAGGAAGCTCGCAGGACGAGAGAATACGAAAGTGTAGCAGCATGAAGGAGGCGGCGAAGATTATCTACGAGACTCAGGGTTCATGGGGATTCTTGCGTGGTCTGCGACCACGTATCATCAGTAGCGTTCCGGCAACTGCTATCTGCTGGGGATCGTATGAGGCTGGAAAGGAGATCTACAAGCGTACTACAGGTGAGGCTTGAGCGGCGTTGGGCGGATAAAACAGGATTGGCATATCGTCTCGCGGATATATACCGTATTTTCATTTTCTGGATTCCACACATGATACCTCTTAATGCTGGTCCTCACTGGCCATGGCGATTACCATGCAAAACTCTTGCAGTAGCATGTGTCTCCTTGTAATCCCGACATCCTCAGATCATCGGTATATCATAGCCATCCATTCTCGATGAAGAATCCTGTCGATATCGTGCTTTTATAACAATGCCTGGGTACCTTCATGATGCATCGCCCTGAACCTGGCAGCTGGTCAACTTGGAAGTTGCACGGGTTCAACTGAGCACACTCAGAAATACGACGATCAAAAAAGTGGTTGCCCGTCCAAACCGCTTCTCCAATCCTTCAGTACTACTTTCATAATGCCCATTCACCGTGGTGTCGTCGTTTCCGCCGGTCTTATGGCGAAGACCATCAAGGTCAGGGTTGCAACAAGAGTGACGCACCCTATCGTGAGGAAGGTATGTCGACAGCTTCAGGTTGTTTTCAGACATGGCTAACAACTAACGTGCGTAGGTTATTACGAAGCACACAAATTTCTTGGTCCACGACGAGGAACAAACTGGTCAGATCGGCGATATCGTTGAGATCGCGGAAGGCAAACAAAGAAGCTCCAAGAAGAACTACACGCTCACGAAGAAGATCCATGAAGCCAAATTGCCGGCCCTGCTGGCACAGGCAGCTGCGGAGCAGGCGAACCAGGCGCAACAGGAGAACCAGCCGCAACAGGCGCAACAGGAGAACCAGCCGCAACAGGCGCAACAGGAGAACCAGGCGAAACAGGCGAAACGTGCGAAGCGGGAGAAATAGGCGAAATAGGCGAAACAGGCGGAGCCCAAGGCGGCCAACTAGGTGCGCACGGCAGCGGTGTGATTGTTTCTATACGAATTTAGGTTTCATTGGCGTTTCATTCGGTTTACTTGGATATTTCGATTTTCGGAGAATGTACTTTCGATAAAGCATATGCATTATGGGTAACAAAAGCGATACTCTCGACACGAGCGAGGTTTCGCAATACAATATCAAACGATGCACCTGCAAATAATGAGGGATATCCGCTCATTTCCCTATGCGCCAATGTTGGTTCTACCGGCTTCCGAATTCCTGGATGTTCATATTAGCGAGGGGTGTTGAACACGACTTTCTCACTGGTTATACCTTATCCCACTTCTCGAACTCTTTCAATCCCTCCTTACTCACACTGGGTCGTACGGTACTAAGACTCATCTTGAAGTCGTCAAAGGACATGGGTCGAATTTGATCTCTAGGTGTGATGAGCAGATCTTCTCCGAGGCTTCGTAATGGTCCCATAGCAGCGTCCTTCGCCAATGCGGTAATATCTGATCCGGAGTAACCTTAGGAAAGTATTGTTAGTTTCTGACTCGCTTCCTGGAATATGACAGCGTACCATCAGTTAACTCCACGAGCTCTGCGATCTGTTCTGGTGTCAAACCGTGCTTCTGTCTGCGAAGCAGGTGGTTGAGTTGCTCCATTCGTGTCTCTGGCTCAGGCAGCGGAATATACTGGCGCCTGACGAATCGTCTTCGAGCAGCCTCGTCAATATCCCAAGGCAAATTTGTAGCTGCCAGCACGAGCACCCTGGGTTGTTCTTCATCGTTCTCATTTCCAGCCGCAGCACTCGCCAAAGACGACCACTGGATCAGGAACTCTGTTTTCAACCGGCGCGAAGACTCGTGCTCGCCTTCTCCTTTGCGAGCCGACATGAGCGAGTCGATCTCATCCACAAAGATAATGCTCGGCGACATGGCCTTAGCAACAGTAAACAATGCGCGAACCAACTTCTCGGACTCTCCAAGGTACTTGGAAGTAAGTGACGAGGCAGATATGCTGAAGAACGTTGATTTTGCCTGTGTCGCAACAGCCCGAGCAAGCATCGTCTTTCCCGTCCCTGGAGGTCCGAAGAGGAGCATACCTCGTGCAGGCTCTCGCAAGCCACTAAACAAGTCCGGACGCAGGAAGGGATAGATGACAGTCTCTTTCAATGCTCGCTTGGCCGCTTCGAGCCCTGCAATGTCCTCCCACTGGACAGGGTCGCCTTTTACCACGATCTCATTCATGATTGTCTTAGCAATGTTCTCATCCACCCCTACTAGGCTCTTGAGTACCTTCTCTTCTTTAGACATCTCGTCAGTATTTTCAGTACCTGGTACGGCAGCGCCGTTGCGTGTATCGGGCGACGATGTATACGAAGGGGCAGGCGTGCCGTTTGTCGGGACACCAAGACCTGCAAGCGCTGCACCAGCTGTTCGAGGAGGTGTGTTGGAAGACGTGCTAGGACTTGCAGAAGGTGTCGGGTTTGCTCGTGCAGTAACATAAACCTGGCTGTAGGGCGGTGCAGCTGAAGTTGTCGCAGCGGGTGGTGCAGTAGGGACGGTCCTTGTCGAGAGGTTGTCCGGCTTCCGTGGTTTAGGTGGACTGTGAACGTGGCCCACGCGACGCAAACTACCACCAGCAGGAGGTCCATGAGACGCTGCCAGAGCCAGTTTTGCTTCACTATGAGGCGACAGAGGGCGTGGGAGTTGTTGATGTGCAAGCGCATTGCCCTGCGCCTGTACGAGTCGAAGTGTAGGTATGTTTGCCGGGCTCGTTTGCGTACTTGCGGGTGGGTCAGGCCTGGGTCGCGGAGCAGGCGTGGGAGATATTACACGCGGATTCTGACCCCTCTGGTCTGGAGTGTAGAAGTACTGATTGTTGACTGGACTGGGATTGCCAGAGTCAGTACGCTGGACTTGTGCCTTCTCTGCTGGCGTCGTCGCAACGGACCGGCTCGACGTTGCAGCAATCGGCGAAGAGTATAGCGGACTGTTGGTGTTCGGCGCAGCGAGTCCTCGAGGTGTAGCTGGCAATGGAGGAACCAATGCCTGCCAAGCAAGTGTTGCAGCTTGATTAGCTGAGCCAACATAAGGAAATGCCTTGCTTGTCGCCGGACCCCTTCCGTCCCTCATCGTCGCCTTCAATCTCCTCTGTCCACGGTCCGGACTTGTCTGCCTATACTGCGCTGCGCGCTCTCCCAAAGACTGCCCTGAAACCTGACGCCCAGGCATCTGAGGCCGTGATCTGTCGTCGGCTGGGTAAACTGGTAAAGGACTTCGGGGACGCTGTTGCGGTGCGCCAGCGGTTCCGCGATTCAAGCTCGATACAATCAGTTCCAGGTGCCGCCGACACATCTCGCGTGTTTGCCGTAACGATTCAACGTACACTACGTCCATTGTCAGTATATCAACGCGCATACATCCGGGCGTACCATCCACATACAGTTCATCGTCGAGTCCGCCGATTTGCGCGTCGTATAGCGCTCCATCGTGGGATGACTATCAATCATCACGACTGCGGCCGCAAACTCTGATTGAGCATCTTCATGGAGGTTGCGTTTCTCCAACTCAATGCCGCGCTGCGCCAGCGACAATGCTTCCGTGTACAATTGCTCGAGGTCGAGGAGTTTTTGGGGTACATGAGCCATGAAGAGCAGGGCAATGACCAGCTGAGTCGCTCGTCAATGATATTAGGGGATTGCTGGGGATGTATGCTGTCCCTCTTTCGATGGAAGCAGCTGGTGAATGAGGTTTTGGGTGATCTGTTTCGTCGGACCGCCCAGGTTTCTCGTGCGCTTCGGTTCATGTGCGCTGCTGCACCACCGGGGCGAAATTACTGCCCTACGTCATCGACAAGGTAAGGTGTTACATAAATCTATTGCACGGTGCTCGCTGCACTTTCAACTAAATTAATACTTGGTATCCATTCGCGTCCTGCTATCGTTTCAGTTGCCCGCAGCTGTTCTTTCGTAGCGCCAGGCCTGTGCTGTTCTCCATGTGCTCCTTCATTTCTCCGCGTTCATCGCGTTCACTTGGACACTTCCACCTTCTTGATCTCCTCGGCACCCTCAGCAGAGATCCTAGTCAACTCACTCACGAAGCTCTGACCCCAGTAAGCTGCGGTATACTTGGTGACATAGCGATACAGCTTGTCAAAGTTAGCCGCACGCTGCTCGTCGGACATGGTGATGGCATCGTTGATGCTTCCAGCCAACTCTTCGCAATTCCATGGGTTCACGATCAAAGAACCGTTGAGAGACTGTGCAGCACCAGCGAATTCGGACAAGATCATGACACCGTGGCGCTTCTGCTGGGTGCAGATGTACTCGTAAGAAACAAGGTTCATCCCGTCACGGGTAGAAGAGACGAGACAGACGTCAGAGACAGCGTAGAGAGCAACAAGCTCGTCGAAAGAGACGGACTTGTGCATGAAGTGAATAGGCATGAACTCGATGGTACCGAACTTTCCGTTGATACGACCGACAAGCTCGTTGACGACAGCGCGCAAGTTCTGGTACTCCTCGACATCCTGACGGGAAGGCACCGCGACCTGCACGAGTACAACCTTTCCGATCCATTCGGGGTGCTCGGTCAAGAACACCTCGAGGGCATGAAGCTTCTGGGGAACACCCTTGATGTAGTCAAGACGGTCGACACCGACGATCAATTTGACGCCCTGGAACTTCTTCTCGAGCGCGGCGATACGCTGCTGTACCTTGGGTTGCTCCAACGCCTCCGTGAACTTCTCAGGGTCGATGCCGATGGGGAAAGTACCCACGCTGACCATACGCCCGTTGTACTCTACTCCGTTTGGTAGAGTTCTCAAACCCAATATTCTTGAGCAAGAAGACAAGAAGTGGCGGGCGTAGTCGTAGGTGTGGAATCCGATGAGATCACAGCTGAGGATACCGAGCAAGATCTCGTTGCGGACAGGCAAAATTCTGTAGAATTCACTCGAAGGGAATGGGGTGTGCAAGAACCATCCGATCTTGACGTTCTTCTTGGAGTTACCGATCTCCTCGCGAAGCATCTGAGGGAGGAGCATAAGGTGGTAATCCTGGATCCAGATCATGTCACCATCTTCTACGATGGGAACGATAGCCTTGGCGAAGAGGCGGTTAGCCTCCTGGTATGCCTCCCAGCTGGGCTCGTCAAAGTTGATCTCTCCGGGGTGGTAGTGGAACAAGGGCCACAGAATTGAGTTGGAGAAACCGTTGTAGTGACGATCGGCCAACTCATCATCCAAGAAGACGGGCATTGTGCTGTACTCATCCATAAGGCGCTTCACGACGAAATCGCGCTCATTCTCCGGGATTTCAAGACCAGGCCATCCAATCCATGTGAAATCAACACTCTTCTTCAACCCGGACAAGGCGGACACGAGACCACCGGAGGACATGGAGAAGTCGTATTTGCCGTTGTCATCACGCTTAATGGTGATCGGCAGACGGTTAGAGACGACGAGAAGTCGAGAAGGGCTGTTTGAATCTGACATTGTGGCTATGTATGCTGGGCAGGATGGGGATTCTTGGTGGTGATGGACCACGGTGGAATACTTAAGTTGGTACGGTGTGAAGCTGCGCTAAATTTAGGGACGGGGAGTGAGGAAGCCCACACGTCAGTCGTACGTGACAGCACGAATGAATACATCGAGTCAATTCTTCTTGGCCATCAAAGTAAATGCAACACTGAACACGATAAATCCAACCAAATTGAAGAATGCTACCTGGGAGTACCGTGTCTCTTCGTCCTCTGTCCGGAAGTCTGAGAAGATCTTGCGGAGGTTTGGGAGTTCCTGTGAGCCGTGTTAGTTGTGCCGTCCATGCCTTCTCCATCCACTGCAATTGCCGTACGTACCATCCCTTCCAATCGCCGTCTCGTACTTTGCGAGTTTGGACTTGGACCTCCCGCAGTTGCGCTGTCGTGCATGCCAACCGGTGCCCCTGGCTCGCGCGACGTCAACGCTCGACGAGGGCAGGCAGGCAGGCAGGCAGGCAGGAAAGAGCAGCATTTATTCACCATGGCCGCAAGCAGAGTTATGCGTGCTGCTGGCTTTGCGGCTCCGAAGAAGGGAGAGACTTTCGAATTGCGAAGTGGTCTCGTCTCTCAGTATGCCCACGAGCGTAAGGATGCTATTCAACGCACAATTGCCGCCATGACCCTCGGTAAGGACGTCTCTGCCCTTTTCCCAGACGTCTTGAAGAACATTGCGACCCACGACCTCGCTCAGAAGAAGCTCGTTTACCTCTACCTCACAAACTACGCCAAATCACACCCTGATCTGTGTATTCTCGCCGTCAACACATTCGTCCAAGATACCTCTGATCCCAATCCCTTGGTCAGAGCACTCGCCATCCGCACAATGGGCTGTATTCGCGTCGAGAAGATGGTCGACTACCTATCCGAGCCCCTCCGCAAGACGCTCAAGGATGAATCCCCATATGTTCGCAAGACGGCTGCAATCTGTGTAGCAAAGCTGTTTGATCTGAACCCGACTATGTGTATCGAGAACGGATTTTTGGAGACGCTCCAAGAGATGCTGGCGGATGCCAACCCTATGGTGGTTGCCAACGCTGTCACTGCACTTAGCGAGATCATGGAGACGTCGCCGGAAACGCAGGCATTCATCATGAACTCCAAGGTCTTGACGAAGTTGTTGGTAGCGTTGAACGAGTGCTCGGAGTGGGGACGTATTACGATATTGAATGCGTTGGCGGGATACACACCAACGGACATCAAGGAAGCAGATCACATTTGTGAAAGAGTTACTCCTCAATTTCAGCATGCTAACGCAGCAGTCGTGATGGCGGCTGTCAAGGTCATCATGCTCAGTCTTGATAAGGTCAAGCCTGAATCAGCACTTCAGCTCATTAAGAAGATGGCACCACCCCTCGTTACCCTCGTTTCCTCCGCCCCCGAAGTGGAGTATGTTGCGCTAAGAAATATCAACCTCATCCTTCAGAAGCAGCCCGATATTTTGAGCAAGGAGATGAGAGTGTTTTTCTGCAAATATAACGACCCTGAGTATGTCAAGCTCGAGAAGCTGGAAATCATGATCAAGTTGGCGAACGAGAAGAACGTGGATCAGCTCCTTGCCGAGCTCAAGGAGTACGCTTCAGAAGTCGACGTCGATTTTGTTCGACGAGCTGTCCGCGCCATCGGTCAATGCGCGATCAAGATCGACTCCGCCTCAGAGCGCTGCATTAACGTCCTCCTCGACCTCATCAACTCTTCCACCCACAAAGTCCCATATGTCGTCCAAGAAGCCATCACAGTCATCAAGGATATCTTCAGAAAGTACCCATCAAGATACGAAGCCATCATCCCAACCCTCTGCTCCTCTCTCGACGATCTTTCTGAGCCTAATGCTCGTGCATCACTGATCTGGATCATCGGAGAATACGCGGAAAAGATTTCGAATGCTGACGATCTCTTAAGTACGTTCTTGGAAGGATTTGACAATGAAGGAGTGCAAGTTCAATTACAGTTGCTCACAGCGACGGTAAAGCTGTTCTTGAAGAAGCCCGATAGCACGCAGGAGTTGGTACAAAGAATGTTGAAGACGGCTACGAATGACTGCGATAACCCAGACATCCGTGACAGAGCATACGTTTACTGGCGTTTGCTATCATCGGACCCACAAGTCGCCAAGTCTGTCGTCTTATCAGAGAAGCCTCCGCTTAGCACGGAGACTAAATCACTTCCAGCCGGGTTGCTCAACGAGCTTATCGGAGAAATCAGCTCCCTGGCATCCGTTTACCACAAACCAAAGGAGTCGTTTTTGGGTAGAGGAAGATTCGGCGCCGATAAGTTGCAGAAGCGGGCGATTGAAGAGCAGCGTGCATTGGCTCGTGAGGCTCCTGTCGAGGCTGCGTTGACGAAGGGTGGTGTGGAGAACCTTCTTGACTTTGAAGGTGGCATGGATAGTGGTGAGACCCCGATCAGCCCAACTGCTGATCCGGCTATGGTGGCGCAGATCTTGGGACCTGCGGTGGGTGAAGCAGGTGCTGGCAACCTTAACGACCTTCTTGGGTTGTTTGGTGAAGACCCAGCAGCTGGATCATCAGCAAGTGGAGGTTTTGCAGGCGGTATCGCGGCTGGATTAGATGGGTTGAGTCTGGAGCCATCACAAGCTCAACCCAAGAAGGTGAACAACGAGGATATCTTGGGGCTGTTCTAATGGTGATGAATGGTTTGGGATTTTTTGTATTGCTCAGCTGAGTGCGTTCCGGTTTTACTTATACCTAGCATGTCGCCTTTTAGAGGCCTACCCGTCCTTTGCAAAATTCTGCAGGTGTTTCGTACTTTGCTCCGTGTATATCCTTTCGTGCCCAATCGTACCAGCATCCCTCTCTCAACTCATCTTCACGCCAACTGCATCTTGTCCCATTCTTCGGGAGTGTAGCTTTTCTATGCGTCGCTATTGGTTAGCTGCGGTCCCGAAGCTTGACGAAGCGATTACGAAACTTGTGTGAAAGCGTGCACCTTCGCGATCTCCTCCTTCAGTGCCTTGTTGACCAGTCTATGTCTGGCCAAAGTGTTCTTCCCCGCAAACTCTGGCGAAACGATAGTGACCTCAAATGCCTGACCACATCCTCCAGAGATATCCTCAATTTTCTACCACCACGAACGTTAGCCAAACTGACAGAAAAAGGACGCAGCGACAGCGACATACGACAAAAGTAGCGGATAATCGCTCTCTGATTGCCTGATCCAAGTGCTCCTTTGTAACTCCACTGTCTGCCATTTTTCGTTGTCGTCGTTACAATGCCCGTGCGTCACTGTGCATTCATTGCCGAAATTCTGAGTGCGACTCCAAACACACGCGTCTTACCCACACAACGTTAACCTGAAGGGTACTCGATAAACAAATGGCATCGACTCCGGCTATCTTGCCAAAGGTCTTGAGGGCCGTGCAGAAGCTCTATCCTATTGCGCTCGCGGATAAGACATGGGACAACACGGGTCTCCTCCTCGAAGCGCCGATTTCCCACAAGCCTTGCGCAAATGGAGTCAGCCGAGTTTTGCTCACTATTGACTTGACGACCGCTGTTGCTGAGGAGGCGCTCAAGGAGGGCAGTGGTGTCAGCGTGATTGTGGCATACCGTTACGTACACTCAAGTAGCCATGTTCTAGTCAAAGAACTAACTGATGAGATGCTACAGACCCTATCATTTTCCGTGGATTGAAGTCTCTTACAATGAAGGACACACAACAGCGCTCTCTCCTCCGCCTTGCAGCGGCCGGGATCTCCGTATACGCACCGCATACCGCTGTAGATGCTGCTGTGGGTGGAGTCAACGACTGGCTCGCGGATGGAGTTTCGGGTGGTAGGGAGCACGAGGAGAAGCGTGAGGTTCTGCAGAACGGCACCAAAGTTGAGGGACACGAAGACGGGGGCATGGGCCGACTGGTGGAGCTGAAGGAGCCTCTGGAGTTGACAGAGTTGGTGAAGCGTGTGAAGAAGTTGACGGGGCTGAAGTATGTCCAGGTCGCACGGCCTCGATCATTGGAGAAGGTGAAGACCATCGCCATATGTGCTGGTTCTGGAGGTTCTTTGTTCAGAGGAGTCCAGGCTGACTGTTTCTTCACCGGTGAACTGGGCCACCACGAGACCTTGGCTACGATTGAGAACGGCATGAGTGCGATCATCTGTGGTCACACAAACACTGAGCGTGGGTTCCTTGCAGCAGTGATGCAGCCTAGATTAGAGGAGCTGTTGAAGGTGGAGGAGGAGAAGATTGAGGTTGTGGTTAGTGAGGATGACAGGGACCCTGTGGAAATTATGTAGATGGTATATGGTAAAGACTAACGCTGCAGTCCCAAGGCACACTCAATAATCATTTTCAATGCATCAGTCGAGCCATTCTCGATCAAATGATTTGGTTTAGGGGGGTGGGGGTCTGTCTGGTGTTGAGGTGTTGGACGCTATAGCGAAAACAGTAAAGCACGTTTCTAAACCGCTGCGTCGACGTCTAACCGTACTCAGTCGATCTCCTGTCTACGTTACAGTCTACGTTACACATGACGACCCACATACTCGACCATTTCAGTTCCATCGGACTGCCATTGAAGCAAAATTGGTTGGTGTCAATATTACAAGTCAACGACCCGCCTCAAGCTCCTCAACTACTTCAAGCGTACGTCCATTCACACATCCTTTCTTCGTCAGTCACGGAATCTATCGACTCGCCAGCGTGGTTTCCGCCAAATACATCAGAGCAACATGAAACAACGTTGCCGGGACCTTTCGTTGTCCAAGTAGCACACGTTCGCGAAATCGGTGAAAGTACGATCAGTCAACTCGAAAAGCTCGAATCATATGCCAGTGGAGAAACCACACGAGGAAGAAGCATTATTCGGAACATTATAGAAGATGATGGGGTACACGGAGGAGCTACGCAAACACAAGGCACCAATGCTACCCAAGCAACAGACGTGGTGGGTCGGCCAGTGGGCAAGCATACTTGCAAAGTCACTTTTGAAGATGGTGCCGGAAGAAGAGTGTATGGAATTGAAGCAAAGGCAGTGGATTCGTTCTACGTTGGAATGAACTTGGGATGCAAGGTAAGCGAACTCTCCAGCATGAGTCAAGAAGCACGCTGATCAGGACAGGTGATACTGCGCAATATCCACATGTTGCGAGGTGTGATCTTGTTGAAACCGGCAAATGTAACGATGCTTGGCGGGAAAATCGACAGTTGGAATGATAACCTGCTAAAGAACCTACAGGACGAGCTGGAACGCGAGCTGAAGAGGAGTTGAATAGATCCATATCAAACAAAAAAAATTCATATTGTTCCAAAACTAGAGCGGCGCAGTTGAACTTTTCAGATTCACCGTTCGTTCATATCGTAACAAAACTGTCGCATCACATCATCTGCTGGTCCTGACCCATGGCAATATCGCCTCCCATGTCCATAGGGGGAGCGTTCACACCGTTACCATTCTCCATGACACCGCCCATGTTCCCACCCATCTGCTGAGCGGGTCCACCAACCGGAACGTAGCGGACATAAGAAAGTCCAAGAGGACGGCCACCGTATTGGTAACCAGTGAACTTGGTAATCGCCAATCCAGCACTGTCCTGGTGGTCAAACTGGACAACACCAGTACCCTTGGAGCGACCGGAAGGCTCATACTGAATCTCGGCACGCTCAACCTTGCCAATAGTGGTGAAAAGCTCGACCAAATCGTCGTTGCTGGTAGACCAGGGGAGCTAGAAGATTGTCAGCGTCATGTTACTTGATATCGCGGATGTCACGCTTACGTTGCGAACGAAGATGGTAGTGCTAGGCTCGCCTCCACCGGTGGCACCGTCAGTGAACTCGTTCGGGGGCTGAGTGGCAGCAGGAGCAGAGTGCCCAGGAGCACCGCCGTGGCCGCCTCCGAATCCACCCCCGTATCCACCACCACCGTAACCACCAGCAAAGCCTCCGCGGCCGCCGAAGCCTCCGCCGTAACCTCCGCCGAATCCACCACGGAAACCGCCACGACCGCCCATGAAGCCACCACGACCTCCCATCGGACCTCCCATCGGGCCTCCCATGAAACCGCCGCGACCACCCATGGGTCCACCCATGAATCCTCCACGGCCCATAGGTCCGCCCTGGAATCCACCGCGTTGAGGAGCACCAGCGAAGCGGTCGACGCGGACATCAAGGGCACGGCCCTGCCAGTCATAACCGTTGAACATCTGCATAGCGTTCTGGGCATCAGCGGCGGTCTCAAAGAGAACGACACCGGAACCCTTGGGACGACCGTCGAAGGACGTGTGAACATCAGCACGGATGACATTTCCTACATTATAGTTAGTGTACGATCAACAAGGGGATCCCCGGGCTTAGGCTACTTACCAGCACTGCGGAACATGTCCTTCAAGTCTTGCCAGCCGGCGGTGAACGGGATGCCGCTAACGTAGAGCTGACGGCCGCCCATCGGAGGACCAGCACCAGCACCAGCGCCAGCACCAGCACCAGCACCAGCTGCGAATCCACCCCGGGGAGCCTGAGAAGCAGCTCCAAAGCGGGGTTCGACCTCACGGTCCTTCGAATGGTTAGTATCACTTTCCCAGTCGATTTGAATGAGATGCATACCTCACGAATGAAGACGAGGCGTCCCATGAATTCCTTGTTGCTGAGAGTCTGAATAGCCTGTTGCGCTTCTTCCGGAGTAGCATATTCGACAATTCTGCAAATGCCATGTTAGCAAAGTGATAACGACAGTCGAAAAGCGATGAACATACCCGCATCCCTATATAACCAGCGCCCCAAGAGGAGCCCTTCCGTCAGAAACCATTATTCCACATAAAAGAAAGACCAAAGAACCCGCGAGTCCTCCGCCCAGAAAGATTGCCCACCTTCGACATGCCATTTGGAAGAGTCAAAACCTCTGCAAACTTCACTTCACCAGCTACGATAAACCCATGTTAACAACCGCCATCAGCGTCCATGCCCGATCAATCCCATACCCTGACGCATGTAATCCTTCAAGTTATCCCACTTCACTTCGTACGCCAAGTTACCGACGTAGACACGTCTCTCTTGTTGGGAGTTGGCCTTGACATCATTCACGAACTCATCTCTGCCTCCACGGGGCTGCTCATCGCGCTGAGGGGCACCGTAGTCTCCACCATCATTGTAATCGTCCATACGTTCGTCTGGGCTGCGCCTCCTGTTATCACGAGAACGGCTTCGGGAGTATCCGCGCTGAGGAGTGCGTGATCTGCCGCGTCCAGGGGATCGAGTTCGGGAGCGACGACGTGGGGAACGGGACCTCGGTCTGTAGAAGTCACCGCCTTGTTGTTGAGCTTGTTCAGGACGGTAAAAGTCACCGTCTGCCATTTCAATTGATCGAGGGAAGGAAAGCGTTCTGATTTATAGGTCGAGGACGTTCGCGTCGTTGCGTGCACCTTGGAGGTGTTGTGCTGCGGCGGGCGCTGTTAGCCTCGCCCGGATGCGGGTGGGCACGGGAGTCTACGTTACATGTGCGATGCCCGTTTGATGCATTATTTCGATAAGCAGTCCTATTCAATCCTATTTCTTGCCTTTCTTCCCTCCACTCCTCATGGTGCCCTCGAATCCAGGCCGCTTCTTCTTCGGTGCAGGCTTGATACCCAGCGCCGCAGCCTTCTTCTGTCCCTTCTTACTTCCTGCTACCCTTGCCTTCAAGTTCTCCTCACGCTTCTTCTGTCGTGCAAGCTGCGTCTTCCTCACGTTTGCCAGACGCTCCTGCCACTCCTTCTCCGACTTCTTCTTCTCTTTCTCGACACGCTTGACCGTCTTCTTCAGCAAGGCTTCGTTATCGCGAACCTTCTCTCCTTGTGACTGGAGAATGGCACGGCGCCACGTGTCGGACTCATGGATATTTTGTGCCTTTATCGTAAGTTAGCACCACATACCCAGAGAGAGCACCACTGCTAACAAACCTTGTCCTCATCCATCTCCGCGAGCCTCGCCTTCTTCGCCTGAATACTCTTCAGAGCACCATATGCGTCCTGAGGCCCCTTCCTCTTCCTCTTCCCACGCGCATCACCAGTCTCCATATCAAGCTCCTCGCCATCCTGAAATTGGACACGCGTAAACGCAACACTGTCAGAATTCACACCCAGAGATAACGGTCTTGGCGCAACATCCTCCATCTCCTCGTCCGAATCAGACTCGTCCTTCACCGTGACTCCAGACTTGCGCTTCTCAGCAATGACAGCCTTCTTCCTCTCCTTGCGAGCGTCGGTTTTCATTTTGCGAGCTTCGATCATGGCTGTTCTCGATGTAGCAGCACCCTCAACGCCGGTTCCAGGAGCCTTCCTCTTGGCACGCAGAGCCTCAATCTTTGCCGCCAGTTTCGCTTTCAGTTCGGATATATTTGCCGGAGTCTGTGCTTCCTGTGATTGCTGTGTTGATTCAGTAGTTGATACGGATCCGTTGGCGATCTTGCGCTTCTTGCTGTCCTTGTTTGGTGTTTGAGGGTCGGTCTCCCAGCCATCCTCTCCGGCCTCGGGCTTTGACGGGATCTCCTCAACCTTCTTCTCCTCGCCATTCTGCTGCTTCTTAGCAGCGTTCTTCATGGCGAATCCGTTCTGAACCGGAGTTGCGTGCTCATTCTTCGCCTTCTTCTGATATGACGCAGGCTCCTTCTTGCCCTTAGAGGGTGCGGGTGTGGCCGGTGCTTCAGTAGTCGCGTCCTTCTGCTCCGCCTCCTTGGCGGCTTCAGCGGCCTTCTTTGCTTGAGTGTCGGCGGCCGAGAATATGGTGGTCTCCGGATCCAACTTCGCCCTCTTCGCCTTCTTAGCCTCCTCCTTGCTCTGCTTGCGCTTGTTCCATTGCGACTACAATGCTCATTAGAAATGAATATGAAAATACAATGAAGAACAGCATACCGAAGAATCCTCAGCGTGATAGTACTTCGACGGAATGAGCGACAAGAGCCCCTCAAAGGCGTTGTTGTGTGCTTTGAGTCTGTCCTGCAGAGACAGTCAGCCTCCAGATCAAACCAAGCTCATTACAGACCACTCCATACCTCGAGTTCGTTACCCATTGTCGATTGTCGATTTTCTCCGACCTACTCTCGGCGCTCCTCGAATTACCGTAGCAGCCAAAAAGTTGTCGCGCCACAACCGTGCCACATTCAAGCTTCAATTGAGCCCGCACCTCTCAGTCAAGTCAGATATATATATGGCTACTCTGACATTTCAGATCAGATCAAATGGGATTGGCTGAACACAATTGCTCAGTAAGGTTGCTGATGCTCATGCCTGTCCAGTGGCGGAAGACATTGAGTGGATAAAGCTACAGGTTCGAGATCATGGTTCACAGTAGGGATGTCAATGATCATGCAACAATTCGAGATTGAGAAGAAAGACGTAACATCAAATCAAGCAAGCTATGTCAGAGACGAGAATGGGCGTTCTGCGAAATTGATCAAAGAAATTCGTGAGCGTAATGTGTCAACACATCAGTTCTCAGGCTGCATGTGCAATGGCACATATCGAACGTCGTACATCTATATCATTGTCAATGGAAATCCGGCTGAGAGTAACATCGTAAATACCTTGCTTTTGTGCACCGTACCATCGGCATCCTTTGTGACTTCCCAAATCGCCTGCTCATATTGCCCTACCGGGATAAACATCTTCCCGGTTCCCGGTCGCAATTGGTCAATAAGGTGCGTCGGCATTCTTGGTGCCGCGGCTCCCACATGGATGGCCTGCGAGCTTGGTCAGCACTCTGTGTTTCGAGCCATTTGAGCATGCTCACATCATATGGAGCGCCTTCAGGCCAACCCAAACTCCCGTCTCCTCCAATGATCATGATCCTGCCATCCTTGAGCATCTCTGCATGCGTGGGATCCTTTCTCAAATTATCCTTGCTCTTCTCAACCAACTCCGGAATATACTGCACACCAACAATAAGCTTCTTCAATTAAACAAAAATCCCGTGACCATACAAACCTCAATCCCCACCACCTTCCCCTCCGGCTGTACCATATGTGCGAAAACAGCTAACAAATACCCACTTCCCGAACCGACATCCAAAGCAGACATACCAGGCTGAAGGTGTTGTTCGAGGGCTTGAGCGGCGTTTGCGTGCATGTGTGGAGCGGAGATGGTGACGCCGTGGCCGATAGATTGGGGAGCGTCTCGGTAGGGGCTGTAGGGTGCGAAGTGGCCGCGGTCGACTGTTGCGCCCCAAGTTGGGTCAGTAGCCTCATAGTGCTGTCGTATAGACGTTACCTTTCCTCATAGCCTGTTGTCAATCGAATTAGCTTGTCGCTCTCGTTCACATGTACAGAACTGCGCTCAACAACCTCATACACACGATCCGACTTGATCAACTCATTCTTCCTCAAATTATCCAGCATCTCCAAATTCGTTTCGCCTACACCAAAACCGCAACTAATCAGCCAACTAGCCAACCATAATAGCTGCACAAGCAGGATCAAACCATGAGATCTCCAAGCCATTGCGGTAGGCAACAAGGGCACGCTCCTCAGGAAAGATGGAATGGGATACAAGACAGCTGTTACAGACTTAAATGCAGCCGTGTTTTTGGAGCAACGGGGGATGGATCAAACGGGAATTTTTTGTTGCACGGCGGTGGCCCTATGATCTCAGGCGGTCACACGCATCCGAATTGTGGGGTTGGGTTGGACCACCTGCGCGGAACACCAAGAGCTGCCCCAGAACCCAGCTGAGCTCAGAAGACCAAGGTCAAGAGGACGACAATATTGAGATAACCATGTAGAACGGCTTGGCCCTAGGAATAAAAAAAAAGAGAAATGTCATCCGGCTGCAATAAAGCTCCAAGAATCACGCCGCAATGGCACCGGGAATGTAAAACCAATACTAATAATGCTCAGACAACTCAGACGGCATTCTCACCCTCGCCCTCACGAACCACAGCCGGTCCATCACCTGGCCTCGTCGGTGTCTGCCTAACCAATTCCTCAAGTTTCCTCACCCTGAAGAACTCACTGATTGATCTGATCAACAAAAACCATCCTGCGACCATCAAGACGTAACTCAACCACTCTCCTCCGCTAATCGCATCCACCTCCGTACCAGTACCACTGGGTACAGCTGGCGGTACGGTCGCAGCATCACCGGTATACGTAAGTGCACTGTTGGGATCCGTGGGATCAATCGGGGTGCCGAAAAAGGGGTCAGTGGAGCTGAAGTCCGTAGCGTATGCGTTCGGGTTCTGGAGGTAAAAACCATACTGGATCAATGTGATACCAAGGCCAGCCTTGGCACCTTGGGCGGAAGCGTGTGAGGTGTGGAGGAGGTATGTGAGGAGGAATCCGACGAATTGGAAAGACATAGAAACTAAGTCATGGGTTAGGACGCGTGGCATGGTGTAGGTAAAGAGCAACGTACTGAGCATATTCCAGACAAAGGAGAAGACGTTGCCGACTGGAAGACCGTCAACAAAGACATCGTCAGAAGACATACCGGGAGCGATGATCGTCGTCTCCCAATACGGTGGCGCTTGGTCGGAGGAAGCTTCATCGTAGGTCTATGCATCGAGTTAACACATATGTCCCGCCGGGCATCGAAGCCGTCGCATGGGCGGTACATACCGGAGGATGCTCCTCAACCTTCTCCGTCTCAACCTCAGGCTTGGCACTCAAATTACTGAACACACCCTCAACATTGTGATTTCTTGGTTGTGTCCTCCCACTTGCACAAGCTGCCGGTGTCGACTGTGTAGAACTCTCTTCACTTTGTTGTAGTAGCGTTACACGCTCCACTTCCTGATTCGGTTGTCGTCCATGGAGTCGATATGCATGCTGATCTTCGTCCTCTGACTCCTCCTCGGCGTCGGGGTTGTTGAAGGCTGCATCAAGTTCTGCGTCTTGGGAGATTGCTTCACGAAAACTAGGAGGTGGAGAGTCTGGGAGGCCGGGCCGTGTTGCTGGCGGTGCAATAGAAGATTGATGGTCGGCTTCGTCCGCGACAGGGACCTATAGGTGATGTCAGCATATGTGGCAAGACTGTCGGACAAAGACAGTGACTCACCCTCTCGTAGCCAGGCATAGCAGGGATGTTCAAGTTCTTGTTTCTGTTTGTTTGAATAGGTCGATGCCAGCAGAACGGAGGGTAACCGTCTCCAGGGTGTTCAGGGTGTTGTGTACACCTACCTGGCCTGCTGCGGTCGCTCTGTAATGAAACTGCGCCTCGGTTGCCAGACGTACCGAAGGCGCCCGTAGCTGTAGTACACTGTAATCAGATAAGTCCACCGAGTCAACAGTCAGGCAGGTATGCCGTAACTATTTGAATTGGGAGACCATGAATTACCTTCCAAAGGTGCAACGTCGTACAACAGTCTCGCCTTTGCTAATTCAGCGGGTACTGCTGGGTGCGCTGGTCTTTGCGCTGTGCTTCCTCTACGGCACGCGAGACGAACGGCAAGCACGCATATCCTCGCTTGATGATACCAGACCAATACGAGACATCACCGTTGTTACATGCAACAAATGGCGCGCACTTCGAGTGTTTGGGTCGTGTAGTAGGAGTGGATGGGAGCGCGTTGACAGAGACTTGTTTCTACGGAAGGGGTGGATTCAGCAAGCGTTTGTGCTTATTGACCGGAGGGCATCATCAGACGATAAGAGTGTTATTAGGGAGGTTCGTTCAGGGCGTTTGGCTTTTGCAGAGACGGGTATTGCATGGGAATATAGACCGGGAGGCATCTGGATACAGCGGGAAGCAGCTGCACCTCATGACGCAGTCACAGGAGTTGACATTTTGTATGGTATTGATGCAGTGGAAGTAAGACCTGGTTGGTCACTGGTTCGTGGTGGAACATTGGAGCACAGCGAGGCGCATCTATCCATACGGCACGGAGTGATAAAGACGTTTAGAAAGCCGGAGGTGCGGGTGAATGCGAACGGGAAGTTCAAGGTGTTACAGGTTGCGGACTTGCATCTTTCTACATCCGTTGGAGCGTGTCGAGACGCTGAACCAGCAGATACTGCGGCCAATTGCGAGGCTGACCCGAGGACCCTGGAGTTTCTCACACGCATCCTGGATGAAGAGAAGCCAGATATGGTCGTATTGACTGGCGACCAAATCAACGGCGATACAGCACCGGATACACGGTCGGCCATGTATAAGTTCGTTGAGCCGTTGATAGCACGGCGAATGCCTTATGCGGCAATCTTTGGAAACCACGACGATGAAGGAGACCTAACCCGAGCGGAGCAGATGAAGCTGCTTGAAGGCTTACCATACAGTCTCAGCCAGGCAGGTCCCGCGGATATTGATGGCGTTGGTAACTACGTGATCACCATTCCTGCCGCGAACGATGACTTTCCCGCCTTGACCTTTTACTTTATCGACACGCACAAATACTCGCCGGACGAGAAGAACCAGCCAGGATACGATTGGATCAAGCAAAGCCAGATCTCGTGGTTTAACCAAGAACAAGCTGGGCGTGTCGAGCAGAAGGATACCCGTCATCAATTGTCGATGGCATTCATCCATATTCCCCTACCGGAGTACCGCATGAAATCCAACCGCTTCATTGGAGACTGGCGTGAACCCCCGACTGCTCCGACGTTCAACTCTGGCTTCCAAGCTGCTCTGTTAGATTCTGGGGTGAATGTGGTGACTGCTGGGCATGATCACGCCAATGAGTATTGCATGATAGATGATCAAGCACGGCTGTGGATGTGCTACGCTGGTGGATCGGGCTTCGGGGGTTATGGAGGATACAATGGCTTCATCAGAAAGCTAAGAATATTTGACTTCGATGTGGAAGACGGGTCAATTTCGACGTACAAGAGAGCGGAATGGCCCGTCACAGACGAAAGACTGGATCCACAGGGTTTGGTTGGGCAAGGACAGAGCTTATCGCCTGCAACACTATCATAAAGCATAATATATAAGCAGAGCATATAGAGATATATCAAATCTAATTACCTCATTACCCGGAGGGTGGGGACGGCCGGCATCTGGCGGGCAGGGCTTGCGTCAAGGCGCTTTGACAGGCACGCTTATCCTCACCACCAAAATCAAGCGGAGGCCGGACCCACTGGGAGGTATCACCACCCCAGGCTACTGATCCGACAATGAATCCTCATCAGTACTCTGAATACATGCCGGCTCAGCCTTCAGGCTCGCTTCCACCGTCCTATCTGCAGCAGCAGGGCCATCAATCGCAGTACGCACCGCAGCAGCTGCACCAGCAGCAAGGACAAAGTGCGCCACGGTATGGAGAGGGCGCAACCGATTCAGAGTCGGATGACGATGGAGAAGGTGATGACTTCAATGAGGATGAGGAAGAGGAGTCATTTGCCAGGCCATCACGCATGACGGAGGACCGGCCATCTAGCACATATCCGCAGATGAACCCTACACCGCTTTACCGACAGCGTAAGTCTTTTCAGCGACGTATCGATGGCAGGACTGACGGTTATACGCAGAACAACAACCTACTCTCGCAAACAACCCTAATATTCCAGGCTTTTACTCGAGTTCAGGATTTGACTTGCTCGGTGTATTGGCGCGTGTCATTACCCGTCCAAACCCCCAGATCCAGCTGGGCCCCATCGATATGTCTTGCTCTTTCGTAGTAACAGATGCCCGCACTGACGACAACACAATCTGCTATATTTCACCATCTTTTGAAGGTGAGATCGCAAACCTGCTATTCACACGCAGTGGAGGCTAACTTGGGCGTGCAGGCTTGACTGGATACACCGGAAAAGAGATCCTCGGACGTAACTGTCGTTTCCTTCAATCACCTGAGGGCAGGATCAACCCCCAGGAGAGACGAAAGCACACAGACAACAACGCGACCACACTCCTTAAGATCGCGCAAAACCAAGGCAAGGAAGCACAGGTTTCGCTAATCAACTACAAAAAGGGCGGTCAACCTTTCGTAAACTTGCTAACAGTCATTCCCGTTACATGGGAGAACCCCAATGAGATCGCGTTCTTTGTCGGTTTCCAGGTGGACTTGGTCGAGCAGCCCAACGCCATTTTGGAGACGTTAAAGGATGGATCGTACACCGTCAATTACCGTATGTCGACACTGCCAGCCCAGATCTCGCCTGCTGGTCCAGATTCGCAGGATGTGCAAGAAGTAGAGGATGACGATGAGCAAGAGCAACTGCAACCGCAGTTGCCAGCCGGATCTGCGGCGCCTAGTTTGCAGGAGATTTTGCAGCCTCCAGCACAGAGGAAACAGGACTTGGCAGGTCATATCTTGGCGAAGTACTTGTTGGACAATGCTCCAGCAGTGGTCTACGTGGTGTCATTGAAGGGTATCATCCTTTACTGTTCACAATCGGCAGCCGAGCTTCTCGAACACGAAGCAGACGATCTTGTTGGCAAGCAGTTCTCTTCCATTTGCCACCCAAGTGACATTGTACCAGTCATGCGAGAGATCAAGAACTCGACCAACCCAGCCACCAGCCATGTCAGTCTCGTCTTCCGTCTCATGAGAAAACACAGCGGATTCATGTGGTTCGAGAGTGAAGGTCACTTGCACATCGAACCGGGAAGCAAGAACAGGAAGTACGTCTGTTTGCTCGGAAGGGAGACGAGGATTTACGACTTGAAGTGGAGAAATGTCCTCACGGCGCCTCCAACACAATCTGCAGCTACCCCTCAGGAGTTCTGGCTGAAGGTCTCGTACGGTGGCATTGTGCTTTCCGCAACAAACACGGTAAAGGCCATTCTTGGAGGTATGTCAAGCGATGAGATGGTTGGAGCAACGGTCTATAGGTTGGTTGCCCAGGAGAGCCAGCTTCTCGTTCGAAGCGCTCTCGATACTGTTCGCAGCATGAGGGACCAAGTGACAGACGTCGTTATCGGCATGCAGGACAAGCTAGGTAATGTCATCCACTTGACTTGGACTTTCTTCCCCGGCGATGTACCCTCCGCGAACGGCTTTGACGCCACGTACGTGCTCGTGAACGCACGACGTGTTCAAGGTTCGCCGTCTGCCCTTGCACTCCCTTCCGGCCCCTCCATTCCCCAATTGTCTTCTCACCCGAGTACCGGCTCCTCACCATCATCTTCCGGGCCTTCTGGAATTACTCAACGTACGTCACCATCAGCGGAGCACAACATGGATGCAAATATCTTTGACGAACTTGATACAACGAGAAGTTCGTCTTGGCAGTACGAGTTGCATCAGCTAAAGGTGACGAACAAGAGGTTGAACCAGCTCGTGGAGGACGCCCTGGCCAGGAGATGATACGAGGATATATAATGGTACGGAGGTTGGATGATTAGGCGATAATATTGTCTGGCGGGAATCTTTTCAAGGATGAAAATGACGAAGCTATATGTCACATGGCCATGGGCGGGGGGCGCCGGCGTTCTTTGGCTTATTCTAAGTGCTGCCCGGTGCAACACGAGTTTAAGATAATCTTATATTCTTTCTGGGTAAAACACACGACTACATAAATATTCGCACGTCCATGCTATCTCCTGTCAGCGATATGATGAGTTCTGTGCGTAATTCCAGAGATAGACCGGGCCAGGTCTCGGATTGGATGTGGAGCACAAACCCATATACGTATTTCTCATCCCACCATCCCACCAGTGTCCCAATCCCAACCCGAACATCTACTCCTTTGCCTTCCTAGCTCCCTTCAACCCCCCGAACTCCTTCTCAAACCCCTCCTTCTCCCTCCGATATAGGCTCATCGTCGCCTTGGCATCCTCAACGGAACTGTGTCCTCGTCCAGAATCATTACTCTCCACATTCTGAATCTCAATCCCCAACAACTCCTTGGCCAACCTTTTTAACGACGGCGTCTTGCCTTTACTCAGTTGACGATACAGCGGGTATAGCGACGTATCTCGGATTCTGGAGCGAGGGTGTTTGAGGAGAAGAGCAGCAAGATCATGGTGGACGGCGTGCCCGATGAGGATGCGGTCTTGGAGGATGTCGGCAACACGTTGTTGGACGGATTCAAAGGGAAGGGCACCGTTTTCGGCTTTTAGCATTGCTGGGGTGATGCCGGAAACGAATGTTCGATAATCCGTGACTTTTTCTTTTGGGAGGACAAATAGATCAAGGACTTCGTTGCCGTGGAAGTTAACGACAGATACACGTGCAAGGGTTGATTGTGTTCCGTCCGGGCCAACACCGACCATTTCACAATCAATCGCGACATATCTCCCGATCTTGGTGTTTTTGGAGGATGTCAGTGTGCTCCCTTTTGATTTTTTCGAGACAGCTTCGGCGCCGTAGGCTTTTGCAAGGTCTTCAGGTGAGATATCATTATCCTCTGCGAACGCCAGCAGAGAGGCTTTCTTGTCAGCTTCAGTCGCAAGGGTCTTCTTCACTTTCAGCCTGTCGTAGGGTTTCGAGGATCTGGAGGGTGCTATTGTCTGTCACCATGGCTTGGTCAGTGACTTTCTTCGTGATCAATGAACTGACGAGAGAAGATACCTTCTGTAGCGCTTTCCAGTTCCCTCCGACCTTCTTAGTCTTCTCTGCTGCAGGCATTGGAATGGGTATCTTTGATACGGGTTGTTGCAATGAGGGAAAAGTGACTTTTGTCCGTAACGCAGCTGCAAATGACGAGAGCGATTCAAGGAAACTTCTGTTACGCATACGACATGGAGGTGTGGAACGGAGCAGAATTTGGGCATGGGCCCCGCAGATACGCGCGATAGCCCTGAACACCTGCTGTATCACCCCGGACGGCTCGAACATTTACAATCTTTTCTCATGTTAGATACGTATAATGTCAGTGCCACCTACTTATCCTCAATCGTAGCTATACATTAGGACTCCGTCCATGAGGTGGAACGCTGGACTGGGCAACGAGGTGCTTTCTAGAGTATAGAAACATGATATTGAAGAGAATGAAAACCAAAGTCTAAAGCGGAAATCCAGGGGACAACCGAGAAAGGGAATCACCAACGAGCGGCGGCGACATGGGACGACTCATGCCAACGTCGGACTGGAGTCCATTCACGCCATAGCCCTGAAGCTGTTGCCAGGTCGCTGTCACGCGAGAGCGGAGATCAATTACCCCCTTCTGCATGCCATCGATAGCCTCGACGAACTCAAGCTCCAGAGCCTGACGACGCTGTTGGCGTTCCTCCCTCGCCAACCTGCGGATTTCCCTCCCGTTCTCCTGCATCATATCACGCTCGGATGACTGCAAGCGCTCCAACTCCGCGTTAAGCCGAGCTTTCTTCGCAAGCAGCTTGTCTTTGCGTGCCATGATTATGGTTTTGTCTCCTTCAACCTGATCAAGCTTGGTTCGGCTAAGCATGCGGGCATTCTTAACCTCCTCTTCAGCTTTTGACAAAGTCGCCATCTCTGCTTCCCATTCCTTTTTCTTCATGGTCCAGTTCTCAGACACCTCCTTATGCTCCGCTTCGACGTGAACTTTCTCCTGTTCCATCGCAATCGCTTCGTCCTCAGTTCTCCTTACAAACTCCCTCAAAAACAAAACCCGTCTCCAGGCACGCTCGTCACCCTTATCGCCGTTACTAACCCGGTTGCGAAGGGTATCGATCTCAGATCGAAGGGAAGACAGGTGCTTGGAGTTGTCGCGTCGCACACGACGGAGTCGTTGTCGGAGATCTTGGAGAGACGCGCTTGCAGTTTCGACAGTGGATAATAGAGTGGTTAGGGGTGAGAAGGGACGGGCGGGCGCCTGAGGTTGGCTCTGTGCCAGAGCAGCCTGCTTAGGCGATGTACAGATGCTGGCTCTGCAAATCAAATCGTCCTCGAGCGAAATCTCAAACTCATATTCCGTAACAGACGCCAACCCAGAGACGCGAATGAGCCACACGGAGCCGTCTTTCTCAGCCTGTGCATATTCTTCCTGTTCAACGCCATTACCTTCATCGCCCTCATCCCCATGAATATTCTGAGCCGTGCGAGTCAAAGGTTCGAATGTCGTTTGAGTCCAAAGAATGCCATTCACACGCACAGTAAGTGGCGGATGCTCTTCCCTGTACCGATCGCCAAATGAAATAGAAAAGGATACACTTCCAGAATCGATGGAGGTGACCCACACAACCTCTTCATTAGATGATGGACTCTCTTGTGGTCGTAACTCGGCTTCTTTGGCAGCAAACACCAAAGCACCGGCAATAACGTTCCACAATGGCATAGACCGAAGTGACGAACCCTTCTTCTTCTTCGAATTTGTAGTGGTAACTTGCAAATTGTTCGTTTCAATGTCCTTTTCCTTCTTCCCGTTATTAGATGTAGTAGATGCAGCGTCAACCGACCCATCAAGAATCCAACGTCGTAAAGCACGCATGACTCCCTGCCCAACCACATGTACCGCGATGGCATCCTGAATCCATGTAAATGCACCAATCTGCTGACGCATGCCTGGAGCATCAAATGGAGTAGTACTCATTAGCCATCCCAGAGCGCTGTCCGTGGGCTGGATAATGGTGGTCATTCTGTACGGCATCTTCGACCTAGCAATCCGAGCTCCGCCCACAACACCCGCACACATGGCAGCAGCCCTGAATCCTCCACCTCCCAAAGCAGTTGCAATGACTGCTTGCGCCAAGTCCACGATGAAACCGCGAGCCTGAGGCAAGAGGAATGCTGATATGAGAGCGACTGACGCGTCAGCGAGGAGGACGGTGGGCAGCGAAGGCGGTGCGCTTGTTCCCTGGCTGATGAAGTTGCTGGTGGCACTTGCAGAAGAAGAAGCATTGGGCGCCACAAACATAAGACAGGCGAACAAAAGATGGAGCGTAGTGAGTAAGGTTGCGGGAAGGTGTAGGAGGAGGATCAAAAGCGCGAGCGAGTCGAGGAAAGGATGAGGCGTAAGAAGAGCTTCACGCTTCGTCGAAGCAGAGGAGTAATGGAACTTCTGATTGTCATCTGAAGCATTCGGGACAACGCTGATAGTGCAATTACCGTTGTATGTTGGATCGGAGTAGTCATTGGCGTCCGTGCCGTCGTGATCGTGCAGAACCACAGCATTCGTCTCATCCACCGAGGACTTGCGAGAGGCGTTCTCCGAGGTGGGTGTAGAAGGTGCACTGGACTGCCGAACCTGCTGTTTCGCATCGGCGGCTGTCCGACGACTTCTTGCGGAAGCCGCAGAGGCCTGACCATTCGAAGCGACAAGGCGCTTCAAGGCCAAGCTGCGATTTCCCATGGATCTCTTTCGATGCAATGGATGGTTCTATTGGGCTCTCATAGCCACTCCTTCGTCGTTCTTTGTTGTTCAGTAAAGTCGGTGCTTTCGAGCGAAGCTACCTCCCGCCGTCGTGCCTGAACACTTTTTGTGCGGCCGCGTACGTCCAGCAGGCATGTATATATATACAAACAGCTCGAAAGATTGATACAGTCAACCATTTGCAAAAGGCAGAGAACGATCAGGTATGCTCCATTGTCGCTGCTCGTAACTCTCATCCTGACAGCCGACCGACAGGATCGCCCACATAATACAGCCCAAGATGCTCTTCAACAACGTCAAGCGTGCGGCAACTTCGCCCATGCTCTCCAGCACCTGCCAGCAAACCCGCACTTACGCTGTACAACGTACTGCTCTGCCACGCTTGTTCCCGCAGACTGTCGTCCTTTCCAACGGAGCGACTGTCACTAGAATGACCACCTCACCTAAACCATCGTACCGTCTAGTTCGTGACAACCGCAACAACCCGCTCTGGAACCCCCATATGAACTTGGCAAACCGATCAGACGAGTCTGGCCGAACGGCATTGTTCCAGTCTCGTTACGGATTTGACTTTGGTGGAGCAGAGGAAGAAGGGGAGGACTCTTTTGCGGACTTGCTTGTGGGTGGTGTTGAACCACTCAAAGGAAAGGAATACCAAAAGAAGAAGAAGGGCAAGAAATAAAGGTGGGAATTATTCTCTAATGGCGTTATCTGGGTTTTGTTTCTGCATGTGGAATTTGTACTTCTGGGTTCAGCCTTTGAAAGAGAAAACCATATATCCTGCCTATCAAGAGCGTCGACGTATCGACAAGATTGTTCACCATGACCTGATTATTCTGCAACTTCAGCCCGCCGTTCGTCTTGGTTTGTGGAGGTTTGCTGCTCTTCAGAGACACCGTTCCTGTCTCCGACCGACTCGTGTTGATCCTGATCTTCCCGATCCAGATATGTCAAGTAGGTTTCCCAGCCTTCGATCAACTGATGATGTTGTTAGCTTTGTCAAATGTGCGGTTCTGTGGAAACTTACAGCTTTCTGGCTCTCTACCGCACTTTCTAAGAAAGTCTCAACACAGGTCTTGAAATCCTCCACTTTCTCCTTATCGAAGCGTTCGAACTCGGTCTTGAGAAGCTTGCCCACTTCCTCGAACTCCAGACGCAGTTGATTGCATTTTCGCTCAGACTCCACCAGCTCGTCACCCAGCAGAGAAAGACGGTCTTGCTGCGTACGACCTTGTCTCTTCAACTTGTCCACACTCGAACGCTTCTTAGTCAGATCTGACTCCGCGGTTTGCCATGAGATGTATGCTTTTTGTCTGGCCTGCAGGGCCGTCTTGATCGAACCACACAGGCGGACATATTCTTCCACAGTGTTACCCATAGTAAGAATATCTTGCTGGGCCTGTCGTTCGTACAACTCCTTGATGCGAATTTGCAAGTCAGATAATGCAGCCAACGAGTTGCCCAATTCCCGATCCAGCTCCGTAGATGACAACGACGACAGCGAATTGCCAAACTCGTAGGTTGCTCCAGCCAAGTCCTTCCTCTGCCTCACAACACCATCGATTGCTTTTGATAAGACCTTCAACTGATATTCCATCACCTCCAACCAGTTCTTCTTGTCCTCGAAGTACTGATCCTGCTCCACGAACTTCACACCTGCACCGGACAGAAATGCGCCCATGAAACCCTTGCTTTCACTCGTTGCAGCCCTTTCCTTCTCCTTGTGCTTCACATCCACATTGAACGTCTCGGACTCCAGAAACAGCTTGAAGTCCGGGTCCCGGTGGAGCACAGGATGTGCAGCAACTTTAACGAGCATTCTCTCGAGCGCATGCCGTCTTGCTTCGACGAAGTCCTCATCGAACCGTCCGACGGCCTGCTTCTCAGGCGGCGCCGGTACCATAACACCTGGGTTATTCGAGTTCAGCTTATCGAACAGCCACAAGAAGTCGCGATAACGCCTCATTACGGCAAATTCGGGAACCTTAAACGCGCTCGAAGTCGTCTTTGTTCGGACTTTATACACTGTATGACTGCTGGTCAAATCCCCAATCTTTTGCGGGTCGCCGACGCTGATGTCAAAGGACGGCTTGGCAGCTTGTTCCAGCGGGATGTGACTTGGTTTGCTAGTTGGCACCGCAGGCTCTGGAGCTGATCGACTATAGCTGTTTTCTCTGGAGAGACCAGGTACTTCTTGCGCCTCACGACTCGGGCCCGCATTACTCTGCAAAGCCAACGCGTCAATCTCCTGGCGAACCTGATCCGTCCGAGATGGTCTGGAATCCCTTGTCGGCAACGATGCTGTAGGCGAAGAATCTTCACTCAGAGGTCCTCCACCTAGAGGTCCAAGCGGTCCCGCGTCGAGGTCAAGGACTACACTCTGGGTCATGCGACCGCCCGGCGTGCGACGGCTAGACGGTGTAGGACGAGAAACAGGCGAGGCTGGAGCTTCGCGTTCAACTGGCTTGGGCGCATGTTCTTGAGGCTTCACTGGACTTAGTTCTGTATATAATGGATCAGTAAATGCCTTATGGATGCTGCAGAGATCGTCGTACCCGGCGATGAAGAGGCCGCCTTGCACGGTTCGGGAACTTCATGGCGTGGAGTCTTCGGTGACGAGTCTGCGAATGGATTGGACAAAAGCTCATCGAAGCCGACTGAGTCAAAGCCATGCTGACCGTTTGATGACATCTTGAGGATTATTTTGCACGATGATGTTGACAGCTGGTCGGTATCGATGCACCTCATGTGCTCCGTCGGTCGGCGTTGACGTGCGTCAGCGGGGAAACTACGAACCGCATTCAAGCTCAAGGCGGAAAGCAGAGGGAAGCGAGTCGACGTTACAGGGCTTCGTTTGCTTTGCGATCATCAAGATTACCATCAGTACTCCAAAGGTTCTTAGTTGCACTTCTCTATCTGATGTACAGGGTGTCGGGCGTCAGTGTGGGAAGGAGGCATGCAGAACTCGCTGACTTTCACTACTTATCGATATTGTACCACTCTTCAATCTCGAGCTCTATCGTACACTTCCCAAATCCATCTTCATCTTGCCGCCACCTTGGCTCTCATATTCCTCGCCATCGCCCACATCAAAATTGTGTACCGTGTGAAGTGCTCCTTAGCATAGAAGAGGATGGCCTGAGTCAAGACCGCCTTGTAGATTTGCGCATCAAGACCACGATACCAACCCTTTAACCCATCCCTCTTCAATACCTTCTGCAGCACCGTAATGGCGTTTTCCTTTTCCTGCAATGTGCCATCCACCAAAGGGTTCGCTGCCTCTGCGTATGACTTGCCGGAGGTGACTGGCGAGTGCTTACCCGCTCCAGCCTGCAGCCTGACCTTTGCCATAATGTAGGGATACGTAACAATCGTCGCAATCGCCTTGCTAATGGCTCCGACGACAAAGGCTTGTCCTGGCGTCAACTTTCCTCCAGTGTTCCCATACAACGACTCCCGAACCTTCTCAAAGAACCCATACGTGATAGCAGGGTTAACACACAAAACCAAACTTGCCCCAAGTCCCTTCCACAACCCAATCACCCCATCACTCTGCACGATCGTCCGACAAGTCGCCATCAAGTCCTGCCTCCTCGACGGCGGGAGAGTCTGCTGCAGCGTAGTAGCAACATTAACCGGGATTGTAAAGATCTGGGCAATTGCACCAGCGAGTGCTCCGACCGCCAAATCAGCCGGGATGCTGAGCTTGCCGTCGGTGGAGAAACGCTTTGCGGCATGGGTCTTGAAGAGCGTGTGGAAGTAGAAGAAGACCATGCTGGTCGACGCATTCCCGATCAACGACCCGAAGAGTCCGGCGTACGCTTCTGATGGGGATTTGATCAGATCCAGAACTGCAGCGACGGTGGACTTGGCTTTTGGTTTGCTGGTCGCTGCGGTGTCGTCCTCACTATCTTTCGCGACTTGGGTGCGGGTCTTGACGCTATCACCACAACGTTAGCAACATTTCATGATAATAGAGCAGTCAGACATACACATCTAACGGGTAGACACAGATATTTGCGAACACCGTACCCAGAGCTCCCGCGAGGGCGTCTCCGACGGGAGGAAGAGAGGGGTGTTGCTCGATGGAAAGGACAGCCATCCTGTCGGTTTACGTAGATTCGATCTTGGATCCTGTGTGATGGATATTAGGTCTTCGAGAGGTTGAAGGACGGTTATAAAAGAGATCAAGTACTGCGGGGAGGGTGCTTGCTCGAGGAGAGCCGTCAGTGGCAGGCGGGCCAGCCGATGCGGGGTACTTCCGTGAACGTTACCGTAACGCGAGATACCGGTCAGTACCAGCCGGATGGGCGGATTTGTAAGTGATAGAAAACGACTCTCAATGCTTCTATTATTGAAGATCATGACCTCATGCTACGTCTATACCTCCTTTCGATGCCAAGACGAGCCCGCCTCTACCGACAATCACATAAACTCCAACCCAACCCCAACCTGCACCCCCTTCCTCACACCCTCCCCCCTCCTAGCCACAACCGGCAACACAAAATTCGCCTCAACCCTCAACGGCTGTCCAAAAGTCTCTCCAGCCCAAACTATGCCCGCGCCCATACTCACACTCGGTCTCGTCACCAACTCTGCCACAGTTCGGGGGACAGAGCGAGAGGGGTCGAGTGCGAGGAGTGAGCCGCCGTCGAGGAAGGTTTGGAGACGAAGGCCGTGATCTGAGGAAGTGTTCAGAGGGAGTTTGGTTTGGAGTCCGAGGCCGAAGGCGAGGTAGATTTCTCCGCCGACCGAATCACCACGCTGATGTGGTCCTAGTCCCGCTTCCCGGAATCCCCGCACATTACTCGGTCCACCCAGATGGAATCGGTCTTGGACTTTTGTTGACCCCTTCAAGCCGTAGATACATCCCGTGCGAAGACCGAGAGTTGCGGATGTTTGTGAAGGGTGGTGGAGGAGGTTGGCGGTGGAGGTGTGGAGTTCGGTTTTGAGGTGATGTGCGTCACCACCCAAGGGACCCGCACCAGCCAACTCGGCCAATGTCCGGACGGAATAGCCGGATGTTGGGAGGAGGTCGTTGTCGTGGGTCGATAGGGAGTACCGGTGGACGAGTGATGACTTCAAGGAATCACCAGCGGAGGATTTGACGATCGGTGATGCCGTAGGGAGTAGATTCGTCAGCGTCCGCCACGTCGCTTCGTATCCAAACTCATGCCGTGCGCTGCCTGGTACCGGATCCTGGTGCGTCCACAATAATTTGACTCCGCGCTGTAACTCCTTATACGACATCTGCACCCTATTATCCCGATGCGACGAGAACCCTGAGAGAGAAACTCGGGTGTCCGGTGACGCCTTCCATGGTGCATCAAGTTTCACCTCGTACGCATTTCGAGACCGATTCCCAATCTCCGCTGCCACTGACAACTCCTCCGCACCGCCCAACAGGTGTCCAACACTCACCCTCGCCCGTGCCGAGGCATCTGATCCAGACAAATGAGTCGAAGGCTGTATTGATACACGTGAAGATGATTCTGTGAGGTGTAGTGTTGCGTCGACATCGTGGATATGGGCTAGCGGGCTTTCGGCTCTGTCGAGAGATATTGAGATATCGTCAAAGATACCAAACCGTTTCAGGCAATCTGCGGTTTCTTGTAGTCGATCCAGGGAGGACTTTAGGCATTCGTCTGATTGTTGGGAGTTGAGGATGGGTTGGAGGACTTGTTCGAGAAATGCTGGGCGTGTTCGCTCGGTTCCGGCAATGCGGATCGAGGAGATGTTGACGTAGAGAGAGGAGCTGTCGGTGACGATCTCTCGTAGCCCGGCAGCTGCTTTCTCGTATCGCTGGCGTTGCTGTTCCCGTATTCTGGCTTCACGCTCCGCGGCTACATCTATATCCTCCAACGTCTTCAACTCCGCATCGAACGACAATGGCGACCTTGGAGATTCTGGCGGCACAAGCTATCAATTCTCCTCGATCAGCGACGGCCTCGGTGCAAACGGTAGACACAACGTACAGGCTCATCCAGGAAGCCTGGAATCGACATTTTCCGACACTTTTTCGGACTTGATGGAATTTCGGATCCGGGGTTCGTCGGCTGCACCCTCATCAGGCACCGTCGCATGAACCGCCTCGCAGCGCTCCCGTACACCACCAACCCCGACGACGGTTGCTGTTTGGACCCCAGCATTCATTGTTGACAGTCGCATTCATCCTCACATTCACAGCCCAGTTGATTGTCATGGCCCAGAATCCGGCTGCTGGAGCCCCGCCGGGCCAGTTCTCCGCTGGGGAGTTGAACAGGATTGTCCTCGAGTACGTCGCACACATCCTTATACGTCGAAACTGAAGCTGATCTTATGCAAAAGATATCTCAATAAGAAGGGGTACACTCGTACGGAGGCCATGTTGCGCGTGGAGGCGGAGGGAGGCAGAGCATCAGAAGGTCAAGACGCGTATGAGCGCGCATATAAAGCTCTGAGAGACTTTGCAGATGAAAGTCTCGACCTGTACAAGGTTTGTTAGCTACCTGCGACGCTCATGCGGTAGCTGACGTTTGACAAACAGCCCGAATTGCGACGAATTCTCTATCCCGTCTTCGTTCACTCCTACCTCAATCTCATCCAAAAGGGCTACGTCGAAGCCGCGAAAGCATTCTTCGACAAGTTCTCGAATGAGCATACAATCCAGCATCAATCAGATCTCACCCGGCTTCGTGCCGTAGTACTGCCAACACATCTCGATACAGACCCTCTAGCAAAGCTCTACAGATCAAACAAATACCGATTGCGGATGAGCGAAACAACCTATCACCTCCTAACAAACTACCTCACCGAAAACGAAGCAAGCAACGGAAATGTCAGCATGGGCCTCATCAACGCACACGTCGCGATCGACCGCGTCGCAGGACGTCCAGGTACAGGCAGCGAAGAAGGCGAAGAAGGAATCATCGGGCTCGGTGGGGGGGCAATAGACGACTTCAACGCACAAGCTGTCAAGCTCGGTCCATTCCCCATGGACCCAGAACTCGTCAAAGATGTCGAATCAGAACTACGGATGACCGAAGCGGACCTCCTACCAGAATTCATGCGCGTCAAGCAGGAAGGAAGCGAGGACTCGCCCATGCGCGACAACATCCCTCTACCACCCCACAAAGGCGCCGATGTTCGCGCCGAAGTCGAGAATCTCCGCGAGATTCGGAAACGAGTCCGTCTCGGCCCACAAGCAGCAAAACCGAGTGTATGCATCTATACCTTCCACAACACCTACGACGGCCTAAATTGCGTTGACTTCTCCGAGGATGCGTCATTGGTAGCTGGTGGGTTTGGCGAGAGTTACGTACGGGTATGGAGTTTGAAGGGTGAGAAGCTCGTCGGGGCACAAGCCAAGTACGGCGGGCAGCACCCCGAAGACGGCCTCTCAACACGCCGAATGATCGGGCACTCCGGTCCCGTCTACGGCGTCTCGTTCTCCCCGGATTCAAAATACCTCCTCTCCTGCTCCGAAGACAAGAGCGTAAGACTATGGAGCATGGACACATACTCCTCCATCGTCGCATACAAAGGCCACACACACCCGGTATGGGACGTCAAGTTTAGTCCCTTTGGGCATTATTTCGCCACCGCGAGTGGAGACCAGACCGCGAAATTGTGGAGTACGGAGCATATCTACCCACTCAGGATTTTCGCGGGTCACCTCAGCGACGTGGATACCGTCTCGTTCCACCCCAACTCCGCGTACGTCGTCACCGGATCCTCCGACAAGACCTGCCGACTGTGGGACGTCCAGCGCGGGTCCGCGGTTCGGGTATTCACAGGCCATACAGGTGGCGTACTCGCAACCAAAATCAGTCCCGATGGAAAATGGCTGGCGAGTGCGGGCGAGGACGGCACGATCAAAATCTGGGATATCGGGAGTGGGAAGAAGTTGAAGGATATGCGGGGTCATCAGCGGGGGTACATCTACAGTTTGGATTGGAGTCGGGATGGGGCTGTGATTGTGAGTGGGGGGAGTGATAATACTGTGAGGGTGTGGGACGCCAAGAAGAATACACCGGTGGAGAAGGAGGAGGGTGTTGTTAATGGTACGCCAATAAGCGGACCCGATATGACCAGGAACATGAATGGAACGGGAGGAACAGCGGGAGGAGCGGGTGGGAAGGATGGAAAGATGTTGGAGACGAGTGACCATATGGCGGCTTTTGGGACGAAGAGGACGCCGGTGTATAAGGTGCATTTCACGAAACGGAATTTGGTGTTAGCTGCGGGAGCGATTACGAATTAGTAAAGGAAGAGAGAGAACGGGGTATCTTGGTATGCTATCCTCACACACAAAAGTGCACTGCCTACTTGTTATCCTTGGGAATTTCACGCTTCTCCAGAATCTTGTCAACGAGTCCGTGCTCTACAGCATCCTCCGCAGACATCCAGAAATCCCTTTCCAGCCAGGAATTGATTTCCTCCAAAGACTTATCCTTCGTCAAGTGCTTCTTATAGATCCCGTTTAATTGATCCCTCGTTCTCAAAATCTCCTTTGCATAAATCGCAATATCCGAACTCTTACCAGCGGTCCCACCAGATGGCTGATGCACCATTACCGACGCATTCGGCAACACAAACCTCTGCCCCGGGGCTCCCGCCGTCAACAACAAACTGCCCATACTCGCCGCTACACCCACGCAAAGCGTACGAACGGGACTCGAGATATACTGCATGGTATCATAGATCGCTAATCCCGCGCTCACACTCCCACCAGGTGAGTTGATGTACATCGAGATCGGCTTTTCCGGGGCCTCTGCTTCGAGGAAGAGGAGTTGTGCGATGATAATGGCGGAGAGGTCGTCGTGGACTTCGCCGTTTAGCATGATGATGCGTTCTTTGAGGAGGCGGGAAAAGATGTCGAAGGCGCGTTCTGAGCGGCCCTGTGAGTGATCATCGGATTAGCAGGTGGTCAATGGGAAGAGTCATGGAAGAAGCAAGTACGGTGTTCTCGATGACGATGGGGACGTTCATGAAGCTGTTGATTGGGGCATGTTGGGAGGTTAATGCTCGACGTGCGAGGCCTCTCGAAGCGGTTGTGAGGAGTCTTGGGATCATCGTTGTTCTTCTTGGCGGTGAGGTTTGGACGAGTGATTCGTGCGATGCAGGCACGCGTCAAGGAGGGAGGAGGGAGGAGGAAGGTGTACTGATAATCATTGTTACCATAATTACAAGATGTCAGCCCTGAGATACGAAGTGAAGCGAGTCTACAAAGAGGTACGGACTGTGAGGAATCTTCCATCATATATGATGGGTTAACCACATTTGTACAGCTCCTGTTTCTCGGCAGAGAATACCCATTGGGGTATGAGCATTATCGATCACGATTACATGATGCGTTTATGAAGAAAGCGAGGTTGAGTGATGAGGGTGAGATTCAGAAGGGGCTTGAGTTTGCGGAGTTTTTCAGAAAAGGTGAGGTTATGTGTCGGTGTTGCGGATGTTGCTGTTAACCATGGGATATGTAGAGGTGGAAACATTGTATTACCTGAAGCGGTACCGAACCCTGAGGAAACGATATGTACCTGGTGCTTAAAGAGGAGGATGTGTGCAGCATTTGTGTTATGTCATTGGCGTTCAGGAGTTTGGACTATTTGTATTACCCAGCGGGATCTCATATATCTTCATCCATCTATCGATATCTTGTCTTCTCTCATTTCTCACCCTTCAGTTCGCCGCATCCTCCGAGTACAAATCACCCAACTTATCCGCATAGTAGTGCGGCACAATGGGTGCATCATCACCCTGGATCTCCTCCACCTTGCTAACACCAGTCAACACCAACAACGTCCCACCCAATCCTCCCCCCAAACCAAACTGAATGTCGGTGTTGAGACGGTCACCGACCATACACGCCTTGCTTCTGTCGAACTGGAATTTGGACGCAATGGCATCCATCATGGACTGGTTTGGCTTACCCAACGCCGTAGCTTGACGACGTGTAGAGTACTTGAGCGGCGCGGCAATCGATCCCGCACCAGGGAACAGCTTGCCGTGAGATGGATACGTCGAGTCATCATTCGTCTGCAAGAACAGCACATTGGGGTCCTGCAAGTACGCATGCGCCTTCGCGAGCTTCAAGTAATTCACATGCGTATCCAACCCACAAAGCACAGCCCCGACCTCCGGATCAGGCCCAATTGCATCATAATCCTCCGGAGAGATCGCTCGTCTCTCCTCGGGGTCGGTACCACCACAGTATCTGACACCCTCGCTTTCCAACTCCTCTTCGATACCGCTCTCGCCGAGGACGTAGACTTTCTTGTCTTTGGGGAAGTTGAGGACGCGGTTGATGTAGACAGCGGCGGAGTAGGCAGAGCCGAAGATGTCGTTGACTTCAGCTGGGATGCCCATGGAGTCAAGCTTCTTCTTGTAGGCGGCGCGGGATTTGGTGGAGTTATTCGTCACGAAGACGACTTGCTTGCCTGAAGAAACATGTCAGCGCCCTTCCTCTCGAATATGTACGACATTGTTGTCTACCTAGCTTCTTCAACATGGCAATAGTCTCCGCGACCTTAGGCAAGAGGGTGTTCCCAGACCACAGGACACCTGCGTTATTTATCAGTATTTGCTCATCAAATGGTTGCAATAGAGGCTGGTCGCACCATCGCAGTCGAAGAGGAAGACATCGAACTTGGCAAGGAAGGTGTCTGCCTGCTCTTTTGTAGTGATCTTCTGCGCCTTGGTCGTCATCTTTGAAATATGGTTGCTCGACGTATATCGCACTCCGGCACAGCACTGCTGGGACGTCGGACGTCGACATGCAGCTGCCGAAGCCGGCCCCGAAGTGCCGTGGGACGACGTACACAGTTGGGCGAGGAGCGAGAATGAGTGAAGAATGTATATCGACCTTTTTGTATCTACAAAAACAACAACGAACGTCCAACCGACGACAAATTACAATGACCGCTCCAGCATAGCAGAAACCAAATAGGGGGAATACGAAGCAAAACGTTAACAGACGCAGCAGATCCCGCGTGCAGCGTCGAACGAAAAAATAACCGAGGAAAGATCAAGATCATAGCTGGCGCAAAACCCATCATCGCCAGCCGTAGAAGACTATGTACGGATAAAAACCAATCCATATACCCTCTCGTTCATCACCTTATCTTCTGGCACCACCACGGGTCTCCTGTCGACTCGTTCTCCTGGAACTCTCGCCAAAGTCGGGTGGAGGAAGAGTCTTGGTCTCCGCCTGTTTTTTGAACTTGAATTCAGCCATGATGCCAATGTGATCACTCGGGAAGTGGGCATTGGGGAAACCGACGACGCGCTCCAGGTATGATTCATCGACACCACCCAACAAGCCCTTCACTTCCAGTGCGTTGGTAGTGTACCAGATGTAATCGATTACACCAGCGAAACCAGGCGTGTAGTTCGTGAACTGCATATCATGGTTCGCGTAAGCAGACTTCATCGCGAAAGGATGCGTGATACCCTCAGAAGTAAGGGCACCATAGGCGGACTCTCCGAAATCTGAGTGGTCTGCAGTTGCGATACCCTTCGACAAATACTCGTACACACCAGACGTTGCAATGGAGTTGAAATCACCACAGATGATCAAGGGGATCTTCGTGCCATTAGAGTACTTCGGCGGATCCCACTCACCCTCGTGGTTTGTAGGTCGTGCTCGTGGAGGAATCTTGGCATATTGCGTAGCCAAGCGGTGAATCTCGTCCATCATAAGCGCAACCTGCACGAGCTTAACATCCTTGAATCGAGGATCCCAGTGGATATGCGCATTCACTGCGATAACTCTCCCGCCCGTCTTCTTGTTCTCCAACAATGTAACAGTGGCGATGTTGTCCTTGTTTTGCACACGATCGAAGAAATCGTCCGTCTTCTTGAAGTCGTCACGAGACATCGCGATCTGCGAAAACTCAATCAACTTCTTGTCAAGAAGGTCAAAGGTAGTGGTCTTGTAAAAGGTCGCGCAACCATCGACTGTTCTGCGCTCCTCTTCCCGCATAGTCTTCGCACGACCCTTCGGCCAGAAAACACCCTTGTACTCGGCGTATGCAAGCTGGGGTGCAAAGTAATCCTCGTAATTCTGGATGTCCACCTCTTGCAAACAGACAATCTCCGCGGCATAACTCATCACCTCCTGAAGAATCAATTCCTTGCGGTAGTCCCACGACAACGCCCAGCTAGGAGTATATCCGTACATAGTAGATGTAGCATACTTGTCGCAGAGGATGTTGTAACAGAAGACATTGAAAGAGTCGATGCCATGCTCGGGTGTCCGCTTCTCGGCGTCATCCGAGGCGTCTGATTTCTTATCTCCGATATACCATTGTCTTTCTGGAGGAGGAAGGGGCACTGTTCACGCGATTAGCAATCTATTCGGGATGGAAGCCTCGGCGTCATACCAGGACATGAGTCACGAAGGTACTTGATAAGCCCGACGGTGCCGTCCTTGTAGATGAGACTCTTTAACTGCTCGTTCAGTGGGTTTCCTTCGATTCCGATTGTCTTAAGCTGGTAGAGTGTTCCCAGCTCTGCAGGCAATGTCGTCAACTGGTTGTCCACCAAGAATAGCTCCTTCAAATTCGTCAACATTCCCAACTCCACCGGCACACTCGTCAATTGATTTCCGCTAACATCCAACTGAGTCAGAAGTTTCAGTTGCTTGATATCAGGCGGAAGCGATGTGAGTTTGTTGTGGTTGATGTAAAGCTGAGTGATGAAGGAGTACTTGAACAACTCCTGCGCCAGGTTCCTCGTGCCAACACCGCCCAAATCCAACGCACGCCATTCCTGTCGCTTCTCCGATCCATCCTCGCTTGGCATCTCCTGCGCCTCCTGCGTCGGTCCATCCTTGCGGTGCAACCCATTGATGATTGGCTGAGAAGGGTGGTTTGGGTCGGTAATCGTAACAGCAGCCGAAGGGCGCGATCCAGTACGAGCAGTCTCAACAGAGACCTTCGCATGGTGATGAATGCCGCTGGATTTGCGCGAAAGGGATGCGATCTCGAGTTGCTCTTGCTGGAACGGTGTCAAAGGCTGTGCGTTCTGCAAAGTGGGTGTACTGTGTTGTTGACCGACATGATTACCTCCTCCGTAGCCTCCGCCCCCAAAAGACGAAAATCCGTGATGATTATCATTACCTCCAGGCGTGAACTTCGGTCCAAGGTTCATCATAGGGTGCCCTTGACGACCGTAGCCAAACCCAGGCGATTGGGCATTGGGCAGGATGTGGTCATGCGTCGGTGAGGGCGTGTTTGTGTTTGACCGAGATGGTCCTCGAGAGTTGTTAGGCTGAAAGAGCCGCTGAAAAGGAGCATACTGGGGCTGGAACCCGCCATTCAGTATCCTGTCTGAACTGTCGGCCATAGAATATGGGATTGTAAAGAAGGACGTCTATGAGGTAGTTAATAGGAAGTCCGTCGTTTCGACATCCACGAATCGTATAAGACTGACGGTCCGTACGCGTCCTTCGAGAGGTCAATGCGTCCAAACGTCCTCGGGTCGTGTTGTCGGCGCAGATGGGTGCAGCCAGGAGCTGGCCGGAGCGATCTGAAAGCGAATTGCGTTGATGAAAGGAGGTCGTTTCGTATCAGCGGCAACGAATATGTGGTCAAGAAGCCGAGCAAGCTGATATTTCTTTCGTTCTTGATGCTTCTGTGCAGTATTCGAGGCTGGTTAGATCGCGCCTGGGCTACGAAACCGGCGCAGAGACGACCAGCTGACGAGGTGGAAGTTTCTCGACTGCCAGCTGGGAGGCCAGCGAATGAACTTGTTATCTTTTATTCCGGTCTGCAAAACTACGCACCGAGTGCCATGTATACATCCGTTCCACGGCATTCGACTCTTAACCCCTGGTCCGTCGTCGTCGGGTGTTGGAGGTCCTCGTACTCCCTACGTCGGAGCCATCGTCGTCGGGTGTTGGAGGTAACCTAAGTAAGGGTTGGTCGACATTGGTTGCAATGCCCGACCACTGTTGCTTCTCTTCTGTCAGACGTAACTTGTAATTCCCACGGTTGACCTCAACGTACTCGCTGGGTAAAAGGCGATTCATCCGCTTCGTTTACCAATGCACTGGCGCTCTCTCCGAACGTCCGGTCTCAAGAGTTTCACTATGGCTTTTGGGGTGTGATATGTGCTGAACAGCTGTTGGAGCATTGCAGCTTCACACGGCAACAAATAACAATCGCGAAGCCAAACCGACCTTGTTTCGGCACAGATGATTCGAAGCCGAAGGACACCGAGCAATAGCTGTAATACTGTAAGACAAGGTAAAAATCATGCTCAATTGCCCTTCAAATACCGATATATTCCCATACACGTCATGTACCTCTGTGTATGACGTGATCGCGCGTACGGCCAGCGTCGCTGCGGGGGATCGGTTGAATAGGCCCGCTGAAACTGAATCCCCGGCCAACGCAACGACAGGATCACAACCCATTGCAATTGCAGTTGATCCAACCATGTCAGCTGAAGGAAAGAACAGGATCATTCTGGGGATGATGACCTTCGGGCCCGAGGGCACGTCAGGTGCTCGAGTCTACACCGTCGAAGGAACGAACACTGCCCTCGAGAAGTTCAAGAGCCTCGGCTATGACGAGCTCGATACCGCCCGTGCATACTGTGAAGGGAAGCAAGAGTCCTATACGAGGGAGTGCAAGTACAAGGAGAAGGGATTCAAGGTTGCTACGAAGGTCTATCCCGTTAATGCAGGAGATCACTCTCCCGAGAAGTTGAGGGCGACCTTTGAGACAAGTTTGAAGGAGTTGGGTACGGACAAGGTGGATATCCTTTATCGTAAGTATGTTGCAGCTTGAATGATGTTACACTACTGACAGAGCTCTTTCTGTAGTGCACGCTCCCGACTGGTCTACTCCGCTCTCGCACACGCTGGAGGAGATCAACAAGCTGCATGAGGAGGGAAAGTTCACCACGTTTGGCCTTTCCAACTTCCAAGCTTGGCAGGTAGCTGAAATTTGCACCATGGCCCGCTTGACTGGATGCGTGCAGCCTACTCTATACCAAGCTATGGTATGTGCCAAATCTTAAACGATACCCGCACCTGCTGATCCCGACTCATAGTACAACGCCATCACTCGTGCCATCGAACCCGAGTTGATCCCATGTCTCCGCCGCTTTGGCATCGATCTCGTTGCCTACAACCCTCTTGCCGGTGGATTCTTCTCCGGCAAGTACAAGCAGGGTGAGAAGATCACCGAAGGCCGCTTCACCGAAGGTGCCAAACAGGGTGAGATGTACCGTAAGCGTTACATCCAAGACCATTACTTCCAAGCTCTCGACATCATTCGACCTGTAGCTGACAAGAATAATCTTACTCTTCTTGAGGTTGCGCTGAGGTGGATGGTGCATCATTCGCAATTGAACCTTGCTACGTCTAAGGTTAAGGGCAATGATGGGATTATCATTGGTGCGAGTAGCATCGAGCATCTCGAGAGTAACATCAAGGATCTCGAGAAGGGGCCTTTGCCGGAGGAGGTGGTGCATGCTTTGGATGAGGCGTGGGAGGTGGTGAAAGCTAAGGCACCCGTGTATTGGCATGGCGAGCCGAGGAAGGATGTGAGGGAAGAGGAGCAGTAAATTTAGTTAGAGTGCGTAACCTAAGTTATTACAGCAGCTATACTTACGTAACGTGACATGAATAGCATATGCGAGTTGCGCCGCGCGGTACTAATTGCTTCAGATACCAAATACGGCCCGTTGTGCACAACAATCTCCTTGGGCATTCGGCTGTAGGAGACCTGGTGACATTGGAAACTTACCGGTGCGGACAGCAACCGTAACGAACGCGTCATTTGACGGTCGGCCTGACACGTTCCCGAGATGCCATACATCCACAAGTCCTTATTCTTCCCGCCAAGGCAATTCAACCTTCCTAGGCAGACGTACAAGGTGGTACGATGTTTTGCAATTCCCTACAGCTATTTCGAGATGTGCACGTCATGACTTGGAACCTCGCTCTCGAGCCTTGGCCGCGGGAAGAGCCTGCCAGCATGCTGCAACTGCCGCCATGCACGCCTATGCAACCATTCAGCACACCTCCAAACCTTATTTGCAACGACCGAGATGCTGCCATACTGTTGATCCAGGCATGAGCGATGCCACGCTCAGGATCATGCTGTCGTTTCGAGTCAATTCTTAGCTATGGCATGCCGGCTTTAGGGTAATACCTCTTTGCCCCCACGGCGATATTCCGCATCGAGTCTCACCTGTTTCCGAGATTAAACTCAAAACAGCCCCGGGACCAGGCATGTCCAATCACGGCACATTCTTTCGGATAGGGTCCTTGACCAGGCGTCAGGACCGCGTGTCAAATCATGGCAAGGTTTTACGGGGGTCTAATGAGGGGCATGTGAAGAGGAGTGTTGGGACACAAGTTCGAGAACCAGCACATAAAGAGGGTGTCGAGTACGACCTGATCCAATTGTTAGTCGGAGACCTGGGAGGATCCTTTGCTCGCTAAGCCATAAACATGCGGATCGTTTTGCTTATATGTGGTCTGCTCTGGATCACACCACTTGTGTGTGCTCAAATCTACCAAGGCAACGCAACGGCGGCGAGTACTCAATCTTCGACCCTTACTGCCGCAGCTGTGACGTCTGTCGAGAGTCCAGCTGCACAAAGTCCTCAGGTTGCTACAAGCGTATCCGCTTCACCCGTGGCGGCTTCGTCGAGTGACCCGCCGCCAGCGAATCCAGATTCTACCACAGTTGCTGCTGCTACAGCAGCTGCTAGCCCTACGGGGCAGGATACTACGCAGGGAGGTGGCGAATCACCGAGTACGACCAACAATGTAGTGACTTCTAATACGCCCACAACTTCCTCATCTGTCGCAGTACAGCGGATTTCTACTACGGCACCAGCGGATACTGGAACTGCACCAGTGACTTCCACGTCGACGCCTTCACCTGCGGCGGATCCGACTACGCCTTCAACCCCAACCCCGCCCCCAACCCTGGCACCGACAGCGACATCTACACCCGGCGCTGTCGACATTCCCGCTTCAACGGCAGATACAACTGCTATAGATCCGCCGGCATCACCTGCTTCCTCGCCTGATTCCTCCACCAGTATCATTCCAACAACAACTGCCTCACCAACGACAACTTCAATTGCAACACCTGCTGTGGCTACCCCTACTGACCCAAGCTCATCAAACGATGGTACGTATTTCTATCTTTCTTCTTGTAAATGACGGACATGGTCGCCGGATTATATGGATATTACAATAGCGACCAGCACGAGTCCGACCTCTTGACGTCTCGATCTAAGGCTGAACAACGTGCGGTTGCGTGCAGGGACGAGGACGAGTCCGAGTTTGAGTGCAGACCAAAGACTGCCGCCGACAACGACGACGAAGCCTAGTAGCAATGCGATTCCTCCTGATATTACGAGTGAAGTGTTCAGCACAGAACAAACTGTTCCCACCAGGCAAACTGTGGGAACGGTTACCACGAGTTCCTCAGCCAGGAGGCCCAGCACGACAGAAGCTACGGAGGTCGTCTCAAGCGCCGCCCCCCTTGTTGGTTCCCAGGGAACCGAGGCAGCTCCAACTCCAATCGAGAGTGCGAGTTCAACATCGGATTCTGTGAACGTGAGTGCTGGTGAATCGACAAAACCTTCGAGCATCGTGATTCCACCTGATGCCACAAATGCAGGGTCTATTGCACATCAGCCGGCCCCTACCGCTCAAGCTATGGGCACGGATACTGCCAGCTTTTCCGCGAGCGATTCGAGGAGTGCGGAAGTCGCGGAATCTGTTCCAGATTCTCCATCCAGTACTTCAAATGCCCTCGGGACAACTGCAGCCACCGTTGAGAGTGCGAGTCCGAATTCGGATACAGCAGCATTGACTAGCACCGGATCAACCCCTGTACCGCCAGCTGCAACACCGCCAGCAACTAGCACAATCGCTCCTGTTACGCCGGAGACGTCTACAGAGCAGACATCTTCGATCTTGCAGACAGTCGAATTCCCCACATCGCCAACTCTGACATCGTCAACAGCTACCTCTTCCAGCGCCGTGACGAGCCCTTTGTCAACGGAGACACCTGAAGCAAGCACTTCAGATGCCTCTACAAGTGCCTCCACCACGAACAGCCCTACGGCTCCGGTAATGGAAGGTCCTACTTCAGGCGAAGAGGGCTCTTCCTCCCCAACAGCTCCGTCAGCAGTTGTCGACTCAACGTCTCCGTCAGTTACTTTTACTACGGCCAGTTTCTCTGTCCAAGGAACCATGAGCATCACAGATCAGAGTATCACTCCGGTAGTTGTGCCGACCACTTCGCCTACTTCGTCAGGGCAGGACGTCATTGCAACTACAGGGGATACGTTACCGACTGAGAGTGACGCCGTTCCGTCCTGGACTACGTCGTTGTCTTCGAGTCACTCAGTTTCTACGACTGCTGCTTTGAATACTGCAGCTACACATTCGGAGAGCATCTCACAATCGTCTACACTGGATACAACCGTGCCGGCTGTGTCTTCTTCCGATACCGATACCGAGGCAGGTTCTACAGCGACGTCGCACGAAAGTTTACAGGAGCAAACGACGTCAGCCGTGTCTGAAGCAACTGCATCTCCTACAGTGAGCTCTGTACTTTCCAGTACTGAAGGCGTGACGTCCATCACTTCTGCATCACGAGGGCTTCTTACAGCTACAGGTACGGTTGATTCTTCAAGACCATCTGTTTCAGATACGACGTCAACGAAGACGCTGGTGACAACAAGTTTGTTTGTCTCAACCACCCCAAGCGCAGTGTCTCCTTCTACTCGGATTGACACTGCAACACCACCTGCCACGTCTGCAACGTCTATGGGAACGGAAACTTCAGCGCTACAGACGACAGCATCCTCGACGCTTACACCCACCACTGGAAGTCCTTCTGTCACCACAGAGACGTCGTCAGTACTGCAAAGTACAGACAGTGGGCCTTCTACAGGCAGCTCAGCAACAAGTTCGTTGACAGCGTCTGGCACGCCTGATACATCATCATCGTCCGTCATAACCACGACAGCGGCCGAGGTGCCTGTTACGCCCTCAACCTCAGGTTCGTCAACCACGAAGTCTCTCGTCATTACAGGTGCAACGACAACCTCTGCTACGCGGGCTGCATCATCTTTAACGTCTACGAGCTTAACAGCCGCTCCCGCGGACACCACTCCTCCAAAATCCACGACTGTTTCCGTCACATCTGCATCTGATACTTCTGCACCATCTTCATTGGACTCATATACTGAAAGCTCTTCTCTATTAGTAACAAGCACATCTTCCAGCAGCATGTCTCCGAGCAGCACTGCCAATACTGTGAACACAGGTAAGCATACATTTTTTATGTGGCGGGGACGAGAATTGAAACATTTACTGCCTTATTCAAGGTGCTGAGCGGGTGCTGCCATGAACAGAGGTGAACACAAGCGTGAGTACGAGCACGGAAGGGACATCGACGATCGAGACCACCTCGCCGAGTACCACCATTGTTGCAGACTCAACGACCTTTGCAACGCCTACACTGGCAGCCTCTTCAGATACAGCTGCTACGAACACTCCTACAAACGAGATATTGACAACGCAAGATCCTTCAACAACGGCAGAGACGAGCTTGACTTCAGAGACTGGGCCGTCTTCGTCCGTGAGTGCGGAAGGTGCTCCTTCTGACAGCAGTACGAGTTCTGGGCGAACTACGGATACTTCAAGCAGCAGCTCTGAAACTTCATCAACGCTTTCGTCGACAGTGGTACCAGCTTTACAGACCGCACCAGGTTCTGTCACTACATCATCGAGCACTGATGCGGCAGCAACGTCATTAGCAAGCGCCTCTTCTTCTGCCGTCGCAGTTGCCTCATCAGTGTCCTCAGCTGAAGAATCTGCTTCTTCGGCGTCCGCATCGCTGCAAGCTGCTGCCACGTCTCTCTCCTCCGAGAGGTCGAGTATTGCCTCGGAAGAAGCGTCGTTGTCGTCAACCGGAGCGTCTTCCGAACTGACGTCTGCATCCTCCATCTCGTCATCGCTATCATCAGTGTCTTTGTCCATCTCATCTGCGTTCTCTTCATTGTCTTCGGTCTCGTCCTCAATTTCTTCAGCATCCTCAAGTGTTGCTTCGGCGAATTCTTCCTTGTCCGCTACAGCTGTTCCTTCTGGTACCTCTGTGAGCGGTAAGTTGGCGAGGTTGACTGTGTTGGAGTGGAATCCCCAGCATGCGGCTCGGTGTTATAATATTCTGATAAAGAGACATGATGGCTAACACATCACAGGAACGACTATAGTACCCGCTGCGCCAGCCGCGTCCTCCTTGAGTTCAGAAATCTCGAGTGCTTCGAATGCAGAAAGCTCGCTATCATCTTTGACATCTTCGACATCGCCCGGCACCGGCACCGGCACCGGGACTGCGGCAGTTGCAAGCTCTGCAAGCTCGGCATACTCGTCATTATCGTCTGTACAATTGTCGGCATCAAGCGCAGTGAGCTCTCTATCAAGTGCTAGTCGGTCTAGTGTAAGTTCTGCTAGTTCATTGAGCTCAGTCTCCTCTAGTGCCAGCAGCGTTCTGTCGAGTGTGTCCAGTGCAGCTGCAGTTCCGAACATTGCCTCATCTGCGTCGGCGTCCTTGTCATCAGAGTCGTCGAGCGCTAGCAGTGTGCTGAGCTCCGTTGCCAGTGCGAATTCATCCTCCGTGGCTCCTACGTCGAGTGTGAGCGGTTTGACTGGGTACGGAATCTTGGCTGTGTCCACAAATTCGGATGGGAGTAGCGTAACGTACGTTTGGCTACTAAACTGCCTTAACACGTGTCTGACTTTGTATATAGTGCTACAACTGTCGTTCCCACGACCGAAGTTGCGACGACCGACTCTGCCGGCTCCTCTCTGACAATAACGGAGCTCATCATTACTACCACCGCTACCGGTGGCTCGGCTTTCACTGTATTGGCACCCATATCAGCTTCGGGGTCCTCAGCGGTTGCTGTACTGACCGACAGTGTTGGTTTAACATCGACGTTGACGCTTGCCGGCACCGTTCCTCTCGCGGTATACTCTACAACCGATGCGAGAGGCTCTGCTTCATCCGCTACCATGACTGTTTTGCCTTTCGTTGTACAGTTCACCTCTTACAATACTGGCCTCGTAGGCTCTGTAGAGGTTGTGTCTACAACTGTTCCTATGGTGTTTTCCCCAAGTGCATGCTTCAAGACCATTGCTAATGGGTCATACGTAGTCTGAACTGTCGACCAGCATTATCCCGACCACCTTCACCGCCACCGAAACGACATTAGTCACATCTACGATCACATCCAGAGGCAGTACTTCAGTCGTGACGTCAAATTCATTGATTGGGGTCGTCTACACCTCTGCAGCCATCGTGGGTGCACCACAAACTATCTCGGAAAGCAGTCTGTCGACATACACCACTGTCACCTCCATTCCTGCTTCCACGGTTGTCGTAACCGTCAATGGCACTCCCAGCTCGAGTGTTGTCGCCGGCTATACTTCGACTGTCGTCGGTACCAATACCATCGTGAATGTCATCACGGTTTTTGTTCCCGGACAAACCAAGGCAGCAGCAAGTCAGGCCAGTGTTGTGAGCAATGTGGAACCGAGCGCGAGCACGTATGTAACGAATATCAACGGCGTGCAGGCTACGGTAACAACTCAAATTCTGGCAATCGTCACCGGAGCAGCTCCGAACCTGCAACAAGCTGGAGCACTGCCTACCTGTGTAGTGGACAAGGGTGTCATCTGTGCTGCGATCGGTGCTGGTGTGTTTGGAGTGGTTATGTGTGTTGCGTGATTCTATGTTTTGGGCAATTCAACGGCGTCAACACATTGATATAGTCAGGGTGTGCTGTATGGTTCACACAGTCATTCTTTTGGAAACCCATCTCTTAGGGTTATTTTACGGCGTTCATTTAGGATAATGGACAATATGGATTTCATGTTCCGTATCTTCCTCCGCGTCGTGCCAAGCGTGAGAACACTGAAAATCCTAGGTTCTCGGGTATAGTGACGGGCACAATCATTTCCCCGCATATGGCTTTCCGAATGCAAAAGCCCTTCCATATAATACTCCTAATCCTTCAAGGTTCATCATTTGGTTCTTCCTTTTCCGAGGTCACCTCCTCCAACTCGCCCAGCACACTCCGATATTTCCGATCACAGTACAACAACCCATACTCTCCCTCCTTCTGACTGTTATTCACCTTGGTAACCTCCCCAACCCACACCTCATGATCACCAACCTCCACCGTCCTCCGCACCTTACAATGCATCTTGACCAACGCTCCCTCCAATACCGGCTGCCCCTCCCCCGAAACCTTCCACTCATATCCCATTGCCCAGGGATCCTTAACGTCCTGATCCCCTGAGGCAGTATACTCTGACGTCGCGAACGCCGCGCATAAATCCGCGTATCGTTGACTCGCGGGGAGGATATGTACCACGAACCGCCCTGATCGATGTAACAGCCCAGAAGCCCGTGACGGAAGTCGTATATTGAAGCTGAGTAGTGGTATAGGATGTAATGACAAGCTCGTTAGACTCGATAGTGTCAGGCCTCGTCTATTTAGTGGTGAGTTCGGGTCGGCGGTGGTAATGATTACGACTGGTTGTGGGAGGGAGCGCATTGCTATTCGAGTCGCTTCCGCGGCATCGGGGCGATTTGTCGATGTTGGTGTTGATTGTGAATTTGGCTGTGGTATAGATGTAGAGAAGAACCGTGATGGTCGGATCAAAGGTGATCCGCCAGATATGATCCCGGAGACAGCGGAGAGGGACCGCTCAACAGCGGAGCAGGCAGCATATGACGCGTTGAACATACTAACTCGTCAATTGAATGGACGAATCCTATACAGGACAAAGCAAAACCTCCTCAGACCGACCAGCAGCTGGGAGTTTTGGGTTTTTTGATCAGTGCCCTCCAGGTCAGGGACTTCATACGTCCGCGGGTCATGTACGACGCTGCAGTATGATTTTCCGTCGCAAAATTCGGGAGGAATGTAACGAAGATATGTGCGGAAGGGTATACCCATGCCTGCCTGGGACGGCAATGCGGGGGTTTGGCTGCGAAAGACCACGATTCATCCAAGTTCGTATATGGTGGCGGACTGCAAGCAAGATGGGACGACGCCGGCACTTTAGACATTCAAGAAAACTGCAGAGGCATAGAGCAGGTTTGAAGCTTGAAGAAAAGAGAACCCAGGCACGGACCTGGTTTGGGAAAATGCAAAAAATACCCTTGCTCTGATATACTATGGGCGTGCCCCCCGTTTCACCTTGCGTACTGCGTTCTGCGTATGCATATGTCGATTCTTGACATTCATCTGACGCGTGCTATTGTATCATTCAAACTCCAAGCAGCACTCTGATCTTTCGATCACTGTCTCCTCCATCTCCATCTTCGCACCCGCACCCTCCTAAATCTGGTGCAACTTCCCAGCATGGAACGGCGACCAAATACCTCTAACACTGGAATTCGTACTCTGCACCACGTTCCTCGCCTTAATCTTCTTCAACTTCACTCCACTTTGATCCCTCAACAACTTGCACTTCTCCAAAATCTCACTCGGCGTCCCGTTCCGTACACAAATCACCTTTTCCCTGCCGTTGATGTATGTGCCGCGGATGATTGGGTGGTGGGCAGGTCGTGGTGTGACGGTGATTTCGACGGAGGGGTGATCGGCGGCGAATTGTTTGAGGTTGCGGAGGAGGAATTCGTTCATGCCTCTGGAGGCACCGGCCCAGTCGCAGTATCCGAAATCGAGTTTTCGTAGCTGTGCAGTTTGTTAGACGGTGAAACGACCAAATGAGCCGGGGGCAAGACCAACCTGAAGGATGTATGATCCGACACCATTTTGAGAGGTTGCGACCTTCTTGAGAGCTTGTACGGGCATTTTGACGGACTTTTCTTGTTCATATATCGACTTGCCTGGAGTCCAAATTTGTGTGCAGTTTCGATGCAGGTGTTCAGGACACGTGCAGGATCCCCCGGGCCGCCTCGTATTTGAGGAGGAAGGAGTTGTCGAGACGGGAGTTGACCAAGGGAACAATTGCAAAATCCACGAAATTACCGCAGTGATATGCCCATTGCAATTCATGCACTTCCATCCCGTTTCAAGCAATAAGTTAACCCGCTTCCCACGCTTCTGCATAACGTCTATGTCAATCTATTCGTCATCCTCCATGTCAATCTCCTCATTCCCATCCTCCATGCTCCTATTAATCAACGGCTTGATCACACTCTTGAAATAAGGTGGCGCAGGCGTAAACGGATTCTGCTTCCTGACTTGTTCGAAGTAGTGGGGGTAGATGTTTCCGTCATATCTCCCGATCGGAGCGTTGATGAAGAAGTCTGTGCGTCTTCAGTTAGCTTCAATGCATGCAGCTGAGCCCAAAAAGCACACCTGAATAGTTGAACGAGTCACAGAGGCCGATAGCGTTCATCCTGACCTCCTTGCACAACTCATTCACCTTACTCCTGACCTCATCCATCTGTCCCGGAGTGAAGTACCCAGCACTCAAGAATGCGCCGGCATCCTCCTCGATACTCCACAACGCATAGAGTAACGCAACATCCATCAAGACTCTTTTGAGAGACTCAGGCGCACCACGGATCCTTTCAAAGAATTGGGAAACGAGGTAACACTTAACATGAGTCTTCGCAGCCGTGAAGCGAAGCTGTGAAGTCTCCTCGTAAGCCTCATCCGCTGAGAGGCCAGTAGAACGGAGCCTCTCAAACTCCGCTCCAGCCTTGTTTACAACACTCGCGGCGACCGCATCCCAGGCCTGTACTCAATATTAGCCTCGAAACAGAATACGAAGACCTGCATGTACGCACCTCACGAATAACCTCAACCTCACCCACACCCCTCTCCCCACACTTCGCTCCCTTCAACTCAGCACCCTTGGAGAGATACCTCACACCCTCCGGCAACTTCTTCCCCTTCTTCGCCTCCCTCCAGCTTCCAATCAAAGACCTACCAGCCTGGAGCGCAAGAACGGCGTTATCACCTTCCCACGTACACTGGACACTGAAATCCGCATGGGCGTTCGCGAAACCGTTGTAGGAGGAATACCCGTGTCCACCACAGGTTAAGCGACAGGTGTTGATGGTTTCGAGACACGCCCAGGTGCAGAATGCCTGTAACTCATGCCTTAGTAACATTTCCCGGATACACGAGTGGAGCTACCTTAAGTCCGGCGGAGGTCGCATGGACCTCCTTCAAACTATCCACGACTTCGGCCATACCGGCCTTATCCTCGGGATTGAGCGAGTCGAGCTTCGACATGAGGTTACGGTACATCACCTCCATCTGGTCACCGGCGAACTGCATGGCAAATGTCTGTACCACTACATCAGCATCCAAGAAACGGTATGGCGGATGTTGTGAAAATACAAACCTGAGCAAGCAAAGGCATCAAACGACGTTGATGAAGAGCGTAATCAAGAATCTTACTCTCAATCTCACCCGGCTTGGAGGAGAACTGTCTCCTCACGCCCGCGTAGCGAATTCTGTCACGAACGTTAGCAAAGAATGCATCTCCTCAACTCGATTCCACGACATACGCGATAGTCAAAACTCTCTTGCTCACACTCGCCGAATCGACAACCATCGAGACACGTCCAGCAATCAACGCACCATATGTCAGTTGTGCCATGGCTTCACTCTTCACCTCGCCCGTCCTCGTGACCTTGATGTGCTTCATCAGCATATAACTCCTCGGGATCCTGACCTGGCTGAACTGGATGAACCCATTGTCAATCCCATCACGACCCATCTTCTTGCCAATATCACCGATGGTGACACCTGGCCTGAGCGAGTAATCACTCGGATCACGAAGAGGCACAACGAATGACTTAACCCCATGATCCTTCTTGTTCACGATGAGTCGTGCAAAGACGACAGAATGCGTAGCTGAATGAGCCGCACCTCCAATCCACCATTTCGTCGCCGACAAACTTGGAGTGTGGATCACGAACTCGTCACTCTTCGGGTCGAAGGTAGCGGTGGTCTCAAGTCCCTGCACATTCGAACCATGTCCAAGCTCGGTCATAGCGAAACACCCGATCATGCCATTGAGCCCCGCTGCACCTTTCGAGATCCAATACGACAACTGAGAAGGCGTCGCAGAACCTCGTAACGCACCAAAGAACAATCCATAATGCACACCGAACCGAGTAAAAAACCCAGGATCCACGACACTGATCAGATTCATCCTCATCATAGTCACAGTCTCCGGCTCACTCGTAACATAATGAATTAAACTCTTAAACTTCATCATCGTTCTCTCCCGAACCTGCTCCTTGTTCAAATCATACCAATCGTCATTCTTGAATACGGGGTCACGCTCGATTTGGAGCATGATCTTTTCCTTGAGTTGTGTGATTTTGGCACCTTTGTCGATGAAGTAAGTCATCTCACGGATGGGAAAGGAGGTACGTGAGCGTTCTTCGTTCATTGCGAGGACGGTGCTGTTCGTAACCAGTCAGTCTTTCGAAAGAGGCTTCGTTTGTACGTAACATACGAAGCAGCTGGATTAACTGTAATCGGCTGTCCCGAAGGAACAACCTGCTGAACGACAGCATTCAGCCTATCGTGAGCCGTCATTGCTGGAGGTGTATGCTGGTTCTTGGGGGTGTATGCTGGTGTTTATATGCACTCGAGCAACGTCAATCCCCGGATGCGTACGCGGGGCCGATCCGATGCAGTAGCGCAACGCATGTGGATTCAGCTCACTTTCACATGCTGCAACACTGGGATTAACCTAACCTACATTACAATTAACTAACTTTTATATCCCGAAGCTTCGTTTTCGTTAAGCACGAGTAACTTCGCTCCCACTCCCGTGGCTCAAGCTTAAGCTCCTCTCCCTCTCATTCACCTTCATGTCTCCCGCACTCTTCCCAACGTGAACAGTCACCGGCTCCATTCCAGGCGCCTCCACGCTCGGTCTGCCATCATCCGCCTGGATCTGTGCTTTCATCTTTTCGGCCTCAATCTCATCCCGCACCCACCTCTTGAACAGCGGCACCAACAACTGCGCAACCAAGATCTGCTCTCCCTGGTACAACACCAACGGAATTGTCAAGATACCCTGGATGTTCTCAGGACTCGTCGTGTACTGAGTATGAATCAACGGGATACCAAGCGCGACCGTCTTAGCTGCTCCACAGAAACAGATGGCGATTGTCTCGCGCTTGGTGAAGCGGAACCAGCGGGCGGCTTTGGCCCAGACGGAGTGGTTGTCTTCAGCGTACAGACGTTGGGGGAGGAATGAGAGACGTGCGAGGGCAAAACAGATGACCGTGAAGAAGGTGTAAAAGCCGATGTTGCAGAACACGACAAGAATAACCGACTCTGTCGAAATGTCTTCGAACGAATGCGCAGCAAAGGCATTCGAGAAAGTGGCCCTGTACATAACCACGTTAGCATGATGCGAATGGCATTGTTTGCGGGCTACATACCATACAAGCAGCACCAAACAGAAACTTCCCACTTTCGGCAACTTGAACGTATTCAACGCCCACTTCACTTCCTTCGGCCGCACATTCTGCAACACCTGTCCGACAAACAACGGAATGAACACACTCAATCCCAACTGCTTAAACACATGGCGATAGATATCCGCACCACCACTCAACGGCTTTCCCTGACTCATGTTACCCGACAAGAACATCTGCACGAGTGCCGGGGTGATGAAGGTACCCATGATATTCCCGATAGTGACTTCAATCAACGCAGCCGAATCATCTCCATTCGCCGAACGCGTCATAACAACATTGGAGGACACAGTCGTAGGCGTACACCCGGTAATGACCATACCCACAAGCACGTAGAAATCAATAGTCTTACTCTTCGCCGCCATCACAATCTGCACGACAGCAAATATAATCGCCGGGGTAACCAAAAAACTCAACCCCTGTGCAACCAAATGCAACTTCCATTGCTTCGCTCTCGCAACCAGAGTCTTGGTGCTGATCTGCATTCCGGAAACCAAGAAGATCAAAGCGACGGCGCCGTATTCGACGGAGTATTCGGCGCGGACGTGACCGCCTTCTTTACCGACGGAGGGGAAGAGGTAGGCGAGGAGGATCATGATGCCGAGGGCGAAGAGGAACCATTGGTTGATGAGGAGGTCGAGCGCGAATTGCCATATTCTCTTGAGCAGCGCCGGCCGCTGTGTTGTTGGTTCGCCCATTGCGCTGTGAAGTGTGGCCTTTTCGCGATCGAGGACGAGGCCGTCCTTCGAGGAGGTTTAAAGAAGCGTCACGACATTTCCTCAGGCGTCGGGAATGTCGGATCCATCCTCACTTAGGCAGAAACAAGCGGGGAAGTGTAAACGTCCAGTGCCCAGCCGAATTGCGCGCTCGTCGACCTTAGCGCTTCTTAAAATCTGATAGGGATGTATATCGATGGGAGATACGCGGAATCAATGATCAACGAGATGCAGAGATATGAAGCACAGCCCCAATTGCATTGCATTTTGATAAAGCTTGTCTAAGGAGTATCGAACCATAGTCTACTGATAGAAAACAACCTTCCCGCTACTCGTCCCACCAACAACCCAATCCTCCCTAGGATGCCACTGCACCGCAGCCGGAACCGCCGTAATCCGCGCATCCCCCTCTCCCAACTTCCCGACCCTCTCCCCAAACCTCGAATAAACATCAATATTCCTCCTCATATTGCCTATGCACAATTTCTGCACTCCACTCACGGGGTTTTGGTGCCACTGTCCCCGGAAAATGGTGACCCAGCGTCCGACCTGGTTGTCGTGTGGGATTTTATGGCTAGGAGTCATGGCGCCGAGGTCCTTTGAGCCGGGTGACCAAGTTGTGCAGGTGGGTTCGGAGAAAATCGTGATGGTGTCGTCATAACTCGTCGCGGCGATCTGTCCCGCCCGATTCCAGTACGCAGACGAGATACTCTTATCCGTAACATACTCCCCCACCATACACGGGTGCCTTCCCCCTTCCTCCCCACTCTCAATCTTCCTGAAATCCCAAACGCGCAAACTCCGTTCATTTGAAGACGTAACAACTAACCACGGCGCGAGTGGGTGCATACTCATCCCCCCGATCTTCTTATCGTGGCATTGGAACGTCTCCAGCTCGGTGCGAGGGGCGCGGGTATCGTACCTATGGACCCGGCCCGCGAAGTCAGAGATGTAGACGACATTGCCTTCAGGTGTGATCTCGCATGCGGAGATGAGGGGCGCTTCGTCCTCATCCTCATCCTTTCCCGGCGCGAAAATCTCGTTTGAAATGCCGGCTTGCAGGTCGAGGAGGCGGACAGAGGCGTCATAGGATGTCGTGTAGAGCTTTTGCGCGTTAGTGGGTGAGAAAGCGAAAGAGGAGATCGTACGGTTGTGGGGTCGGAATTGGTGGATGAGGGGGAGTTCTGCGGCGTCCTCTTCGTCTTCCTCTGCTGCCTCGCGTTTGGAGTCTGCGTCCCAGATACCCAGTACACCGGTCTTGTCACCTGCCAACACAAGCTTTCGCGTAGAGTCTGGGTGCATGCCGATATGGTAGATCCGCTCCGGGGTAATCCTGATCTGATTCGGTTCCCACCGTTCGTAAAGCTTCAACCCACCGATCTTATCCCTCAACTCTGCCAACTCCTTCTCATCACTCTTCTCCCCAGAGACATTCTCCACCTCCGTCTCCGAAGTCTTCGAACCCTCCTCCACTGCGTCCGCGACAGCAGCAGCGGGCCACCCCCCAAACATCTTCTGCGCACTCTCCCAGCTCTCTCTCGAGCTCTCCGCCAGAATATCCGCAAACTTATGCTCACCCCTCATCCGCGTCTTCTTCAACAACCGTTCCGCCGCCTCCTCTTCCGCGGCGCGTTTGGCGATGACCTCACTTGTCGCAGTAATGCCCTGGAGACGCGCGGAGGTTCGTTGAGGGACCGGGGAGTCGCGTTTTGTGCGCGGCGTACGGGTACGAGGAGTCGCTTTTGGTTTTGAGGCGGGAGCAGCGCGGGGGGCTTTGTGTTCGGGTTGGGCGAGTTCGAGTTCTCTGGATCGGGAGTGTCAGTAGAGTAGAAGAGAACGCGACGGAAAGACAAACAATAGCAAGGCTTTGTTGCGCTCGATGTTTGCGAGACGTTCGCGTTCATATTCAGTCAGCTCCGTCATGGCTATGTTGTCTGGGATCGCGGAACTTCTCCATGAACAAAAGTCGCGTCGAGAGGCGATTCAGTGATGTAGACGTACACCGTATATTCCAGGGACGTGCAGCAAGAAAATCCAAGGTGAACTTCCGAAGAAATAAACAACTTTGACGAGAAGATGAAGCGATCGGTGCCTTCGAGGACATCTTGGAGATCGTGTATGGCAAGAGGTTGGTCCTGTTCGTTCGCTTTTGTCAGATCGCTTGGCTGACCACAGTTTGCAGTTGTATCAACGCCGCCCACGGCTCGCATCTCTTTACCACAGCACCCCCATCTCCTCCGTCACAACTCTACAGCATCGGCGAAACCCGAGGATGATTCGCCCGATGCTTTCTCTTCAGAAAGTGAGACTCGGGATTCGACATCAGATCTTGTCTCTACGACCTTAGACCAGTCCGCAGTGGAAGCGGAATTCAAAGACACAACGAAGGAATCGAAATCCGACAACCCATGGGCTTTCCTGTATGAAGACACCATGGCTAAACCCCAAAACCGCGCTTCCGACACGACCAGTTTCCTGAAGAGAAGCGCGGTGCAACCTAGAACAACGAATCGTCTCATGAAGAAAGCGGGAGACGAAGCACGTACGATAACACGGCGCGAAATGGACATGTTCTCCAAGATCTTCGATACCATTCTCGCTGGAAAACCGGCTAATACTCCGGCATCACGGTCAGGGGGTGGATTGGGTGGGTTGTTTGGACATTCGTCGTCGGGGCTCGGTGAGAGGAAGGATGTGCTCAGTTTCGGACCGGGTGGGGGTCGGTCGACAGATTCACAGGCCGTAGAGCAGTTAAACGCCTACCCTCCCTCACTCCGTGCTTTCGCTGCGAAAGCAACTGGACTTCCTAGTTGGGTAGGGAAGGAGGCAAAGAAGACCCTGACCGAAGCGGAGCGTCAAGCAGAAGAAGCACGAGCAGCAGAACTGGACGAACTCAGAACTCAAATGCGCGCCTGCACAACCAACCTCGAACTCTCCGAATTCATCGACACCAAGATCTTCGGCAAACTCGAAGCCGCAGAATCTCACGAACGCGCTGCCCTACTCTCACCAAATTACCCCCACCTCATCCTCGAAGCCATTCGTCTCCTCCGCCGGCAGTTCGGATCCTACCCCTTGGCATCCGCAACGTTCGACCGCGTAAAGCGTTTGGGTCCTGAGAGTTATGTCATCGGACTCACCACAAAAGTCTACAATGCACACCTCATCACCCGCTGGCTCGGCTGGCACGACCTCCACGACATCCACGAACTCATCCGCGAAATGCGCACGAACGCCGTCGAACCCGATACCGAAACCGCCGATATCGTCCGCGAAATTATCCTCTCCATCGAAGCTGGACGCAGGAAGAAAACTGTTGTTCTGAGTGAGGAGGATCTATATTTCATTACAGAGTTGGATAAGAGTCGGTTTGGCATGTTGAAGGAGATTGCGAGAAGGTTTGAGGAGGCGGCGAGTGCGATGAATAAGGCTGAGGGGGCGAGAGTGCAGAATCAGTTGGTGGAGATGGAGGAGAAGTATGAGGCGGAGGCGGCGGCGTTGGCGGCGGTGAAAGCGGAGGAGAGCTCGGGGAAGGCGACCGCGACAGAGACGGTCTACCAGCCTCCCGCACCCGAGGTGGAGCGGCCCAAGTCGAACCCGGCCGATGATATGGACTTCTTCAAGAATCTCATTCACGAAGACACTGAGCAGGCGTTTAAGGCTGACGAGCCTGGCCGCACGTCCTTTTCTTCAAGAAGATTGTCAGAGGAGGCGAGTGGTGCGCAACGATAACGGTCGATCCCACTGAGCACATAGTTTAGACGGTTGGAAAAATATCGTGTTCATATACTCTAGTCATTGTTGGCATTCGGCGTTAATGTTTAGGGGTATTGCGGATCATTGCATAGGAAATTCGTACGATATCCATGTTCTCGGGCCTTCCCACGGTATCGATATCGATCATCTTGAGTGAGCGCTTGCAACCACGAGCATGCCAAATTTTCCTACAGTTCTGAAGATCTTCGTGGTATATCGGGTACCGTCTGCCTGTGTGTTCTTTACACGACCGTTCGCAGGTCTTTTGTCCGTGCTCTCTCAATCCCCTTCTGTGCCGCCTTCCAGATATTCTCCTCAACTTCCTCAACCGACTGTCCCGCATCAACAACAGCCCAATCTCCAGCATCCCTCTCATCGTCTCTCAGCTCCAGAAAATCCTGACGCACCTTCCGCTGCATCTCCTTCTTTTCATACCTCTCCTCTCCATACCCTCCCCGCTCCGCTGCCGCCTCCTCCGAGATGTCTAAGAAGATGGCAACATCCGGCCTTGGCAAGCCCACATCCGGTGCACGACACCACGCACCGTCCAGACCCTTCGCCCTCGAAAAGGCGATGCCACTGTAAATATATCTATCAACCACCACTGTCACACCAGCCTCCAGCTCTGCTTTGATGGCACTACTCGCCTCCCATCTATTTGCCGAGAACAAGAGATGTACCGCGTGGTCATCGAGATCGGAGGTGGAACGGAGGTAGGCGTCAATCATGGTTCCAATTGGGGTTGTACGGTCTGGGAATTTGCGGAGGAGGGTGGGGGTGGAAGTCTTGAGGCGAGTGACGAGGCGGTCGCATTGGGTGGATTTACCGGCTCTGTCGAGGCCTTCGATGACGATTAGAGCTCCTCGGGGCATTGCTTTGGGAACTTTGATAATGAATGTTGTTGTCGGAGGGAGTATGGTTCTGGTTATCGATAGGCAATGGCAGGTACACGGGAAGGAGAGAAGACAAGAGGTGAAGACGGCGTTTGAGGAAAGCAGAGTTTAAGGAAATGATTCTCCGTGCTACGGAGGAGGGGATCTATGGAATTTCCTTGGGTTTCGCTGAACGGGTCGTCGAGCTCAGCGCGCACTGAACGCTCTCGAACCTTCTCCCATGTACAGTAGTGCCCTGTGACGGCTGCGGTATAAAACCAAACGAGGGCCGGAATATACTCTTCACCCATCGATCTCATAGAAGAGACAACCACAGTCATAATGTCCGCAGAATCAGAGACGTTTACCTTCCAGGCCGAGATCACTCAGTTGTTGAGTTTGATCATCAACACTGTCTACTCCAACAAGGAGATCTTCTTGCGTGAGTTGATCTCCAACGCCTCCGATGCTATCGACAAGATCCGCTACGAGTCTTTGTCCGACCCTTCGAAGCTTGACTCTGGTAGGGACCTCTACGTCCGCCTCATCCCTAACAAGGAGGAGAAGACCCTTACCATCCGCGATACCGGTATTGGTATGACCAAGGCTGACCTCGTCAACAACCTCGGTACCATCGCCAAGTCCGGTACCAAGGCTTTCATGGAGGCTGCCATGTCTGGTGCTGATATTTCCATGATCGGTCAGTTCGGTGTCGGTTTCTACTCTGCTTACCTCGTTGCCGACAAGGTTGAGGTCACCTCCAAGCACAACGACGACGAGCAGTACATCTGGGAGTCTTCCGCCGGTGGTTCCTTCACCATCACCCAGGACACCACTGGTGAGTCCCTCGGCCGTGGTACTTCCATCAAGCTCTACTTGAAGGAGGACCAGCTCGAGTACCTCGAGGAGAAGAAGATCAAGGAGATCGTCAAGAAGCACTCCGAGTTCATCAACTACCCCATCCAACTCGTTGTCACCAAGGAGACCGAGAAGGAGGTCCCTGCTGATGAGGAGGAGGTCGCTTCCACCGATGATGACAAGAAGGCCAAGATCGAGGAGGTTGACGAGGAGGAGGAGAAGAAGCCCAAGACCAAGACTGTCAAGGAGACCACCACCGAGAACGAGGAGCTCAACAAGGTCAAGCCTATCTGGACCCGCAACCCCTCCGACATCACAGAGGAGGAGTACGCCGCTTTCTACAAGTCTATCTCCAACGACTGGGAGGACCACCTTGCTGTCAAGCACTTCTCCGTTGAGGGTCAGCTCGAGTTCAAGGCTGTTCTCTACATCCCCAAGCGCGCTCCCTTCGACTTGTTCGAGTCCAAGAAGAAGAAGAACAACATCAAGCTCTACGTCCGCCGTGTTTTCATCACCGACGAGTGTGAGGAGCTCATCCCCGAGTGGTTGGGCTTCGTCAAGGGCGTTGTCGACTCTGAGGACCTTCCCCTCAACTTGTCTCGTGAGGTCTTGCAGCAGAACAAGATCCTCAAGGTCATCCGCAAGAACATCGTCAAGAAGGTTCTCGAGATGTTCGCTGAGATTGCTGAGGACAAGGACCAGTTCAACAAGTTCTACGAGGCCTTCTCCAAGAACTTGAAGCTCGGTGTCCACGAGGACTCCCAGAACCGCGCTACCCTCGCCAAGTACCTCCGCTTCACCTCCACCAAGTCTGGTGAGGAGATGACCTCCCTCCAGGACTACATCACCCGCATGAAGGAGCCCCAGCAGAACATCTACTTCTTGACTGCTGAGTCCCTCGCTGCCGCCAAGACCTCTCCTTTCCTCGAGATCTTCAAGAAGAAGGACTTCGAGGTCATGATGATGACTGACCCCATTGACGAGTACGCCGTTACTCAGCTCAAGGAGTTCGAGGGCAAGAAGCTCGTCAACATCACCAAGGACGGTCTCGAGCTCGAGCAGACCGAGGAGGAGAAGGCTAAGGCCGAGGAGGAGGCCAAGGCTTACGAGACCTTGTGCAAGTCCATGAAGGAGATCCTCGGTGACAAGGTTGAGAAGGTCGTCATCTCCAAGACTTTGACTTCTTCCCCCTGTATCTTGTCCACCGGCCAGTTCGGTTGGTCCGCCAACATGGAGCGTATCATGGCTGCTCAGGCTCTCCGTGACTCCTCCATGTCCTCCTACATGGCTTCCAAGAAGACTCTTGAGGTCAACCCTTCCAACTCTATCATCACTGAGTTGAAGAAGCGTTTGGCTGACGGCTCTGCCGCTGACAAGTCCGTCAAGGACTTGACTGTCCTCTTGTACGAAACTGCCTTGTTGTCCTCTGGCTTCGCTCTTACCGAGCCTGCAGACTTCGCTTCCCGTATCCACCGCATGATCGCCTTGGGTCTTTCCCTCGGTGACTCTGAGGAGGCTCAGGATGAGGAGATGCCCGAGTTGGAGACTGCCAACGAGGGTGGTGAGACCGGTGGTCTTGAGGAGATTGACTAAAACGAAGGGACAAGAAAAGGGTTATGAGGTTAGATAGTTGAGAGATACCATGGTTGTACGTTATTGGATAGGGTTTGGGTTATTTTGCATCATTTGGTGTTTGGTTACAGAGTTAGACGACTGACTCTCTAATACACTTGTTCGCTATCATCATCTATCTTGTTCCGTCCCGACGTTGTAGACTGATTGTGTGAACTGTAGAACAACAAGAAATTCCTTGTTTCAGCATAACTATGCTAAATCATCCCTAACGTGACCCAAAAATGCTAAATTTGTGCAGTCATGCCTTATAACTTACATCATATCCTCAGCCCTCCTCCTATTCTGTCTCCTGCCACCAGAAGGTGCGGCACCGTCCGAGCCTATCATTCTGCCACCTTGCTTTCCGACCACTTTCTCCGGAAAGAGATCATCGCCCTCAGACCTGGTCAGTCTTCCAGCATCGTTTGCGGGTCCCAGCCTGTCCGCTAAGCTACTTGTCGAAGGGCCCAAACGGTCAGCCAGGGAGCGGCCAGAGGGTGCAAGACGGTCAGCAAGAGTTGTGCCGCGTCCGCTCTGAAGGAGGGAGTCGGATGCTAAGCGACCGCTGGTAACCTTCTCAGGGAACAAGTCACCTCCACGTCCACGCGAATGCGCTGAAACAGAGACCTTTGCGGGGAACAAATCGTCGTTACCACCGGCCGCTGCGCGGACTTTGCTGGGGAAGAGGTCACCATCATCGCGTCTTGCAGCCTTCTCCGGGAAGAGGTCGTCATCAGCACCGCGCCTCCTGGATCTATCCCGCCCATACCTCCTTCCTGGGCTCCGTGACCGGCTGTATGTCCTGGCATAAGCGTCCGGTGAACGTGACCTCGAACGACCCCGGCGCCTGTACTCTCCCCTGCTCCCTGACCGAGATTTGGAATACCGTCTATCACGGCTGTAATCCCTTCTTCTGTAACTATTCTCCCTGTGACCACCTCTCGGACGTCTTTCCCCGTTCCTGTCGCGGTCCAACTCTTCCTTTGGTGGGTTGAAGAGGTAGTACCGACTTTGCTCCCTCGCTTTCGGTACCTTCTTGTCACCGACCCGAGCAATACGCGCTTGCAGCTTCGTGATTTTTCCGTCCTTCTCATTGTCTTTCACGTCACGGAGCACGGTAGGGTCTGCTGGTGTCTGGGCAGCCTGCACGGTGAAAGCAGCCAGTGCAGCGGCGGCGGTTTGTCCATCGAGGTAGATGAGGTTACAAGAGCTGTCGTTCACCCATTCGACTTTCTTAAGCGGCGCCAAGGGAGCATTCCCGTTTGCCCAATCCGTGATTGCATCAGTGGAAAGTTCATCGACACCTCTCAAGTGGATGGCTTCCTTGCGTATTTCGTTCGGGTCTGTTATGAATTCCTGTTAGTAGGCGTAGTGATCGTGATATGAGAGAAGTTTACGAACCAGCTTGTGCATCTCCAGCGTTCGTATTATAGTAGTTGTCGATCCTGCTCTGCACACTCCCGAGCACTTCTTGCGCTGCTGGATCAGCCTGCTGAGCCTGCGCATTGTTGAGCGCGGCCTGCTCATCATAGGTGAGCGTCTCCTCATCCACATCCATCTCCATATCAATATCAAAGCTGTCCTGTGGTTCAGCCATGCCTGCCGTAGAATCGATGTTGTCCATCTCTCTGCGTTCGACGCGATTGCGAACGTGAAGGTAGTAGTCGTGACGCGGTCGAGTTAAACACTTGGATTAACACAAGGTAATTAACAGTACCTAGGTGAGTTTAATACCCCAAAGAACCAGTTCAAATATACTGTACAAACTACAAGAACATAAAATAGAGAAAGCATGATACGCTCAAGAACACCGACACCAAACGAAATCCTTAAGTACACACGCCAGACCAACCACCACCCAAATACAATGCAGACCATCCTCTGCCCAACACGTCCCGCGCCAGAACTCCCACGCCCACAGCAAGAGCACTGTGCACCACAACAGCCGCCACGATCCTCCAAGTCACGGCTGCCGTCCTCCCATCTCCAGTTTCCTCCTGAGTGTCTTGAGCTCCGGACAGGGAAACCAGTTCCTGTGCACGAGATTGATTCGCCTGTGCGCTTAAGCCCGGATGCATCTCAACAACCTCACCCAAGCGCCCAAGCAACCACTTAACCTGCTCACCACCAACAATCCTCTCAAAGTCTTCCCTCTCCTTTCTCATTCGTTCCTTGATATTCTGACGCATCTCTTCAGACCACTTACTAAGACGAGTCTGCGCCGCACGTTCTTCGCGTACAATGCGGTCTCGGGCGCGAGACATGGCGTAACCTTCAGCAGAGGATGCAACGGACGACAGAGTAGTCGAGGTGGTTGGGGTTGTTTGCTGAGCAGCGCGCCAGACCAGGAACTTCGCTGCTGAGCTCGCACGCAACCACTGTCCCATCTCCTCGCCGAAGATGCCCTCAATCAGAACCTCAAGCTCACTCTCCACCAACGCGGCAAGATCGTCTCCAGATTTACCCTGCTCCTGATCCGAAACAGATGCGACAGAAGCAGTAGACCGCATAAGGACACTCGCATCCATCTCCACATCCACGCCTTCCCTCTTCAGCGTACTCACCGCCAAAGGCGAGAGATTTCCCGGCCCCTCCCCACCCCAATTGAAGCACTCAATCCCGGCCTCATCAAGCTGTGCGTTGATGTTCTGTTTCAGCGCCGTTATCTGCGCATCGGTGAGGGTATCCGACTTTGCGATGATAGGTACCAAATTCGTCAAGGGGGCCAGACGTCGCATGTACTCGATATCGACGGGTTTTAACCCTGTGTTTCACCATTGCGTCAGTGTTCCGCTCCAAAACGGATGGGATGGCTTTGCTTACGGTGCAAGACGAGATACAACACCACATCGACAAACCCAACTCCGCTTCCGACTCCTGTACCACTCAAGATACTGACTACGTCTTCCGTTGTCGCATGTCCTAGATCAGGACTCAAAACGCTGTCCACGCGGGCAAACTGGGCTTCCAAATAGGTCGTGACATTACTCACGCAGTCTCTGAACTAGACCCGCTCTGATCAGTTTCTGGCTATCAGATGTAGGGAAATGGTACATACGTCTGTAGCAGCTCCGTACCCCTCGGTATCAACCCAACACATATTCCTCTCCAGAACTCTCTGTTGTTCAGGGTTACTTAGACTACTTGCCATACTCGACCTACGCCTCTTCCTCGCAGAGCCTAAAACGGATGAGTTGGCAGACGTAATGACGTCCGGCCACCATGCCGGATACGCCCTCGTACTTGCCCAGGTCTCCTTTATCGCCGTCATACTCCCTCCAGATCCCGACAGAGTAGTAGTGACTGAGGCTGATCTCGAACGTCCGGTAGACGAAGCTTCGTCCCACCATACGACATCCCTGCTTCCTTTCAGCACGGCTTCGACGAGAGCAGTCTTTCCAATCCCTGAGTCACCAACGACCATGATGCGGATCCTGCCCATCTTCTCACCCCTACCCGTCGATTTCTTGGGTGCAGGTAGAGTGATGGTCGGCATCCTGAGAACACCTGGCCTTGGTCTTGGGTTACTCTTTGCACCGGGCTCGGAAGTGGACGTCGTAGAACGAGGGTGAGGAGGGTGTTCATCGTCAGAGACAGAGCGGGAGGAGGACGCGATGGTTGCTGGGATTGAGAGGGGTGATCCTGGTGTTGACGAGGAGGCGGTAGAGTCCGGGCGCATCGGGGTAGTTCTTGGAAGAGAGGATGGTGGAGTAGGGAGGGAGGCAGGACGCCAAGGCCGTGAACGTTGTCGTTGGCCTTCGCAGGCAGCCTGCTCGACTTCATCTTCTTCATCATCTTCATCTTCCGCAGCCGAAGACTCGCTTTCGGAGCGGTACCCCTGCTGCGCGTGGTGATCGAAGAACTCGTGCATGCTCCCCTTCCCCCTTTCACTCTCCATACTCCTCACACCAAAATCATTCTGCTCCTCTGTGCTGCCATCTCCAGTGTTGGGCCTCCTCGCTTCCCAGGGTGGTTGGGTGGTGATGAAGTAGCTCATCTGTTGTGACTCAGGCCTTGGCGTACGCGTACTACTGCCATTGGAGCTTCCCTCACCAGCCGTTTCACCGCCTGGAAAGAGTGATTTCAGGCTAGGGATATATGCCTGTGCTCCGCGCTGTGACGGAGACATGTTGACTCGGTGTATGGGTTGACTATCGGACGTGTCGGGGTGGGATAAAGGAGATGTGGGTGATAAGCCGGCCGCACAGGTGAGCGTGAGACACGGACGAGGAAATGGATTTATAGGTATTTGGCTTCAGTTGCGAAGCGAATCCGAGGGTTGTTGACGGGGTAAATGCTGTTCAGAAGGGAGCCACTCCTGAAGGTTGACTTGGTTGGTGGTTAGGACTGAATGGCTCACATGCCCGTCTCAGCTGGGTTGTGCGGTGATCATGTGGCTCCCGACATACGTGTGGTGCAATCGATAGCCGCCTGATCACGATATCGATAAGCAGGCTCGGGTTGGGATAAATTAGGAGTTGAAAGGACTTGTCTTTTTTGTTCAGACAGGAATATTGCCGTTTACTACATGTATGTCTGTGAATACGGCTTCACCTCCCTTCTTTCGTAGCCCCTGTAACGTCGCCAAAAACATTGACATTCCCGGGCCCGGTAGGACCGCCCTCAATCTCTCGCAGGTCTACGCATCTCCACCTCGACCTTACGCGCAACAATTTCCGAGCATTCATCTTCCAGTTGCCGTTCATGCTTCTCCTCTCGACAGCACTCTTCGCCTACTACTCCATATGGATCCTCCTTATGCCCTTCGTGGACGCAGACCACCCTGTCCACGCTCTCTTCCCACCACGTGAATGGGCAATACGCATCCCAGTCGTCATCTGTTTACTCGGGATGACTATTGTGGGGAGCTTTCTGGGTATGGTGATGATTGGGAGCGGAAGTGGGAGTAGAAGGCCAAGGATGGGGAATGGAGTTGCGAAGATGGGAAGTACGAAGACGACATGAGTGAGTTGCAAGACGAGAAGAGGGTAAGGGAAGAGATGCATGCGTCGAGGCCGAGGTGCCATGGCCAGCGAGTACGAGAGCGGGTGAAACACTTCTCGTCGACGAACGCAGGATATGAAGGTTGGAATTTCGGTGACAACGTAGTGTAAGGCAGAACCTGTCATTCCCAAGTGAAGCCGTCTGCTCGGTGCACATATAACTGAAGTTGCGCGCTTGGATCTTCCCCCGGGCGGTAAATGCTACACGCGTCGGGCAACGTAACGAAGCTGCACAGGCACGCCGCCGAATGCAGCGTACGTACACCGACATAACCGTCCCCAAAAAATCGCACTGAAGGAAGATGCAATTGTCGAAGAGGTTGTTGACAAGGGAGAGCATTGGAAACGGCGATATTGGATCAGTCCACTCCATATACGGAGCCAAAAGCTGGGTGGAGCGGTTGGACATCCAGGCTGAACTCGAAGGACACTTTGGCTGTGTGAATGCATTAACCTGGTCAAGCGACGGAGAGTTACTGGCGTCTGGATCGGATGATACACGAATTGTCATCTGGGATGCAACGAATAACTTTGCGCAGAAGAAGGTAATTCAAACTGGGCATACACAGAACATCTTCAGTGTGAAGTTCATGCCGCATACTGGGAACCGAACACTCGTGTCCTGTGCTGGTGATAGCGAAGTACGGGTGTTTGATATCGACTATGATGGACCCAGATCCTATGATCAGAGCTCTGCGTCACAAGTCTTCCGGTGTCATCAGGATCGGGCTAAGAGGATCGTCTGCGAGAACTCGCCATATACCTTCCTGACATGTTCCGAAGATGGCGACGTACGGCAATTTGATCTCAGAGCACCACAACATCGCTGTGAACGAGGATCAGATCGCGAATGCGCACCACCCCTCCTCTCCTACCGTTCGTCCTCAATCGATCTGAATACAATCACGTTGTCGAAACAGCAACCTCAGTATTTCGTTGTCGGCGGTGCGCATTTACAAGCTTTCTTACACGACAGACGCATGATCGGACGAGATATGCGGCGAGAGTGGGGTGATCTATCGTACACCCCTACGCGGTCAACTCAATGCGTAAGGAGATTCTCGCCAAATGGAGAGGAGATGACAAGGAGAGGAAGTCACATTACAGCATGTAAGCTGGGCGACGCAAACCCGAGGGAGCTGGTGGGGAGCTGGAGTGCCGACTTCGTGTATATGTTTGATATCCATGGGGATCCGGTGGATGCGGCGGCGAATAGTCGGGGTGTAAGGACGTCGACTGCACCTAGACGTGGCCCGGCGAATGGGGAGGGGATTAAGAGGAAGAGGACGCAGAGTCAGGATGTTGATGATGTGGGAGAGAGTTCGACTACGAGACCGAGGGATGAATCGCCTGAGGATGTGGAGGAACCGACGGTGCAGGTAGGAGTACTGAGTCAGCAGTCATTCCTGGAGCCAAGCGAAGGCCGAACGAGTTCTCGCGCTCATCCCACTACACCTCGATCCCGTTCACATGGTCCGCCGCCATACGTTGCTGATCCACCCGACTACGTCGATACCTCCGCATTGCCTGACCGCGTATCCGCACTTCGAGCAGCCCTCTTCGCCCCCGAACCAGAATACCCCGCTGCTCGCGATCTCGCATTCGACATCGCCAAGGACATGCGATCCCTCCTCACCTCCGGCCCGCCGCCTTCAAACCGCGTCCAGCGCAACATGGCCTTAAAGTTCGTTCGAGCATGCGGCGCCATCGCACATACCATCGCACAACCCAACATCGACTCGCAACTCCTATCGATCCAAGAGGGCTGGAGTTGGCGGTATGATTTCATTCGCGCTGTTCTGGGGTGGTTGGCGGATCCGAAACTACCTGTAGAGCCGATGTTACCGGAATACCCGCCCGAGGGGGAGGATGAGGTATATGATATTGTGAGAGGAGATGAGGTGGTGTTTTCAAGTGAGTGGGATATGGCGAGGGCTTTTGTTAGGATGGCGACGCGGCAGCCTCTGGCAGCGGAGAATGAGGAGCCAGTTGATGAGGAAGGAGGAAGTCGGCCCCTGACACCGAGTGATGCAGCGAAGAGGTTCTGGACGAATGTTTGCAGGAGCTTGGTTAGGAGCGAGGGGGAGGGGATTGATTATGGCTTTCTCATGGCGGCGTGGCGGAGTACGGCAGCTGAAGATCTGGAGGAGGACGTGGATGGAGACGGGGATAGTGAGGAAGAGGAAGAGGAAGAGGAAGAGGAGGAGCGGGAAGGGGATATTATGTCGTCAGAGGATGAGGATGCCGACGAAGACGATGATGATGATCGGATTTATGGAGGTCGGCAGCCTGAATCTGGGGTTCCTATCGTGGGTCCGACGAAGAGGTTCTCGGGGCACTGTAATGTGCAAACGGTAGGATAAGCACAAAGCAGACTGGCGCCGTGATTGCTGACCTTGTCATGCAGGTGAAAGACGTCAACTTCTATGGTTTAGACGATGAGTACGTCGTCAGCGGGTCTGATGACGGACATCTGTTCATTTGTACGATTATCACGCTCCAGTATGGTATTTGAAACTGACCCAATATTCGTACAGGGGACAAGAAAACTACTCGAATCGTGAACATCCTCAAGGGTGATGGCGATGTCGTCAATGTGGCACAAGGGCATCCATACACCCCCATGATCGCCGTCTCCGGCATTGGTCAGAACCCCATACCAAAAACCTACGAGCAATGCTAACCAAACAACAACAGACAACACCGTCAAGCTCTTCTCCCCTGCTCCCCGTCTACAAGGCCTAAACACACGCCGCGCATTGCACAAAGAATACCAGATTTGCGCAACAAATGAAATGCACAGACAACAGGTATCGTTCCCCATGTCTTATCGACTCTTCCTCTCCCTCGTTCCCACGCTGTATGTACTAAGACATCATTTAATATAGGTACACTCCAATTCGATGGTATACATGATATTTGGCTAATAATTGACTTTGTGCGAAAAGGGGATGCAGCATACGGTTTTGACGAGAAGTATGATGGCATCATTGGCGAGGAGGATTAGGGTTGTGAGGCAGGGCGAGGCGGCGGATGGGGTTACGCTCAATTTGGATGAGGAGAATTGTAGGATTATGTGATTCTGGCTTGTAGGAGGAGTTTGGTTTTGGGCGAAATTTTGTCATTTACGGGTGTCTTTGCGGTTGCTTAAGGAAACATACCATAGCTGAGTTACGCACAGTCTTATTGTGAATTATATTATGATGTTCATCATATCATGGGTAGCTCTCTGCGCCTATATGTCGTTGGTACCTAGGTCCTACTCGTCCTCCCCATCTCCACTGCTTGCCGCCACAGAAGCATCCGAATCGTACTCCAGCGCATCATCATCACTGTCATCGTCAGCCGCGAAGTCCTCATCAGGAGACTCCTCATCCTCATCATCGTCAGCACCCCTCTCCTTCATGACAACATCCTCATCATCGTCGCTCATGTCCGCCTCCTCAGCCAAAGCTTGCTTGATCAACTGCGTTGTATCCTCAGTCATCTCGTTCTTGACCTTAATCGACTTCAGCTTGAGGTAAGTAATGAGCGGTGACTGCTCCTCCTTGTTAATATTCGAGAGTGCAATCTCGCCCTTACTGCCACTGAGGGTGAAGGTAAGGTCGAACGTTCTGCTCGCTGAGCCGCCGCCAACACGAGATAGAGTAACGTATGAAACGTCAGAGATAGGGACATAAGTAGTCGGCTTAGGCACAAACAAGAAACTCTTGTCGAGACAGAAGAAGTGTCCCTCGTTCGCCTTCATGGAACACTTGATACCCTCCTGACCGTGTGCACCACGGAACGCCACACTCGGCGTGATGACCTTCTTGCTGGTCAAACCTTTGAAAAGCGAGCCCATGACTTCATACGTGGGCTGGTCGTACTTCTTCTGCAACTTGTCCTTGTATTCACGCTCGAACACATCGTCTTCCAGGTTGAGCTCCACCTCGCTCTCTTCCTCACCAGGCACCTGCGCAACCAAGAATGGGTATCGAGTCTGCCCTTGTCTAAGCGGGGGTTCCAATCCAACGACGAAGAGAATATGCTGAAGGTCTGGCTTCGGGAGGAGGAAGAGACGGGAGATGGAGGTGTAGGGGAGGGTGTAATCGTAGGTCTTTCCGCGGAGACGGAGGGAGGAGGGGTAGAGATCGATGTCGTAGCGTCCACGGGGGGTGAGGAAGAGGGTGTCGGAGAATGTGACGATGGATTCTCCTGCGACGGCGCCGATGTCTGCCTTATCCTTGATAGCGTTGTATAGTGCCGTTGCTGCGTCGACTTGTTCACCATCTTCGGCTTCGTTGTCAGAAGCGTCCTCGTTGTTGGCTTGTCCGGGTACGAAGAATCTCATCTCGACCAACTCGTCCATATCTGCAGCGTCGTCCTTGTCACCCGAATCGCCTGGAAGAGCAAATTCCAGCACGACTTCATTCTTTCCTGAAAGGTTGGTGTTCGCAACGGTCGAGAGAGGAATTTCAAATGCTGGCTTCTGCGACACATTGAACACGAGCTCTTGTCCATCGAACTCCGTCTTTCCCCAATTCCAGCCTCGAATAGCGTGCTCTTTTGACTCCATGCTCAATCCAAAGTTATCTTTCAGCGCCTCCTCCAAACTTCTGTGATCCTGCTCCTGGAAACCGTCCATACGAATGAAATCACCCTTTCGCAAGACCAACTTGCACTCCCACCCGCGAGCTGCCTTTGACCATGTTGCACGTTTCAGATCGGAGGAGGCAATTGTGATGGGGTTGCCGCCAGTGGAAGACTTCCAACCGAGACCAGACGACGCAAGTCGGAGCTTTCCGTGCGACTTGGAGAGGTTGAAGTAGATATTGTCGAACTGAGTGATCTTGTTCTCAACCATCGTGACGGAGGGACCCTGAGGGAAGAATGGAGGAGTTTGAGGAAATAATTGTGCACTTGAATTTGGGCGACGCGTTGGTGCCGGGCAGTCGCCCTCGGGCCCCTTAATGAACAATAAGACCGCGTTTATTCTCGCTGGAATGAGCCGACAAGGCCTTGAATATGATTTGAAATACTAAGAGAGAACTTTTGTCAATATCAGAGAGTATCCATGTTCAGCATCCACGCCTTCCTCCCCACACCATGCTCCAGATCAGATCCGTGAGGTAAGGTTACTGCGGGTGACTGACAACTGTAAGAAGCGACTCGAGTCAATCCCAAAGTAAACACCACCAAAGGAAATGTCTGGCGAGCAATCATTCACGAAGCAGAAGCTATGGGGTGTACGTATGGTACTCCTGTCCCTCCAGATCAGCACTGACCATGCTCACAGGGCCGTTTCACCGGCGAGACCGACCCTCTCATGACCAAATACAACGAGTCTATTGGCTACGACCAGAGGATGCACTACGCGGACGTCCGTGGTTCCCAGGCCTACGCTCGCGCCTTGTGCCAGAAGAATATCCTTAACGAGCACGAGCGCGACGAGATCATCCGCGGTCTCGACCTTGTCGAGAAGGAGTGGGCAGCGGGCTCCTTCCAGCTCGACCCCGCCGATGAGGATATCCACACCGCCAACGAACGTCGCCTCGGTGAGATCATCGGCAAGCACATCGCCGGAAAGCTCCACACCGGTCGTTCCAGAAATGACCAGGTCGCGACCGACATGAGGATCTGGTTGAGGGAGGAGTGCGAGAAGATCATGGAGTATTTGAAGGACTTCTTGATGGCTACTATTGCTAGAGCGGAGCAGGAGATGGATGTGCTGATGCCTGGATACACTCACTTGCAGCGTGCGCAGCCCATCAGGTGGTCGCATTGGCTTATGTCCTACGCCCACTCCTTCATGGCCGATCTCGAGCGTCTCTCTCAGTTGATAACCCGCTTCAACAAGTTGCCCCTGGGAGCTGGTGCCCTCGCCGGTAACCCCTTCGACGTTGACCGCGACTTCTTGGCTGAGCAGCTCGGCTTCAACGGCATCGCCGGAAACTCCCTCTACGCCGTCTCCGACCGTGACTTCATCGCCGAGTTCCTCTTCTGGGCATCCATGACCATGGTCCACATCTCTCGCTGGTCGGAGGACTTGATCATCTACTCCACCGCCGAATTCGGGTTCATCCAGCTCGCTGACGCATACTCCACCGGATCCTCCCTCATGCCCCAGAAGAAGAACCCCGACTCCTTGGAGTTGTTGAGAGGAAAGTCTGGACGTGTGTTCGGACAGATGAGCGGTTTCATGATGACCTACAAGGGTATTCCATCGACCTACAACAAGGACCTCCAGGAGGACAAGGAGCCCCTCTTCGATGCCGTCAATACCATCTCCGACTCCCTCCGTATCGCGACCGGTGTCCTCTCCACCCTTAAGATCCGCCAAGAGAAGATGCGTGCCTCCCTCACCATGGACATGCTCGCCACCGACCTTGCCGACTACCTCGTCCGCAAGGGCGTTCCCTTCCGTGAGACCCACCACATCTCCGGCGAGGCCGTCCGTTTGGCCGAGGAGCAGAACCTGTCTGGTATTGACCAGATCTCTTTGGAGGAGTACAAGAAGTTGCACGCGGCTTTCGAGGAGGATGTCAAGAACGTTTTCGACTTTGAGAGCAGTGTGGAGAAGAGGACCGCCAAGGGTGGAACGAGCAGGAAGTGTGTCTTGGAGCAGATCGAGAGTATTAAGAAGTCTCTTGAGGAGGTGAACTAAACAGATGTACGTTACAAAAGAGGAGTTAATGATGATACAATAGAAGATCTTTTTGAAGATTCCTGTTCTGCCTGTATTGCAAGAGCACGCAAGAACAGTCATACGTACGTGTTCATCATTAAAGAGTAATCTGATATACGCTACACACCGCGATAGTCCCACGAACGCAAAAGCACAGCAACCAAAGCTCCCCAAACACCCATAACCAGCCGTGTCCTGCACTCACGGACGTCCCATATAATAATCAAACAACAGCCATAATGCATATAGTGCAGGGGTATCCCATATCTTCCCTCCTTTCTCCTATCGTCTCAGCATCTCAGCAGGATTGCACTTTTGTTTAGCGGATCTTCGTATACGGATCCAACAAACTCAACTTCCGGAAATCGGGCTTCCCCTTATTAAACACATTCCAGAACCTCAACGTCTCATCCCCCGCTCCCGTCACGATCGTCTGTCCATCCGGACTCATCGCAAGGTATAGCACGCGAGACGTATGGCCCGTCAACTGCGCGACCTGTTGCATAGAAGGGTATTTCCACACGATGACTTGGTGATGTGTGAACCCGTGCGTGGAGACAATTTCATTGGTATTTCTGGACCATGCGAGGTTGCATACCTGTACGTCCACCGTTAGCGTGACTCGTTAGGATTCAGCTTGAAAGAACTACCTGAGAGCCGGTGTCTACTTCGTTGATCATCTGCCCGGTTATGGTATTCCAAAACTTAATCTTCTTGTCCGCGGTTCCGCCTCCACTCGCCAAAATACCCCTCTGATGCGGATTCCACGCAATAGCCTTGACAGCCGCGACGTGGTCCGTAAACTTATGCAGCGGTGTATCGTCCAACTGGTTCCAGACATAGAGTCGATTGTCGTTACCTCCAGAGGCGAGTTGACCATCCTCGGTATTCCACTTCAGTCCACAGACTTCTTGCTTGTGACCCGTCAGTTTGCGGATATGGTGTTCAGGTATCCGCACATCACGGTGGAAAATCGCACGATCTCTCCCTCCAGAGGACAAGATATGCTCATTCCACGCCAGAGCACCCACACGACTCGTATGCCCCGTCATCGTCCGTAACCGCTTCTGACGCTCCGCATCGAAGATGTAAACTTGGCCTTTACTCGACCCCACAGCGACATGCGTTCCACGCCCAATCCACGAAACACTCGTCACACTCTCCCCATTCGCCAGATCTGTCAGCTTGTTCACCTTTGCCGTGGTCGCATCCCACAAATACACCGAAGACCCAAGCCCAACACCCAAGACATTCTCCGAACTCCAGTCCACCAAGTTGAGATAGAAGTCATCTTTCAAATCCGGTGCGTCGAGGACCTTATACGGCACCTTCGAAATCTGCCTCGTCTGCTTCCTCGGACTCAAGAGTAACTGCTGAGAATCAAACCGCACCGGACTCAAACTGTAGATATCCCGCGTCGGATCATCAACACCCCTATACCCGGGACTCCGGCCATCAGGCGTATTCCTCTTCCGCGGACTCATATACGTAAATAAATTCCTCGAACTCGGTGTCGACGGCTGAGTGTTTCCATACCCATTCACCACACTACTCGCACCCGTACTCCGCGGCGGCGTTTTCATCCCAATCCGCGGATCCGCGAACGCACCTCCGAACCCGGCATTACTCGGACTCGTCCCCAACGCCCCCATGGCACCCCCTCCATGCCCGCCCATCCCCATTGATGATGAGGAGGCGGGTATGTCTTTCCCAAACAACTCACTCCTCAACAACGTCGAGAAAGTCTGATTCGCCTCCTCAATTCTCTGCGCATCAATCTCGCCCTGTGGACCACTCCCCGCCCACCGTCTCTTCGTCTTTGTCGGTGTAGTCGGTATCTCGACCATATTGAACCCAGCATGTAAATCCACGCCCTGGCGATTCGGGATGAATCTATCCCCATATCCGCCTCTTCTCCGTTTCGTTGGTGAGGAGGGCGAGGAGCCGTCTATTGACATCGCACTGCTGGGACGAACGGGGGAGCCCTCACGAGCGGTGGAGGATGATGCATTCCGTGCTCTACGACCAAACTCTGGGTCGAACATGTGTATGTGTCGCAAACCCCTCTAGGGTTTCTCGCTTGTCGTGGGTCAAACTATTCGCTGCCTGCTGCCGTACGTATGTCGATGCAAGAAAGGGGTGGTGCTACCCAAACAAAGGACCAAACGTCACAATCGCCACGGAGAAGCTGGATACTGGTAAAGAACGTCGTAAGTCGCGTGTCGCTTCTTCAGCAGAGCTCAACCGGGGTATATGACGGCCTTGACAACGCTCGTCTCTGGTTTTATTTTGTTGTTTGGTTCGTAATCGAGCGTATGGGATCGCAGGCACGACGCACTCACTGAGCTGAAGGCTTGCAGAGGGCCAACGTTAACTCCAACGGAGACTTCATTAACGGGTCGCTCGGTTTATACATGGATGACGGTTGTTGAGTAATCAGTATAACGAAGAAATATATGTGGTATGTGTTTAGAGATCGTCGTGAAATGCATGGTATCGCTCCCGTGCTCCACCGTCCTCTTCGGCCCCCCATATCCAGTCAAAACCAGAGATACCCTCGAATAAACATCGCCAATGCAATTGCCCAAAGTCCCCTAACCTCCACTCTTCCCACCCCACCAACCGAATACCTCCCCATCCCACTCTCACTCCCCGCCTCATCCAAAAACGCATCCCCACATCCAATCCCAATAACCCCTTTCACCGTATCCACACCCTGCACCTCATAACTATCATACGTCTCCACAACCATCAACGTACAATTCGAACACGTGGGTCTTGCACCGCCGGGGTATGTCGAGCCGAGGGGGAGGAAGTAGAGGTAGGAGTCCGCTGGAGAGGTGAATGTTATGGCTGTTGAGAAGCCTATGGGTAGCATTGTTAGCATATATGTAGGTTATGGAGGAGAGACGGAGGCGGACGTACAGTATGACCCCGTCGTGGGATCCTTCAAACACCCCGTAACAAACTCCACCTCCCACGCCTGAAACGCCTGTTGTACCCCCACCGCAACCGGCTGCCTCCTCCCCAAATCCACCTCACACTCCACCTCCAGCTCCTTCTCCAACTCCCCCAGAACCGCACTGCATTTATCCGGTTTAACCGAGCAGACTTGATCGAGTGCCGAGCTGACCGCGAATGCGCCCGCGCGTTCGATGTTGAAGAAGGAGGTTGAGGTAAGGAGGAAGGAGAAGGGGAGGCAGGATGTGAAGGAGGCATTCTGTTGGAGGGAGGAGAGGAAGGCGAGGCAGGAGGGTTGGGTGTAGTTTGTGCCTAGCTTGGCGTCGAAGGGGAGGAGGGAGGTTGTTGAGGAGGATGAGGAGGTGGTGGATGTCGAGAGCGTCGATGAAGCAGGAGCTGGAGAAGCAAAGGTTACGCAGGACGAAAATGCTGCAAAGATGAGAAACATTGAAAGAATGACATTCATCTTCATCATCTCGCTTGTTCGAAAGGCGCCTGTCAAGTATCAAAGAGTGTGTTGAGTGGAAATGCAACCTTAATGACCGTCTGGGCTCACACAAAGCTGAGTCGCCGAGAACGAACGGGAAGGGAGGAGATACCATGAGCATATAAAGTGTCGATTGAGTACGGGGTACGTTTATGCATCGTTGGGGCCTTGGATAGAGATTGAAGGTGGGGTGGGCGATTGAGAGGAGGTCTGTGCGTTCATGAAAGGTTGGACGGAAGGGAGGAAAGGAGGAGATGAAGGAGGCAAGAATTGATTGCAGGTCGAGGCTCGAAATTCATAAAACAGCATATAGGAGCAGAAATGTGTTAAACTTCAACTCTATCAGCTGGATGAATGCAGTAGATGGCGGTCTCTCGCTGTCACCCGTCCCGACGCTCGCAATACTAGATTCAGCAGGAGATTAAGCAGCAGAGGGCCGTTCTCGGAGGGAATCGAAGTTCATAGAAGACTTCAGAGTGAGAGCCGGTTGAGTTCAGGGAACCTTAAGCTTGGCTCGCGGATGAATGCTGCAATCCATTGCGATTGAGTTGTCGGCGTGACGACGGTCTTTCCAGAGTTCCCTTCCCGAACGCGTGCGAGCTTCCTCTTCAGGTCACCCCCAACAACCTTTTCGCAATTGGTCTCGATCAACATGTCAGGCTCAAGGAAAACTGTTTTCATGACTCTTAGATACGATATACGCGTCTACCTCTCAGAATCAACCCTACAAACACGAACTCACCTCCCACTCAGAACCTCGTCGACGCGTACGTACACGGGCCGCACCAGCCACAGCTCCCAACTCCAAGTCACCTCATCTATAAGTCGCTCCCTCCCTCCCTCGTCCACCAACACTTACACATAACATCTATTAACATGGCCGCCGACACTACCCCCGCTGCTCAGAAGAAGCCCGCCGGTAAGGCTCCCGCCGGAAAGGCCCCCGCCGAGAAGAAGGAGAAGAAGGTCGCTGCTCCTGGCGAGAAGAAGAAGGGACGCAAGGTCAGGAAGGAGACTTACTCTTCTTACATCTACAAGGGTATGTCAAATCTACTTCTACACGCGCACTTGACTCATCAAACGCGTCTTTTGCGTCCGTGTCCGCTCGTGAACGTGATGGCTAACGATGATACGTGTAGTCCTCAAGCAGGTCCACCCCGACACCGGTATCTCCAACAAGGCCATGTCCATCCTTAACTCTTTCGTCAACGACATCTTCGAGCGTGTCGCGACTGAGGCCTCCAAGTTGGCTGCTTACAATAAGAAGTCCACCATCTCTTCAAGGGAGATCCAGACTTCTGTTCGTTTGATTTTGCCTGGAGAGTTGGCTAAGCACGCCGTTTCTGAGGGAACTAAGGTGAGTCTTTACTTTTCTAATAATTCACTCCGTGTATAGAGGCTAACGATGGACGCACAGGCTGTTACCAAGTATTCTTCTTCCTCCAAGTAAACGCCTGCTATCAATGGCGAATTGGATTGAAGATAGGAGGGTGATAACGACGAGGATATTTGGCTAGGCTACGAAAGGGGTTCATTGCTTCTGGGTTTTTCTTACGGTGTTTTAACTTTCTGCGATTGCGGCGAGCGGCGTCTTTGTGTTTTTTCACTTTATAAGTATAAGTAACGCGTACATGTATTTGTATGTGTGACGTGCAATGGAATTTGTATTGTCAACATCTCCCTCATCTGTTTCGCAATTGGGTTTGACTTGTGTCATTGCCCAAGTGTGTATGCTGTACTAACTGGAGTCAATGCTCCTTTTAGATGATCACTGACAATCCAGGCAAATCTCCTCCGTCTCCGCCGGTTCCCCAGTCTCCGCATCTTCTTGTACCGCACCCTCCGCTGACTCAATCTTCTCTTTCGGCTCCTTCTTGTCTTTGGCAGCACCCAACCCTTCCGCAGATCCATGCTTATCAACGTGTCCCAGGTCCCGCTCAGGTTGGATGACGTTCCTAATCCTCTTCTTCAAATCTTTCGAATCTGTTCACTAAATTAGCGACCAACTTTTGAACTGGATGGGAATTTAAAGAACCCGGAAATCCTCCTTCAGCTTTCCGATCCCATACTAGGTGATCTTCATTGGGTCCGGTGGAGAGTGTCACGATAAACGTGCCGCCTGTCGAAGGTTGCAGTGCGACCTCCCCAATGTCCGTTGAGAATGTAGACATCAGTTCCTGCCGTATGGATTCAATTCAGCGCAAGGACTGGTGGAGGATCCGAAGGGGCGGACCTGAGCATACCACGCCGCTCGCAGGAGCCATTTGCATTGTGTGCAGAATGCGATACTGCAAGAAGATAACGTTGGCACGCCAGTTGCATGCACTTCATGGTTTTCTTCTTACGATACTCGGGGGTATACAGGCTGTGCAGACATGCTGTTGGTTAGGGTTGGTGTTCTGTATTGGACACTTTGCACACAGCAGTAAATGTGAGATAAGCAATGACGCCATAGCCAGGCAAAATTCGGAGTTGAGATTGAGAGGGAGCTGAAGAACCAGAATCATAGGAATATCAATTGAAGATTATGAAGCTACCTGTCCCAGCAGAGCAACGCACGAAAGATTAACAACAAACATCACTTCACATCCCTTCGTAGAGATTTCAGGGTTACATCCCCTACAGCTCTCCCTTATCCCTGGCCTCCCTAACCTGCTCAAAACACTTCAATAACTTCCTCCTAGCACCAAGTGCATTGACACCGATCGCGTCCAACTCCGCATCACCCATCTCAACCATATCCTGCCATGTCAGGCCCGTGAAGTTATCGGTGTACTTGTGGAGTCGCAAGCTTCTCAACCATGCCGACAAATCGGAAAGAAGCTCGGGGTTAGTTGGGTCTTCTTGGGGTTTTGAGGACGATGCGCGGCGTTGAGAACCGTTGCGGTGAACGGAACGGCCGGAGTGGTCGGAAAGGTAGCCTGCGGCGTCGAGCCCGAGGATCGGAGACGAAGGAGGGAAGGCGGCAAGGAAACCGTTGGCTTGAGGGGATTGGATACCAATTGGTACAGTCCAGCCTGCGGTGGTGGGGTAGGCCGAAGCCAAAGGACTCGTAAGTCCGGGACTTCTTGGACGCTGACCGGAGAGGAGCGGGCTCGTCGGTGCTCGCTGCGGCAAGGCAGTCAAACGACCGTGTTCATCGTACATGACGATGTTGGTGGCACTGGTGGGAGTGCCAGCGTAGGCACCGGCGTTCGATCCAGGAGTGCTAGGCGCAGGGCTCTTCGCTCCACGACGGAACTTGCGGACATCAGAGTCCAAGATGATCTGTCGGTGCTGCTGCAAGACCTGCTGTTGCTGCTGCGCCAGAGCCTCCCTGAGCGCATTCGCGTTGGTAGTCGCGGACTGCGAGGAAGTGCTCTGGCTGAACATAGGCACAAGAGGGGTGTTTACCATACTTGCCCATGAACCACCAGAAGGACCACCGAAAGGCGAGTCAGGAACGAATGATCCGGACATAACTCGAGGGCTCTGAGCGGAAGCAGAGAGCCTGCTGGCGCTGGTGGGCCATCCGCCAGTCAGATCCGCACTCTTCGGTCTTATGATCTCTGAGGCACGGACGCTAGTAGGCGTACCGGTAGTACCCCATAATGGGCTCTGAGGGTGATCGAACGCAACGGATCTGCGGTTCTGAAGGCGGGCGCGCTCCTTTGCAATAGCCGCTGCTGCATCCGGGAACAAGTTCGACACAGTCGAGGCATCAAGAGCAGTAGATTTGCGGTTGGGGTGCGAGGCAAGAGATGGCGACGGGATGCTGAGTCCGGACATAGCAGCAGAGAGCTGACCCTGTATCACGTCTTTGTCGTAGTTCGCCGGGCTGAGAAGTTGACTCATGGGGTCGCTTCTCAACATTTCCCTCAGAACCTGGATCAAAAATCTCTTCTGCACGGAAGTGGTGCCGTTCAAGAGGCTGTACAAAGCAGCTGTCCGCTCAGCCTCGGAGAGAACGCGGAACCACTGCTCGATCGCAGAAAGCTCCTCCTTGAAGTTGGTGTCCAATGATGCCGCCGCCATTTCCTCGAGAGTAGATTCATAGTGAGCAAGATCCTGAAGCCACTGGTCCATAGCCTGTGATTCAGGGTCATCTGCCGGTGGGGGTGACATCGCTCCGCCAGCTCCAGCCCGGGACGCATTGCGGTGACTCGTCGATGCGAGGAAGATTTCAGATGCTGGGCGCGCAGACCGTGCTGACAAGGGTGACTGAAATGCAGAAAAGTCGCCGGAGGCGCGAAGATGATGTGAGCGCTGCGAAGGCAGGCGGAGAGAGTCCGGGGTGTTAAAATTGGCGGACATTTTTCGTATGAGGTTGTTGCAAGTATTAGGTTGGCACAGCCGATCGTAGATTTGTTGATATATGCGGAAACTCCTTGTGCGAACCTCAATACAAAACTACCTGGTGATATGTCAGCAACGGTCCAGGATGATTAGGAGACGCGTATGGCGATACTCGACGGGAAACTCCATGAACGCGACCTCAAAGCTCACACCGTCCCATACGTTCCCTCGCCAGCATAAATCGCCGCGTTCAAAGGCCTTCCCGCCGTGACTATCGCGTTCGCCGCCCGAACTTACCTTTCAAAGATTGACGGGTATCTTGACTAAGCGTTCAGATCCTGCAGCGAGTACTCGAAAACCAGTCTCTTTTCTTCGCTGAACCTCAAAGGATACGTCGCTAAGTCTTCTGAATGAATGCCGTTTTCTTGAGGAGCCTGTCCGTGAATATCTCGACCGTCCTCCTTCGCGATCGCTTCGATTGTTTGCCCGCGCTACCAGCCACCGCAAATGATTGGCTGACCTGGGCCACTTCAGTTGGGGGGGGGTCGGACCTGAATAGGCCTGCGCATATATGCTCCCCAGATTACAGGACGAAAACAGTGAGCGGAACCAGCATTCAGTCCAGCATTCACCTCCAGGATGGGCGACGAAGGTCAATCGATCATGCACATTGATCCTCAGCTGGCTGCTATGTCCGGTAGGCCTTCGACGGAGAGCTGGCTGGAGGGTGGGTCGAGCAATGAGCCTGACTACCAAGTCGAGAAGATCCTGAAGAAGGGGTTCACGGAGGAGGGCAAACGTGTCTTGTATCTCGTGCGTTGGAAGGGCTACACAGAACAGTATGACTCATGGGAACCTCGTGAGAATCTGCTGGTACGGGAACGTGAGCTGGTTGATGAGCTCGAGGAACGTCTGAAGGAACTGCGACGGCAGCAGGCCGCGGAAGAGGACTCGGATGACGAGTCGGACGACTTCAGCTCTGACGGAGAGTACATTGACGAGGAAGCGGAGAATGCGTACAGTATGCCGCCAAACCCAAACATCAATGTCCTTGACCCAGATTTATGGTCTGATGAGAGCGAAGAGGACGGTGATGGGGAGGACGCATTGATGGGTAACACATCCCTGCGCAGCGGAATGAAACAGTTCGGCAGACATGGAGACGAGGACGACGACTTCGAGAATCTGCGGAATGATCTGCGCGTTGGCAAGGGATTCAAACAAAAAGGAAAGCGAAAAGGACGCCGTGGACCACTTATGTACCAGCCTTCAGTAGAAGTGGAAGGTCTTCTTGCTCGCGCCAACGAATTCTGGATTCATCTGCACGACCCAGATGCGGCACGTAAGATCTTCCTGGAAATCATCCGGATTGACCCACGCGTAGTCGCGGCTTACCAAACGCTTGGTACGATCTACATGGATACGGGACGCCCCAAGGAAGCACTGGATATATGGTTTCTAGGAGCGCATCATCAATCGAGAAACAATGAAGGTTGGGTGACCTGTGCTAAGCTCGCAACGCAGTTTGCGGAGGAAGAGACCGAGGAGAGGACAGAGACTCAGAGGGACCATTACAGGAAGCAAGCAGCTTACTGTTATTCCCGTATCCTATCTAATAAGACGGGTGATGTTGACGCGCTATGGGAACGATCTATTCTTTTCCGTCAACTTGGAAAAACGCAAGCGGCTATCACTGGATTTAAGAGGCTGCTGGACCTTCTGCCGTATGATATGAGTATATCGAGGGAGTTGGCGAGGATATACAGCGAAGATGGCAATTACATTGAAACGATCAAGCTCTATGGAGATTCAATGCAGCATTACATGCAGTCCTCGACTATAAAACCTGGGTCAAAGTTTGATTTCTCCGAGTTAAATATCCTAGCAGAAGCTTACATGGAAGAGGAGCGCTGGAGTGAATGCATTGAAAGGATCAGGTCTGGTGCGCGCTGGCTTCGTGGCAGAAGATCGGAGACCTGGTGGGATGAGGTCGGCACCGATTGCGAGTGGGACGTTGATGATGAACGAAGAAGAAAGGCGGTCGAGGTCATCAACAGACGGAGTCGCAGGACAGTTGGTCTTAGAGACGGCAGGGACATGTACTCTTTACCTGTGGAGCTGAAGATTAAGCTGGGGCAGTGTCGGTTGAAGTTGGGCGAATGGGAGGAAGGTTTGCAACACCTCCAAGTCCTGGAGGGGCTGGATCCTGAGCAGTGGCAAGAACCTTTCCTGGCTGCTGCGGATGCGTGTTTGGAATTTGCGGAAAACTGCGATGATTCTGAGCCAGTCGATGAGATTGATCCTGACCCCGAAGTGATCACAGAGAACGAAGAAAGAGAGCGAATCAAGGCGGCAGCATACGACGCGAGTTGCAGCTTCTACCACGCGCTGAATGAATGTGAGGCCACGCGTGCTCCGGCGAACTACATGGGACTGGGAAGATGTTGTTTGGCCTTAAAGGAATACGAGGATGCGGAGAGTTGCTTTTCAGTTGTCTACACCATGCTTCCGAATGACATCGATTCACGCGTTCGTCTTGCTGAGATGTACGAATTGCTGGATAGGAGAGATGAAGCTCTGGCTCTTATCAACGATGTCATTCGCATTCGCAGCGAGGAATTGGCGAAGCTGCCTGCAGAAGCACTCGAGAAAGTTGAGGAGGAAGATGACGACGACGAACATGCCATCTTCAAGGTGACTGACAGGGTTCGCCCTAATCGATGGGGATACAAGAGAATGCGTCGACAGCTGGAGCGCCTCCGTGGTATTAAGATTCAAAACGAAGAGGCTCGTATTGCGGCTACGATCGAGCGCGGTAAAAAGCTTGACCTCATCCGTGAGCAGATGGAGGCGCACGATCCCGTTGCTGTAGAGGAGTGGGTGAACACTGCCACCGAGCTTTGCGAGGAGTTTGCTTCCGTCAAGTCCTTCTATCCTGGTGAAAGATGGCAGAAGTTCAAGGGGTTGCGATTCATGCAGACCAAGAAGAAGGGTATGAACGAGCGTTTGGAAATGTTGGCACATAGACTTCAAGAGTCTGCAGCTGGAGACGATTCACAAACTGCTTGGGGAGAGGATCCTGAGCGGTATCCTACGGAGTTCAGAGGGATGGCGTGGGATAAGTGGTTGCACACATTTCTGCAATGTGCAGTGCTACTCGCAACGTACGGAGATATTCTGGATGCGTACAAGATCTTGGATTCCGCAGTGGCAGCAAATGTGTTTTACCAGAACAAAGAGCGGGAAGTACAAATGCATCTAGTGAGCTTAGGTGAGAGAGACGCATTCAATGTCAGAAACAGCTCGCTAACCCATAATCACAGCTTGTGCAATTCGCGCCAATGACGCGGAACGTGGTCAAGCGGCTGCAAGATGGTTCTTGCAGAAAGAGAGTCACACCTTCGATACTTTCAAGATGTTCTATGCCGCTATCGGTACTGGTCATGACAGTCTGGATACCTTTGTCGCCGGACCTAGTCAGAAATACTTCCTGCGTCTCGTCAGGCAAGTTGATACCGTTTTGGACAACAAGCTCTCATCAAAACCCAACAAGACTGCACTGCAACCGCCGAAGAAGAATATTACCAGGTACAACCCGTTCGCGTTGATGACATACGGGCATATGATGGCCGGGAACAAGAGTTATGTAGTTGCTTTGAGTATGTTTCACTATCATGCATTGCTCTGAGCACTGAAGCTGATGGAACTTGCAGATTACTATCTCCGCGCATATGCTATTGGCCGCGAAGTCGGTGTCGTCGATCCCATGGTCTGCTTTTCGACCGCAGTGGCCTATCTTGGCCAAGCCTTGAAGCGTCAGACCGACAACCGACAGTACCAGATCATTCAGGGTTTCATGTTCTTGCTCAAATATTACGACATTCGCAAGGAACAGGGACGTTTTGCACGCCTTGAAGCTGAGTACAACATGGCCAGGGCGTACCATCACTTGGGTCTAGGCCATCTTGCTATTCCTTGCTACGAGTCTGCGCTTCGTCTTTCTGACGAGCTGCACGAAGGGGTCATGGAGAACACCCCTGAAGCAAAAGAACTTGAAAGGTTTGATTTCAGGTGGGAAGCTGCATACAATCTGCAGCTGGTCTATATCGTTGCTGGAAATATGAAGTTGGCGAAGAAGGTTACAGAGAAATATCTGGTGTTGTGATTTCTGCGCTCGTCGATCTCGGGAGGGAGGGATTTTGCGTATTTTTGGCGTTTAAGGAGTTATGTATCATGATTACGAAGTGCTCGTATTCCTACTCAGATAGTAACTCCAATGCTTATATCTAATGACAACCTGTGATTCGTATACCATACCCCGTCTGCTTTACCCATCCAGGACCCTCAACATCTCCTCGACTCTTCCGAATTTTTCCCTGTACTTGCCCTTCTCCTCTCCCTTCTTTGTCTCGACTTCATCGATCTTCTTCCACTCCTCCCACTCAACTGTTCGCAATCCAGTCGGCACCTCTTTCTTGAGTTCGTCCCATCCACCGACCCTAGTGTCATTCAGCAAAGGTTTAGAACCCGCGTAATCAGAGCAAATAGCATCAGCAGTCTGGAAAGCGTCGTACATCGTTGAGGCGATGACACCAGTCGGACCCCGCTTGACCCAGCCTGACGCATACACACCTGGCAGAATGTCGCCTTCCGTACCAATCTTCGTTACACGACCATCGACATTGGGGATAACACCTCGTCTTGAGTCGAAAGGAATTCCACAGTCCTGCATACCACCGATCGCCTCGGACTTGTAACCGATGGACCGGAAAGCAAGCTGAGCTTCGTAAGTTACAGTCTCATCCGTGGCTATCGCCCGACCATCTTCCAGCTTATTCTTCACCATCTCGACTGCACCCAACTTCATCGCGTTCGCATCGCTCGGCAAGAACCGTGTAGGTGACTTGAGCAGTTCAAGTTCCCACATCTTGTGCGCGTCCGCTGCTGGAGGCTTCGCCGATGCCATAGCTAACAAATCCAACAGTCGCTTTGATGGTCTCGTCAACTTCACATCGGGACCAGGCGTAAACAGTTCCGGTTGACTTGACTTGAATCCTACGCCTGGTACGGCCAACAGCTCTCTCACCTCCTTGATTGTGAAACTTGCCTCCCTCGCTCCTCGTCTTCCCACGACTCGGACACGCTTAACTTTACTATCTCTCAGGGTGTCGACAGCCCAGCTGGAAATATCCGTCTTCGCCAACACATCAACAGGGCTTAGCAATACACGTGCGACGTCAAGTGCGACGTTTCCCACACCGACAATAACCGCCTCCTCAGCCGACAAATCTGGTGCCAAGTCACGGTACTGAGGCAGACCATTGTACCAACCCACGAATGCTCGTGCAGAATGCACACCCGTCAAATCCTCCCCCGGAATTCCAAGTGCCCGGTCCTGACTCGCGCCATACGCGAAATCGATAGCATTGTAATGTCTCAACAACACCTCCAAAGGCAAGCTCTTCTGCATAGGCGGTGCAGTAGGATCTAAACTTGTCGAAAACGCACTTGATCCTTCTTTCTCGGCGGGCGTCGAAACGGAACCAATAGGCGTATTACCAATAAATCGGAAGCGTGGATCAGAGGCGACTTCTTCGAATTTGTGCATCACGTTTTTAACTTCAGGATGATCCGGTGCAACACCATACCGCACAAGTCCATACGGTACAGGAAGCGCCTCGAACATATCCACCGTCGCTTCCGGAACCTGTTGTAGCACTCTGTACGCAGTATAAAACCCGCCTGGTCCAGAACCGATGACCGCAACCTTCAGTGGCAGGCGAGAAGAAGTGGCGACATCTACTGAGTAAAGACGACGACTTGCAACCTGCCGTAGTGTTGGAAGGGGTATTCTTAGAGGCATTGCTCGGATCATGTTCGTCTGATTTACTCACGTATTTGGAAGACTACGTTACACCACTAATTTGCACAGCCACACGTATGAGGCCCCCGAAGCTGCCGATTGGATACCCTGGTCCTCCACGGCCAAACGGACACACCGGCAGACCAATGAGGGTCATTAGCAAAACGATTTGTGTATAGGTTAACCAAACGAGACTCGAACGAACAGATAAAACCAAGGAAGAAAAAGACAATTGCAAAGAGAGGGACCACCACGGAAGAACATTAGCAACTCGTCGCTTCACCCCGTAAAAAACTACAAGACAATGGTCCTCGTTACTCCCACAACAAGCAACAAGCAACAAGCCACCACAACCCATCAACCCAACAAACACCCAGATCTTACAATGCCCAAAGCGACTAAACGTGAACAAGGAAAGACGACACGGTCTCGATGCAAATATGGAAAGGTGGTGGGTGCTTTACTTTCCACCCTTCTTTTGCTTTCGAGGTGGCGTCATTGGTCTTTAACGGCTGGACGTCAGTTCAGTACATTGATCTTTTGAAAATAGAGGAGGAATGCTTACCCGAACCTGCCTCCACCCATACCACCATAGGTATACTTTTGTTTCTTCTCTGCTGGTTTCAGAATCTATTCGTGGATAGGTTAGTCACTGTCGCAAAGACTCGATCTGGTAATTTCACGAACCTGGAAACTGCAAAGCAAACTCTCGTCAACACTCATCATCGCACCCGCATTGTCAAACTCTCCACAGTAGTTCGGCGCACTGAATAGCGTGACCAACTGCCTCTTCGAGAAGAACTCATAACCATCCTCAACGACCTGGTGAGCACGACAAATCAAGTCCATATCGTGCTTCTGCAAGAACCTCGACACGACATCAGGACCGAACGTGAAGGAGACACCACGGTCGTTTTCAGACCATCCAGTGATGTCCTTATCCGGGTCTGACCAGAGAAGGTCACAGAGGAGACCAGTATCGGGAACGTCGGTTGGTCGCATTACTCGGCGGATCTGCTCCATGGAGTTGAGGTCAGGGGAAAGTCCACCGTGCATGGTGAAGATCTTTTCGTCGATGATTGCGGCGATGGGGAGGCAGTTGAAACAGTCGGTGAAGGTCTTCCATAGCTTGATGTTATATCTCCTCTTGCCTATACATGTTGTTAGCAATGTTTACCTCAAATCCGAAGCGCACATACACTCATCGTAGAAACCGTAGATACGGTTAATGCTTGCGCACTCGTGGTTACCACGCAAGATGAAGAAGTTTTCGGGGTATTTGATCTTGTAGGCGAGCAACAAGCAGATGGTTTCCAAGGACTGCTTTCCACGGTCGACGTAGTCACCAAGGAAAAGGTAGTTGGCCTCGGGAGGGAATCCACCGTACTCGAAGAGTCGAAGAAGGTCGTAATATTGACCGTGGATATCACCTGTACGTTGCGTTAGCATTGATGGCTTGGCGTTCACGAGTGTTGATGTGCATACCGCAAATCTAAAGACATAGTGTCAGCATATATAACGGAAGTATTAGGCGAAGGGAGCTCACCTTGATGGGTGCTTCCAGTTCAAGGAGTATCGGCTGGGTGATGAAAATCTCCCGTGCCTTTGTACACAGGTATCGGATCTCGTACTCTGCCAATTGCACCTGCTTGCCAGGCCTGCTTCCTCTCACTATACGTCGAGCATTAGCCATTGTCCTCCACTGCGTACAATCAGGCAACGCACCCTCCAACAACCTGTCGATGACAGAGTCCAAGTCGATCTCGTTGGTGTCGGCCATTGCGTGTTTGTGTTGTTTTATAAAGTGTATACTGTAAACGGACCCGTTGTCGAAAGACGTATCAATCAGATGCTAACAAACGAAGGGAACGAAACCGATATCTGAATATGCGCAATTGGCGAAAAAGCGTCTGATTCAGCGGCGAAACGTGAGGGTTCCTTTTGGTATCGATGTGTTGTAGTTCGAACCGGAAGCCCGCGAAAAACGTGTCCGACAAAAAAACTGAAGAATTGGCGCAAGTGACAAGAGAAGGCGCTGAGGGGAACCTTCTATAGAGACGAGGAGTGAACCGAGACTGGTCGTTCAGCTGGGAGAACTGCTGATTGTCCTTGGTCGAGACCTTCTGCGTGTTCTTGTGAGGATCTCGTAGATGTGGTGCAGTCCGGCGTGATGCGCGTCCAAGCCCGCCGCAGCACCAACTTTTGCCCCGTCCGCGAGTATGAGAGGCATGGTAACCGAAAGAAGTTGGTTGCATTTCCCTTTTTTACTCTTAACCTTTCACACAACCTCCTTGTATATTGCACCAAGCTGGACTTATCGGCTTGCAGGAGCCGCCCTCAATCACAGAGCATCTTCCCTGCAGCTGGCCAGGGCGTAGCGCGGGGATCAGGCTGGGCCTATCGGCTGGCAACGGCCGTCATCAGTCACGGAGCATCTGCTCGACCGAACATCGAACTTCCCGTCCCACGTCAACCTCCACCCTTCCCGCCCAATAGCAACAGCATACACTCGCAATGGCTCCTCCCAAATCCAGAAAGGTCGCCGTTCTCGGCTCTCGCTCCGTCGGTAAATCCTCCCTCACCGTCCAATTCGTCGAAAAGTACGTGCGCGCCGACCGCATACACCCCCTACAACCGTTTCCTCGGGATGAATGCTAACAATTGGGCAGTCACTTTGTCGAATCATACTACCCTACAATCGAAAACACCTTCTCCAAAACAATCAAGTACAAGAACCAAGAATACGCGACCGAAATCATCGACACGGCCGGCCAAGACGAGTACTCCATCTTAAACTCCAAACACTCGATCGGTATCCACGGATACGTTCTCGTGTACTCCGTTGCGTCCAAGTCGTCTTTCGAGATGGTCAAGATTATCAGAGACAAGATTCTGAATCACACGGGGACGGATTGGGTTCCGATCGTGGTTGTGGGAAACAAGAGTGATTTGCACATGCAGAGGCAGGTTAGTGCGGATGATGGGAAGGCATTGGCTCAGCAGTGGAATTGTGCGTGGACGGAGGCGAGTGCGAGACATAATGAGAATGTTGGTATGTGCAAGCCGTGATCCTGGCCCCTCGGGGTATGTTGGATGAGTGCTGACAAAGCATATAGCCCGCGCATTCGAACTCGTTATTGCTGAGGTTGAGAAATCCGCAAATCCGCAGAACCCTCCCGAGAAGGGGTGTGTCATTGCGTAAACCCGTATTTACGCCAACTTCTAGAAGAATGTCATGGGTATGAGTATGATTACAGTAGATGGATGGGTGTGAGGGTATTGCATCGCGGTTTTCGATGCGAGGATATTACCGAAGGGAAGCACGTCGAATTGTTTGCTTTGGATTGATTGTGACTTTTGCTTTGTCTTTTGCGTTTGCTTTAGGTGTTGTTCGTCATTTTAGGATATGTAGGTTAATGGGCAATTGGTCAACCTGACTGATATTCTGACTGTTCATTTCCTATGAGGGGTATCGTACACTCGCATGCCTATGCACTGTATCCCACAACTTAATGAACCGGACTCTTGCTCCTGGTCGAGGCATCATACTGAGCCGGACCAGCGGCATACCCAGCATACGCCGCACTCGGAGCAGCAAGGCCCTGTCCACCGTGGACACCTCCTCCCCTACCAACAGCCATGTAGCCAATACTTTCCTCCCTGTCCATCTCGTAACCACCCAGTCCCTCCTGCTCCTCCTGGTTCTCCAAATCCCCACGTTGCGGAGTTCCCCAAGTCCTGACAGGATACGCCTCACCAACCCTCACAGAGGTAGTAGATCCCGTGCTGGCACCCTGAGGAAGACGTCCCTGGCGGGCGGCTTCATTCTTCACAACGTCCTTCGCCGTCAACGCAGGATAATACTGCCTATACGCCGCCCACGCCGTCCCCCACCCAATCAAACCCCCAAACAAAACATCAAACCCATGATGCCTCTGATCCATAATCCTACTCGCCGCAACCAGCCCCGCAGCCAACGTCGGGATAAGTACCACCGCACATTTCCACACGTTACCCCTGGTGTCGAGGACGTTTGTTTTGCCGCCGACCCAGAAGGAGAGGTAGGTTAGGCCTGCGAAGGCGGTGGAGGAATGGCCGGAGGGGAAGGAACGGAAGGCTTCGCGCATGATGCGGGATCCGAGGTCGACGGTGCAAATAGTGGCGTCGTACATGGAGTAGACGTTATCCGGTGTCTGTTTGGAGGTGTCGGGTTGACACCGTGCCAAAAAGTCCGGTCGAGGTCTCCCCACGGCGTTCTTGAGACAAGCAGTGATGGTGACCGCACCCGCAAAACTCAACGCAAGCCCCAAGCATCCGCAATGCGCTTCCCACAACTTCCGTTCTTTTCGCTCGAAGAGGAGGGACCAGATGACGATGATAGCACCCGGCGCGATGACCGAGACGACGATGAGGAGCCATACGGGGACTGTTTCGTGTTCGGCAAAGCGGTGCCAGAGTGATTCGTTCGTGAGGGTGAATTGTTGGTGGTGCGGTTGGATTGCGTCGATAGTCGTAAAGACCACGAGGAAGAACACGAGCAAGGCGTAATCAAAGAAGTATGATGCCAAGATCTTCTTCCGTGACGTGTTACTGACGTTTGGAGGGAGGAGGGAGGACATTTCGTCGTAGTTGTCTGGTGTTGAGGGGGATAGAGTGGATTGGAGACGTGAGCGTAGGGACATGTTCAGAGGCTTTAATTGGCGGTCGGTCCGCGGACGTGAGTGATTTTGAGTTGTGGCAGGTCGAGGCGAAGTCACAGCCGCGGGAGATCACCCTGCCTGCCTTGGCGAGGTGTCTGTAATTAATAGCAGTGTTGTACTGTTTCTTTGAGTTCTTCTGATAAATGTCTACAGCTATGGCCTAGCTGCGACAGCTTCAGCTGCTTCTGCAACCTTCTCAGTCCACGACTTCTCCATCAACATGCTTTCCACCTCCGCCAACACCGCTCCTGCCTTCAGCGGTATTCTCAAATCTCCTTCCTCCTCTATCAGAATCTCTCCTTCACCTCGTATTGGTCCTCCCCAGTTCACCACCGCAACACTCTTCCCCGTCTCCTTGGCAGCTCTAATCAACCGAAACGCCGAGTACGTCGCTAACGAAGAACCGATGACCAATACCCGATCCGCCTGTTCCACAGCTTTTTCCGCAGCGATTTTGTGTGATTCAGGAACCTGCTCACCAAAGAAGATAACCGAAGGCTTTAAGATCCCGCCGCCCTCGACCCAAGCTCCAGCCGCATCAGTCTTCGCCGCATCACATTTCTTGCATGCCGGATACCTGAAATGCTCATAACTCTTCTCCGTCTGTGTATCTCCATCCGGTCTCCTCTCCTTCGGCAACTGCACATCTCCATCCGGGTTAATTTGCAGCTCTTTCTCGTTCATCCGCAATAACTCCGCCCAATCCGGGTTCAACCTCTTTAGCTCCTCCTGGAACTCCTGTCGGTGTATATGTCCCCTACAACTCAAACAAAGCACTTTATGCAAACTCCCATGTAACTCCAAGGTCGGCACATCCGGTGAGGACGCCGTATGCAGCCCATCGACATTCTGCGTAATCACTTGACTCAAATGTCCGTGCCTCCATAATCCCGCCACACGTTTATGTATATCATTCGGTCTCGCTCGCTGAACAGGCGGATACCCCAGAAAACTCCTCGACCAATATCGTTGTCTTGACGTATGTTTCTCCGTAAACTCGGAAAAGAAGATCGGTCTGTAGCTCTTGTTCACCCGATATGTGCCTGTCGGACCTCGATAGTCCGGGATACCACTGTCGACGGAGACGCCGGCGCCTGTTAGGAGAAGTGTTGAGCGTGGTCGGTTGCTTTTTGTGAGGAAGTGGGACAGGGCGAAGGCGGCGTGGTAGGGTGACTGGCCGGCGTTCGCTGGGATGGGAGTGACTTTGAGATCAAGTGCTGGGCCGAAGGGGACACGCATCTGCTGTAGAGATCAATTTTGAAAAGTGTATGAGAACTGTATGAGAAGAGTTGTCGGAGGTTGTCGCCTTCAAGATTTCTAAATAAGGCAAATCCATTACGGCGTATTGCATTAGGCTGGGCCGCGCCGAAATGCAGGCAACCGATCGCGTGAACGATCGGCTATGAATAATGCTTGCTCGGTATATCGATGAACTGTTTTCTTATGCTAACTTGCTCATATGGTGTCGCCTATCTGCGGTCATCATATCTGTTTCCCCTCCTATCATCCCTCCTACGATCATCAACGCCGGGACTCTTCCTCGAGGGCCTATAGAAATCCCCGTCTAAACCCCTCCAACGTCCCTTGGGAGTTGGACTGCGAACCCTGCGCGGTGGGCTCCTAGACCTGGACGGGGTTCTGGACCTGGAGCCATCCCTCCTTCCTCTGCTTTCCTTGGTATCCTTCGTAGCAGTGCTCTCCGCTTTTGTAATCTTAGGCGACGTCCTGGACCTGGATTTGGGTCTGGATGATCGCGGCGGAGACTTGGAGTGCGACCGCGACCGAGACCTGGAGCGTGACCTGGAGTCGGAGTAGGACCCAGTCCTAGACCTCGACCGGGACAAGCGCGACCGCGAGCGGGAGTAACTGGAACTCCTACTCCTACTCCTCGACCTCGAATCATAAGACCTGGATCTCGACCTCGACCTCGACCTAGCACGTCCATGGGTACGACCACGACGAGGCGAGGGAGAGCGGGAGGAACAGTAGCTTCTACTCCTCCGAGAGTCGCGGGAGTCAGACGACCTCGACCTCGACCGAGAAGAGCTGTAGGATCTGGATCTCGAACGGGAGCGGGAGTCACTATACGATCCCGATCTCGACCTGGAGCTATACGATCTTGACCGACTCCTCCCACGGCTGTCATAGCTACTTCTCGAATCGATCGACGAAGACCTGCTCCCAGCCTTGGCAGGTAACGCAGCCGGTACCGTAGGATTTCCCTTCAACCACTCCCTCAAACCCTCCGTAACCGCCCCCAACCCAATACTCGTAAAATAATTGATCGCAAACCTCGTGTTCCGACTCTCATCCCTCGGAAACAGCCCTCCGAAGCACTCTTCCAACATCGGATCTGCCATTACAGCTTTCAATGCGTTAAGTCCAAGTGATTCCTGGAGATCTTGGAAAAGGATTTTGATGAAGATACGGGAGGAGGATGTTGTTTCGTCTTCGTTTAGGTGGATGCAGGAGAGGACGTGCCAATGGATCGCTTCGGTGGATAGGAGGTGTCCGAAGAATTTTGCGATGTTGCGGAGTTTGTTGGATTCGTAGCGGTGGATCGTCTCGTAGTAGGTCTGGAATGCGCTTTGGAAGGTGTCGGTCCACATCCTGTTCAACTTGCAGAATCGCTCACCCATTAACCCATAGAAACGACTGTATGTCCGTTCTTGGGAACAACACTCCACGATCATGTTTGCTAGCTCGATTTGTTGTCCTTCGGGGATGTTGATCCGCATGAGTTTGTGGCAACATTCTTCGTAGTCAACGGAGGACATGATCGTCAAATAAATCGTGCGGCGGAGGTTCACGAGATTGGTGTTTGTCTGGTCTTGGATTTCCTGACGCTTGGCTTCGTCGACCACAGCTGCACCTTCGGTTTCTTCTTCGTCGCTTTCGTCTTCGTCGTCGGATCCTGACTCTTCGCCTGAGTCACCGAGGATTTCGGCCTTGATTTCTTTGTATCTCTCTTCGTTTTCTTCGAATTCTGGGTCGAACTTGAAGACACCCAGACCTTCCTGAACATCCAACTCGTCGTCCAAACTGATGTAATGCGTGATCTGGTCATCTTCCTCGACAAGATCGAGACCCTCAGGGATGATGGGATGGTCTTTGTACTTGTCCTTACGGACCTGGAAGAGTACTTCAATCATGTACTGAACCCGCTTGTCGATCTGCCCTTCGTGAAGGATAGCGCGGAAGCGGTCAAAGACTCCGTTATTCGCCTTCGGTGAAACCTCGGCAAGGTACGCACCGACTTCCCTTATGAATCCGACCGCAACCTCAACCGAATCATCCGTAGGTCGCTCAAGCAACAACGACAAGATCTGCAACGCAACGATCTCATGCGCCACAGCCTGGTTACACAAATGAGCAATAAAGGTCGTCGAAGAAAGACAAACAGATTTGTCATTCCTCTTGAACGCCTTCCTGAACTGCACAATCAACCTCGTAAGCAACAACTCCCCAACCTGCGGCAATTTCGTATTAACCACTGCCGTCAACGCTGTCAAGACCGGTGTGAATGGCAACGAAGCAGCTTGGGCCTTCATAATACTCCTCGCGTACAACCCCCTTCCTCTAACCAAGTTCTCTCCAAAAAGCTCCGGAATGATCATCTTGATATTCGACGTATTGACCTTATTGATCAACCCATTGATCGACTTCTTCAACGCCTCCCAATGCATACGTTGATACTCCTTCGTATTCTTATCCGTAAACTGCGCCTGTAAAGCCCGAAGACGAGCGGGCGGGACGTAGGTTCCACCCGCACGAGTCTCCATGAGACGTTCGAATTCGGCTTTTGCGTCAAAGGGCTTCTTTTCGGGTTCTTCGGTTCGCTTCTCCATTTGTTCTGCGAGTTGGCGTTCACGCTCACGGGCACGGGCAAGATCGACGTCGGGGACAGCCGGTCTGTCATGACGAGCATCGTTGCGCGGTCCTCGAGGTGGAAGATCATAACGAGGTCCACGGGGCGGGGATAAACGTCGACGGTGGGGAGAGGGCGGCGCAGGTGAACGAGAGACCGATCTCTTCCGCTTCTGCGCAGGGACGACCTCAGCCTGCTCCGCAACCATTGGCGTTCCCTCCTTCCCTTCGTCCTTTCTGCCATTCCTTTCAGCAGCTGGCGACGACATGATTGCTCGTCGTCGTTCGTTGCCTTAGCTTTGGAGTTTCCGGCCCATGCAGGCGCGTCAAGGTTGCACGAGAGGGGTCGGCGTGACGTTCGACGTCCAAACGTTAACCACCGAAGAACAGCGAACGTCCGAGTTTTCGGTACGTTGTCATCGATTCAAGCTCAGTCTTCTCCTCGAATTCGTCGTCGTTGCTTCAGACTCACATACACTTACGACGTCGTGCATCCCGTTCATAACCTCCAGACGTTTGAACCTTCCCGCACACAACTACGATGAGCACCCCAGCCATCAAGACAGAAATAAAAGGTGAAGAGATGACCGACGTACGGCCCATGCCAGCCATCGACGAGGATGTATGCATCCCCCTCCATGGACTGAATGCGCATACTAATGATGGGGGTAGGAGGACCTTGACCTTGAGCTGAGCGGCCTGAGAAATAATGCATGGTTGGTAAAGGTACCACAACAGCTTTTTGATAAATGGAAGCAGGTTGGGCAGATGGCAGATGCGCAGGGCTATACGGGAGATCTGGAGGTCGGACATCTGCATTTGGCGGAGTAAGTCCCTTCTCTTCTGTATGCATTTCACTTTACTGATTTGCTTTCAGTCCTACAGATATCAAAAATGTGGGTTCGCATTCTCGGTCTCTGCGTGTGGCATGCTAAACAGAACCCACAGATCAAACTCTTCGCCCCAGATACCCCAGAATACGCCGATATCCCAAATGAATACAAGCTTACAGTGACGAACCAACACGTCAAGAACACCCTCATATTCAATGAGAAGGCATTGCCTGGACATGGTGGGAAGTCTCAGACATCATCGAGACCGGAGACGGCTGGGGCTGGGGCAGGGGATGTATCGGATGGGAGTATAAGTAAACCAAGGGATGCGGCACGACCATATTGGAAGCCTATACCCAGTATGATCACCTTCACCTACATGGTAGGAGCGTTGCTAATGTGTGGGTGAACAGAGGAAACCGCCATCAAAGGCCGCATCGTCCACGAATGCCAAGTGGGCCCCATTATGAATGAACGATACCGACGAGTCATGAGAGCACGACAGCAACAAGTCCAAGCACAGCCGAAACGAGCTATTGTAATGTTGGATGAGAAGCATAAGCGGAGTGTGAATTTGTTGGCGCCCGGGACGTTGGGGAATGTGTCGCGGATCTCAACATTCTCGGTACGTCCCATCTATCCTGGGTTGTGTTCGCAGTGCGCACAATGCTAATACTGGTCTGTTTGACAGAAGGCGCCACAGTCAAAGAAAATCTCCCAAGACCAAAAAGCAGCCCGTATCCCCCGCAACGAACTCATGGACAAAATCTTTACACTCTACGAACAGCGCGACAACTGGTCCATGCGTGAACTACGTGAAAAACTGGCACAGCCGGAGGCGTATTTGAAGGAGGTTTTGGAGGGGATTGCGAGGTTGAATAGGGCGGGGCCACATCATGGGAAGTATGCATTGAAGGCTGAGTTAAAGGAGATGGCGAGGCAGGGGTTGATGGGGAGTGGGGTAGGGTTGGGTGCATTGGGGGGACAGGGAGGACAGGAGAGTGTCGGGGAGGACGACGCTATGGATCAGCAGTGAGATGGTGTGGGTGACGAGACGTGCAAGCCGCGAGACACTGAGCGTCGAGACTCGAAGCATACCGGCGTGGCAGAGGAAAGAGAGGAGATTGGTTGCTCTGGTTCTGCTTAAGCCTAGCATTATGTTCGATTTGCATTGCTCTCTGAACATGCATTTTATGAGCTCTCTGCAGCTCCCTGGTTTTGCTGTGCCACAAAAGCCTCCCTCAGCTTCTTCTTCTCTAACCGCCGTTGCTGTGCCTTCTCCAACTCTTCCTTCAGATCTGTTGGATCCTGTGGTAGCTTCTCAATGGGATTTGAATCTGGCCAGAGTTGCAACTGTCCATGCTCATTAGCTCTGCGTTTGAGTGGGAGGGGGGGAGATGTACATGTGCGACGTATTTGTTGTAGAAGGAGATATCACCGAAGTAGTACATGGAAGCAATGGGAAAGAACACGTACATTGCAAACTATACCATCCTCACATTAGCTATAAGCAGACACTCCAAGACCAGTAGTCATACACGAAACATCTCCATATTTGGGCCGGCCATCTTGTCGTCGATCGAGGTGTTGTCGACGTCGTCGTTAAACTCTATCGGTACTTCCGCATACACGTGCAGCTGTCATTGTTTACCAGCAACACCATCACGCCGACGACAATTTCCAACCGACCGAAAATTAGGATGAATACAACCGGAGACACCTCCACATACCGTCGCGACACAGTGCGTACTCGCGCCTCACCTTCTTTGTCCCGGACGGTGGATATATCCGCCCTAGACGCTTCCCTCACGCGCCGGGTCGAGGAGTTCCGGCAATTGGATCTGGGTCTGCGGCAGCAGGTTCATGAGTTACGGGATCAGTTGGTTACGGCGGATAGATTACTGCGAGAAAGCGAGCGCAGCCGGGCGTGGTGGAAGAATAGGGTGCAAGTGCTGGATGCACGGTGTCGGGAACAGGAGCGTGCGATCAGGCAATTGAAGTTGAAGACAGCGCAGTACGCAACCTATGATCCTGTGAAACATGCTCTGGAGCTAAAAGTGTGTGCAGACTCGAGGATCAACACGCCCTCGACCTCTCCCTCCGCGACCTCCCCAAACCAAAACCTCGTACCCGCACAGTCTCAATTCAAACATCCCTCCCCGCCTCCACCACTCAGTCCACCAACATCTCCGCCGACCGCGAACGAGACACCGCAATTGAACTGCTTATCTCAACACTCTGGAACGTCGAACATACCCTCTCCTCCCGCTCCTGTACCTGTCATATCCATCTTCGACGATTATTAAGGAAGAATCCGATCACGGCGGAGGTGCTGGGGGGGTTGCGGCATCCGCATCATAAGGAGCTGAAGAAGACGAGGTTGGTGAGGACGAAGAGGGAGTTCGAGGCGGTGGGGAAGGCTGTGGAGGGGTTAGTGGAGGACAATGATATTATGGAGGAGGAGCTGAGGAGGGAATGGCTGAGGCCGGCTGAGTCTGGTGGTCAGGCAGAACCAGGAAGAGGGAGGAGTAGGGACAGTGAAGACTTATGACAGAACCATAAGAGATACCCAAAATACCAATGAGAAGAGTGTGCAAAGAAGACCAAAAGTATATTCACGTAAAAAAAAAAAGTATATCTCCTCGTACGTTATGGACCGCCTTGCTCATAGAGCAGAACAACGCGGTGAGTAATGAGGAATGTAGTTCTAGTTTGCTCACAAATTGGCCCACCAAGTAGCAGCTCAAAACCCCGAGAGGAGAACTGTTTTAAAAGCTTGGTAATTGGGCCACATTGTAGCAAACAGAAAATAAGATGTCCCGTTTGAATGATGGTCTTGAGAGGAAGACGCATATGGATGCTATCGCTGGCATAAGCGCCATGAAATGCGCTCGTGAACGACACGTTGTTGCCGAGCGTGCCAAAATCTTGCCGTCCATACCTGGAATTCGGCAGAACATGAAGCACTGTTCCGAACACAGCAAGCAGTTCACCAGCTTATCTCATGAAGCTTGAACCACCGTAAGCATCCATATGTGCTTCGTTGTTGAGGGAGCTATTGGTTAGTGGAGGTGAAGCAGTCACGAGTAGAAAGGGGATGAGGGTAAATAGTTTTTTGATTAAACTCCCATCACATGCGAAACGTAGGGAGGGCCCAAGAATAACTAGATTCAAAGACAAATTTACTCCTCGGGGACTGCGAAAACTCGTTAGCATCATTCATTCCAAAGCACAGGGAAAACGGGGAAACATACTCTCAACCTCACCAGCGTCGATGGCAGCCTGGAGGTCGTGGGGGTTCTGACCGTCGACAGTGCATCCAACGGAGAAAGCAGTACCGAGGATCTCCTTGACGGTACCCTTGAGCTCACGAGCCAAAGACTTGAAGCGCATGGTACGGGCAATCTCGATGATCTCGGAGAGCTCGATGTTACCACTGTGCTTGATGTTCTTCTCCTTCTTGCGGTCACGGGGAGCCTCCTTCAAGGCACGGATGACGAGGGAAGAAGCGGAGGGAACAACGGAGACAGCAGCCTGACGGTTCTGGATGGTCAACTGGACGGTGACACGGAGACCCTTCCAGTCACCGGTAGCCTTGGCGATATCTTCTCCGACCTAGGTAGGACAGGTGTAAGCAATCACTCTCCCATCACATACCGCCCTAAGGCGAACGTAGGGAGATGGTGTATGCTCGTACCTTCTTGGGAGAAAGACCGAGAGGACCGATCTTGGGGGCAAGAGCGGAAGAGGCACCGACCTCACCACCAGTGGCACGGAGGTAGATGATCTTGATCTCGTTGGGGTCGACCTTGGGGGGCATCTTGGCTGGATCTGAAGTAGTGGAGCTGGGCAGGGAACCGTTCTCTCGGAGGCCGCGACGTTCGGTATATATTTTGGATATTTGCGGCGGGGAGCGCGGCGGGGGCACGTGCCTTAGGGTTTGACGAGCTCCAGCCCTAATTCGCGTAACAACAGCTACTGCTTCTCCTCCCACGTCCGTCAGCAAAGATACTTTCTGAACACCGGGATCATGAACATGTACAAGTTGAACATTCATCTGCCCCGTCAAACATTCATCTCACGCCTTACAGCCGCATGCATCGCCCGCTGCGGGCTCAAGCACCCCGATGTTCGGTACGGGTACCCGCGCCTGGACCGCATTCATTCACCACCATAGCGAGATCGACCGCATACATCCCGGACAGCATACATCCCTATGCCAGCGTCGCAGTCAGCTCATCATGAAGCGACTGCCGAGTATCATGTTGCTCTAGGACAGAACACGGCCTCCACTCCGTCTGTAAGAGTCAAGTCGTACGCCGCCGCTGTTGATGCGTATTTGAAGGCTATTCAGGCAACTGAACAGGCAGATAAGGTGGAGAAGCAGCGGCTGAGGTCGCTGGCGAAGAGTTGTATCGAGGATGCGGAGAGAATTAAGCAGGAATCCAACGATCATATCTCTTCTGCACCGCCTTCGCCAAAAGAGAACGGAGACTCACGGCGGAATCAACAACGTACGGAGCATACACCGCCTGCGCCATTACCAGAAATTGATACACTACAGACCCGTCAGCAGACGATTTTACTACGCTCAGCAAAGATTAACGGCGGTGTATATCCACCGTGGACAACAGAGCCGAAGGAAACAGAATTCACTGGAGATGAGCCTTACGTCGATCCACTACCACTACCTGGTCCATCCAGCGACTTTGAGTGGAGACGGCCAACGGACGTCTGGGATAACGTTACCGTCATCGACAAGTCATATACGGGAGTCGATCTGGTTCAAGATGTCATCTCTGACTGTTCCGTAGTCTCAGCATTATGCGTGATTGGACTGCACGAAGCGATTCACGGTCAACTCATCGCTTTGAACCGAATATGGCCGCATGGTAGAAGTGCCAATGGGAAATACATTGTCAAGCTTTTTTTCAATGGCTGGGAACGGAGAGTCGCGATCGATGATTTGCTGCCGTTCTCGTCATCAGGGAAACCCACATATGCAACCTCTGCCACCGATCCCTCATTGTTAGCACCTGCTCTTCTGGAGAAAGCGTATCTGAAGATTATGGGTTATGGATATGTCTTCCCTGGTTCAAACTCTGCAACAGATATCTATGCTCTTACAAGCTGGGTACCCGAACATATCTCATTACGACGGTTAAATGTCAAATCAGATGATAGATGGACGAGTCTTTACAAAGCGTGGCAAAGGGGGAACGTTTTGGTAACTCTGGGCACAGGGAAGATGAGTGCTGAGGATGAACGGCGATTAGGCATCGTTGGGGATCACTGTTATGCGGTGGTCGATATGAGAGAAGCTGGTGGTCGACGGCACGTTCTTGTCAAGAATCCTTGGATTCATCACGAGTCCGGTACGGTACATACGAATGAATGGACCGAAGAGCTCCGCGAAGCACTGCCAGAACCTAGCAGGGGTATGTTCTGGATGGATTGGGATATGCTGCCCCGGTACTTCATCGGTCTAAACCTGAACTGGAATCCGTGTCTTCATCCATACAGGCGGGATGTCCACTTTACCGTTGATGTTACAGACAGGGATCACTATATTGATAATCAGCAGTATGTTTTGCGGAATGACACGGGTAGTACTCAGAGCGTATTTGTTCTACTCAGTCGGCATTATTTGAGCAAGGATGATCCAACAGGAGATATCGCCTTGCAGGTGTTTGATATGGATGGGAAGAAAGTGTATGGCATGGCTCGACCACTCAAAACGGTCCGTGAGAGTAATGTGAGGTTCTATGGAGCGTTTGCTAATCTTTTACACAGACATCATATCAGGATACTCTCGAAACATCGCTCCGCTTGAACATCCCGTCGAGAAAGTCGTACACCATTATTCCTACTTACAAGCGCTTCCCTGTCGGTCATCGGTGCTCTTTCACACTGTCCGCCTTTTCCGTGACTGAGCTATCGGAGTTTATGGAAGCAAGAGACAGGTATCCATTATCCGTCGAGAGAGCTGGCGAATGGACGAAGAGGACATCCGGTGGACGCAACACGCCTAACATCAATCCACAATACTCGTTACGATTGGATTGCAGCGGTGATCTGCTGTTGTGCTTGAGTGCTGAAGAAGGATGTGGGCCTGTACACGTTGCTGTTGTATGGGGCGGCGGGAAGCGTGTCGAGAGGTATGTCCGAGAAAAGTTTAGTAGTTGTGAAGCTGTGCTAAATCGGATACAGGATATCTCGCCGAGAAATCCTGGCAGACAGTGGTGAATTCACGCCGAAGAATACAATCGTACAGATCCCGGATGTGCCGGCAGGGACTTATACCGTTATTCTGTCGACTTTCGATGCTGGGCGTGTAGGAAAGTGTACACTTCTCGTCAAGAGTAACATGGCCGTGAGCGTGGAACCTGTTCATGATAGCTGGGCTGGAAAGATGAATAGGACCATTGAGGGCGGATGGAATGGGTCAGCTACGGTGCAGAGACACTCAGTCAATGTGGCACGATTGACGTCCGCAAGGTCCAGTCTTCCTGTGTGACCGCTTTGGCGAGTGCTAACGTTGGGCTGAACAGTTTCCACATCTCGACAACCTCAAGTTATGTCCAGGCAAGTCTCACATTACACGGTCAAGTTCTTGTCAGTTCGGGGAGGTTTATGGAGGGAGCAGCAAGGTTGTCAGAGTTTGATTTACAGGGTGGACAAACCTACGAGTTGCTTATTGAAAGAATGGGAAACGCGGTAGAGAGGAGTGAGTATGTGATCGAGGTGCTGAGTGACAGCTCTGTGACGATTGGAGAATGAGGTCGAAAGAGGACAACTTTCATACAAAACTGGCCATACGGCACATCGTTGTACCCGAGTGCCCTCGGCTATTAGCCTACGCCCGCCCGATGTCTTTGAAGCCCTTCGCTTCGGGTCCTGATCATTCCACACCCCTAAATCTTCATTTCACACCCCGGCGCACTCACAATTTCAAAGATATCTCAACAGCCATTGAACTTGGGAATACGGTAAGAGCGTAGAGAGATAGAGAGTAACTTTGTGAATATCCTGATACCTTTAACTCGCAGATTTCACTCCACCAGCTGCTGTACTCTGCCAAATACTGCTGAGATGTGATGTGCAGATTTATGCATATATGCGCTGTGCCACACCAGCCGCAGCGCCGGGCTGAGAGGTGAGAAACAGTTGGTATCTTCTCCCAGGAACCTTCAAATCCGAATTTGAAGGTGGGAACGGATTCAGGGGACTTTTATCAGTCTATACACTCTCTACCCTCCGAGATCCGATTTGCGGTTGGCGAGATATCCTGAGTTTTTTGTTGGCGCTGGGGTGTGAAATGAAGAAAATGGGGTGTGAAATGATCAAGACCCTTCGCTTCGAGCGGAGCACCTCAGGGCGCGTCCTACTGCATACTAGACTCGAGGCAGCCACCGAAAAAGGATCCACGCCGTCACTCATTTCGTATGTTTTTGGCAACATAGAAGCTTACAAACCAACTGTTCTTCAGTTCATTTCACAGAGGATTTGCGCAGCGCTTGGGTGGGCTGGACATCAGGTCACAGCGGTAGCCAGAGCTAAGAGGTACGACAGACGCTAGAGGACTTGGCGGAGTCGTACGAGCGCATGAAGCCTCTCTGCCAAAACTCCCTTACTCAGCCGCAACGTCCCCAACTGCCAGTTATTTTCTTCTACAGGGGTCCACCCTTCTTCGAAAAGGCGGTTTGTCAGCCTCTTTTTTCGCAGTGTTCATCTGCACATAATGTTGAGTTCATTTTGGGATGGGATGTCTGGATGCTGGGTTCCATATGCGGTTAGCTTCTAACGCCGGAGTCTGTGATGCTTCAGGGATCTACGGCGATGCAGCGAAGTTCGGCGTGGGTGCGTTGCAGATGGCCCGTGCACGCGCATGATGCTTATGCACATTATGCAGAGTGGAACAGGTGATCATCCACTTCTACGGAGGATGTTACAAGGGATGGCGATGGTAAAACGCCGCAAATGAGGTCTGAAAACCCGGGATAACTTTGAAAGACCCTGGGGGTGTTTGCTCTCGAGGCCAGATCCTGTGCGCTCCGGCGCGGCTCCGTTTTTCGGGGCGCACGTGTGCGCGTTCCCCCGATCATCCCATGCAGCGGATCGAGACCGTTTGCGGACCCGGGCTATGGCTAATGATCTGATGACAGAACATTGACAGCTGATGAAGCGTTTATTCGTTGTGGGGATCAAAAGACCTCCTCGAATAAACGCGCTGTCGATGATGGAGGAGCACGGCTCAGTCCTCGCAATTGACTTTCACCGACCTGCAATTGAACCGAGGCGATGTCCTACGCATAAAGGACGGGTTCCATAATAGGCGATGATCACGGCTCATTCACGTCAAAGCACGGACCCTTGTTCATTCGTTGCGCCGGATTAAGTTTAGCGTGCGCATCCGGATTTGCCGCCATATGCGCCCTTGTTCGTCCGCCGCAGCGCCTGGGCAGCCGCTCGATCTGAACAGTCTTCGGTGGCCTCAAGCCCAAAAACAAGCCCTGGCCGTTTATAACCTTTGTTCTCCCAGCAGCCAACAATGTCGATCATCAATCGTCTTCCTGTACCTTCCATAATACTGTCGCTACCGTCGCGTGAACTCGTGCATCAGAGTCGTTGTTTTCGAGCATTGTCAGCATCTTACGGTGGAGGAATCCAGGATCGGTTACGGCACTTGCATATCTACAATCACGACAGCTGTGTCTAGTTAGTCAGTATGCCGTTGTCACTTCTCCAGCGCCGTCAACAGCGCGTATACAAGGCAGATCTCACGACAGATGCCGCTCACCATATGATCGCGGCACCGGCATTCAAGCAGCCAGTCTACGAATTACAGCATGCTCCGCCATTGTCACCTACGGCTGTCACCTCCGACAGTGACAGCAGTCCGGAACACCTTCGTGATGGGTTCTTCTCTCCGAAGATTGATCTCCGTGTCAACGTCGTCCCGGACAAGGATGCTCAGGCTGTCCAGGGTTTACGCCGATACTCCATCGCATCAGCCTTCTCTGCCAAGAACGAACGGAGAGGATCAGCCGTTAGTGTCTCTTCAGATGGAAAGCCAACAAGCATCACACCAATCATCGAAAACGAAGCCTGGGAAATTGATTCCAACCGGTCCAGTCAACTTCTGTCTCCGGAATATGTTATCGCCCCTTCTGCTACGCGCAGCCGTGCACAGTCCGAAGATATAGTTGTGAGCCAACGCCGCCGGTCATCCGGTGCGCTCAGCATCCTCTCCGGTCTTCGACGCTCTTCTCTGCCCAAGGCTTCTCCACCACGGTTACCGACCTACAATGAGCTCTCGCCGCCGTACTCGCCCTTCCCGCCAGCACCAGAGGGGGAAGAATATGAGTCGGCCGAGATCAGGCTTCCGGAATATCTCCTCAACCAGCCTGTATCGCCCAGACCGGAGGAAGGTCACGAGATATTGCCGCGGTATACGGACACTCTTGTGCATTCCAGCTGGTGGAATGTGAAGCACGAGCAGCCTAAAGGCTCGTCGTGGAAGCGCATGCAGATCAAGGTCAACGGGACGCTTGTTTCGTTGCACAAGGAGCATAAGAACGAGTTGATCAGGAAGTACACAATGGCTTATGCCGAAGCCGGTTTGGCGATCGACTACGGAAAGAAAGCTTGCGTGGTACGCGTGCGCTTGGAGGAGGAAACGCTCTTGCTCGCAGTCCCCGACGTTGAGACCCTCGGTGACGGTGTCGGAGAGGAAAACTGTGCACGCCTCATTGAGCGCCTCCAAACCGGCGCCAACATCGCCGTCCCCCTCGAAGAAATGCGCGAACCGAAATTCTACACCCTCCCCCGTCGTCGCGCCGAACCTGCTTCGAGCACTTCTCGTCGTGGACGTACGGCTGAGGAGTCGGCGATGGACGGACATCCGAGCGAGGAAGCGAATGATCGGAGGGCGGATAACAGCATCACGATCAGTGTCGTGCCGAGACGGTGTCCAGATTTGAGTCGGGGTGCGATGACGGTGTATGCGGATAAATGGGTCGTCAGTGTGTTGAGGCCTGATGCGCCGAGGGCTTGGGGTGGGTATGTGGTTTGCAAGGGACAGATTCGGAGGGTGAGTGTATGAGCAGCGACACTGAGAGGAAGGTGAAATGATCATCTAAGACATTTGCGTTCGATTATTTAGCGATGGTCCGGTATGGCCAGCTGGCGTTTTGTTTGATTTATATCCATGATTGGGAAAGGATTCATATCCGGAGGGAATGAGGCTCGAGCCTGGGAAGTTTGATATCGAGGATTCTTAGCCGTCTTGGCACGATGCCGGGACAATTGACACTTTTAAGAACTATTCATCAACATCATACTTCTTCTACCGTCCCCGTTTAGCCTGAGAACCAAGACGTGCCGAAAACGGTGTTCCACGTTACTAGCCCTGTGACGTACCGTACATTCTGACACCCATCGTGCAACGTCTCAAGGCAAACTGTCAGTTGCCAGGCAGAGGTACAGATTGCTCGTCGATTGATCTTTGACCGTGAGGTTCCACAACTATGAGCTTTCCGCCTCTTCGCGATCCGTTCGCTACCCCTGATCCGACTCCTTCCCGCCCAGTTGATCCAACACTTCCCATCCAAGGCACTGACTCCGATGCGCTTCTGTCTCGATGGAGTGCTGTACAGACAGGGTATCTACATGATCCATATATTCAGCACTTCGTGCCATTACGACAGCGTCGGTCGCAGCGCAGACCACCAGTGATTAACCGTGGAACATGGGTGCGGACATTGGCTATCGATGCATTAGTGGAGAGGTTTCTCGAGGTAACTGAAGATAAGGAAAGGGCAGGTAGTGAGATAAAGAGGCAGGTTGTCAGTTTTGGTGCTGGGAGTGATACGCGATATTGGAGATTGATGGTAAGCATCTGTCTTTTGCGTGTTCAACCCTGACATGAATCGTTGACACGATCCTTACAGGAGCGTTTGCGAATCGAGAAACCCGGTAAATCTCCAAATGAACAGCCGAGAATTGATGCCTTCCGGTGGCACGAGATTGATTTCCCGAGTATGATCAAGAAGAAGGCAAAGACCATTGCAACTACACCAGATCTGTTAGCTCCTATCCGAGGTACGGACGGTTTCGAGTCTGTTCATATCGACCAATCGGCAGGAACAATAGTATCACCATCATACTGCCTACATGCTTTGGATCTGACAAATCTGCCTTCGCTTGCGCCGAACGATATACCGAACCTGGATCCATCATTACCGACCCTGTTCATCAGCGAGTGCTGCCTTATATACCTGCCACCAGATAAGGTGACAGGCATATTGAACTGGATTACCGGGAACTTTGGGTCTGCAGGACTCCTAATCTACGAGCCCATTCTTCCTCACACGCACTTTGGTAAGATGATGACCCACAACCTATCATCACGAGATATCACTCTCAGAACCTTTGGGACCTATCCTGACCTCCGGTCACAAGCAAGAAGATTCTTGGATGGCAGATTTACGGCAGGCACGGCGAAAGACATAAATGAGCTGCATGACAAGTGGATCCCAGAAGATGAGATAAGACGGGTACAAGGAGTGGAGATGTTGGATGAAGTGGAGGAATGGAAGCTACTTGGTGCTCAGTATTGCATATCATGGGGCTACAAAGAAAAGGATGCCGGCGTTAACACCTGGGCTGGATGGAGAGGACTTGAAGACAAGTGACGGTACTTCGTCTCACAAGATCAATTATGAATCTCGATCTATACCTCCACGATAGCGTCGCCCAAATCACCTCTACCTGCATTCTTATAAAACACCCTCGCGTTCTGAAACAGTACACCGCGATTCCTCCTTGACACCTCCGTATCCAACCTCGCACGAGCCAAATCGACCTCAGCACGCGTGATCCAAACCTCAAGCGGCGTCGGCTGCGTAAATGTCGCGAGCTTAACTGCTGCCCCGAGCAAACCAGCCGCCTGGGTGTATACTGTCCAAGCTTGTTGTTGAGCCTCTGCTGGTGCACCAAACGGCGAGGTCGCCCGCGCATATGCGATGAGAGCATCGGCACGATCACACAAGGCCTCTGCATCCTTCGGATTCGTCCGTTCGTAATGCGACAGAGCAGCTTGCCAATCCGTCAGTGTCGCCAATCCATGTGCAACACTCGCCGCCGCCGCCGTGCTTAGCAGATTCGCCCGTGCGAGTGCTAACTCGGGTTCTCTCTCAGATTGTTGAGCCAGTAGTGCTGCTTTTCTGAGGATCAAATCCTCATTGGCGGAGGTCGTGATGTTTTGGACAGTAGTGGCTGCATCAGCTGTTGATGAAGCTGAGGGGGGTGCTGATGCGATGATGGATAGATAGACGGTGTAGGCGTGAAGCATAGCTAAGCAGGTGTCGAGCAATGTGCTTGGCGTTGTTGCGTACTTCACGGTAGCGCGCTCTGTCTCGCCTTCATCATCCTCTTCGTTGAGCTCTTCACCTGCTGACAGTGCGATAGGGATGTCAGTATCCATGTCGTCGCCATTCGCTGTGGGTTCCGTAGCCTCCTCCGCGGCGGTATTCCGCAACTCCTGCTCTTGAACCTGGTAGCAGCGCTGTAGTAGCTGAATCGCTTCTTCCAGCACTGGAACGACTTGGCCTCCTCTGCCATCGTCTGCCTCGGTCACGGTTTCCACCAATTCGATGGAGACTTGTGCAGTATTGAACAACGCGTCAATGTTCTCCGGACTCAGCGTAAGAGCAGCCTTATGACTCTCGATCGCTCTTTGCAAGCCCGCGATCAGTTGCTCTGTCGGTGGTGTTGGCGGGAGTTGAGTTAACAGGAAATGGATACGGGCGACGTTGTAGGTTGTGTCGAAGTCATTTGGGCGCAGGCGAAGACATTGATCGTAAAGCTCGAGTGCGCGAGCCAAAAAGCGTCCGGCCTATTTCGATAGTCAGTCGCCAACCCCAAGAGAACGGAGATCGCTGCATACCTTCGGCCCATCCGACACCTTCCATCGTTCACCCTTCTCCTCCTGCAACACGGCTTCATCGAAGAAGTCGTCGTAGGTTTCGAGCACAGGCTCCTTGGCTTTCCCCTTCTTTTTAGCAGACTTCGGGGGGAATCGTGGAGGCATGTCGTATCGGGGATCACGGTGTTTATTGTTTGAAGGAATTCTACGCCGTCGTCTTCGGCCTGCATGAAAGTGTACGTTACCTTGGTCGTCACGGATACAACCTGTCCAGATCTCGAGGGAACGCGGCGTGAGCAGATCAAGAGGTTGCCAATAGCATCTCATAAAGCTTACGTAGCTCTATTCCTCCAATGACGCCGGCATCAGAGCCTAGACATGAGGAGCACGGCGAGTGCACCTACCCAGACGACACCGAGCCAAACGTAAATAAAGATCCCACTCGTCGGATAGTACCCTCTTACAACTTCCGCCATAAGCCCTAAGGCAGCGCTTGTAGTGAGTGGTAACATCCACACAACGCCAGTTACAACCTTCACCATCCCCTCTCCCCGCCTGTGTCGACTCCCAAACGTCACAACCATCTGCACAACCGCAGCCAGAATCACAGTCAAAGTAAACATTGCCCAAGCCATACAAACACATTTCCGCCGATGAGAGGAGGGATATTCGACGTTTGCTTCACCCCATGGACCGAGGCCGGCGATGACGGCGAACGTGAGGGTTGCACCGATAGCGGAGATCTGGGTGAAGAATGCGGCGCATTGGGCCAAGGGCGCATGTGCCGCACCGAGATCTGGCGTGTGACCCATGGGTAGCTGATGGCTGTCAATGGTACCGAGAGGTAAAGAGGAGGTGGGAGAGGGCTTTGCGTGGGGCGAGGATCGTCGGAGTATATCTTGTGCGCCTTCCATACCTTCTCAGGTATGATGAGGCCAACAGCAATGTCGACACCAGGTACTCTCCTTTATTATGGGATCTGTGACTCAGGCCCGTCCTGAACCACCTGTCTTATCAATGGTTGAACAAGCTCTTGGGATCGACTTCGGGCCGGCCCTGGGCTTCCACCCAGAAAACCTGCGCAAGCCCGTGCTTCGAATCCACATTCAGCTGTCCCGCTGTGCCTGTAGAGCTACCATAATTATCTTTCGGGTGACTGACTCGGCCACTGAGCTAGGTATTGCTGAAGAATGGTTGACAACGTTTTGCGAAGCGACGTATACCGTGGGATCGAGCACACCTATAACACATCATCACCACCATCTTCAAAGGCAAGTTACAGCGTTATCAATACAGCAAGCACTGAACTGCTTGTTTCTCACCGTACATTACGCGGAAAAACAGGGCTCATCCTCAGGGTAACTGTTGTGACATCACTTGTAATCAACGATTCTGCGTGCAGGCACCCGCGCGTTCTCCGAGGTCAATCCTCACCTTCGAGCATCGACTGATCAGTCAAATAGTACAATGCCAGCCTTCGAGATCGCCCAAACAATCCGCACCTTTGGCGGAAAGCTCCTCAAGCTCTCCCACAAGTCTGCCGAGCTCGGCGGCTTGGAGACCAAGCTCAACCTCTACCTTCCTCCTCAGGCCGAGAAGGGTAAGGTCCCCGTCCTCTTCTACCTCTCGGGCCTGACCTGCACTGGCGACAACTGCGCCGAAAAGGGTAACTTTATCAACCCCGCCTCCAAAGAAGGTCTCGCCCTCGTCTTCCCCGACACCTCCCCCCGCGGCGCCGGCGCTCCCAACGAGGAGGACTCTTGGGATTTTGGAACCGGTGCTGGATTCTATATCGATGCCACCTCTGATGCGTACGCGAAGCACTACAGAATGTACTCCTATGTGACCAAAGAGTTGCCGGAGTTATTGTTCAAGGAGTTCGGGAAGGAGTTGGATGAGAGCAAGGTGGGGATTACAGGACATTCGATGGGTGGACATGGTGCGCTTACCTTGTTCTTGAGAAACCCGGGGAAGTACAAGTCTGTTTCCGCTTTCTCTCCCATCGTGAACCCCATCAACTGCCAATGGGGTCAGAAAGCCTTCTCCGGCTACTTCGGCGCCGAAAACAAGTCTAAGTGGTCCGAGCATGACGCAACCGAGCTCATCTCTTCCCTCGGAGACAAGGCTGCGTCGTTGCCGGAAATCTTGATCGATCAGGGTTTGGCTGATAACTTCTACCCCGACCAGCTCTTGACGAAGAACTTTGAGAAGGCGGCGAAGGAAGCGGGTGTTAAGGCAAATGTGAGATACCAGGATGGTTACGACCACTCCTACTTCTTCATCTCTACCTTTGCGGAGGAGCACGTCAAGCACCACGCGAAGTATTTGAAGGCTTAAGTAGCTATAGGAAATACCATTTGGTTGTAGGATATAAAAAGGCGTGATATTGATTTGCTGCACTCTATAACCGCTCAACGTCTTTAGTTGGGTTGAGATGGTCCTTTCTAATAATCGTACACTCGTCTTGCCAATACTCGTCGTTTACTCCCGCCTATGGTCATGTAACCCGAGAGATTCCTTCTGCTCTTGCTTCTCTTGTTCTTTTAGTTCCTTCTGGTGCTCCTTCTGCTCTTGTTCATCCAAGAGGGGCTCACGCGCGTCCTCTTCATGGTTGTGCTCGTGGTTATGGTCGTGGTTATGCTCTTCACCATTCTCCACCACTCCCTCACCCACGTTTCCAAGCCCATCAATAGCAGCCCAGTACGTCCGCTTCTGCTCATCCTCGAACGCAAAGACATCGATATCGCAGGATCGGCAGGTAACTTCTTTCTCGACAACCTCGCGTACAATCTGTACCACAATCGTTAGTAATTTGTCAAAACATTCCGAACAAACCGTCATACCTTGTCAATCTTCCCCGCATCCATGACGGTCATGTCGCCCTTCACCGCAACACCAACTTGCACAAGATAGCCGGGTCCACTCTTCGTCCCCTTTACGCCAATAATCTCAGACAACCCCTCACTCTGCACGCTCTTCAAACTCTTCTGCGCCGCCCCCGCGATCTGCTCCCTAACATCCTCCTCCATAGTCCTGTCCACCAACTCCAAGAAAGCCCCCCTTCCCGTTGCCCACCCCGCATGCACAATCATCGCACTCACCATCACCCCTCCAAGCGGATCCAACCAACTCCAACTCTGCACGAAATGACCACCCAAAATCGCGACGAGTGCAACGATGGAGGTTAGGGAATCGGTACGGTGATGCCAGGCATTGGCCTCGAGGACGCCGGATTGGGTTTGGTGGGCGATTTTGAGGGTGGAGTGGAAGAGCCATTCTTTTATGGCGATGGAGCCGAGCGCGAGCCAGGCAGCGTTTATGTCTGTGATGCCGGTGATGGCGCCGTGGGAATGGGAATGTGAGTGCGAGTGTCCCAGTTCTCCTACAACCTCGGCGACGTTGACACCGGTTGCGATGGTGATGAGTTGGACCAGTGAGCTCCACCCAATCCCAAAGCCAGTCAAGATCAAGATTCCCGAAACACCGACAGCTCCTAACGTCTCCACCTTCCCAAACCCAAGCGGAAACGTCGCCGTAGGCGCCCTCGACGAGATCGAAATCGTAGACAAGGTCAAGAGATCAGACAACAAATCCCCAGCGGAATGCCCAGCGTCGGCGAGGAGGGAGGCAGAGTTGAGTGCGTACCCGCCGACGGCTTTGAGGATTGTGAGACCGAGATTGACGTAGAGACCAATGCGAGTGATTCTTGCCTGTTGATTGACAATGGTCATGTTAGCCGACGTGGTACAGTATATGCCTGGCTCTACGTACGCCTGGATTGGACTTATCCTTCGACGTCAGCAGCGTCTTGTCATGATGGTGATGATGCCCGTGTCCATGTCCATGACTATGCCCAGCATGTCCCCGTCTCTGCTGTCCACCCGTATGTTTCAACTCCGTACTGGTAGTCATGATTCCAGTTCCAGATCCAAGTGCAATTGTCGACGGTCTCCGCAGAAATGATGCGCCCGCGGAACGTCCTTGGTTAACAACAGCAGCTATTGGTGAGCGCTGAAGACGATGTGTTGCGCTATTTGAAAACGAGCAACGGTGTAATGAAGAAGACGCCTTAGCTATTGAGACTGCAGCTGGTCGTTGTCGTGTTGCCAAGTGTCTGAGCATTCTAGAGCCTGTGTAAACTTACGTGTTCGAGGGCGTCGAGCGGGGAGGAACGCGGCAGCCCCGTACCGTATAAAGCCATCCGCAAACCCTGTATGAGTCTAAGTTGCGTGATGCGATGGAAGGAATGCCAAGCGACGAGTTAACAGTATTTGGATTGAAGTAAGAGACATTTGTTTATTAGAGGAGGCATGTAAGAACCACTGATTCCGGAGGTTTCCTGGTATGAATCCTTTCCGGCGCCCAGCATTGTCTTTCCCGTAAGATCTATCTACACGGTCTAGCTACACGATTGCACGATGACATGCACTTGGAGTTCTTTATGAGAGCTTGCCGTGAGGTTTAAAACATGAGGGGCTTCTTCGCTGCTGGGGGGGGCCTCCTTTTTATAGGGAACCCTGGGTGGGAAAGCACTACTGTAGCTCGGTTGCTCCTGGCAATCACACCTGCGTCGAGCGCATACATCAAAACAATACGCTCCAGCATACACTTCGACGTTCACCACCATAACAAAGATGCACCGTTCTTCGACGTCTGGCCAGCCTGGCCATCCCTCACTTCGTCTTTCTACTGCTGGTCCGACATCTATCAAGCCCCGCCAGTTTGCGCATCTCCAGTCGCAGCTCGCACAACTCCAAGCACACCTCTCCGACCTCGAGAACCATGTGCGCGTAACTGCCATCCAGGCCGAAGCTATCAGAAGATTGGGTGGTTTACAGGGCGGATTGTACGTTTCTCATGAGCACAGGTGTCCTTCTCTGGCTAATGGGTTTATCTAGGTTCATGGCAGCCAGTCGCGTTCTTGGCGAGGAGAGTGCGAGGGAACCAACCGAGGACCCCCTTTGAGATATTGATGATATGAATACAATTGAATCGCGTGGTCTTTTGTCACCGCTCATAAATGATGTGCTGGTTCTACGTGGAAGCATGCGATAGGGGTTTCATTGGAGGAGCTCGAGGAGAGAAACTGAACATGTCAATCAACTTCAGTTCTGTATACCCGGCCTTTGCCATCTACGAAGGATATTACGGCGTTTTGGGTTTATCTTAATACTAATAATACACTTTCGTCAGTAGTTGCATGCTACCAGGTATAATATGGCATGCTCAGTTACGAGACCAAGATCTTACAATATCGCATCACATCTGAGTTTGCACATGCTACTTACAGGTTGATTTCTCATATAAACAGTACGGTTGGACATGGCTTTCCGCATGATAACGATGTCAAGCAAGGTTCGTACTTCACAATACCAGAGCCGGGCTACTTTCTGTCATGTCCAGAAACTACGCGACGAATCTCCGAAAAGGTTGCCTTGCAAACACCTACTAGACCTATGACGAACCTTACCGCCATTCGCAAGTCAGCCAGCTGTCTTACCGAATCCAAATTCCAAACCCTCGCTTGGAGAATGCCGATCTTCCTATTTTCTATCGCGACCGAAGCTTACCGGTTGCACTGTTGCCCCGCTCATATTGCGAGCTTCGCATAGATGCTGATTGAGAACCCAGAACGGGGTCCCGCCGGTATCAGCTGAACCTCAGCTTTTTGGATATGAAAGTCTAAAATGGACACCGAATAAGGCCAAGTCCGGGGTTGCGGGGCTAGAATAGCTGAAACCCATGGCCATATTTCTTCTTCCCAATCCTTCCAAGGATCTTGGCGCGACTGCTACTCTACCCCGACGTCGAGCTTGGTTTCGACTCGAAACTGGAACATGGTCACACGCTCGTGAAAAGTCGCTATCAGATAGGTGAACGGCGAGATGCCGCAAAACTTTGTAATCAAAGAAGGCGCCATTCTCAGCTATAATTAGCATTTTCACGACCTGTCATCAGAGCTTCGGTATACACGGGACTTGACACATGTTCACCCAGGTCACACTCCGGCGCTGTTCACTGGTCGCAGCGGCAAAGTCGCACGCCAACAGGTTCAGCCTCACCATACAAAGTCCAAATTCAAGTCGAAGCAATACGGATCATATATGCCTTTGTTATTATTTTTCCTTTCTTCTTCCAGTACACAAGAAAAAACCCTCTAGTGATAATGCCCCATGGCCATCTTATGTCCTCGCACGATCACATACGCGACGTCCGTACCATAAATCAAAAGCGACCCATACCATAACCCAAATTTGCAAAGCCCACAAACAACAGTAGCTACTACCTACTGTCGAGGGCTTCGACAAAGCCAACCGAAAAAAGAGAAAGAAAACGCCAGCAGACTCCTCACCTCGAAAAACAAAAAGCGAACCCGTAAAAAGATAAAGAGAATGCATCGATAATGCATACCATCACACCCGAAGATGTTCGAAGAAAACCCCTTGAACAAAACTCAAAAGTCCTTTTTTTTTTAGCTCTCTCATCCCTCTCACCCTTTTTGTGCACCGTGGATGGACGGACGCAACACTCACATCCACCCCTGCCCAGCAGCAGCAGCAGCTATCCCCTCCCACGTCCCCTCGCCCTCTGCAACAGCAACCTCATCCATAATCGCACTCCACAACCCCTGCTCATCAACATTCTCCAGCTTCAACCCCGGACTCGCCAAGGCATACTCATCTCCTCCCAATCCATTCAAGCCACCCGTGTTCTGCTGGTGGTGTCCGAGAGCCAACATACCCTCATCAAAATACCCCATCCCATCGTGGGCGGTAGCGGTAGCGGTGACGGCGTCAGTCATCCAGGTTGGGGAGAAGGTTGATGTCGCGGCGAGAGTGGCGTCCATGCCCATACTTTGTGCGGGTCCCACGGTATCCTCGTTCTTCACCTCCTGCTGGCGGCCATGAGGGAGGGTAGAATAGTTGAGGTTGAAAGCCTCCTTCGCACCCATCAAGTTCGCAAAACGACTCTGTGCCTGCTGCTGAGCTTGTTGAGCATGAGCGTGAGCCTGCTGACTCTGACTCTGCGTCGGAGCGTGAGGCTGCTTGAAAGGGGACGGCCCACCCAACCCAGCAACATCGATAAACTGCTGCGTATTGAGCGGCAATGTCGTCGTATACGGATAATTCGCCGGCAAGCTCATGCTCATCCCCTGACCCTGACCTCCCTGGGCGTGTCCTCCGGGAACATCAGGCGTCGTGTTCGAAGTACTCGTCGACTCAGAGCCCGAGGTGGAGGAGTACCTATGCCCCTCCATCCCGGACAAGGTCATACTCCTACCTCCCGGACTCCCACCATCGACATTGGTGGTAACGGTAGTGGAAGAGGAAGCACGTCGATGCGTCATACTCTGCGACCGATGATACGGCTGCTGTCCCCTAGGATAAATCGGTGCCGGAGCAGGGCCCTGCTCGGCGGGAGTCAGAGCCCGTGGAGTCATGACCGGATTCCAATGCAAGTTCGGGAAGATTTGTTCGCGATCGAACTGCGGCATCCCCATCCCCTGTTGCATATACGCCGGGTCATGCGGATTCTGCGAGACAAGAGAGCGATCCCCAATAAACGACCGAAACGCAACACTCCCCGCGACGTAACTGCTAATCCTCCAGTCGAACCCATCCCTCCCGGTCGTCAAATGTCCCGTCAAGCCCCTGAACCCTGGCGGGAGGTCATCGTCTTCTTCCTCGTACATCTCCTCATTCTGGACATCGGCTTCCGTGACGCGAAGGGCTTTGCCGGTACGCTTTTTGTGAATTTCGGAGGCGCGGCGGGCGGATTCGATGCGGGCTTCGAGGGAGCGGTCGGAGCGACGGGATGCAGCGATATAGGCTCTCTCTTGGTTTTCTTCGTGGGTGCGCTCGGATTTGCGGGTTGTGGTGGAGTAGACGGGGGGCATCGTGTTTTCGAGTAGTTTGCCGTGCTGTCAAATGGTCGTATTGGCGATAAATGCTCGTCCTCGTTCCAACTTTTTCGTGGAACAGCCAAGGGAAGGGGAGGATCAGGGGGGGCTATAAGGAACTGTTCTCTCGCACACTTTCCTTATAGCCCCCCCCCGTCTCGCCCAACCCACACGTGCAATCTCGCGGGAAGGGCGCATCGACTTCCCCCCGATCCAGACAGACCCCCGGGCCCGATCACGCTAATGATCGGCTTCAACCTTCGTCCCCTTCGTCAGCCAACCACCAGCCAGTCTCACTCTCTGATGACCCTCCGAAACTCGCTCGAGAACTTGCGCAACCTAGCTTCACTTCCAACACGATCTGTTGCAGCTTACGTACAGCAGCTCACCGACGATCCTACGGCCCAGCTGCTGCAGCTGCAGATCGCTCAACCTCACCCATCGTCGATACCTACATGTAGAATAACCTTATTATGACTCGCCTTCCTGCCTGCCTATCTATCCTTCTCGACCTCGGCGAACTCTAAATCACCGCACCTCGGATAGAATCGCGATCGGGACGACCGCTGCGGCACCTGACGCGCGTTGGAGCGGCAGAAGGGAGAGAAACTGAGGGACAAACCGTTTCCCCGCGGATCGACGGTGCCCTTAAATTCATGAATCGGGGTTCTCGAAATCGAAAGTGTTTCCTCGAATTCTTCGTATAGGAGGGTGCACGTGAGAAGGTCAGGAGAGCATGACAACGGGCGGCCATGCGTGCGTCAGTCGAGTTCTTACGTTATGTTCGAGAACGGATACACGAGCCCAGGTGACGTCGTGCACGTGCACTCCGTTTTACGGGCAAGACCGGGAAGTCGTGCCAGGACGAGAAGGATCAGTCAAGTGTAGCATTACTTTTGATACCCATGAAAATGGCCGTCTCACTCGGTATAGCCCTTACAAAATCGAGTCCAACCTCGTATAAACCTGCAAAACCCCAGCGACAACCTCCAACCTCAACTCCCTCTCCCCATTCGCATCCTCTCCAACCTCCTCCCTAACCAACTCCGCCAAATTGGCCCCAACACCACCCGCGCCCCCGCCAGGTCTCACCCCAAACGGCCACTGCGAGAACTCTCCCAGCAGCTCGTCCACACGGCCAAATGCACGCTCGCGCGCTTCGTGTCCCATACTCATCAACGCATTCTCGAGTACATTCCCCGCATACGCCGCACAAACCATCGCAACAGTCCTCACGGTCCTCATCTCAACATTCTCCGGCAACCACCCCGACGCCGGGAGTAGCACAGTTCGCGCCGAGAGGATATTAATAACACGGCGTCGGATCTCGTCTTTGGCGGCGGAGTCGGAGACGGGGTGGGTTGCCATGTCGAAGAGGAGGAAATTGCGTTTTTCGGTACGGAGAATGCCTTTGTCGACGAGGCCTTTTGCGAGGCGTTCGCGGACTTGTTTTAGTTGGTAGCCGATTTTCATTGGGTTCCACGTCTCCCCTACTCTCATCCGTCAGTCACCTGTGCTCCACACATATAGCACCTCTTCCCCACACGTGGATCCGAGTATAGAGAATTGAGGGAAGGACATACCAGACATCAAATCAACCCAACTCCCAACACTCATCTTCTCACTCACCTTCATCATCTTCAACGCCTCATCCAACAAGACCTCCCCCGTCATCTTCTCATCCACAACCTCAATCAATCGGTCCGCGAGGGCATACCGTTTCCTGTTCGGGTCTTTCTGCATGGCAATTCGTCCGCGGAGGGCGAGCTCGATGAGGATACAGCCGCGGAGGGTGTAGGAGATGTTGTCGTTCCAGAAGGAGAGGTAGCCCTTGTCAACATTAGCCCCGATGCTCACAACCTTGATTATCTCTTCCCGAGTATCGCACCTGCTTATCTTTGAGTCCCATCAGCAACACCTCCTCCATCAACGTCAATTTCGGCTGCTTCGACGCTTCCCGTCCCTCATCCATATCCCGTGGGTCAAACGCGATTTTATGCCCGACATCTTCTTCTCGTGGGGGTCTGTAGGAGGCGGGGTCTGAGGGGGTCTGGTTGCTTGGGGTTGAGGTGCCGGAGGTGGAGTCGTCGGCGGAGGGGCCACCGGCGCCGCGGCGGCGGGTGAGGGTTGACATTGTGGGTGGTGGTGAGGTGTCCTCGCGAGATAAGGTTCAGTTGGCGTGTAGGTCCTTGTAGCTGTAGATGTACCCGCGACGGTGCTCTTCTATTCTCCGTTCAATTCCAACGAAATGGATTTCTGGTTGAAGCTGGGCGGTCGGTTGGGCACATGTACCTTTGACGCACGCTTCGGCTGTCAGGGACTAAGCGCGATACCTCAACAGCCAACAAAACTCAAAATCGCGTCCTCGAGGATTTACAGTGGAGACGGGAGTGTTTAGAGCTTTTTGAATTGTGTTTGGTTTTAGCCAGGGCTGGCCATGGACTTGAAGTAGTTTCTGTCTGCTATGGCGAACTCATGCGAATGCACCTCCTCTGATATCGATATACGGATCCGTTCGTACTCCGTGACCGTTCTCTCTTCTCAATTCTCTCCAATACACGTACACAACCTGTTTCTCTGTTTGATCATTCTCCAACCGAGCAACCAACTTACTTAGCCTCAGCAGTCTTGAGGTAGTCAATGGCATCCTTCACGGTCTTCATGCCGTCGGCAACCTTGTCTGGGATCTCAACAGAGAACTCCTCCTCAATAGCCAACACAACCTCAACAACATCAAGAGAGTCCAACCCAAGGTCCTCGAAAGAAGCAGTGTTGGAGATCTGTGAATACTCGTGTCAGCGTGGTGCCGTATATTGCGCACCTTCAAACTCACCTTGTCCTGGTTGATCTTGTCGAAGCTCTTGATGCAGTCGAGAACTCTTGACTCGATGTTAGCCTCTCCCAAGGACGAGTAGAACCTCTGGGCAGCGGCGATGCGGAAGGAGGAAGAGGAAGCGGCAGCAGAGCGGACAGCGCCGAGGAAGTTGACAGATGCGCGGAGAGACATGGCTTGAAGACGTCAATATCAATGGGAGGGATCAAAAGAGAGGATACCAACCTTGTTTACTCGTCGTTTTATATTATGCACGAGCAGGCTGCAGACGTAACCGGGGAGGTCTGGTCAGGGTAACGTCGACGTCGCTCACGTGCAGCCAATCAGCGGGCAGACAACCGGGGCTCCACACCTGCAGTTCACTTACTCACCCGCGAGCGAACCGTCAACGAACGCAACCCAGATACCCCAAAGACAGAAAAAGACATAGAAGTCGACAATGTTCAAGCTCGGTTCCGCCGCTCTGAGATCATCACCAGCCATGTCCTTGGCACGGACACAGGCTCGTACCCAGCTGCCAGCTTTCGCCGCTTTCTCTACCTCTGCGCCTGTCCGCCACGCATCACCCTTCCCTGCTACCCCTGTACCCGCGGGTTTCCGTCCAAAGTCTGATCCCAATTTCAAAGAGGAGAGCGCTTTGGACAAGGCCGGTCATTTCTTCTTGATGACTGAGATGATGAGGGGAATGTACGTCGTCATGGAGAACTTTTTCCGCGCACCGTATGTCGCCCCCACTCCCTCTCACTCGTAATTGCGAATAGACGACTAACGCGTATGGTTGCACAGATACACCATCTTCTACCCCTTCGAAAAATCTTACTTCTCCCCCCGTTTCCGTGGTGAACACGCTCTCCGCCGTTACCCCTCCGGCGAAGAACGCTGTATCGCCTGTAAACTCTGCGAAGCCGTTTGCCCGGCCCAAGCCATCACCATCGAAGCCGAGGAGCGTGAAGACGGCGCACGTCGTACCACGCGTTACGATCTCGACATGACTAAGTGTATCTTCTGCGGTCTTTGCCAGGAGTCGTGTCCGGTTGATGCTATTGTCGAGACTCCCAATGTGGATTACTCGACCGAGACGCACGAGGAGTTGTTGTATAACAAGGAAAAGTTGTTGGCGAATGGTGACAAGTGGGAGGGTGAGCTCGCGAGAGTGATCGAGGCCGATCACCTTTACCGTTGATCGGACCTTGGGCTTGGGGTTGTGGCTGTGGAGGTGTTGGGTTGTATACACATGTGCATGCTGGTACGATATTTATGTCTTAATGAAGACGGCGGGAGACGGAAAAAGGGCCTGGGCATGTGGAGACAGGAATTGTGCAGGGAGGAAGCCTGGTGATACGAGCTTCACAATCTTTCTTATTGAGCCCATCCATTTAACACACTCGTTACACATACACATACGTGTGGTATCCGTCTGTAATAAAGCTCCGTCTAATGATATAGCTAACGCCCGAAACACCCAAATGCATGCAAAAGCCAAAAGCACATTCAAACCATTCACCATTCACTGTGGTACCTCCCTCTTCACCGCCTCGACAACCTCCCCTTCCGTACCCTCCTTGACATACGTCAGCAAATACGGACTTGCCGTATCCCCTGTAGTGTCCCTCAACACCTCCTCAACCCCAACCTCCGTCACGTACTGATCATTGTACTTCCTCCACACGCCTCGTGCGAAGTCATAGATGTATATCCAGTAATGGCCGAAAGCTGCAGACCCACGGTGGATAAACACGGAGTGGAGACGATACCCATGGGCCCTTAGATCCGTAAACTGTTGATTGACACGAGACTGCAACTCCGTGATCCGCTCCTCAATCGTCTCCAACTCAGCCTTGACACGTTTCGCCTCGTCCTCGAGCGTGCGGAGAATGAAGGGATCGACATCCATACCATGTTTATCCCGCATCGTCTCCAAGTACGCCCTAGTCTTCTCCAACGCCTCATAGATAGGCAATGGACGTGTCTCAGTCTGCACCAACTCATGCTTCCTCGCCTCCAGTTTCTCGAGCTTGGCTTTCCACTTCCACGACGCCTCGCGTCTTGCCTGGATATTCTCGTCCGCAGTATCGAGGTATCGATCCATGTACAGCGTCTCCCCAAACTTGAGGTACGCATTCGATTTGTATACCTGACCCGTCGCACGGTCAAACTGCACTCTCTGAATCTGGATCTGAAGGATTGGTGGGAGCTGGGATACAGTAATCTGCCTCCGGATCTGCTTCCCATCCAAATCGACGGATTGAGCATCGAAGATACTGTCCAACGCATTATAGATATCCCGTCCATCTTTATGAACATCAACGATGAGATGCGCGAACCTCTCCTCCTTCGCGGCCCTCCGCTCCTCGATACTCCCCGTGGACTTCTCCATATCCATATCAACAAGCAATTGCTTCGTTTTTCCATAGAAAAGTTCCTTAACAATATCCACCTGCTCTCCGTCCGAGTCGACGCTAGCTGGCTTCAGGGCCGCCTCGATCTGGAACATGACGTTGTCGATACATTCAGTCACATCCTGTTGGCGGCCAAACATGACTGATGATTGCCGTTGATGAGCCGTGGGACGGGCTGGGAGCGTTGGTGGTTGCGGGTCGAACTTGAAGTCCGGAGGGGGTTCTGCACCCATGAACTGAGGCGGCAGATCAAGCGGCCTCTTGAAATCGACTGGAATCGTGGGTCCGATTTCTCCAGGTTCATAGGCTGGAGGTACTTCCTCATTTACTTGCGCTGGTGAAGCCGGTGCCTCAGCCTCCGTGGACGAGGGTACCTCGCCAGTGGCCTCCACACCGTTGGTCTCATTCTCCTTCGGCTTCTCGACCATGACAAAGTCTTTCTCCTCCTCCCCTGGAACCTCGTCCTCGCCCAACACAGTATGCGAACTCTCCGACCTGGTATCCTCGTTAGTAACGCCCAACTTCTCCCCATCCACAGCCTCTGCCTCCGGAACTTCACTCGCCAAAGGCGCAACAGTCGTCTCCTTCGTCGCAGCCTCCGAATGATCAAGCCCAGGCGCCGGCTCCTTTCCAATCTCCAACGGCTCCTCCGAAACAATCGGCGTAACCATACCCTCATCTCCGTCCACAGGTGTCCCCTTCCTCGCCTCATCAGACCCAATCATGATGGGAGCCAGCTCTCCACCAACCGAATTCTTCCGAACCTTCTCATCATCCTCTTCATCCCTCGAACTCACGAGTGCAAGATACGCAACATCGCGTTCAGGTGTAATCGCACTCTCAGTACTCGCTATCATACTCTTGAACAAACCTGACAACTGCGTCACGAACCTCACAGCACGCTCAATCTCCTTCTTACTGACTGCGCGACCACCCACTCTCTTCTCCGTAACACCATTCTCATTCGCCTGGACATCGACCTCGATATTCCCGCTCTCGACACTCACCAAGATAGCCTGCCTTAGCGGTTTGATCGTAAAGTAGTACTGCAGTAACGAGTTCAGATAACATGTATTTCCGATATTCTCCAACCCCACAGGACACGTCAAATCCACACTCGGAATCAACGGTGCTAGAAGCGCCTCATCGACCACTCCACCCCTGTTAGCAAGATACAGCACAATAGCCTCACTCTTCCTCGCCTCCCCAATGGCTCTCAGGGCACGCGTGAACTCGTCCATTTGAGCCGGCGCATCACCAACAGCGATATCATACACCGAAACAACGACCTCATCAGGTGCATTCCGATCCGTGATATTAAGCGTCGCGTACGCCATATCCAACTCCATCGGTGCGTCTTCCATGACGATATCATGTTCTCGTCGGCCATGCTGGACATAATGCTTCAGCACCGCGCTCTTCCGGAATTTTGCGATCGTTTCCAGGGCGTGTCTCAACTCTTGTTTCCGTTCGGGTAGGTCAGAGAGCTTGGTCTCGTAGTACACCGTCACGAATTCATCCGACACATCGGGGGTGATGCCGAGGAGGTCGTATGCCCGAATCGTGTCCTGGTACCCGACCTTATCCTTACTCTCCTCCTCCGCCAGCAACACCGATAACTCCTCCGTCGCCCGGTCCTGCGCAATAGCCCTCAACGCATCAAAATAATGGGATTCATTCTCGGGGTCATCTTTACACTGTTTCCGATAAAACTCTCTCACCAAATCATCGCTAAAATCGGACATAATCCCCAATCGTCTCGCTGGAACCGAGACTGGTGGGCCGGTTAGGTCTTGTGCCCAGGGGTTTGTGAGTTTCTTGGGATAGTTATTCGAGCCGAGGATTTGGAGCATGGGGATTGGACCAGCGGTATGGCTCCATGCCCACATAGATTTCATGTCGTCCGGGATCTTGGGATCACGAGCCTGAACTGCCAATACTTTCAACTCAAGCCGAGCTTTCTCAAGGTTATGCCGAATTGTCTCATTCTGCTCATCTTCGGCTGAAAGATCGACTGCTCTCCACTCCGCCCCATCCGACATCTCATGCTTCCTCCAATACAACTTGGTCATGAGACTCGCCACCATCCCATCCGACCCAACCCTCCTCGCAAACGTATTATTCTCCTGAATCGGTATTTTCTTCGCCTGACCCGTCAACACATCCTTAATGAAAAACGTCATAGTCGAGAATGTCGAAAACGCCGATGGCGCAGCTTTGTTGATATGCAACTTTGCCGCAGCAGCAGCAGCGAACGAAGTCCTCGTCTTGGTTTGTTTCGCAAAGTGATTCGTGAGATCATGAGGTAAAAACGGACTTTCAAGCTCGACCTGAACCTCTGTGGGACACGCACAACACACATACATCTTCCGCACCCCTCCCACCCTCGAATTCGATTCAAACCCCTCCTCATGCAAATGATGCATCGGCGAGAAATGCCCCGGACACGGCTCCGAACTCGAATTGCGTACGCGGACAGCGAGGGTGGCATGGACCCTACACTCCTCACAAATCGCTCTCAGCCTCCCTGCTTTCCCGAATGCGACGTGTCGATCATCACCACCCTCCTCATCCGTGACAAACCTGTGTTTGTGACTCGAAGGGGGCGTACCGGGAGTTGTTTCCGCCGCTAGATCATGGATCAAGAGCGGCGGACTCTGTCCTGGTCCTATATGCTTCGTATCCAGCATCCCCTCAAACGGATTGTTGCTCATCGTCATCGTTGTCCAATACCGTCCTTCTTGTTCCCTCCCTACGTAACCGGGACCCAGCGGGCGCCCTGCCTACTGCATCCCCTGCACGGACAAATCGCCCCTGGCGAATCACCCCGACCATAGTAACCACCAAGACCAGTATACATCACCAGCATCGAAAATGTCTGGAGTTCAATCGTTTCATCCTCCACGCGCTCCATTCCACAAGAAGGATACCCTCATGGAGGCCTTGCAAGGTGGCGCATCGATGGGTGGTACGTACAATCGGACTTCAATCGAGGAGGAAGGATATTGATCCGGTGCGTGTGTGTGTTAGTTATGGGTTTTGCCGTCTCTGCAATGAAGAACCACTTGGAAAAGCATAACAAAGGAGCCATGGGTGTTTTCACGAGAACAGGATCGTTGATTGGTTGGGGAGGTACGTTGCACCTTCCCGAGTCCAAGCCATGGAATGGATAAAAGTTGACCGTGAATCACCAAATAGCCGCCATCGGAACCTCTTTCGCCTTCTTCTCAACCGCCTCCGCAAACCTCAGAGAAACCGAAGACGCCTTCAACGTCTTCATCGGCGGTTTCGCGGCCGGTGCAGTCGCTGGTCTCAAAAAGGGTAAAGTCACCTCGGTTCTCGGGATGGGTGCACTCATCGGATCGACGTTCGCTGTGGTTGATTGGTGTGGTGGATCCTACGGTTCCATCTATCAGGGGATGACTGAAGAGGAGAAGGAGGAGCTTAAGAATAAGTGGTTCACGGCGAAGAAGAGGTATTATCGGGCGGAGGCGGAGGAGGTGTTTGGAAAGGGACGGGTTGCCTAAATTTGGGGCGCGGTGTGAATACAGAGTTCGGTATGTACGGTATACGATAATGAACGACATGCATGACAGAGAGTGCGTGAGAGGGATAGCGTGGGCATATGAGCGAAAGCTTTGCAATACATTATTATTTTATGTGATATCGGAGTCTTTGCATGTCCTTGCAGTGGGGTATAATCGCGTCTATGGCGATGTCTCCTGTCTATATCCAATCCTCCTCCACCCACACCTCCACCCTTCCTCCTCCGCGTTCCAAACCCCAATCATGCCTGTCTCGTCAACGCATCCATAGGAATCCGCACAAGCGTCTCCGGCAACTCCGGTGCCTCTTCTGGTCTCGTCTTTTCCTCCTCCTCCTCCTCTTCCTCTGGGGGATCCTGCTTACCAAGCCGTGCTGTTTGCAGTGTTAATCAACCTGAATCACACGGGACACAGGGAGGAATACTACAAACCTGCAGACAAGTTAATCGCCCTAAACACATTCTGCCAATTCGCCAATACGGTCGCGACAGCTAAACAACCCCCCATAATTAGCCCCCGTTCCCCCCACCCCCACCCCCACCCCCATCCCACATACCTTCTGTGCCATTCGTCAACGTCTCCAACTTCCCTTCCAACTGCTCCATCTGCGCAGCGAGCCCAGCACTCAAATCCCGTAACTGTAGCAGGTTTTCATACTCGCGTTGTTTCTCCGCTAAGCGTGCAGCGAGGGCCGGGTTTGCTGAGGCGTAGGCTGAGCGGGCGTGGGGGTTGTATGACATCGTGACTGTATGCTATTCGAAGAGGTAATGGGGATGGAGTTGGTGTATTGTTTTGATGCGACGCGTTGTGCAGCATGAGGTGCATGACTCTGCGTTCCCCGGATTCGGATACGTCGACGTTACACCACCGGACACCGAAAACACTAAACACCATGGACTCCTCCTCAGAACAATTCTACGAGATGTTCCAAGCCGAGCGACAAGGTATGTGTCCTTCCATGCTTTCTCGAAGCTATGGCTGACACTTGGGACCAGCTCTCCAAACCCAAATCGACAGTTTGTCAGTCCTAACCACCACCGAACGCCCCCCCGCAATCGAACAAACCCTCGCACGCATCGCACGTCTAAACAGCGAGTTTAACGGAGTTTCGACTCAGTTGGCGGGGTATGATAGGAAACAATGCACGGAGCAACTCAAGAGCCTGAGTGAATCTCTCACGCGTGCACAAACGAAACTCGCACCAAAACCGCGGTTTTCTTTCAAGAATAGGGGCTCCAAAATATCCAGCTCAGCCAGTAAAGCAGCAGACACCGAATCAGAAGGCGAAGGAAGCGGATCAACACCTTCCCACCCTCGTCCGCCCGCATTCACCACCTCCCTCCACAGCACCCTCCTCTCCTCCGAATTCCACACCTACCTCACCCTCCCCACCCCCTCCCTCCCCGACATCGACATCGCATCCCTAACATCCTGCATCATCAACCTCCACCCCCTCCCCAACCCGCACGACACATCCAACCCCAGCCGACCCCGAGCCCATGCCGTCCTCACCGCCCGTGAACTACGGGAGTCCGTAGCACATCTAGGCGAAGTCACAGGTCCAGCGCACTTGACCGGGATTAGGGGGTGTACGCTGGCTGTGTCATGTCACCAGTTTCGTATGCACGATAGTCATGATACGATTATCTACCTCCGCTGCGCATCGAAACCCATCATCGAGAATTGCTCTGGACTCCGGTTTGCGCCGTGGCCCTTTCCTACGTCAAACAACGCAGATTTCAGTCCTATGGTTGATTTGTGGGACCAAGTGGAGGATTTTAATTGGCTGAAGAAACAGCATAGCCCGCATTGGTCTATTCTTCCTGAAGAGGAGAGGAAGGTGAGAGAGGTTTGGGAGGAGGTTGTTACGTTGGGGGAGGATGGGGATGTTCAGGGGGGGTTGAGGAAACTCTTACCGGCGAAGGTAGAGTGAAATGCAATAAATCATATTGTAACACACCGCACATGCTTGCTTTCCCTTCTTTGATGTACCCACAAAAAAGCCAACCGAAAACGCCGAAGAAAATGACAAGAATGACAACACTTTTTCTTTCCACACAGCTCCATCTCCTCGAGAATCCGAGCTTAAGGCTTATTCCAAGACCAAGTCAGATACGGCAACCACCTCGACCTGTATGCCTTCTTCGGGTCCTCGATCGTCTTCTCAACCAACTCCAAGATCATCTCATAATAATTCGGCTTAAATGGGGGCTTGAGGAGTTTGTCCGACAAAGGGTACTGTTCACCCAAAATTAGCACACTGTCCCTCCTGGAAGATGGATGAATGATACGTACCTTCTTCTTGGCCTCATTCCCAAACAACTTCTCAAGCGCAAAGAACTGTCCCTCCAATTTCATAATCTCCTGAGCCCCAAGGGTTTTCCACTCAACCTTCATCAACGAGCCATCCAGTTTCTTCATATTCCCCTCCGCAACCGCAGCCTCATACTCCCCCTCCTCTAGTTCCACAGGATTCATGAACGCGTCACGGGCCATAGCTTCCAGCGTCGCCGGGAAGGAGACGTGTTTGCGGAGTCTGTCGACGGGGTAGTGCATGATGAGTTTCTGAAAAGATCCATGGAGTTCTTGGGTGGTTGGAAGGTGTCCGTGTTGGCGGAGTTCGAGGGACTTTCGGTAGGCTCCTGCGCCGATATTTTTAATATGTTTGGCTCCGGACATGCTGGCTTCGAGGATGGAAAAAGTTGGTGGTGAGTTTATCGATGTGTTGAGAGTTGGAGCGTAATCGCGAATATGTGCGTGCGTCGCCTGGCTAAACCCAAAAGGACCTCGAGAGCTGCAATCCATCGTCTGGGCACTGTAACGTCGACCCCCCCCCCCCCCAAAAGAAATGGCAACAGCTGAATCCCTAGCACGCCTCGACGGCCTAGAAAAGACCCTCATCAAACAGGGAGCAGAAGCACTCGCCTACAAAACTACTTTCCTCACACCAGATACCCCTGCGCTGCTAAAAGTCCGGCCAAAAAAAGAATGGAGACATCCAACCCTCGACGCAAGATTAACGAAGCATCGGGTGTTGGCCGAAGCGCGGCTGTTGGTGAAGTGTAAACAGGTGGGTGTCCCGGTACCCGGGGTTTACTTTATCGATGAAGCACGCGGCCAGGTATGGATGGAGTGGATTGAAGGCCGGTCCGTGCGTGACGCATTACAAGCCGTCGACTCTGAGGCTGAGTCAGAAGACACAGTAGGCGAGGCAGGGAAAAAAGGATTGTTGAAGAGTATTGGCCGGGCATTAGCGGTGATGCATGAGGCCGAAGTCGTTCATGGGGACTTGACGACCTCGAACCTCATACTCACACCTGCTCCCGAGAATAAAGTTGTCATCATCGATTTCGGCCTCGGGTCAGTGTCGATTTCGGAGGAGGACAAGGCTGTTGATCTGTATGTGCTGGAACGTGCATTCGCGAGTACGCACCCGAAGAGCGAGGCGCAGTTTGACAAAGTGCTGGAGGGGTATCGGGAAGCGTACCCTAAGGGGAGTAGGTTGGTGTTGAAAAGGTTGGAGGATGTAAGGATGAGGGGGCGGAAGAGGAGTATGCTTGGATGAGTGTGTGGATTGTATTGGCTCTCATGCTATGCCCGCAATACACAAAATCCTCTTCATCTACCAAAAAGTCCCAAAGCTATCACCCCCAAAACATCATCACTGACTAGTATTCATCTTGGTCCCCCCATTAACCTGAACCGCATACCGTGCCTGCAACGCCGCCGCAGCAGCAATAGCTGCCTCACTCGGTCCCGCCGGTGCTCCAGCAGCTGACCCCGGCGCTTGTACCGGCGTGCCCATACCTCCCGTCGTAGCCGCGGGCGTCGCCGTACCAGCCGGTACAGGCGTCCCACCCTTCCCCGGCGTAGCCCCACCCTCAGCTGCCGCTGCCGCCGCCGCTTCCTGCTCCTTGAGCATCTGCCTCCGTTTTCTCTGATATTCATTCCGCTTTTCCCTCCTTTGTGCTTCTAATTGTTCTTTCGACAGCTCTTCCGCTGCGGCCGTCGAGGTCGACTCGGCCGCTTTCGTGATCGGGGTGGGGGTGGGCGCTGCGGTTTCAGCTGTGGTGTCCTTGATTGTTGCTGTCGGTGTTTCCGGGACAGCTGCGACGGTAGTGGTAGCTGGAAACGGCGTGGGAGGTGCAGCAATAGCGAGAGGGGGATCTGACGAGAACGAGGGAGCAGCAGGAGTAACGGCACCAGTAGGCGTAGCAGCCGCCGTAGCCGACCCACCCCTCGCTCCGCCCCTCCCTGAGCCACGAGGTCTCCCACCACGTCCACGTCCTCTGACGGGTGTTGCAGGAGCAGGCGATGCAGTCACAGTACCCGCAGCGGTGCCAGCACCGGTGGTCCCAGTAGTAGTGAGAGCAGCAGCAGGAGTCGGAGCAGGCGATGCAGCAGCCGTGCTCGCCGCCGCACTTGTCGTACGTCCACCCCTCGCCGTCCCAGCTCCTCTTCCGCGCCCACGTCCGCCTCTACCGCGTTTGGCCGTTCCGTCGGGTCTGTGAGTCAATAGTTAGCATTCGATGCACACATCCAAGGCCTGTCGTCCAACTCACCTCTCAATCCTGATTTTCTCGCCCTGTTGCACAAGCGGCCCACTATACACGAAAAACCCATCCTTATGCGCCGCAGCCATTTCCTCCAACAAAATCTCCGAGTCGTCAATGAAATCGTCTTTGAGGTCATATACGCCTCCAGTATCATACTTCCTCTTCATCTTCGCCGCCGAATCTTTTTCTGGACCACCGGGGCCGTCGGCACCGGATGCGGCGGTTTCCTCGTCGTCGGAGTCGTCGTCGGCGGCTTCGTCGTCGCTTGACATTTCGGCCAATTTTTCCGCTTGGAGACGTGCGAGGGTGGCTGCGGCGACGGGGTGCACCGCGGCCCATCCATATGTCTTTTCCGCGAGTTGGGCAAAGTTGACTTGTACCGCTTCCCCATCTTTCTGCGGGTTGAGAGAGATATCGATGGAGATGTTTGGACGGTCTGGGAGTGAGGAGAGATCGAGGTCTGAGGGAGGTTGGCCCGGGAGACGAGGTACGAAAGTCGAGGATGCGGAGCGTTTTGCTGGGATTAATGCTTTTGGAGGTTGCATTGAGCCAGTACCAATACCAGTCCCGTTTATAGATGTAGACGCCGAGACGGGCGTAGCAGGTGCCGAAACATCGGCCATCTCCTCATCCTGTGCGGGGGCAGAAGACTGCCTTAATTGCGAGGGATTGGTGGGCGATGTATGCCGTACGACAGCAACGGGAGGTGTAGGTGTAGCATTCACCGTTTGGTTTTGCTGTAATCATTCGTCGTCAGCTTGCTTCTTTATTTACCCCCAGTTCTCCTGACGTACCCCCAGTCCCGACCCTGAATTCGACTGCGCCACGTGATTCTCCGCACTCACCGCTCCCCCCAACTCCACCGAACTATCAAGCAGCATATTTATCGAGGACATGATATCCTCTCCACGTCCTCTGTTGTCGTGTGTTGGTGTGGATGTGTCTAGGGGGGGTGTATGCGTTGGTCGGAAATTTGGTGGAGGTGGGAGTTGGGGTCCTGAAATTCGGTCTGGAGTTAGGCTACTTCATCCCTTCCCTTTCTACAGCACGTAAACGACGCGTTTTTGGCCGTGCTTCATCAGCTTGCACACCGCCAGCTGTTGGCCTACCGCTACCCCTGGGCTGCCCTGGGCTTTGGTGCGCGCGCGCGTTGAGACCATGCACTTGCGCAGCCGTGGGAGACTCCAGCGTATCTTTGATCTTAGCAACCCAAAAATCTTACTCCGCCTTGCCACCTCCAACATCTCCAGTCCCAAGCGCTGTCAACTTACTCAACCCATCACTAATCGCTCCCCCCGAGAAATCCATCCCCGTCTTCTCCACAGCAGGCGTAACCGGCGCAGTCCCCGGATTCCTCTCCCACTCAGCAACCTCGGCCTGCAACCTCTCCAACTCCTTCTGAAACCTCGACCCAAACACCTCAATATAATAATTCGCTCCATTCCAGACTGACCATCCAAACACCAGAATCAAAAATCCAGCGGCGTAAGTTCGGTTTGCGTACCAGAATGGGCAAGGGACCATGGTGACAAGGGCGTATGCGTACTGGATCATCATGAATGCGAAGGGCTGGAGGGCTTGGGGAAGCTTGAGAACCATGCGACCGATCCAGGTCTTGGAGTAGCTTTTGAGCAACCAGGTGAAACTCGTGGGTCGTCCAGCCTTGATCTTCTCCTGTTTCCGGACTTGAATGAAGACGTAGTACAGGACTTGCCAGGTCATGTACGCGATCGAGGCAACGGCCATGGCGGGCAGGAAGTTGAGCGTTTGGACGGCAGGTACGGCGGGGAAGCGAGTGTCAACGTACGAGCGAGGGAGGACGTGGACGATCGTGTGCAGGACAAGGGGCGGATAGACGTGAATGAAGAGGGAACAAACCTGTTTGCAACGATTAGTATCGGGATACTGACCTCAACCACAACCGTAGCAAACCTTATCCATCGAATGGAAGACGAGTGAGTTTCTCCAAGCAACGATAGCCCAAGCCAAGGATCCTGTGAGCGACTGGTCAGCAACGGACTATGTACTCTGTGAGAAATTACCCACCATGCGTCAAGCAATACGTCGAAATCAACAAGCCAGTCGAACCTGGTGCTACCCACAAATAGGCAACAAGGAGCCAATTCACCCTGAAGACCGTCAGCTTGCGTTGCAACAAAAGCAAGACGCGAGAAATCTACCAATAGCACAGGTCTGCCATGAAATAATGCATCCCTTTGCGGTGATATGAGATGTACCGCATTGGCATGAAGTACGCAAGCTGAGCCGAATAGAAGACATGAATCCACTCTGGCGCCATTCCTGTTCGCATACGTCAGCCTCCAGTACGAGCAAGCAGCAGCTGAATGCCACGCGAACATACCAATCAACAACGCGCTGACAAAGATATTAAACACTCCCAACACAAATGCAATCTTATCCCGCGTCCGCACGACATTCTTGGAGTTCCACTTCGTCTTGGCTTTATCCACATGTCTCGAGAATCGCGCCTTGAATCGTTCAAGTTCTTTATCAATCTTGGGTGTTTTGGAGCCGATTCTTCTCTTGAACTGTACGTTTGTCAAACCCGCTGTTAGCCTTCATACGTCCGTCGCAATTAAAAGACGATGAAGACAAACCTCACTCCCTCTCCTCCTCATATCAGACAAATTCACGTAATTGTTAAAGTCCAACAAGTCAATCAGATCAAACTGCGGACTCTCATCCAAATTGAACGCGAGTGGTTCTTCGAGTCCGTCGTAAGACGCATAACTCATCGGACTTGCTTGTATTGAAGACGACGTTGACGCCGTCCGTTTGCGGTCCATTCTGAGAGTTTGTTGGGGATGTATGCTGGTCAATGGTAGTTGTTGTTCACCACCTTTTTCGCGTCTTATAAGGTTTGGGTTATTCGCGCAGGAGCGCCGTGCTCCGTTCGTGCATGGGCCATGACATCACCCCAGTCAATCTCAACCTGACAGCCGATGCGCAGCGGTTTCACGCGTACGAAAGGAACAAATTGAACACCAACAATCCATTAGAAATAGGAAAAATAGGGAACAGATATCCAAAAAGTCTCCCTCGAGCGTTTTACATAACGACACAATCATGCTTATCCTTCGCAACATTCGGAATCCCCATCTCCTCAAACGTAGCCGGTCCCTTCTTCATCCCTTGCGGTGTAGCTGTCTGAGTCGCCCGAACTGTCGGCGCCGGTACAGGCGCTGGGAGCGACTGCGTAACCGGACGCGCCCTCTCCTGACCCTGATACTTGGGCCCTTTCATTCTATGCTGATTTTGCAACTGCCTCGTGCTCATCTGCTGCGCAATCTGCTGAGGATGCGGCGGCCCAACAGCCGTAACGGGCGCATTCATCGGTAACGCACTGTGTGGTCTCTGCTTCTGCTGCACATGTCCATTCCCGCTGACTGGCCTTGGAGCCTCTGACATATGCCGGCGTTGACGTTGGGGATCGTGCGGACGTGGACTCGTGGGAAGATGTTGGGTTGGGTGACCTTGCACTTGTAATTGGGTATAGTCATGGGGACTGAGACCGTGGGGTGGAGAGAATGCTTGTTGCGGGATGGGTTCTGGTTGGAGTCTCGGGGATCCCTGCGGTGAATGTCTGTGCGGCGAATGGCTTCCCTGGCGATACCCATGCTGTCCGTAGTGTCCCTGGCCATGATGACCATGACCCGAACGAGCCTGCCTCGAATCCTTCGGCGGAGACACACGCGGCGGAGACGGAGCACTCGGCGTGACGAACATCGGCGGAGAAGGAGCAGAAGGTGTAGCAAACATCGGCGCTTGCTGCCTAACTTCAACCCCGATCCCAAGACCAGAGCCACGAGCAGCCACCGGCACCACGGGTGGAGCCATCATCTCCTCCTTGCCCGGTTGCGAAGGCGGCGCAAACAGCGGAGCTTGAGCCCCAGCCATAGGCGGTGAAGCGGGATACTGTCCAGGGATGTTCGGCAATGACATAACAGGGGCCGCATACCCACTCCCATCCTCCGGAATAGCAGCAGGCATGAACCTAGCTGACCCACTGGGCGGCGACCACGAATGCGAACTTGCATCCAACGAATTATGTCCTGGCAATTCGGGCATCAAGGCCCCTTGATCCGCGCCTACGGGAAGAGGCGGAAGAGGGGCACCTTGTCGAGTCTCCCTCCGTTCACGACTCGCGATACGTTGACGGTTGGTGGGATGCTGGCTCTTAACCCTGGTGAGCATAATTGTCTGATGATCCGCCCTATTCAAGGTCCCAGAGCGTTTAATACTGTTCATCCGTGTCTCCGCATCAACATTCCCCTTCGCTGCGCTCTATGCCACAAAAAGTCAGTATCTCGATCAGAACATACCATTCGATATGTTGCATACTTTTGCGTACCACTTTTCCGCTTCCATAGGATCAGGTTTCACGCTAATCCCAACCTCATAGAAATATCCCATAGCGAACTCGGCCATGGTGTTGCCCTCCATAGCGACTCTGTACGCAAGCTTAAACGCCAGCTCCTCATTCGGTGCCATAGCCCCCTCCGCACCCGCCAAAAACCACTTACTCAACGCCATATCAGCCTCCCTGAACCCGCCCTTCGAGGCAAGCGCATAGTAATGCATCGAGACAGCCGGGTCAAAGTCACACGATAGCTCGCCATACTCATAGGCGCGCCCAAGACGCATTTGAGCGGGTGCATACCCAAGAAACGCAGCCTGCTCGATCAAACTCTTCGCTTTCGCCTCATCCCTTGGGAACTCTTCGGGAGTGGGTCCACCAGGTAAGTCCCCCACATACAACAACCCCAAAAACCATGCCCCAAAGGGACAATCCTCATCTGCCCCAACAGCCGCTTGTTCCAACAACTCCACACCCTCCGCCAAACTCCTCCCAACCCCATGCTCGCCCTTAATCGTCCACAGTCCGAGCTTGAAGGCACAGCCTGCGTCACCCTTTGACCACCCCCGATGGTAGCAAGCGGTGGTTTTTGCATGATCGTGTTCACGCTCATACACCTCCCCCAACCTCCACTCCGCCCTCGCGAACCCGCGTTTTGCGGCACGGGTATACGCTCTCAGCGCCTCTTTCCGATCTTTCGGACGCCCGAACAGGCCGGATTCGAACCATTTTCCGGTGTGGTAGATTGCGCGGGGATGACTGTGTTTCTGCGCTAAATTCTCGACGATTTGGATTGCGCTTTCGAGGGTCTGTTGTGTTTCGGTGGTGGTGTCGTGGGTGTAGAAATACTTTAACGCCGATGCTGCCCAATCCATTTGATCTTCGGGGTCGATTGAGGCTAGGACATCTCCGCGTGTGATCTCGATGTGATCCAGTTCGATACGGGCGCTTGGTGGGAGCATCTGTGGTGGATCGTCGACGTGGGGCAGGAAGTCGCTCACGGAATTACTCCTCCCACGAACCGGCGCACGCGGCGGTGACGGGGTACGCTGCTGATACTGCTGATACTGCTGTAGCTGCTGATGCTTAAGAGACATGTTCTGTATCATCGCAGTCGGCGGCTCACGGTGCTGCTGTGTATGCGTATAATGATCATAAATCTCCGTGTGATCAGGAGTAGGACTATGACGCTTCGGCGGAGCTACATCATTGAACCCGACTCGGAACTCTGAGAAATCCATGGCCATGTGTCCTGTGTCACTAATGGGAGGAAGAACGGGCGACCTCCCTCTTTCGTGGGAGGGGATGGTGGTGGTTAACCTTTCAGTACAGGTGAGAAGTAAGGCGGTGTTTCAATCATCGCTAACTGAGATATCACATACCTTTGCGGACGAGGAGCATATAAGTCGTCCGTCATGACGGAGGAAGCGGCTGAGCCTCGATTTGTATAAGAATAGCTTAGATCGGAATGATGTTTATGATCCCTGGACGGTCGGACCGGAGAGCTCTCAAACGTGCTGACGACGGGATGTGCAGCTTCTTAAGCTTCAATAGGCTTTCAGCTGATCCGTGAGCAGAGGGTGTGTCACAGCCTTGGCGGCGTGCTACAGGGAGCGGCCCGTGGGTTCATCTGCAATGCCTCGTAACCATTGAGTCAAAAATTGGACGAACTGTTGCTCATTGCAAAGAGATATGAGTCGTAGCTATAGCAGCCGACGGGTATGATGGGAGTGTATGCCATAGCAATGCTCCACGGACTCGAAGCTTCTCTCTAAGGTGAGCCAAATCTGGGGTCTTGTCGACGACATCCCCTGCATCTCCTCTCATACACCAAACTTCTTGTACCGGACGGATAACCTTCAAGGTCGAGTAAACAATGACGACCGACTACCAGAAACAGCTGGACGCCTACCTCGGCCAATACGCCGACAATGTCGAGCTACGCCTCCACCCCCAATCAGACCCCTCAATCCCAGCGGATCGATACCTCGTCGCAACCCGCGACTACAAAATCGGAGAAGTCATCTTCACCGAATCGCCTATCCTCCATACCCAGCACCCCTACGCACAAACATTCCAGCCCTCCACAAACCTAAACCTTGCATTCGACTGGCAGCGAATCCTCCACCTCTACGCACATCTTCGCACGACCGACGATGGGCCAGAATGCGCACTGGTCAAGCTGGGATTGAATGTGCTGAGTGTTGACGGAGCCACGAATGCGATTGCGCAGGAGGAGGATGAAGATAAGTTGAAGGATCATAAGGAGAGTGCGAAAGCTTGGGTTAATAGGTGGAAGGAGCGGAGACGGAACAAGAACAAGAAGAAAAAGAAGGGCGGCGCTGCTGCACCAGCACCAGCTGCAGGAGAGGAGGAGAAGGGCGAGGAGTGGGTACCCACCGTGGAGGAAATTGAGCGTCTGATCCACGTTCTCGAAACGAACTGCCATTCCCGGTCCTCGCACCCCGATCCCGTCCGCGGCGAAACCGCATCACCCACAACCTCCACCTCCACCAAGGGAGACGACTGGGAAGACGAAGACGCCGCCGAAAAAGAGGACGAGGATGAGGAAGAGGAAGAAGAACAATGCGGCCTCTTCCTCTTGGCCTCCTTCATGAACCACTCCTGCCTCCCCACCGCCTCCGTCCTCCTCCCCCTCGCCTCCTCCTCCCCACCAACTCTCACCCTCATCTGCACAAAACCCATAAAGACAGGCGAGGAGGTGACCATCTCCTACCACGATCAAGAATTCATACAAACGGAGGATAGACGGATGCTTCTCCGCCGCCGAGGATTCGTGTGTGAGTGTGTGATGTGTTCTGGGGATGTCGCGGATTATGCCCGTGCTGCACTGTGTACCAACTCTGGGTGTACGGACGGAATCGCATCACCCACCGCCTCAGGCTGGCTCTGCGACACCTGTTCTCATCAATTATCCGACGAGCAGGTGTCCGAAATCGAGCAAGCCGAAGAAGAATGGGAAGAAGAATGGGAAGAACTCGGTTCCTCACCCCTCATCACCGCCCTCGTCTCCTCCCTCATCTCCCACATCTCCACCACCCCCCTCGCCGACCCCAACACCTGCCAACCGCCCAGCCTTCTCAAACTCCGAGAAGCCACATCCCCACTCCACCCAGCCCACACCCACATATCCTCCCTCATCCGCCACCTTACATTCACCCCAACCCTCATAACCCCCCTCCGTCTCGACCACGGCCTCGACACGCCCTTCCATCTCCTACAGTATCTTCTCTCGTCTGCGTATCGGTTGTTGCGCCTCGATCGAGGTGTTGAGGGGAGTGTGAGGGGGTTGAGTGAGGAGGTTAGACATCTTGCGTACTGGCTTGCGAAGGAAGGGAAGGATTTGGGGGGGAGGGAGGGGGTGAAGGAAGGGGAGAGGGAGAGGTTTGCGTTGGTGGAGGGGTGGGCGGAGGGGGTTTGGGGGGAGCATGGTAGGGGGTTGAATGGGCAGCTTTGAAGGGGCAAGTGATAAGGGATGGGAATGTGTAGAGATAGAGATGGGGGATATATTCTATGATATGGTGAATGATGTCAATGGCCAGCATTAGATGCACCCAAAAACGAAAAGAATATGGTCTCCAGAAACCCAAGAATGATCACTTTAAATCTCCTCTTCGCCTTCCTCCATGTCTTCCAAAAACTCTTCCTCATCCTCATCCTCATCATCGTCAGGCAACTCAGGCTCCGCCTCATCCTCATCCTCGTCCTCATCCTCATCCTCATCCAGCTCCAGCTCGTCATCATCACCCTCCATCACAACCCCCGGATGCACACTCCCAACATGCCTCCTCAAATCATACACCCTCAAAAACCTAAACTCACATCCCTCAACAACACACCCAATCTTCCTCGTCTCCACATACCCCGCTCCAGTCAACTGTCCCACAAGGCCCTGCTTATCCTTCGATTTCTGCTTGCCCTTGGGTGACGGTGTCGGGTCTGGATCGTGTTCGTGTTCGTGGACGCGTTTGATGTGACGTTGGAGGAGACGTTTATGACCGTATGCTTCGGTGCAGCCGGGATGGGAACAGACGAATGGCCGTTCGTCTTCGTGGACGGTCCGGACGTGTTTATCGAGTGCGAAAGCCCGTGTGAAGCGCTTGTTACATCCTTCGACGGTACAGGCAAACCTCCTCCTCTCCTCCACACTCGTCTCATGCGTAACAAGATGCGCATTCAACTGTTTCCGACTCGCGAATGACCTCCCACAACCTTCGTAGTGACACGTTGGAACATGTTCTTCCTTGACATGTTTCTGCAGCGCGGACCAACTCTTAAATCCCTCGGAAGAGGCGGGGCAAGAGGGGTGAGCGCAGAAGTATTGGGGGAGGGGGGAGTGTGCGCGGGCGATGTGTGCGTTGAGTTTTGAGCGGGTCGGGAAAGACGCAGGACATCCCGGTGCGTGCGGACATAGGAAGGGATGTTTATGCGTATGCACCTCCGCAACATGTTTCCTCAATTGAAAGTTCTTGGCGAAGCTCACCTCGCATGGTGGGTACTCTGTGCATTTATAAGGCTTCGGTGCTTCGTGTGTCATGAGGTGTCGCTTCAAGTGTTGGTTTAGCGCAAAAGACGAGTCGCACCCTTCGTGCGGACATTTGAAGGGTTTGTCTTTTGTGTGGGAGCGGCGGTGGACTTGGAGGTGTGCGTCACGTAAGAAGGTTTTGTCGCAGCCGGGCCAGTCACAGCTGAAGGGACGGTCGCCGGTGTGGGAGCGGAGGTGTTCTTGGAGACGACAGGGGCGGTTGTAAGATTTGTCGCAGCTTTCGAAGGTGCAGTGGTATTTGTTTGGTCGGACGCCTTTCTGGCGTTTTGGTTCGGGTTCGGTGGGAGGTTCTGAGGGTTCCAGAACTTCTGGTTGGAGGTATTCTTCTAAGGGCTCGGATTGGAGCATGTCGAGGTTAGGGATGTATTCCTGGTCTGTCAAGGACGAAGTCAACAACCAGACACGCAGCCAATTGCAACTGCACAACGAAACGCACCTCCATGGCCAACGGCAACGGGAACCCACTTCCTCTTCAACGGATTGGTCATCAGCCAGTCCTGCATACTGTGCTGGCTCAGAGCCCCCATTGCAGCGAGTCGACACCCTTCACCGTTCTTCCTACCTTCACAACACATTTATAAGGGAGGATGCAGGTGGCCACTGGAATCCAAGGGGCGCGCGTTGGCCTGCATCGTAAGTTTTGGCACTCCTAACCTCCAAAGAAACAGCATACATCCCCACAATGTCAGACTACGGAGACGATGACCAGTGCGCTTCTTCCCTTCTCTTCCTGTCATGACGGCGGGCTAATGATGGGATAGCTTCGGCGGCTACGAAGAGACCTTCGACGCAGACAACTACGACTACGTAGACCAAGACAACCTCCTCCAAGACGCACCCCGCGAAGGCGAAACAGACGCACACGCCCCCAACGGCCAAGACCCCGTCAACCCCCACACCGAAGTTATAGCCTCCGCCGGCGGCGACGTCGCCGCAACCGCGACAGTCTCCGGCCGCAAAGCGGGTAAAGCCGTACCCAAAGAGAAGCGAACAACGACCCCATACATGACCAAATACGAGAAAGCACGGTTGTTGGGAACGAGGGCCTTGCAGATTAGTATGAACGCGCCTGTGCTTGTGGATTTGGAGGGGGAGACGGATCCGTTGCAGATTGCGATGAAGGAGTTGAGTCAGAAGAAGATTCCGTTGTTGGTGAGGAGATATTTGCCGGATGGGTCGTATGAGGATTGGGCGTGTTCTGAGTTGATTGTGGAGTAGGTGTGTGACGTGAAAAGGACGTGGAGAATGATGGTGAAATGGGCTATTTGAACGCGTGATCGATTTTGTCTTCATCATGGACGTACGAAAACGCGTCTTCGTTAATCAGGGTATCAATAGAAAAGAAAAAACATGTGTATCACCTCCACTCACAAAGTAGCGCCTCTGCAAACGTGCAAACCTCGCAATACTTGCGTCGGTTTACTGACTCCCCTCACTCCCCGGCCTCCCCTCATTCCCCTTCAACGCATCAACCCACCTCCCATAATGGAAAACCCCCTCCCTACCCCCTCCAACCCCCCTCTTCTCCACAAAACCCTTCATCCCCCTCTCCACCTCATCCCTCCCCATCCCTTCCTCCACCAACGCTTCCATGAGGAGGGTGACAGGAGCCGTAAGCGCGGGCGTGTTGGATTCGTCGAACGTGCTGAATGCTGCGAGGAGGTCGTCGCGGGAGGATATCTCGAGGAGGTGGGAGGACATGAAGGTTAGGTATGCGGCGAAGTTTAGGGGGGAGGGCATTTCGTCTAGCATATCCTTCAACTGGGGCTCATTCGGGTTTTGACCTGTTCCCCACTCATGTCAGCACACACCCTCACACACCCACAGTGGGAAAAGGGGACATACCAAGTGAGACGAGCATAGCCCTCAAATCCTCCATCTCGACAACCCCATCTCCATCCTTATCCAACAAATTAAACGACTCTTTCAGTTCTTGTGCTTGTGTCGGCGAGAGACGGTGGAAAGCACCGGATGTTGCGCGGCGGAGGTGGTTCCGGTTTCCTGGACGCATTGCGGTTTGTGGGAGACGGCGGGGTGTCAACTCTGAGGGCATCGGTGGTTATACTTATATGGTGGGGTGGGATGAGTAGAGTAGGGAGGTGGTGGAGGTGGAGGGGGAGGGGGAGCCTGAGGGTGATATCGCGGGTAAACAGATGGCGGTGCACGTATGTTGTGGCTGGTGCATGGGGACCGAAGCCGCTGATATCTGAAGGTCTGAAGGTCTGAAGCTCTGAAGGTCTGAAGCTCTGAAGGTCTGAAGGTCAAGGGGAGCAATTCGAGAAAGTCTTGATAGAGCGTTCGGTTATTGACCCTAGAATGGCCACGCCTGAAGCTGAGGCGTTTTATGACGCAGTTTATACCTGTGTCCGATTGATCCCATACGGTCGAGTCACTACATACGGTACGGTTCGCATCCAAGCCCATTCTCGAGTCTTCCCTGCTGAACTAGAGCTTTTGGATACCTAGGCCACATAGCAAAACTCATCGACGCCCCCCGCAACTCCCGTCAAGTGGGCCAAGCCCTCAAATACCTCCCCGCAGACCAAGCCGACGTCCCCTGGCACCGCGTCATCTCCTCCTCCGGGAAGATCTCGCCACGGGAGCGGATGGAGGGCGCACGTGAGCAAGCTGCGATATTGAGGGAGGAAGGGGTGGAGGTCGTTGATGTGGGGATGGATGAGAGGTTTGAGGGGGGTGGAGGGGGGAAGGTTAGTTTGGGGGTGTATGGGTGGTTTCCGGAGGTGGTCGATTTGGATTGAGGATGTGTGACGTGTTGGAACTGGTTGGATCATCAAGTATATGACGACTATCAAGCAGTGGAGAGGCTCATTTGGAGATCTCGTCTGTTCACGGCGGTTGTATGATTGCAGAATTACCATGCAAAGCACATACTCCGCCGCATTGGGCGACAAGGTGCACCGACCTATCGTCAGCAGACATATCAGCAGGTCCGAATCACGTCTTGCACTTGATTCTCGAACCTGACGGGATCAGTCATGTGCGTCATCACGCTAGGGGAATTTCCTTTTGCGGCAAACTTGATACTTCGACTAGCGCGGAGCAGAGCTCGTCACGGGAGCAACCCGAACATTTGTCAAGGCGCCCATAGTTCTCCAATCCTAGCATCTGTCTGTAACCGGCCGTCCTGACCGGCTTTGCCGTCATGAAGCTTGCTATCGCCGCCGCTGCTCTTGCTGCTTTCCTTCCGGCTCTTGGAGCATCCCCGACCGAATTTCGCCGAGATCTCCCCACAAACAGCAAGAGTCTTTCGCTCTCCCTACACAAGCACGCCCCGCCCCGGACTCGAATGTTGCGCACGGTTCAGAGAAATATGCGGTACACGACCCTTTGGCGCTCCACAAAGATTAATCTTACACGAAAAGTGAGCAACCCGCACAGAGTCACTGGACGTCCGGGTGTACATCGGTACCCCTCCACAGAAGTGCACATGTTGGTCAGCACCCATTCTGCGCACACATGGGTTGAGGCTCCAACCCCAGAGCTCTGTGATACAGGAGCATGCTCTTACCCTGGGGTCTACAACAACTATAGCTCCTCATCCTATGGGGAAATCCAGCATAAACAACTGTGGATGAACTGAGGCAACGATGTTATCGCTGAGGACGTGTGAGCTAAGGAGACCTTCACCTTGGGTCTTGACCTGGAGTTGTATAATGTCACGTTCGGGTACCCTTACATAATGCCCGGGATCAGAGTAAGTACTCTTGGTTTGAGACTGGAACCGCACGAAGCTACCGATGGTTGGCACTATCCGACTTTTGTTGATCAGCTTTACGAACAAGGCTTGATCGGAGGTTGCTTCTTCCGCCTCAATCTTGGCCAATACCATGGCGAGGTCCTCTTTGATGGCATTGGTTACACCAAACTGAACAAGAGCACGCTCGCCGTCAAGCCACAAAAATGCGAAAGGGTAAGATGAAGACGAAACATATCGAGAACGTTGTTGCTATTACCAAAATGAAGGTGACGGGCAACAGGGAACTCTGGGACATCAATCCTGATCAGGTGAACTTCAAAATCTTGTTCAACGTGTGGAAGGTCCATTCAGAGTCTTCATATCTACTACCCATCCCGGAATGGTTCTTCACTCGGGTATCGCCCTAGAAATCCAAGAGGCCATGAACCTCGATTTCGACCGCGGTGATACACCTAACAGCCATATAGGGTACATCTACCACTGTCAACAGTACCTCGAAAAGAAAAAGGATCGTCGTGTCGAATTCTCCTTCGACAACGGCAAGACGTGGATCGGCATCCCGTTCACTGAGTTTCTTAGGCTGGCGCCAAACGACAAATATGTCTTTAAGTGTGCTGACGGAGTTCGAGGATCCAAGTGTGATGCCGGCGTTTGATTATTTGGGGCGTTCGACGTTCATTCTCGGTCATTCGTTTTTGAAGTATGCGTATGTTGCTATTGACCAGGATAAGAAGGAGATGTGGTTTGCACAGGCGGTTCATCCAACAATCGAGGGACAGTAGTGAACGGCGGGTTACTCGGTGATGTTTTTCGAGGATTTTGCAACGACATTTGATTGAAGACTCTTTTCGTCAATGTTTACTTTTCATTTCCCTCGTTCTGTACCGTCTATCAACTCTTGACAATGTAGATTTACCTCAAGCTCGGCATACAAGACAGACCCATACAAATGATGAGGACCACAAACAACAGCAGCAGCAGTCAATACGAAACCATTCAATTCACAAAGCCAATCCAAAGAGAAAGCATACACCAAAAGCGCCTGCGTCTAACCCTAAACAAAACACAAAAATCACAAAAGAACCCATCCCATACGCGTCCTAGGCCCTGCCCGTCTAGAAATTCCTTGAATCACAAATAACCAAACGCTATCGTACCGTACATCACATCACTGTTCATTCACATTCACGTTCAGAGTTTCAAGCTCGCACGGAGCACATCGAGGACCCTACCATCCTCCGTCCATCTCATCTTCTCAACAGGAATATCGAGGGAAGGCAACCCCACGGGTCCCTGTCCACTCTCGACAACACCCGAGGGACCACCAATCGTGGCGACAGAGGCAGCAGAGCCAGGCGTTCCAGGCGCGGTCGACATCGCTGGTTGTCCGTTACCATGAGGCACCGGAGCCCCGTTACCGTTTGGGGCGGCGTTAGGGTTACCGTTCGCAACGTTGTTAGACTCATAAGCAGACGCAGCAACTCCCGCAATTCCCGGCAACTCCCTCTCCTGCCTCCCATCCATCTCCCTGCCCCTCTCCTGTCCTCTTTCCTGCACATGCTGGCGACCAGGAGTTGAATGTCCGTGATGCGGGGCAGGCGGTACACCCCTCGGCGATACCTGCAATGGTGCCGGCTCGAACGCACGCTCGTCCCGAGGAGGAGTACGCGCGCGTCCATAGTCACCACCTGGTCCACCTGGGCCTTGCTGAGGGACAGAGGAAGGAGCAGGAGGAGGAGGGCCGGACATGGCCATGGGCGGAGAGGGCGGCCAGCGGCCACGGGAGGCATATGCGTTCGCAGATGCAGAAGAAGGTGGTCCTTGCTGCTGGTGTTGCTGCTGGTGTTGCTGCTGGTGTTGCTGCTGGTGTTGCTGCTGGTGTTGCTGCTGGTGTTGCTGCTGGTGTTGCTGCTGGTGTTGCTGCTGGTGTTGCTGCTGGTGTTGCTGCTGGTGTTGGTGCTGATGAGCCTGAACATGCTGGCCCGGTGGCGACGGCGTCGGCATCGAAGGACGCTGATGCTGTGCTTGAGGTGTATGCACCTGCGGCAGCGCCTGCTGATACGGTTGTTGAGGAGAGTTCATAATGGGCCGGTCACCCGCACCCGGCGGACCACGGAAAGATTGTTGAGGGGAGTTAACTCCGTTGCCGCCGTTCAGGGTCGGACGACGGACATAGGTCGGTGCCGACGGGACTTCTTGCTGCATGGGTGGAGGCGGGGGACGTGCGTAGGGGGAGTACGCATGAGGATGGTGATGAGGATGGGGTGGCATGTGGTGCATGGGGCCACCGGCCATGTGAAGAGGTGGTTGAGGGTGATGAGGATAGGGAGCCTGATGAGGGTGTCCGTTCCAGGCTGGGTACATGCCTGGTGGAGGGGAGGGTGCGTTGAGCGCGATGGTCTCGCCGAGGGAAGCGTCTGGGTACATGCCGACAGGGATGCGAACACCCTTGAGAGCGGGATCGTTCGATGGCTGTTGCAGCGTAGAAGACGAAGGATGTGAGCGGGCGTAGTAAGAGATAAGATGCAGCTTCTGTCCCATCGATGTCGTGATGGAAAATGACTGCTTCATCAACCCATCCGGCTTATACCGAAAAGTGCCGGGATTCCCGTCATCGTTCGGATCGCCTTCACCACCCGAGTCCTCACCCGATGAACCTTTTCCGTTTCCATTTGCTGACGGAAGACGCTTTCCCTCCATCTCGCGATACGTCAAAAACGAGCCAGCAACTCGACTTGCGCTCCAGGACTTGCCGTCCGTCCAGCGTCTCATACCTGCTTCTCGCTCATCCCAGACGAAGACGGAACCGGATCTGATACTCGCTCTTTCCTTCTCGGAAAGGCGGCGTTGGACGCGGGGGAGGACCCCGATACGACATGCCTCGAAGAGGATGATCGCATCCGTTGGGGTATGTACGTGGCCGTAATATGTCTCCATAGATATGATAGATGGAGGCCGTGGTGATTACAGTCGGTGTATGCTGGATGTATGCTATGCTATGGTGGTGCGTGGTTGGTTAGGAGTAGAATTTGCCTCCGGGGATTCGGGCAGTTCTTGCCAGTTGAAGGTTTGGCTAGGGCGGACGGGCAGACAGGCAGGCGCTTAAGCTAGATTTAGGTGGATGCGCCGCGGAAAACTCTAAACGAAAAATGAACCACACGTGTTGCGCAACGAAGCCCGTTCTAGATCCAGTTCTGCCGGGGGGAAGGGGATGAAGATGTCGATGAAGATGAAGATGACGCTGGCGTGTGGAGTGTGATGGACTCGTCGCCTACGCTTCACGAGGTCCTTTGAGGCTCAAGGTCCAGGAATCAGAGGACCCTGTTTACTACCCGCTCGTTCCGTGCTGGGTGCCGAGATAGCCGGGCCCGGGGCATGCTCCCTGCGATGGCGGTGACTCGTCACTCTTATTTCCACAAATTCGCGCTAGAGACTGGTTTGGTCCACCGGATCTGGGCTATCGCATCCGCCGAGAAGGTTTACCGTCATGAAACGGCCTTCGTTTCTACGTTACTCCGTCGGTCCTTTACAATCCTCCGCTGAGCCATCGGACCGTGCGACACGACCATGGGGCATCACACCACCGAACGCGTCAGCAACGGACCTGTGAGCGGCAAAAGAAGGTTTCTATGCTGAGTAAGCGAAAAGGCTAAATCTGACATGGAGCCGCGGGGCGGAGAATCAAGCTTAATCCTCGGCGCCCGCGCCCCTGCGTCCCTCCCCATGGATCATGATCCATATACCATGGCTCACACAAAACATGCAAAATGCATGGCAGCGACGCGCAGAGATGTCCAACGAATCAAATACTCCGCCTTAACGTCGAGCTTGTCGCAGCAGCTGCGGCCCCAGGAGCGTTGTTTGTAAGCAGCACGCGGGACGGCGGAATGACATGATACGGAAATAAGGTGTTTCTTAGTCAGTTCTTATTCACGGGACCCGTGGAGGAGGCAAAGCGCAGCAAGCACAGCACTTCGCAGATCTAAGCAGAAGCGGAAGCGGATACGGCTACGGCTACGAAAGAGAAGCCCCGTTCGTGCCGAGCGATCGAATTGCGACATCAATTTTTTGCTTGGTTTTAGGGGACAAAGCCCACTAAAGCCCGCGCAGCTCCAGCTTCCGCGTAAAGCCGAGAGATGAGTAAGCCTACAGCCAGGACAGCCAAGGCGCACCTCCACTCGATCGGATGAATGGAGTCTGACTGGTAAGGAGATGACAAACGTTGATTACACTCACACACCCATCATTATCCTGTTGTTTCATTGCCATATGGCCTCCTGATTCCGCTCGAACATCGAGGGAAGTTTGTTCGACCTCGTACCGACCGGGCCGAGGATTGCCGATCACCCTGACCTCACTCAGCTCAGACGCGCAGATCACTTCCTCAATCTCGCAAGCGCAATGCAACGTTAACTCTAAATGCCCGCGTTGCGATCGCGGTTAAAGTGCAAAAGATATAAACTCGAATTAAGATTAAGGTTTAAGGGCGGCTGATCGCGATTGTGCCGTGAGGCCTTAAGGTGAGGCTTGGAATGCTTGGCTGTACCCATGGAGTGTTATGCTTATCTTGGCCATAGCCAGAGAAGCTTGGCATCCTATGCCGAGTCTCAACACTTTCTGAAGGAATGGCAGCCTACGATAAAGACCTCGTGAGTTTACCCACATTTTCTCTTGGCTCTAAGCCTCCGGCATGGCTTTGAGGCGGGAACCCCTCAGTTCGTGGAAATCGAAGACAAAGAGGGGTATGTAGGAGAAACAAGGAACTTGAGCTTAAGGCGGGATCGTGAATTTGTGGGCTTAAGCTTAAACCGTAACTATGGGTCATGGGAACGGGTTGCCGTATTCGTGTCGTATGTAAGCAGGCACACGTAAAGTGCCGCTGGGGAACTTCGGACGCCTGAGTGACGAATTGCGGCCTTACGTAGGCCGCTATGACCTTCTTTGGGTTACAGTATCATTGATAACATCCCAAGCCGAGCCTCACTCTCCCTCAATTGCTCCCCAGCCGGAACCTTCTTTGTCCCGTTGGTCTGCCCCCCTTCCGCTCTCGCACCACAGTCTAGAAATCTCTCGGAAGGAGAAGTCCCTGCACAATTTCCGATTGACACGTCATTTTCCCATTTGTGAGACCCTTACAATTCGCAAGCTCGCAAGCAAGGTTGGCTTCGAGTTGGCTTCCATGAACCTTTATGCGGGTTAAGCTTAAACTGGCAGGTGCGACTGTGCCCTGGCTAGGCTGAGAAGGGTAGGAAGAGAGAACCGGAGTCGACGTTACAGGCCTCGATCGCCAACCAAACGGACAGGGTAGTCATGGTAAGCGGTGGCAGGAGCGGCGTATGGGGTTTGACTAACCGTGCGGCAGGCGAACTCGAAATACGAATACGTGAAGGACTTTGAGCGGCCTGATCCCTTACTCCCAAACACCTGGGTCATCATCAGAATAGACGGTCATGGCTTCCATAGATTCTCAAAGGTGCACGAATTTGAGAAGCCAAATGATGCACGTGCATTGAACCTGATGAATGCGGCTGCAAAAGCTGTGATGAGTGAGTTGAGTGATGTCGTTATGGCATATGGTGATAGTGATGAGTACAGGTATACAACCTTCTAGGTTTGCACTGTTGAACTTGACTGACTTGGTATACAGTTTCCTGTTATCGAAGTTGTGCTCGCTATACGACCGCCGCGAGTCAAAACTGATCACAACATTTGCATCACTATTCACATCATACTACCTTTACTACTGGTCAGATCACTTTCCAACACCCAAACCACTGTACCCGCCTTCATTCGATGGTCGCGCCGTGCTCTACCCCTCGGACCAGAACCTACGAGACTATTTCTCATGGCGACAAGCAGATTGCCACATCAACAATCTCTACAACACCACAAACTGGGCCCTGATCCTCAAAGGCGGCATGACGGAACGAGATGCAGAACGTGAACTTATGGGAAGCCGCGCAGCAGATAAACACGAAATCCTCTTCTCCCGTTTTGGGATCAACTACAATAATGAACCCGAGATGTACAAAAAAGGTACCGTCATGGTAAGGGAGCCTGTCAAGGATGAAGAGAATGGTGATGCGCCGTCATTACTGCAAGAGCATGGTGCGACAATGGGTGAGCCAGAGAGACCAAAGTCAAATAGACAGTTGAAGAAGGAAGCGAAGAAGCAGGCAAAGAAGGAGGAGAGGCAGGTTAAGACTGTGGTGCGTGTTTATCATTGCGATGTTATTAGGGATGAGTTTTGGGACGCAAGACCGTGGATCTTGGGTAATTTGTTGAAGGCATGAGACGATGCATGACTGAGATAGACGACGAGGACGCACCGTGGGGAAGCGTGCTCGAGGCGTTCGTCGCGCCGCGGATTAGGTCGAGTTGGGTCATGATGCAGAGGATATTCAAGTGTCGGTGGGCTTGAAGGGACCGGGATAGATTGATTGAGGTCCTGTCGTAACGTTCGAAGAAGAAGGATTATCGCTTGTTCTATGTGGCAGGACCTAGGGTAGCAGTCCATTCACGGGAGAATTGTTCGGATTCGTTCTCAAATTTGTCGGTTAAGGTAATTCTATGCAAATGCGCGAACCATAACCGCCCTCGATGGTGTAGTTGGTTCATCACGTCGCTCTGTAATGGTAACATCGTCAAGCGAAGGTCACCGGCTCGACTCCGGTTCGAGGGATTCGTTTTTTGCTTTTTACCCAATGAACGCAACCCTCATGTGTATAAAGCAGGGTGTCGATTCGGTGTGAACAAACATCTGTCCTTGTCCATGTCTTCTGTCGTTCGGGTTATCTTGTTCCCGTTTTGTGAGCTTGATCAGGTTGGGCGCCTATCAATATGTTAACACACGATCCTCTATCGGGAGGTCTCGGGGAGTGGTAACTTGGACATATTCACACGGTTGCTTCACGGAGCCAATTTATCCCTTCTTTGCGCTGGTGTAATCGTCGCACTTCATACCTTCAAAACATGTCGTACTAGGAATGACAATTACAAGGCATATCCAGATCGAACGCCAGACTCATACAAAAGCTCTAACGCGCAAGACTGTATTGAAAGGAAGACAAGCAAGGCACTTGAACGGTTTGCGAAGGGTCTCGCCTTTCAACATGCGCTGGGCAGGGGACCTAACATGGCATCATGAAGCGTGGGAACGATCCTTCCTCAACGTCGGAATGTTGCCTGATGCGTCTATAAACATTTACGTGTAAGATGGGAAAGAATCAGACGCGAGTGAATGTTTACGAAGCACAAACATTTCCGGCCAATGATATCGTATTTTTTCCTCTATAGAACCTCTCTCTTCTAGCAAAGATTCTACACTTATTTGGCAGGGGCGATCTCGACACCACCAGTGGCACCGAGAACCTTCTTGATGTCGGCGTAGATAGCGAACTGACCGGCGGTAAGGGTACCGACCATGACAATACGGGGACCGAGACCAGAGAAGGAACCCTTGAGACCGAGCTCGCGAGCGAGACGGGCAAGAGCACCAACGACACCCTCTCCAGGAAGACGGCTGCATCGAAAAGTTAGCTTCAACTCGTACAGGAGTTTTATGAAGGGAAACATACGGAGTCTTGTTGATCTTGGAAAGAAGGGTGTCGGCGGGCTGGGAGACGACAGCAGCGGCGGCACCAGCAATCAAACCGGAAGTAAGGTTGATACCGGTAGCCTTGGAGCCGGAAACCTCAGACTTGTTCAAGCCGAGAGCAGTGTAGATGGCCTCGTTGGCACGCTCGAAGACGACAAACTTAGCCATGGTGTAGGGGACCTGCTTGAACAAGAGAGGAACGAAACCACCGTAGAGAGCGCCGAAACCCTCCTCCTTGACGATACGGGAGAAACCACCAACGAGACCGTTAGCGAAGGTAGGCTGGGAGACCAAACGGATACGGGTGGCCTCGAGAGGGCAGAGGGCAACATCGGCGAAGAACTCGGCCAAAGCAGAGGAAGCCAAGTAGATGGCAGTGCGGTTGTTGACAGCGTTATCAACACCAACCTGCTCGATGAAGGTCTTCTTCCAGAACTCGTAACCTCCGAACTTGAAAGCACCCTGCAAGAAGTAACCAGCAGCGGTAGGACCGAAACCGGTCAAGAGGGCGCCAGCACCCTCGGCAGCGATGACCTGACGGAAACCACCAATCAAACCGCGGTTGTAGGTGACGGGGTCGAGCTGAATACGGGTCTTGACGACATCGACGCTGTAGGTCTGATTATTAGCGATTGATGCTTGATTGAGAGGTTTGAACGACATACGGAGTCAAGGCACCGTGGGTGATGGCACAGCACAAAGCACCGGCAAGAGCGAAACGAGAGTACAAGTCGACACCGGAAGGAGCGACAGGGTTGGCTTGCTGGGCAGCAGCCTTGGCAACAGCAATGTTCTCCGCGACGGCACCGGCCATTTTTGGTATACGAGAGTGAGTGGAGGGTGTTTTGGTTGAGCGTTACGTGCGATGGCTGGCTGGGGCGAATTTTGGGACCTCCAGATTTTGTGGCTTGATGCACTCTGCCGGACTGTCGGGTCATACCGGGGGGTGGATTACGAGGAGGAGAGTGAAAAAGAGCGTCGATTGGGGATTTATTTCATGCTTCTACGTGGCCAATCCAGTGCTTCGAGGATTCCTGGTCATTTGCCGTGTTCTGATCAGCCGGCTGCTTCGGGTGCACGGCTGAGTAATCCTCCATCCAACTGCTCCGCTCTTGCCGATACTCGTGTTAATCCTCACAATACCATATCTCTCCAACCGAATCCCTTCATGATCCTCCGTTGCACGTGCTCATGCCACCGCGGCGTATGTCCATCTCGACCGTGGGTAGCCCACTGTCCCATGATGATCATCCCGGAGCGAACCGTGATAACCACGTTCTTGCTCCATCGTCTGTCAACAACATGGCGTAACACAGACGTAAACCACGTACTTGACTTCTGAGCGTCAAGGTGCCGATAGCGCAGCAGGTTCATCCTCGCGTTGGTTCTCATCTCAACCACATCCCTCTCATTCGCCTCTGTAGATAGCCTCATTGTGATCCGTTTCACGGACCTTAACCTCCCATAGCTGCGTCCGCGAACCAAGATACCCATGCTGCGTGAACACCTCCTTCATCACCTCCCAGACAAAGATAGCTAGGTTCTCAGCCGTCGTCTGCAATTTGTTTTCGTAGAAGTAAGAGATGTCCTTATCCTGCAGCATACTTTAGCCATGATCCAGGGAGGGGATAAAGGGACATACCAGGTGCTTGTGGTCGAGGTAATCGATGACGTTTTCCATCATAACCTTCTTCAGGGCCGTCATGCTCATGATCATGCCTGTTCCGTAGCTGACCTTTCCTTTCACAGTAACAGTAACTACAACTGTTTAGCTCACGTCCTTTATAGCTTATGCCCAAAAATCCCACCTTGATAATTGTGTCCATGACCATTGATGTTGTTGCATTTGCCATACAATGCAACATTCTCCTCGTCATTTAAGTGAGCCGAGTGGAGTCGATGAGCAGCACTGAATGTCTCTGTACGCGACAGATACGCTGTCTTCTCAGCAATCTCTGCAGCCGCCTGTTTACTTTGGGTTGACCATGGAATAAACTGTGTATCCCTAGATTGATGTTCCTGCCGAGGAGCACTCTGACCGTTACCTTCGACCATGTGTTCGCCCAACTCTGTCTGCACTTGTTCAGCCATGGATCAGCTGCGAGTGAAGTTTGCTGTTGTTGTTTACAATGCCTTTAAACTCTGAACTTAAGCTTCCGCATTCGGCAATTGGGGCTCCGAATATCGGCAATTTCCTAGCGCACCACGACATTGACGTCCCAAAAACTTCAACGTTACAGGGGTCATAATTTTCCGAACAACAGACGCCGCTCAACCATGAACGGGCTTTTACGGGCCTCCTTTCGACGGGCGTACTCAATAACGACCGGAACTGGGAAACCAAACTTCGATTTCACTCATGTCTACGCCGGCGACACTATTCTTCTCCGTTCGAGGAGACCTACCTCCAAATCAAAAGTTCGCTCTCAACAAACCAGACTTGTCGGTCCTTTACAAGAGGGCAAAAGTCTTCAAGTGAAAGATGGCCTTATCGAACACGAAGACATGATCGGGCAACCTGTCCGGACTACCGTCATGACTCATAACCAAGCTCCATATTCTATACACCACCCAACACTCGATGACTATGTCCTACTTTCAGAGCGACTGGTTACACCCATTTACCCCATCGATGCCGCGAATATCGTCGCATTACTCGACTTACATCCGAATCCTGGGGAGACAATGGAGGTCATGGAAGCGGGTACGGGACATGGTGCCTTGACGCTCTACCTCGCACGAGCGATCCATGCTGCCAACGCAACGGATAATCCAACGTCGAAAGTCCATACGATCGATATCAACACTAGGCACTCGAAGCACGCAGAAGGCGTCGTGGCCGGTTTCCGAAGGGGAATGTACAGCAAGGATGTCGAATTCTACGCACCCACCAATCCATCAGCATGGTGTGAGGAACAACTCGCACTCCGCGCCTCGAAGGCAGCATCTACTGAGTTCTCATCCGAATCAGCATCGGAAACCAAACCAGAATCTATACCCGCTTCAACTACAGAGCCAAAACCTTTCCTCTCTGCCGCCATCCTCGACCTCCCCGACCCGCACGCCCACTTCGCCTCTGTCGCCAAGTGCCTCCTCCCAGACCACTCCCTTCTCGTATGGTGCCCCTCCATAACCCAGATCATGGCCTGCATCGACCACGTTCAAAATAGTAGGAGAGAAGCCTATATTCCCCTTGTACCACTCTCCATCACGGAGTTTCAGACGAATGGGTTGAGGCCTTGGGATGTACGAAGTGTGAATGTATCGAAGGAGCAGGGTGAAAAGAGGATGGAGTGGGTTTGTAAGCCGAAGGCTGTGGGTGCTGTTGGGCGGAGTGTCGGTGGAGGGTTCGTGGCGGTGTTCAGGAAGGTGAAGTGGACGATGAACCAAGCGGTGCAGGAGGAAGAGACTGATGTGGAGAACAAGGGAGGTGAGGTTGTTTCGGAGGCTGTGGAAGCAGCTACTGAGAAGTCAGTGCAGCATTCGAAGCTCGAAGAGGAGGCTGAAACGACCGAGCGCGACTCCTTATTAGCACCCAAAGACGTCGCAGCTTGGAACAAACGCACAAATGCATTCACCTCCTATCTTCCACGCGAATCCATCCAGTCTTTAGCAGAAAATGCGCCAGCGAACACGCCTCTCCACGGAAAGACTATCGCCATCAAGGATAACATCTGCACATCACACTCTGAATTACCAACCACATGTGCCTCCAACATCCTCAAAGGTCACACAAGCCCATATCCGGCGACAGTCGTGTCCCTGCTGGAGGAGTCAGGAGCTGTGATCCATGCAAAGACCAACATGGATGAGTTCGGAATGGGTTCACACTCCATATACTCTGCTCGCGGACCTACGGTGAACCACGTTGACGGAGTGGAGTACAGTGCTGGTGGCAGTTCTGGCGGTTCTGCGGTCGCTGTACGGGATGGTATGTGCTATGCTGCTCTGGGGACTGACACTGGTGGATCTGTACGGCTTCCCGCAGCATACACCGGCATCGTTGGCTTCAAGCCAACTTATGGTTTACTCTCGCGATGGGGAGTTATCCCATACGCCAACTCCCTGGATACGGTTGGGATCATGACTAAAAAAGTGGAGGATGCTCGGAAGGTCTTTGATGTATTGAATGTGCATGATCCCAAAGACCCGACGAGTCTGCCACCTACGGCGAGAAAACCTATTAGATCGGAAAAGAAGAAAACGTGGACAGTTGGAGTTCCTGCCGAGTTCAACCCTGAGGAACTCTCGGAACCAGTCCGTAAAGCATGGGCAAGCGCGATTGACGCCTTGCGCAGTCAGGGTCATACAATCAAGGAGGTGTCCATCCCAGCAGTACAACAGGCTATAAGCGCATACTATATCCTTGCACCCGCTGAAGCGTCTTCAAACTTGGCTAAATTCGATGGTATTCGATACGGTCGTCGTGCTGATCAGGATTCTGCTAACGGCACGCTGTACGCCAACACCAAAGAGGAAGGTTGGGGCGAAGAGGTTAAGAGACGTGTGTTGCTCGGTACTTTCACGCTGAGCTCTGAGGCCATCGATAACTTCTTCATTCAGGCACAGAAAATCAGGAGGATGGTTCAAGATGACTTTGATAAAGTGTTTGCCACGAAGAACCCGTCGCGTGCTACGGAGCAGGGAGTGGAGGATGGTGTTGATGTGTTGATCACACCGTCATCTATGACCACTGCGCCATTACTGTCAGAGGTTAAGAAGCAGAAGAGACTGGATGCTTATGTGAACGATGTTTTGACCGTTCCGGCAAGTTTAGCTGGCCTTCCGGCTTGCAGTGTCCCGTATGGCAAGGATGAAAGCGGTATGCCAATTGGTCTGCAGGTTATGGGTCAGTTCGGAGAGGACCACACAGTCTTGGAAATGGCCAAAATCCTAGAAGATATGGTTTCATGAGGGTATAGTGCTATATATCGTACATCCTGATCTTACTCCTCCATGACAATGACCTGCTTATGAATCTTTAATGCCATGACGATGAAGAAAGTGATTGACATAGGAAGAGACGGACGACGCGGATAGATCCAGACTGATCATAATTCACCTACTAAATGATTACCATTCACATATGCTAACCCACCAACCCTCATGCCGCCAATGCACATCACAGTCCAGAAAACCAGCGCCCCGACATGCAACACGCTATGCTAAACATACAATGCCATATCTTCTTTCACTCCTTGCTCCTTTCTTGCTCTTGATATCCTCACACCATGCCTTCTCAGCTGCACTAAATCACCAAAAACACTCCAAATCCACCGAAATCCAATAACTTTTTGAAAGATGCTTGCATCTATATCATGCGTGACAAAAACGAATAAACGATAAAGGCCGACGCCATGTAGAGAAAAATGAAAGCTAAAATCGCTCGCTGCTTGCTGAATCACTGTACTGGAACACACCAACTAGCCACGGCTAGCGATAATTAGGTTATAAAAGAACTTTCTGAAGTCGCGGAGGTCCATTGTTCGAAGGGACTGAATATATTCTGCCGCGGTGGGCTGGGGGAAGTTGATGGAGACGAGGTAGTTCTGGAGGGCGACGATGAAGGTGTCGCCTTTTTGCTCGAACATAGCTTTCTGCAGGGAAGCGATTTCGAAGAGGAGGAGTTGCGCTTGAGCATCTCGGGGGTTGAACTCAGGTTTCGAAGGAACCTCGAAGCATACTGGAGTCATGATTTCGTACATGATCCTCTGGAACCCAGGAAGATCTTGACCGACGAGCTGGTTAGTAATAGCAGTAGTCTTGTTAGGACCACCCCATGTAGCAACCATAGTCGTCAAAACACCAAACGCAAGCTTCGCCGTCGGAGCATCAGACACATCAGACCCAAAGTGAACAATACTTTGAATGATGGACTCGAAGTTACCCTGGTTCGTCTCGCTAACAAAGACAGAGCCAAGACGGTTGTTCAAGATCGCAAGAATAAAGTTCAAGTACGCCTTGCGCATCTCAATCCTCTTGAGCAAAGCATCCGTTCCCTCCGCAGGGTTGTTGAGCGTAGAGAAGATCCGGCCCAACAAAGGCATCAACAAGTTGTTGAGCATATCGAAGATATGCGGCTGAAACTTGTGAATCAACTGACCCAAGAAGGGAAGGAAATCAACCAACTCCGACGTCTTAGCCTCCGTAAGTAACCCATTGATAAGTCTCGGAGTCTCCGGAAGCAACCGCGACCCCAGAATACTAACTAACCTCGCAAACGCAAACCTCGAAGCATCACGGACAATCTCCACCGTATTGAACGTCTGAAGCGCAACGAGAATAACTTCTGTTGCCTCCAGAAACGCCGTCGCCCACTCAGCCGTCGCCGGCTCACCCTTCATCGTCTCCGGGAATCCCTTACAGAAGGTTCCGATGGCCATGATGTCGTGATGAACCTGCAACACATTCAACTGATCCGTTTTACTACCAGCGAGTCGCTGCTGAATATCAGCAAATAACGGCGCCAGCAACTTCCGTGCCACGGCCAACTGCTGCTCAGCAGGCACAGATTGATCCGAGATCAACAACCCCGCACTCTCGAACAAATACAGCTGGCTCTCGAAACTTCCGCCCGACGTCGCAGCATCCGCGCTCATCTCGTTCTCCGCCTCCAGATCCTCCGACGGTAACTCAGCTGTGACAACAAGAAGATCACCCATAGCAGTCAACGCAACCTCCGCAATATTTCCCAAGTTGTTCTTCAAACTCTTGACGAACCGGTAAAACAAATACCAAGCGCGTGTCCTCACCTGCACATTCTCATTATGCAACCCCTTCGGTCCAATGAAGATTTCCAAGACCTTGGGGACGAAAGCAGACTGTAACTGGAAGAAGGAAACATACCTTACCACAATCTCCATGAATTGGAGAAAAATGGAGGGGTGTGTGTGTGTCGCGACATCAGAGTTAACGAGCATAGCCATCATCCCACCAAGCTGCGTCGGCGTCGGATCCTGATCGCTCTTGACGTAAATCTGCGCGCCGCGGATACACTCACTATACGAATACAGCTGAAACAACGCGCACTCCAGATCTCTCCAGTTCAAGCTCTGCGCAGGTTTACCCAACGTCGACGAGACGACGGAATACACAGCGTTGTTGAAAAGTTCCGGATCAATCGTCGCGACTGTTTCCTGGAAGATCTTGATCTTCGACCGCATGTCCCGAAACTCCGCTTCCTCGTCCGCATCAGCCTCAGATCCCCACTCCGACTCATCATCGTAGCGGAGTTTCTGGATCATGGCACTCAGGAGGGGTCCGAGCATCTGTCCCTTTGCCGGATCAACCGCGCCGCGTTTCTTCTCTTTTCGGATCATGGCAAGGAGATCGGTGACGAAGGGGTACACAGCCATCGACGTCTCGTCGTACTCATCCGACAAGAACCTCAACAAGAACGGGAACAACCCCTGAAGAAGAGCCGTTGCCTGTGCCTGTGCTTGCGGGGTGATGCTTCCATCCTCAAGAATCCTCGCCAACTCCACTCCCTGAATATTCGCCAACCGCGCAACATGCTGACTGAATTCTGGATCCGCACTCGTATCGAGTTGATTCATTACCGTCGTCAAATTCAACAATGAGATTAGTTCCAGCTTTCCAGGCGGCAACATCTTCTTCCCCACGATCTCCACAAGTGCTTCACAAGCATGACTCCTCAAATTCTCATTCAACAAGTAATTGAAGATGACGTTCATGTAACTCTCATTCACCACCAAGTTGATATCAATCCACGAGATCCATGATCCAATAACCTGTAAAGCCAATTGCACGGCACCATCATCACTGCCCTGATACTCCAACATCAACTCCCTCAACACCGTCGTAACCTTCGTCACATCATTGTCTCGAATCACATCCTTGATCGCATTATTCCTCTGCACCTCCGCCGGGCTCCGAACAAAAAGCGCATCCGCAATCTCCACATTGATGGCCAGCAAAATGCGGAGGAAGAAGTTGACTGTTCGTGGGTTCGTTCGTCGACCTGATGGAACGGAAGACACCGATAATGAGAGAAAATCAGCGAAGAAGGAACGCCATGACGTCGGATAAATCGCAATAAACAGAAACGAGAAAGACTGTGCCAATTTGTTGCGCAGATACGCTGGATCCTCCCCACCACTTCCACTGACAAACTCCACATTCACGAAATTCAACAACGTCGTCCTGATATACTCCAAACTCCCTTCACCCAGAGTATCCCGCCTATGCTCCAACGCATCGTTCACAGTCTGCAACGCAAAGAACCTTGCTGGTTCTGAAGCTTTCGGAACTTTCGTGAACAATGCCAGACAAACCTGCCAACCGTCCGGCGAAGCCTTGACTTGTTCACAAAACTGCATTGCTTGTTTCTTCAATGATGGATCCGCTGCGGGATCTAATGCGACCCGGACCGCCTGCTCGACTTGCTCATCCATGCTGTGCTTTCTGTGCCTTGAATCGAATTTGACAGTTACTGACGAATGCTTTGCTCGGTGGGAAGAAAGGAGTGGATCGGGAGAGGAGTACTGCACACCTAAGCACGAATACAGAGAGCAATGGTCAACGATGACTCAAGTCGGAAGCCGTTTGATCAAGACGGTTAAGGTTTTGGTCGATGATACAAGAGTCTATATTTCACCCAACGTCCCTGAAGTCCTGCAGAACTCACAACACCGGTTGCATGCGCGGGTGCGATAGACCTCCGAGGAGAGGAGAGCTCATACGACACCTTAGTCGGCTTGCAATAAGCAATGGTCCTCAACACCACACAACCATATGCATCCCTCCTCCTCCCCGGCGAATCCCTCCCAGAAGACCTAACCACAGCCGCTTCAACACCTCTTCGCCTCGGTCCCGGGCTCTTCCTCTCTCATGATCCCTCAAACCCCGCAATTCTACCACAAAAAGCCGGGAGACTCCAAAACTTAGCACCAAATTCCTACTACATCAATTCATCCCAGAAACGCTACGTCCCAGCCGTAGGCGAAAGCGTCATCGCCCAAGTAACCGGCAAGCACGTCGAAGGCTACAAACTCGATGTTGGCTCTGCCCACCCGGCCCAACTCGATGCCCTCGCCTTCGAAGGCGCAACAAAAAAGAACCGACCAATGCTCAATATCGGTTCTTTGGTCTACGCACGCGTAACCCTCGCCAACAAAGACATGGAACCCGAACTCGAATGCATTGACCCCACAACCGGCAAATCCGGTGGCTTCGGCGAACTCGTCTCCGGGTACATCTTCAGCGTCTCCCTCCCCCTTTGCCGGCGATTACTACTCCCAAATCCGCCGGTATTGTTGGCATTGGCGGGACAAGTCGCGTTTGAGATCGCGGTGGGGGTTAATGGACGGATATGGGTGAAGAGTGGTGATGCGGGCACGACGATTGCGGTTGTGGAGGCAGTTAGACGGAGTGAGTTTTTGAGGGAGAGTGAGGTTGGGAGGATGGTGAAGGAGGTGTTGGCCGGGAGAGCGAGCACAAGAATAGGCGAGGCAGTAAGTTAGATAGGAAGATAAGGGAGGAGGTGAAGGACACATCCAAAACCGCATACGCAATTGCAACAATCTCCGAATCAACCTTCAAAGTCAAAGGGTGAAAGGATATGATGTCTAAATGATTTGATTTGCAAAGGACAAAAGTAAAGAAGAAAAAGCAAAAACTACTCCAAAATGCCCCAAAAGCCGTGCTTGTCTCGAGATCTCCGGGTCCAGCCGACTCTCTGCCCATAAAATATCAAAAAAGTGACCAGCAAGTTCTCCAGGAAGCTTGTACCCTCCTCGCTCCCACTCCTTCTCACTCACTCAAGCTCATGCCCGGGCTCGCTAACGCTCGCAAGCTCTCGCTCAGGCCTGCCCACCCCCATGACCCATAACCTCCTCATAAATCAACCCCTTCAACTGCTCCTTACTCATCGTCTCCTTAACCCTATCAAAATCAAAGAAACTCTCCGGAATAGGCCGTGCCATAGGCTCATCCTCCGGATCATGATACGGCTCAAGATACGGATGCTTCAGCGCTTCCTCGACAGTAATCCGCTTGAGTGGGTTGAATGTGAGCAGTTTCTCGAGCATGTCGATGGCGAGGGGGTTTGCTTTTGAACAGAGGACGGAGAAGGGGACGCGTTTGCGGAATGGGAGGGAGCGGATGTATTCCCGCGCGCGACGGGATTTGATGCCGTAGTAGTCTTCCATGGTGGGTGTGCCCAGGACATCCAAAATGAGCGTGAGTTGGTGGTGATAATCCTTCCCCGGGAAAAGCGGCTTTCCCGTGAGCATTTCAGCAAGGATACACCCCACGGACCAAACATCGATAGCCGTGGTGTATTCTTTGAATGTGAGCATGATCTCAGGCGCACGATACCACCTCGTCGCAACATACTCCGTCATAAACCCCTGGTTATCCTCCGTACTCGCCGCACTCCTCGCCAACCCAAAATCACAAATCTTCAAATCACAATTCGCATTCAACAACAAATTACTCGGCTTCAAATCCCGATGCAAGACATTCGCCGAATGCAACGCTTTTAACCCACGCAGCGTTTGGTAAATAAAGTATTGACAATGATCGTCCGAGAGATCTTGGGTGCGGATAACGCGGTGCATGTCTGTGTCCATGAGTTCTTGGATAAGGTACACTTCGCAGAAGGAGTCGAAGGATTTGGGTTTTTGGACGTCGAGGATTGAGATGATGTTTTCGTGGTCGAAGTATTTCAGGAGTTTGATTTCTCGGAGGGTACGGAGGCAGAACATGGAGTGGTCGAAGGGGGTGATCTTCTTGATGGCGACCTTTTGACCACTTGGTTTGTGAATTGCGGAACTGGACCCACACTGTCAGTAAACGGTGCCAAGACGGTGGTGAGGGAGGCGAACGACATACCATACAACACCATAAGCACCCTCTCCCACAACATCCTGAATATCATAATGCTCCGAAACGTTAAAGTTCACTTTCCTCGACGAAGATTTGGACATGGTTGCAACTGGCGTAGTTGTCGGAACGGTTACTGGGTATCACTGGTGAAACAGTTGGGGAGGACTCGAAGAGGAGCCGACGGAGCTTTTGTAAGCCGAAACAAAGAAAGGGAAGTCACCAGTCGAACGGAAGCGTAACCAGCCGCTTCGTGCACTCGAGGGAATAGAAAGGGTCGGAGGATTCGTTCCAGCTTAGAGTAGAGTAAGTACACCCAGGGACAAGGCGCGCGTACTGACAAAGGTATTGCAGCCGAAACACACTCAGTACAAAGGGACATGGGATGAACAAAAAAGTATGCAATTCAAAAATACCTTACTCTGCTGGCTAGATCTCTTTCATTTTCCCCAACACTTGCTATGACGATCACGCATTCACCTTGTCCTTCAACTGCATAAGCCACTGCTGGTACCCCGCCGCTCCATCCGTCCTATCCTCCGCCAACATACTCAACGCCCAAGCCTTAAGTGCAGGCTCTCCATCCTCCCTCACGATGTAAAGATGCGGGTAATACAAACTCCCATCCTTACTCTCCCGAATCTTTCCAATAATCGCATTAATCCGCTGCGAGAACTGGTTCTCCAATACGGGCAACGTGGCCTTTCCGACCCGGACACCCGTGATGTCGGGGAGTCCAAAGACGTCCTGGATGAGCTGCGGGACGGCGGCACGGCCGACCCAGAGGAAGAGTTGTTGGCCGTCCCCGATGAGGTAAAGTCCATGCGGCTCGAAAAACTGGGAATTCAGGTTCATCGTAGGCGGCATAACGATTCCCTCCGCACCAGGCAACCCAGCCTCGTCAGGCATATTATGCAACGAGTAAAACCTGGGGTGGATATACGGAATCAAATGTGCTCCAGGCAGAGACGACAACAACGCCAACGCTGCACTCCTCATATCCGTGGGAATTTGCGTAGTTTTCCGTAATCCGGTGTGTTTCGTCAACGCCAAGATCAAGAGCGGCAATAGTCGTAGGTTATGCGTGAACTGTAGTGGAGTCGCCGCGCCGATATTCGAGGTGGTCAACTCCTTCTTAAACACCTGCAACAACTCAACCAACGTCTTGAACAACGTCTCCCTCGCATCATTCAACCCAGAATCAAGCGTCCTCTCAACAGCCTTGTTAGCATACAGGGTAGCAATAGCAACCTGATCCGCCGACGCATAAACCTCCGACAAATTCTGCGTAACGGGAAGACAGAGCGTCAAAACCCTAATCCTTCTCTCACCCTTACACGTCGAATGCAAGACCGCAGTCTGGAAACACACGGTACTCTTCGTCATGTTCTCATCGATCGCAACCTCGATACAGTAGCCTTGGTCACGCGGCATAGCAGGGAACGCCAACAAATCCGAAGACCTCGCAAAGAAGTTTCCATAGAATGCGGACATACGCAACCCAGATGTCGCACGGACACGCATGACGGTCTCCAATTGAATCTCGGCACTCACGAACTCCGAGAGTTCATGCGCGAACTTGACGGCGTCCTCGGTCCTACTCGCACTCCATGAGGGATAGTAGAATGTCTGTCCACCGGTAAATCGGGGAAGACACGACAAAGAGGCAACATCCTGGTACCCACTCGCAAACAAGAACATATCAACCGAAACCTGGCTCTTCGAGCACTCCACCGCAAAACTCTTGTAGAATGAGTTTTGGGCCTGCAATAACCCAGTCTCCTTCGCTGTTCCCAAAAGCTTGGGATCCTCTCTCGGCTTCAAGGCGCCCACGCCCAAGTTGGGTAGAGAAGCCATCAAGCAGACGACTTTACCACCGATAGGAGAAGCGAGCTTATGAGCTGCTCGCAAGGCAGGACCCATTGCGTTTCCGGTGGAGGTGTTACCACCGAACATATCCTGCATCTTGCTCAGGAGGGTCTCGACACCTTCCCTGCACTCGTGGAGGTTGACCAACAAATCATCAGGCTGCGGCAAAAACGGCTCGTCCAAGTCCGAGATAACGAGCATGTTGGGCTCAGCCTGTCCGGGTACAATGCTAAAATAATGCAACGCACTATCAACAGCCATGAACCCAATCCGCGTCCTCTTATCAACATTCGGAATGCGATCCAAGCTCTCAAGAATAGTCCTCGCGGTCGTCGCAACGAGTCCAGATTGAACCGCAGGCATACTCACATCAATCAAAAACAAATAAACCAACGGCTGTGGCGGCCTAACCATATAATCCTTCGGCGCAATGAAATCGACAACAGAGTAATTCAACTCCGCACGCTGCCAACGATCAAGCTGCTTATTCTCCACAGGATCCCAGTCGAAGCTTTGAGGGACATCATTGGTCAGGTTACACATCTGACACCGCCACCTATTCCCACCCTCGATGAAGACGGCGAATGGGTTGATGTATGTTCTGCAACGTCGACAACGCGCGATAACGGTATCGGGGATCACGGGAACAGGCGCATCATCGTCACGAAGCGTAATGTAAGGACGAATCGTAAGCGCGAACGGCAACTTCGACTTCTTGAGCAAGGACGAGGTCTGCGGAACAGCATTGAGTGTAGACCGCATATACTCCGGAGGACAATTCGCGTGCTCTGATGGCGTCAGGGCCGTGTTTGGGGGCAAGTTAATCGTGGGTGGGGGCGCATCGAGTTCGGCGGGGATAGGCGGCTGTGTCATCAAATCGACGGGGAAGATGTTGTTCGTGACGCGGCCTGCGGTGGGCATAGCGCCCTGGACACCCATCTGACCAAATTGCTGGGTCATGCCTGCCATTCCTGGAGACTGGGGTTGTTGCGCAGGTGGAGGGTTCGTAGGACCATAGCCTGGCGTGACGGGAGCATTCGCACCGTAGATCGGAGCTGCCTGGAATTGCTGGTTGGGATCCTGAGGGTAGCCCATTGCCTGCGCAGGCTGACCATATCCCACAGGAGCCTGAGCCTGTTGAAGGGATGCAGCACCTGCGGGCGTAAAGAACTGCTGATCTTGTGCGCCGTAGGCAGCGCCAGCTACGGGTCCACCAGCATACATCTGCGGAGCCTCGACGGGTGCTGCAGAAGCCGTGAAGTCGTATTGCTGGGTAGGGTACGCACGACGAGACTTTGACGCGGGAGCAGCAGCGGGCGTCGCGCCGTCAGCGGAGTATCCGACTGGAGGAGACGCAACTTGTTGTGGTGCGCCGGGGTACTGGGGGCCATTGGGCTGTTGGCCCTGGGCCTGTTGAGGCACACCGTATGGACCGGAGTAAGGCTGCGACATTGTTGCGTCGTTCGCTTTGAATTAGGGTATTAGATGAAGCCCAGCGAGCCTTGGCTTGTCTAAGGGAAGATCCGGGTATGTGGGCAGTTGGTGGAGGGCTGGTTGCACGCCAATTGAATTGATCGGTCTGTGTTGTTTGTACGTCGTGGATCTCCGAGGTCGTCGTTACGCCAGTGACACGCCGCGCTTCCCTATTGCAGTGACACGTCTACGAGAATGATCTGGGTGATCAGGGCAAGTCGATAGAGAAGAAACATTCTTTGTATCATTTCTACAACTCCTTTTTCTACACGAATCAGCCCACGAACACCTCCATTGCTGACGGGTGCCTGCACATCCCCTGCTCCGCTGGTCACAACAAAATCTTCAGTAACCCTGACTTTGGACGAACTCTCACGCTCGCAAAGCCAACCTTTACAGAATGGCCAAGACAAAAGTCGTGAAGAAGAACAAGAGGCACCAGCCTGACGAAGTTCCCGCTTCCCAGCCCTATGCTACTCCGCCGCAGACATGGCAACCAGCTGTTCAAGAGGCGACTCACGTTGATAATCAGTCCGACGGCGAGAAGAGCAGTAAGAGGAGAAGGGAAGATGATGGGGAGCAGGTTCGTCGCTGTCAGATTCATCTATTGGGATGTACTGACATGGTGAACAGTCTAAGAAGAAAAAGAAGCAGGATAAGAAGCACAAACGCGACAAGCACCGTCACGAGGATGAATCTCGGGTAGCATACAACGCCGAAGAAATACTCTCCCCCTTCGCCGAGCCCATACCTTCCGCGATTGTGAGCGATAGCCAAACTCACTCGATTACAGCTACCCAAGAACCTCTCTTGGGTTCCGAGTCCTTGTTGACCCCCGCTACCCAAGGCGAGCCGGCTGCATTCGCTGGGTTCCAGCCCGTGGGAGCTTCGACCCCGCTCACCACGGAGAAAAAAAAGAAGAAGAAGAAGGATAAACACAGGAACAAGGACTCCACCCAAGAAATCGCCTCCTCCCAACCCGAAACCCAACCCCAACCGGTGCAAATCCCCTACGAAGGCCTCCTCGGTCACACCTCAGTTCCCACTCACACTCACCACCAACCCCACCACCACCTCTCCGCTCTCGACGAAGCAGTCTTGGTCGCAACAGCCCTCGCAGCAAACTCCGTCCCCGTATGCGTCCCGGTCCCGCACTTCGATCACTCGCAGCTCGACCCGAGGTTGGATGATCCAGCCGCAAATGCGATGTTGGTGCAGCAACTTGCGGCGGCGGCGGGTGCTATGCCCATCCCGGTTCCGAACGCGGCGCAGGGAGGGGAGTATCCGGCCTTGTTGGGTGGAGCGCCGGTTGCGGTGGCCGCGGGTGTGGTGAGTGAGAAGGCGAAGAAGAAGAAGATGAAGGGAGAGAGTGTGGCACAAGCTGCGAATGATGTCTACAACTTGACGGACGATGACACGGAGGATGAAGCAACTTCCACTTCCAAGAGCAAGAGGATTATCAAGAATAAGGTTGCATTCACGCCCGAAGAAGACGCCGTGATCAAGTCCCAGATTCAGGCCTGGCTCGACGGACAAGGTCTCTCCGAAGCAAAATTCCAGACTATGCTCCGCGCCGCCGACCGCCCCGCGATCAAAACCCAGCTCAGGCCCCTCTGGAAACAACTCCACGCCGCCCTTCCCGCCCGCGGTCAACCATCCGTCGTCTCTCGCGTTCATGTTCTGTGGCGCGAAGACACCCCCGGCAACTCCACCCAAACAACCCAAGACGACAAAGGCCGGGACGTCGTTATCGGCTCCTTCACCGACGAGGAAGTCGCACTTCTCGAGAAAGTCGTACAGCAGCACTGTGCGGACCATGAGTGGTCTACCGACGATTTTAAGGAAAAGGTGTGGAAAGAGGGGAGGACGAAGGAGGTCAAGGCGTGTTTCAAGGAGTGTTATGCGGCTGTCCCGTATAGGAAGCAGCATTCCGTGTATAATCATATCAGGAGGAAGTACTCGCCGTATGAGAAGAGGGCGAGGTGGACGGAGGAGGAGGATCAGGAACTTGAGCGTCTTCTTCTTGAAAAAGGGAAGGTGTGGAAGGATATCGGGAAAGCTATTGGACGCATGCCGGAAGACGTCAGAGACAGATACAGGAATTATCTGGTGTGTGGAGACAAGAGGAACGATAACCGTTGGACGCGGGAGGAGGAGATTAAGTTGAGGGATGCGGTACACCAGGCTGTCGCGAATGTTGGTGGTGATATGGAGAAGATTAATTGGGGAATTGTTAGTGCGAATATGGGTGGTGCGAGGAGTAGGTTGCAGTGTCGCTGGAAGTGGGTGAGGAGTGCTGGGGCACTCAAGGCTGATCCGAATGCTGTCGCCAAGTTCGCCGAGGAGGGAGAGGACGAGGAGAAAGGTGCGAAAGAAGGGATTCCGGCACGTGCGGCCAACAAAGCGAAGCCGAGATGGATGGCGGGTGATTCCGAATGGCTACTTGGCAAAATCCGCGATTCGGGCGTGCACCACGAGAACCTCATCCGATGGACCGAGATCAAAGCTTCCGATCCCAGCACCTGGTGGAAAATTACCGACTATAAAAAGGCGTTCCGTGACCTTCGGGCGACGAAGAAGAAGGAGGTTAAGACGGGGATGGAATTCCAACAGATTGTTGGGGTGATTTTGGAGGATTTGATGGAGTTGGACGAGGAAGTCAAGGTGAGGGGAGTTGTCAGTGAGGAGGGGAGGAGGAACTTGAGTAGTGAGTTTGTGAATGATGAGGATGATGAGGACGAGGAGATGGCTTAGGATGAGCTATGATATGGTGCCGCGGTGCTTTTGGGTTCAATACATTTTCGTGGCAGAACGTACTGGTGTTTGCACCGGTTAAAGAACCGGGTAAATTGGCGCTTCACCTGAGGTCTCCCCGCGCGGACCGCCAACCGCGCGCGTGCACCGACCCTCAAATAACCTTGGAAGATGGACATGTGAACTGTCAGGTAATGGAGGGTCCATCAACCAAACATACAATCAGTTCATTGACAATTGCAATGGAACCAAGACCAGACGACCTCTTCCTCGGCTGCGACCTCTCAACCCAACAACTAAAGATCGTGGCAATCAACTCCTCCCTCCAAACAATCCACGAAGCAGCCTGCCATTTCGACAACGACCTCCCACAGTACAAGACCACTTCCGGCGTCCACGTAAACGGCGATGAGATCGCTGCTCCGGTCGAGATGTGGATCGCGGCGCTTGATCTTGTGTTACAGCGCATGAAGGACGAGGGATTTGAGTTTGGGAGGGTGCGGGGGATCTCCGGGGCGGGACAACAACATGGGAGTGTTTATTGGTCACGGGAGGCAGAAGGGTTGTTGGCAGCGTTGGAGAAAGACAAGACTTTAGTGGAGCAACTGAGTCCGAAAGCGTTTACCCACCCCATCTCCCCGAATTGGCAGGATCATTCCACGTCGAGGGAATGCGCGGATCATGAGGCTGCTGTCGGGAGCGCTGAGAAATTGGCGGAGATTACGGGCTCGAAGGCGCACGAGCGGTTTACTGGGCCGCAGATATTGAAGTTGAGACGGAATCGTCCGGAGGTCTATCACGAGACCTATCGGATCTCGCTCGTCTCCAGCTTTTTGTCATCGTTGTTTCTGGGGAGCATCGCACCCATTGACATCGCAGACGTCTGTGGTATGAATCTCTGGGATATTTCCTCCAACACCTACTCCCAGAGACTCGTCTCTCTCGTCAGCGACAACCCAGGCTCTCTCATCCAGAAACTCGGAATCCCCGAGACTGACGGTGGGCGGCTGATTGACTACATTTCGCCTTACTTCGTGCACCGGTATGGCTTCCCCACAGATTGTTGCGTGGTCCCATTCACAGGAGATAACCCCGCGACGCTGCTTTCATTCCCGTTGAGGCCGTTGGATGTGATTATCTCGCTGGGGACATCGACGACGTTGTTAGTGACCACCCCAACCTACATCACAGACCCCGGGTATCACATGTTCGCGCACCCCACGACACCGGGGTTGTATATGGCCATGCTCTGTTACAAGAACGGAGCCCTCGCGCGGTTGGGGGTCCGAGATGCGGTATCCAAAGTGAAAGACACCTGGGACGAATTTACGAAGATCGCCCTCGAAACACCGGTGCTGGGACGCGAAAACGCGGATGATCCGGCGAAATTGGGGTTCTACTTCCCGCTCAGCGAGATCATCCCCGCCGCCCCCTCCGGAACTTGGCGGTTCCTCTCCAATGGAGAACTGGAGGAAGTCCAACCTGGTGGGAAGTGGGACGTTCCCAGGGATGATGTCCGAACAATCATCGAATCCCAAGCCCTCTCTATGCGGCTTCGCTCTCAACCCCTCCTCGCCCAAGGCGCCGGCCGCCCAGGCAAGATCTGGGTAGTAGGCGGCGGCTCCTCCAACCCCGCCATTAACAACATCATCGGACAAGTTTTCGGCGCAAGGGAGGGGGTGTACAAGTTGTTGAAGGGGGCCGCGAATGCATGCGCGTTGGGAGGGGCAAATAAGGCTGCCTGGGGGGTGTTGAGGAAGAAGGGGGAGACATTTGAGGATTTCATGGCGGCGAGATGGGAGGCTGAGGGGGGGGGAAGGAGTGAGAGAGTTGTACAGGGGATGAAGGACGGAGAGGGGGATGGTATTTGGGAGAAGTATGGGGAGGTGCTGGGGGTGTTTGAGGAAGCGGAGAGGAGGGTTGTGGCGAGCAAGAACGGGCAAGGACACTGAGGGAGAACATTTTTTGAATACCATTTATCATGCCACATATCTAGCGTTGCATATCGTCGTAAACCGTTGGGTAGGAAGCCTGCGCGTGCGACGTGTTCAGGTAGCGTGAGAACGAGGGTTCGGATGAAAAAAGTCGAAACCTCGACTTGAATCTGTGTTTCCCCTGTAGTGGTGATATTGTGAACCTGATCCTGGCTGTCAATGAAGACGTTCAGGTTCAATCCGGCAGTGAGCTCGCTCAAATTCGACCGTGCGTTTGCCTTGTGCGATGACCTCCTACCCGGGCAATCCGCGCTGCCATTGGTTCTGAAAGATTGGTGCCCCCTCTGAAGCAAACCCACTGGGCAACAATGATAACCCTATCCGTCTCCTGGGCCGTCACGACACCCGGTGGAACCATGCGAATCAATGCTGCCGGGACTTACCCGAAAGACCAGGGTGCAGCCATCAATAAATTGCTCGCTTGCTTCCCTGAGGACTCTTTTTCATTCACGGACTCTGACGACGAACATTTGGGGCCAAAGTTGTTCAAGATGTCGTTTTCGATTAATGCGTTTGTAAAAACTCTGAGGCATTTGAGAAGTATATTACTGATGGGAATGAGCAGGTACAGAAGGTCTTGAAGGAATGTGTGGTTGTCTGGAGGCAGAAGCATCAGGTTGTTCCATCGAGGTCTCTGGTTCCCGTCATGGATAAAGAGAGGATGTACATCGTTGGATGCCTGAGTAGGTTGTCCAAGAACGAGAGGTTTTCGGAATGGGTACGTCAATGATCAGGAGCTCATGACGAGACCAGGAAGGATGAGGAGACGCATCGATTTCTCCGAGTTTTGAGGGAGGTAAGTGTTTTTATTAGTCGTATACCTTATATATCACTTTTCGTTTCCTCGAGTCGTGCTTCATCGTGTTCAACATCCTCCCTTGCCTCCTCCACCTTCTCCTCTGTGTTCGGTGCTTCCCGTCTCGCTGCCTCGATCCGCGTTTCAAGGCCGTCCATCTCCTTCGTCAGTCTGACAATCTCAACCAAGTCTTTCAGGCTCTTAACGAAGTGTCCTTGCGCAGCACGTAGTTGCGGGTGGACGAGTACTCCATACCACCGTAGTGGGTCATCCTCCGAGATCGTCATCTTCTTTAGTTGTTGTGCCAGGTCATCGGCCTCACCTTCCTCCAACTCCTCGCCTTTTCGCCGCCTTCTCATCTCATTATTCCTCTCGTTCTGAGCCTGATCCACACCCAACTCCTCAACAACATCTCCAGCGTCATCATACACCAACTCCGCAATCTCCAATTGCCCAGCTAGACCACGCTTCGCTCGCATCCTCAAATCATATCCCAGCGGTCCAATCCCCGTATTTGACCTCTTCGCAACACTGAGATCCCAGAAGCCATCCTTCAGTGCCGTAGATAATGACGTGCGAAGTGAGGAGTATGTGTCGTGTAGAGCAAGGTATTCGAGAATCAAGGCATCCAGATCCTCAGGTAGTGATCCATTATTATTCGCGTCGGTTGTTCTTGACATTTGACCGGTTTACAGAGCGCCAGACTTCTTATTTATCGAGTTGCCTAAACAAGGTGGGTTGCTGTCTACGTTACACCGGCCGTCTCACTTGCCAGGCACCACACAACCACCCCCCCCCCAGACATGAGCACACTCACCATCCTCCTCTCCCTGACCTCCATCGTCTCTCTCCTCTTCATACGATTGCTCTATGTCCTACCTGGACGATGGCGTCCACGACCTGCGAAGAAGCCGGCGGGGTACAAGGCTCACCTAATGGTAATGTTGGGATCAGGTTCGTCATTGTGGGTTCGGTTGTGAGGGATTGAGCTCATCGTGGGTGCCGAGTAGGCGGACATACAGCTGAGATGATCATGATGCTGAGAAGTTTGGATATGGGATTATATCATATACGCACCTATGTCGTGAGTAGTGGAGACAGTCTGAGTGCCGCCAAAGCCAAAGCTTTCGAGGATTCCCTACCACAAACACACGAGAACGAGACACCCAGGGTATGCCGAACACCCCAGCATCTATCTTTTGTTTCATTCGCTAATTGGAGCGGCCAAAAAGTACCGCATCACCACCCTCCCCCGCGCCCGCCACGTCGGCCAATCCTTCCTCACAACCCCCCTCACCGCCCTCCTCTCCCTCCTCTCCGCCCTCCACGTCCTCCTCACCTCCTCACCCGACCTCATCCTCGCCAACGGCCCCGGAACATGCGTCACCCTCATCCTCGCAGCATATATCCCCCGCTTCATGGGCATGGGCCCGAGGATGGTGTATGTGGAGAGCTTTGCGCGTGTGAGGGGGTTGAGTTTGAGTGGGAGGTTGGTGAGGCCTGTCGTTGATCGGTTTTTGGTGCAGTGGGAGGGGTTGGTGGGGAGGTACCCTGGGGTTGAGTACAGAGGGGTTCTTGTTGCTGGGTCGACTTCGAATCGTGGGGATGCTTCATGATCAGACGGGTATATCACCCACCAAAGACTATTACAACTAGACCAAGGATATCACAGAAACACACGATTCTACACACCATTACATCACCGCACTCCACATCCTCCCCACAAACCCCTGCGGCCCCTTCGCCGCCTCCTCCGCCCGATCCATCTCCTCCAACTCATCAATCTCCTTAACCCCCGTCAACAAATCCATCTCCTCCAACCCCACCATCCGCGTCCTCCCCCAAACCTTCCAGAAAACCCAAAACCCAAAGAAAATGGGAACACCAATATACGCCGCCACGAAATCCTGTACCGCAAACCCACCGATAAACACGGAAAACCCGTTGAAGAAGATGATGATCGAGAGGGATACGAGGGCGATGTAGGCTGCGTAGGGCTGGAATGGGGTTTTGTAGGGGAGTGTGTCGCGACTGATGCCTTGTGCTTTGAGACCTTTTTGGAAACGGATGTAGGACCAGCAGATTACGCTCCATGTGAACAACCCGGCGACGGTGGAGAGGTTCGAGAGCCAATTGAATGCTGTGGAGGCACCGGAGGAGACATTGAGGTAGGCGAGGGGTCCGAGACAGAATGTGAGGAGGACGCAGTAGATTGGGAGACCCTTTCTCGTTACACGCGCGAATATCTTGGGAGCTTTTCCTTCGAGGGCGAGGGCGTAGAGGGTTCGGGAGGCGGTATAGAGATCTGAGTTACCGGCTGAGAACGCGGAGGTCAAAATGACTGCGTTGATAACGTGATCCAGGCCCTTTATCCCGGCATTCGTGATCGCAACGACGAATGGGGACGCAGCGGCCGATGTCGATTGTGTAATTGCGCTCAAGAGCCGGTCAGAGTTGTAAGGAACCGTGAGTCCAATGACGAGGATACCGCAAAAGTAAAACACGGCAAGACGGAAAAAAACGCGTTTAATGGCTTTCGGGACGTTACGGCGGGGGGCACGGGCTTCTCCCGCTGTCACGGCGACGATTTCGGTTCCGAGGTAGGAGAATGCTGCTTGGATGAATACGCTCCAGAATCCCAGGAAGCGAGCGGTGCTTTTATTCTCAATGCCGAGGTAGGTGTCGTTAAACGCTCCTGGATTTTTCCAGTATCGGAATCCTAGACGATCATGGTTTGGACCACCCCCTAGGTCGAGGACCACGCCGAGGATGATGAGACCGAGGATCGCGACGACTTTGATGATCGCACACCAGAATTCAGCTTCGCCGTATGCGCCTGCACCAAACAAATTGATAAGGAGAGCCGTAGCCAGCATAACCGTGATATAAATCGCCAAATGATCATCGTTCGGATCCCAATACTGTATCACAATCGACGCAGCCGTGATCTCCGCCGGCAGCGTAATCCCAAAACAGTACCAATAATTCCATCCCGTGGCGAATCCGACCGCGGGGTCGACGAATCGTGTAGCGTAGGAGGTGAAGCCGCCTGAGGTTGGGAGGTAGGTTACCATCTCGCCCAATGATAGCATGGTGAAATAGACAATGATGCCCATGAAGGTGTAACCGAGTAAGGCACCCACGGGTCCACCATGCGCCAATGCTTTTCCGGAACCGATGAAGAGGCCTGTACCGATCGTGCCGCCGATTGCGATCATTTGTACATGACGTGATTTGAGATGGCGTTGGGTTCCGGTGGGTTGGGATTGGGTGGGGTATTCACCACCAACACCGGAAGCGTGGGAGGGGATGTTGGTGAGGTCGGTTATTTCGATGTCACCTTGTTGGATTGGGCGTTTTTCCTTCTCTTGCATTTCGTAAAACTCGGGAGGTTGGGACATCTTGGCTACAGCTGTCAAGCTTTACCGTGAGATGATCCGTTGATGGCCATGGCCAACGGGTAGCCGCAGTACTTATAGGATGATCCGCCCCTCATTGCGATTGCGCAATGCGATTGAGAGAGAGGATCACGCGGGTTGGTCGGAAGTAAGACTTCCTCTCTTTCATGATAAGCTTGAGAGCGGCGATAAGGTGCTCTGGTTGCTCCCATGCTTAATTTGGAGTTTACAGTAGGTGCGCGGTCTGGCGGTGAAACTTGGCGAACGGCAGCCAAAACTGGCGAGTTGCGCATGCGGGGAACACAACGATAAGAGGAGATTATGACATGGCGATTGGTTCGAGTGTAGAAGTCATTCAAGTGTAACCTTGTCGATAAAGGTCAGCCAGAACGGCGATGGATCAGGCCACTCAGACCTCTGCCTCGGTACCGGTCTGGACCTCATGATCACAATTGGAACTGCAGGCTTATTCTTGGCACGCCCAAATTGCGACATGAGTTCCAATCTTCTCGCTTAACATACCCGATTCCCGACATCTCCCGAGTCAAACTCCCACCGTTTATGTGCCGCTTTGCTGCTGCAGATGTGTAACGTTACGCGCATCGATATTATGGCTGCCACAGAAGGAATTTGGAGCTTTGCAACTGGAGTGTGGAGCGCGAACTGTTTTACTTTGTCTACCTTCTGCTCTAAACGTACACCCCAATATGGCAATGACCTTTTTCCCATGTCGTCCTCGAATGCAGCTCTGGCTTCGTTTTCCTCCATGCAAATGTTCTTCAGTCCTCGCCCCAAACGTCATCTTTCTTCATCAAGCAATCAAGGCCAGCAATCCGGTTGCTGAATATTTGTTAGATATTTAGAATAGGTACCACAAATATCAGTAGTAGTCCATCCCGCTCGAACATTAGCTCATTGGTGAAGGGCATCACGATCGCCCCGTCCGAGCTATCGATCATGCATGACTCCTCCTCTCCTACCCACACGCTCAATGCTCATATATCAATCCCTCCAACACTCCTATACATTGCCATCCATTCTGCCCCCTCCCTCTTCCCCTCACCGTCTCCTAGAGGCTCCTCCTCGTGTCTCAAAATTTCAACCCGATCAATCCTCGCTCGACCAAATTCATGCGAGGACAATTCTTGTAGGAGAGGTCTTGCGTCGAAGGAGCCGGGGAAGGGTCGTCTGGGGATGGACAGTGGGTCTGTTGGTGAGTCGTTTGATGTTGCGTTGGGTTCCGTCGAGTCGCTTGGTCTCTTCTCTGGATTTGTCGTTGTAACTCCAACTTCATGAGACCGTACTTGCCCCGGGTCGGGCAGCGCTTGGGCTTGTTCTTGTTTTCGATTTGATACCAGCGGCTGCGGCCGCGGAATGGTGTTGCTGATATCCCATCGTGGTTTCCGAAATGGCAGGGGTGTAGACTGGTTTGGTGGACGTAACAGCGGTTGCACCGGCCCCGATCTGCGCTTGGTGTGGAGGAGTGTAAGGTGGAGTTTGTACCTTGGATTTGCACGTAGGAGGAATCCAGCTCTCATAAGCCTTGAGCGGATATGGGCGGTGACGGCGTTGAGGGTGACGAGGTGTTTGAAGTCTTCGGGAGTTGGGTAGACCGGTGTGGTGTACAAAGCTCTGGCGCGGTCAGGTTTGGCGGTTTGCTTGGTCTTGACGCCTTTGAAAAGGACTTCCAGTGGTTTGTATCCTTCGTCTTGTTCTATGGGTGATAATGGTGACGCAAAGGTAGCGTTTTTGAGGCCTTCGTCCTTGATCCATACGATCTCGTCCCGTATGCGCTCCAGTAGCCGCACGGCCTCCTCCACTTTTCCCGGTCCTTCTAAATTCATGATCCCCAACGTCAGATGCCACGTTGATACCGGCCGTATAATCGTTGGTGGTATAGCATATTTCTCCCATATTCGAGTTGGGACCGCAGGTCTCTCAATAAACCATAATCGCAGTGCGATCAGATCCCTACCAGCTGCTGGCAGTGGCCGTGGCATCAATGGTAGAGAGTCCCTAGGAAGGGGGGGAAAGGACGGGGATGCCGTGATTGATATTTCGTGTTGGTTTTGCGGTTGGTAGGTGCCTGTAACGTAGACATACGTGCACTGGGAAAAAACGAGATCGTCCGTATATGGGGAATGCAGGAGGTCGTTTCCGGCATCCGCTTCACAGAGAATCCAGTCTACGTTACATTCACACCAACCACCCATATACTTCAGAGACAACCAGAAATGATGTCTTAGCATACATCCTGATGGGAACTCACAAGTCGTCAAGTTCTACCCTGGGCGTTGCGGATCAGATGACCTTGTGAGTACCGGGCACGCGCTCTCACTCGCTCCGTTCGTGGTTAACCGACTTCCACAACAAGAAACCGATATTGTGATCAGTATGAACATTGATTTCATTGACATGGATGATATGCTCTCTGTCGCATGCCTGGGTACACCATCAGGGACTGGTATGGACATGGGCCTCACGTCTGCATTCACCCCAAGCGGCAGTATTGGCGGCGGAACGAGGATTGAGAAAGCGAGGGGGGAGTTGAAAGCTATTCTGAGCAGTTTCGCAATTCAGAACTGGGGCCTCTTTGGTAGGCAATAGATGCATCCGGGTGGATTCTCTCTCCACCCTACCAGACCCGTCAAAGTGCAAATGTCCGCCGCAATCTCTGCTCTAGCAGCAAAAGATGGCCTCGATATCAAGCGCGGCATCGTCGCAGATGAGAAAGATGCGAAGGGAAGAAGATTGGGCCAAAGATGGCAGAGATGCCTTCAAGGGCGCAGAAAAGGAGGATGAGAGGTTGGGCAGGAGTGGGAGTGGGTTGGGCTCATTGAGCCAGAAGGATATGAATGAGATGATTAGGTTGCATACGAAGGGGAGCGGCACAGTCGAAGTACTGGATCTGACGGAGGGTGAAGCGGGAGAGGAGAGCTTTGCGTAGAATGCAATAATCAAAATCACGTATAGCTAGCTATAGCTAAACGTATCACCACCACTACCATAGCAATATTGTATCATCTATCCATATCATATACCTTATCTTACCCCGTGCCCCCTCTCACCGCCGTGCCCCCTCTCACCGCCGTACCCCCCCCCCCCACCCATAACTCCCTGTCACATTTTCCTTTCTCCACCTCTCACAAGCACCGCCCAACTCCATTTCGCTCCACTCAATAATACTCGCCTCGCCTCGCCTACATATCAAAATCCCTCCCACTCCACTCAATAATACTCGCATCCTCAACCCTCGGGGGCGGCGGCGTAACCCCCCCACTCGCCCCCAACGCCATCGGAAACATCCGTCCCTGTCCATACGTATAACTCTGGTTCCTCGGCAAATACCCACTTCCCTGACGATGTAGTGCAGCAGCCTGTGAGCGGCCGGCGGCACGGATGGGGCGTGAACCGCTAGGGCCGGAGAGTGAGGCGGAGAGTGAGCCGATTCCGTAGTGTTGGGCGAATGAGGAAGGGGATTGGGCGAGGGGGTTGTGGGCTGGGTCGATGCGGGAGGTGAAGGAGGAGGAGAGGGGGGCTTCGACGACCATGCCCATTCCTGCGAAACCACCCGTCTCGACGGGACTTTGGAGCGCGGGTGTCCCATTCGCGCTATCGCCCCATATACCAGGCGAGTGTGAACACCCTTCATACATCCACCCTCCCAGGCCCTCCATATCGTACACCGGGAGTTTGAGCGTATGCCTCAGTTCCTTTGTCCAAGCACTCATCTCCAACGATTCCAAGATGAGAGCACCGATTTCTCCACCTGCGTTACGTGCAAGCGCTCGCATCCTCCGTGCAGCCTCGCGTGCGTGGAGGATATTGTCAGAAGGCTGGATATGCTCGATGAAAATCTGGTTCTGGGTGACCATTGACAAACTCCCCAAGGTACTCAACGAACTCGGGGTCAGGGTTGGTGTACTCGTGATGATACCCACGATTCGGCGTCGTGGGGGGAGAAGGGTCGTTAACCACGTCAGTTGCGAGAGGGAGCCCAGGAGGGAGCATGGGACGTCGTCGTCGCCGTCGAGGTTAGCGAGGAGGTCGTCGTTTAGGTGTGCCAGTGCCGCGGAGGACGTAATAATCGCACATGCGGAGCGGGAGAGGAGTGTCGTACAGGCCGATATTAACGCTTGGAGGATCTCCTCTTTGGGTGTCGTGTGTAACTCAGAAGGTGGGATGTCGAGTTGGTGGGTTGTTGTCGGGAAGGAAAGGGATCGGAGGATTCGGGTTTGTGCGACGGAGGGAGGTGTGAGGAGGATGATTCCGACGGGGGCGCGGGATTCGGCGTGGGAGAGGCCGAGGGAGAGGCCGGCCATGCTTTGTTCGCTCACGCCGGGGAAAGAGAGGGTGTTGAGGGATAAAGACGCCAAACTCCCTGATCTCGTTCTCGAAGGCGTAAATGTAGGCGGTGGACCAGATCCGACGATAAATGTAGATGGATCCTCGCCAAAGGAGCCAACGAGGTCCGTTACCTCGTCGTCGTCCTCGAAGGAGTCGACTTCCCACTCGATCTCGACAGGGGTTGCGGATCCGGCTTCGGCGGAACTTTGGGCGGTGAACTGGTACATGTTTGAGGCGGGGAGGTTGACTACTCGACCACCACCGGGAGTAGAGGAGTGCGAGTTTGTGGCGGAAGGAGGACGAGGTCGCGGTGAGTGACGTTGTTGGTGGATATCGAGTAGTTCGCGGTATTCTTGTGCGTTAACCGGATCAACGGCTTCGGAGCCGGGCGATACGTTGTCTGGTTCGACTCCGACTGTCGCGAGTGGTCTTCGCATACTTGAGCTGCCTGACTGATCCGCAGCGGCCATGTCGTTCTCGTCTGGTTCGCCGTGGAAGTAGAACATGCCTCGGCTTTTAGGACGTTCCGGGACTTGCTTGTCGGGAACCCTTGTCATTTGATTTGATCCGTCGATATTGGTCGTTATCGTGATAAGGTCGTCGTATAACTTAGAATGTCCGAAGGTTCTTCGAGAGTATCGAGTTCTGTTACGCGGACCGTGAGCGCTGCTGATCTGAAAGGGCGCAGCAGGCGGCGACGTCGGGGGAGTCTTCTTATCTCGACGACTTATCCGACTGTTTTGACTGCCTTGGAACACTTTTGCAATCCCGGCTACACAAACCCCTCGATGGTGTAGTTGGTTCATCACGTCGCTCTGTAATGGTAACATCGTCAAGCGAAGGTCACCGGCTCGACTCCGGTTCGAGGGATTCGTTTTTGGCTTTTTCGCTCATCACTTGTTGATCACTCAAGAAGAACGAAGCCTCGTTTTAATCAGATCTGGTTCATCTCTAACCCGTTCATCTCTTCTCTTTCGTTCTCTCGCGTCCATTTCGTCATAACCGATCCTCGACATATTTCGGCACATCTCACCTTGCAACCGCCGAACCCACAAAACAGAGCCTCCCGGAGCCGTCCTTCCCTATCTCGATGACCGAAGCCCATCCATCACCATGGCCAACACTCCCGCCTGAACTCTTAAAACTCTGCATCGCAGATCTCCCTGCCCGCGACCTAACCTCTGTCGCCCTCGTCTGCCGCTCCTGGACCCCACACGCCCAATCCCTCCTCTACCGCTACCCCTACCTCCGCAGCCAACGCCACGCCCGTCACTTCGGGTGGTCGTTATCGGAGAATGAGGATCTGAGGGAGTATGTATGGGAATGGGATGCGCATCTCCTTGTAGGGGCGGATGTGGGGCAGATTGTTCAGGTCTTGCCTACGTTGAGGAATCTGAGGAGATTCGTGGCTCCGCAGGGGAGTTTGACCACCCCGTTTGTCAATGCGTTGGGTGCGTGTGAAAACCTCCAACATCTCGACCTTGAATGGATCATCGAACGTTACGACCTCGGGCGAGTAATCAACTCCATCGCCAAACTTCAGCGACTACACACTTTCGAATTCTCCCGCTGTGCACAAATGGACCGCATGCCCGTCAAATCCTGGCCACCAAACCTTCAATCCCTCCACCTCCGCGGCGGGGTCCCCGACGCGTTCATCTACACCGCACCATGGCCAGCCACCACAATCCGCACAATCCGCATCTCCCACCTCCCCAACACCCGCCCCGAAGCTGTCCTCCACTTCCTCTCCACCTTCGGCCCGATCGTGGAGGAGTTACGGATCGATTATCCCCTTTACAGACTCAAACCATCGAGCTTGGATACGGTGTTTGAGTTGATTGGGGATGGGATTAGGGAGGTGGGTGTTAGTGCTGATTATGTCAGTGATGCGGCGTTTAGGGGGTTAGTGGAGCTCAGTGGACGAGCGAAGGGGTTGAGGGAGGTTAGGATTACGTGGTCGGGGGTCACTCGTCGAGACATGGTTTCTGCACGGGATTTGCTACGCGTACTCGGTGTATCGGTCGCCGCCCTCCCCACCCTTTTCTTCCCTAGTGGTGAACCGATGTCCGAGCCATCCACCGAATCATGGCATGAGTCGATCAAGCACGTTCTTGGTGGTGGTGCCAAGTTCAAGTTATGTCTGGATCAGAGACTGGCGAGGAGGTTGGAGGCGGATGATGCGGTTGCGTGGGGTGTGCTCGTTAAGGAAAGTAGGTTGAGTGTTGATGAGGGGAGTAGTTTTGGGGCTGATGCGGTTGATGCGCTGGTTCGGCGGATACAGGGAATGCCGTTTGGGTTGGGAAGATAGTGCAGGATTCACGGAGCACTGCGTAAGAAGTGCAAGAGTGGATATTGTAAGCCTAGGATGATGCAGCAAGAACGAGTAACATAGGATTGGCATAGCTTTACTATCTGCATAGAACGGGATATGGACAGGATAATCTGCTTTCATTCAGGGTATGAAGATTCCCACGCGCGGTACGTACGCAACACCCGGCGTGTCTTGGACACCCGTCACATCAGTGGGCCGCGTGAGCAGCTCGTGATCGTCAGAGTCTCTGCAAAACCCCCGAAGGCCGTCTGACATATAAATTGGGCAGAATTAGACAGTCATGGGACGCATGCTTCTCGCACGGTCCGAGTCATGCTTATGTCCACGCGTTTCGAGAAGACGTTTATATCAAGGCTCAAAGGATAACCCGTGAAGTTATTGATTGTACTCAGCGATTTCATCGTTCGAAGTACGTAGGTAGCCAACAAATGCTCTGTACCGTGGCCAGTGAGTACGTGCTGACTGCTTGACATCCTACAGGTCTGGACATGGATTTCCCGTATCGCTCAAGGATTGATTTGGGGCATTTGACTCCCTATCGACTATTCAAACTGTTCCTCCTCTGGACAAACCGATTGCTCCATGGGTTCTTCGACATCCTCTTCCAACTGCCCAAATCCGCGGTGGTAGTCCCGTTGGATTTCCTGTGCATCATCCTCAACCTTATCACAGCTTCATCCCTGCTTCTCACAACAATGCTCCGTGAATTACTCGCGCTTCCTTTCCAGGTCATCTACTCCATTCTTGATGGACTCGCGTTCTTGGGATTCTTTGGGACGGTTGTGGTGGTGGGGGTTGTGGGATTTGTGGGGAGGGTGCTGGCTCATGTGGTGTGGTTGGATTGGTTGGTTATGGAGGCGGAGGAGGAAGAGGTAAGGGCGTTGATGGAGATTAGGAGTCACTGGGGTGAGGAGGGGTGAACGGATACTTACGTGGGCCTGCTGCCGGGTACGTTCCCACCCCCACCAGACCATCTAAAAGGCCGGGAAAGTTGCCAAACGTAAGCAAATAATGGATATCATTCACTAATGAACAGAATAAAATATCTCGAATGACCATTCCCGACTTTCCCACATAAGCGTCATGTGTCTGCGCGATACCGGTACAGTAAAGCGGAGCACCAGCCACTCATACAACCACAGCTGGGCTGTTCCACCCACTCATCAACAACTCGTCACAACACCACCACAACCAATATAACCATCTACCAATAACAACAGCATTCAAACCGACATTACGAGTCACTTTGCACCTTCCTTGTTCATCAGGATCACCAACGCACGCTCTGGACGCTATTCAGTCGCTGATCGGCTTCTAAGCGACACCCCTATCGCACACGCATACACACTTCTTACTGGAACAGCATTCAGCTGCAAACCACCACTTTTTCTTCTTCGTTCCCGTTATAATAAGCTACGCTCGCATCTGACAAGAACTTGGTGAACTGATCAACAAAGGACACACGCTGCGCGGCAGCTTCCCGACGACCCGCGCAGGGCCAAACATTACATTCTCATTTTACAAACCGATTCAGAAACCATATTAATGACCTCACCATCATCCTCACACCGTTCCGTCCAGCCCGTATCTCTCAGGTTCTTGCCTTGTCTATAAACCTTTATCTTGGGATTACTAACTTGGGAAGAACAGACCCTCCCGCTCCTCTCCACCCTCTCCAGCAACTCAACTCGCCTCCCACCTCCTCTTCGCCGCATCCCTAGCAGCGACAGCAGCCAAAAACACCGCATCAGTCGCGAAATCGACGTACGACGTCACCCAACAATACCGAGCTGGCGAAGTCAATGCTCGAGCACTACTAACGAACGCGAAGAAGGAGAAGGCGACACAAGAAGGTGACAGAGCGGACGTCGAGTTTGGTGGGAGGAGGGTGTGGTGTACCTGGCGGGATGGACGGGTTAGTGCGTGGGAATGGGATGGGCTTGAGGCAGGGCAGATGAGGGAGGTTATGGGGATGGAGTTGGCGAAGGGTGCCGGGACGAGATTGGCGAGGGTTGTGCCGATGGATCCGCCGCTTACTCTGCTGGTGGGTCCTGCGGGTGTCAGCTTCAAGCTGTTCGGGAGATCGAAGCCAACGGTGTTGCCTTTGCCGGATCACATCAACGCGACCGACATCATCGATATCCAGACTTCACGTTCCTACATCGCTTTGTTGACACATTCCCACGCTTATATTCTTGCCAGCTCGGAACCCACTACTGTCCTTCGTACATTCTCGATCGCTCAGAACGCGCTCTCACGCCCCATCTTCTCTCTTCGAGGCAGGTGGGCAGTCTTTGCACACTCGAGTCCGATCAACGGATTCGCACCACAGCCTGTCTCGTCCGCGAGGCCAACTACCCCCGAGAGTCTGGTTGGTATGCTTTCAAGGGCCACGGCATTGATTCCCACGTCAGAGCCTACCGCACCACGGTATTTCTCAATCTACGACCTCGTGAGCGGAAAGCACATGGCGACCTATTCCGTCCCGGCACCAAACGGGATCGCACATGTATCACTCTCTCCGAGTGGGACAAGACTCCTTGTCGTTCCGCCGGGGGCACGGACAGTTGATGTACTCGAACTCCTCGATCCACGTTCTGCTGTACGCATTTCGCGGTTGACGAGGGGGTTGAGAGCGGCGGAGGTAGAGGGTGTTGTGTGGAGTTTGAACGGTGGACGGGTTGGTGTTAGGATCGTTGGTGTAGGGAATGTGAGTGTTTTTGATGTGGAGGGTGGCGGGGACGTCAAGGTTTCGGCGCGGGTGTGTGCGTTGCCGGGGAGTCGTGGGGTGCTAACTGTTTCCGAAGAAGGCGGTGGGCTGGTCCTGAAGTTGGGTAAGGTCGTGGTCAAGGATGGACAGGAACGGTCGGTGGTGGGTATGAGTGAGTGGAAGTTACCACCAGCGACGTCCTGCGCAGCACCCCTTCAGGAAGAGAAGACTGTTCCGCCGCAGAAGGGGTTGAGTCTCATTCTAGCACATGCAGAGATCGATACCTCCCGTGGCTGGAAATCAATCTGGACAGACCCCTCAACATCCCTCTACCGTCTCCCCTCTGCAAACCCATGGCCCTCCCTCTTCGGCCTCCCCGAATCCCGCGGCGAACTGATCGACCTCGGCCTCGCACGCGGCCAAGTCGAGTTCACGTCCCCTACCGAAGAAGAACTCGGACTCGAGAAAGCGCTGGCGGAGGATATGGCGATGAGTAAGTTCATCCCTGGACATCCGGCGCCATTACCGAGGTTGGGAACGTCGCCGGGGAAGAGGGTCGTTAAGGTTGGTCAGGCGGGGGCGAAGATGTTGTGGAAGGGAATGGAGGGGATGAATATTAATATTTCGCCGAGGAGGGTGAGCGGGGGTGTGGGAGATGAGGGGAGTGGGACGAGTGTGAGTTTTGAGGATGAGGGAGAGGTCGAGGTCATTGAGCGAGCTGCTCTCGGCGAGGCTGAGCAAGAGGAATTGGAGGGTTGTTCGAGGGAGGGTGTCAAGCATGCTGTGTACGATAGTAGTGGTCGTGAGAGTCCCATGCCACATTTTGGAGACCCGGATGATGATGGGATGGAGAGTGTATTTATCGGGGATCGTTGAGCGTGTGATATTGTTGGACAAGGCAGATGTGTGAGATTGTAAGCTGTCTTTTCTTGGATTCGTATACATGGATGGCTATGGGTGTTTTGAGGTTCCTTTTAGGGTTTTTTGGGGGTTTTCAAGCAGGACTTGTTGGTATTGATATTGGTAATACATACATGAACTTCACACGGTGCTCAAGGATCGTGACATAGACAACAGATAGATCATAGGCAAAACAGTATATTCAGATACCCAACATCTACGATATATGCATCGGAGTTTACAGGTTTACGACAAGAATCAGAAAAAGAAATGTACGTCACCCACCACGAACCCCCTTCCCATGAAAAGAGAAGGAAGCAGCGCAGACCTCCACAGCCGAAGTATCAAAACGAAAGGGAGGCCATGCGGTGGTATTGACAAGAAGGGGATTGGTCTTGCGCAATTTCCTTGAGCACGACGGAAGGAGAGCATACTTCCGGTGCTCTACACAAATGTGCGCCTGCGGAGCAGGATTTGAGGGCGATGGAGGGATGGGTGGAAGGCCGACTGGGCTAGGAACCGGACTGGACTGATCTCGGCGGGCGAGGTGGGGGTTGTCGACGGCCGAGAAGGAGAACAATGCCAACTGTACCGAACAGCAACATCCAATCGCTCATCATGTCGCAGGCCGAACAAAAAACATTTTCAACGCTGCACTGCACTGAACTGAACCAAAAACGCATTTTGCTTGACCCAAGGTTTTGCTATTGATCGTTGCACAATTCAATCCCAAGAACTCCGAAAAAATCCCAAGAAAGCAAAGTCAAAGAAGTTCCTATCACATCGATGGAATCAAGAAATTTAGGCGGAAGCCTTCTGGTCCTTGACAGCCTTCATGACCTTCCTGTACAAATGCAGTGGTCAGTATTCATCCAATCGCAAATCACGATCAATGGTCGATTGATTCGTTCCCTCGCACTTCGCTCTTTGCAAGGCTCAGAGCGCAGTGCTAGGAGGTGGAGTGTAACGTACTGGGTACCGAGAGCGGCGTAACGCTGGTTACGCTTGAACTTGGGGTCAACGCCCTTCTGGGAAGGGTACTTGTTGGTCTTCGGCTTCTTGATGCCGTTCCTGTGGGCCTTGGAGTTCTGGTTGTGGTTCCTACAATCCCGTCAGCATCCGAACTTTATCCTCACCGCCCGGCCACCGTTCCACCGCGGAATTGAAGCAGAACAAGAGCACGGCGACAAAGAAACAGAGACCAACGTACGTGTGGTTCTTCGACTTGGCCATTTTGACGGAAGTTCTTGATGGGACGGAAACGACAACGGACGCTGCAGCTGTGCTCGATCTGCCCAAGGCGGTGTGCACGGTGGTAAATTTGCTGTAGAGCGCGTAAACCCTAAGGCACCTGCGCCGTCGCAACTCCAGCACGGCCAACGATAAGTGATAAGGGAGCGACGAACGAAGAACTCTTCCAAATGGCGACCGTCTACAAGCTTCAGTCCGGAGAGAAGTCCAAGGCGTCTGTTGAGGAGCATGGCAAGCCCCAGTCGCGCAGGATCAAGAACAAGGTCTTGGTTCTGTCATCGAGGGGTGTTACATACCGGTACGTGCCACCTGTCATCGGCCGGCGTGCAACGATCCGTCGTTCCAATTGCTAATGTTCTTGTTCTTAGTCAGCGTCACTTGATGGCCGACCTTGAGGCTATGCTTCCTCACTCCAAGAAGGACGCCAAGCTCGACACGAAATCAAAGCTCTACCACTTGAACGAAGTCGCCGAACTCTACTCCTGCAACAACATCCTCTTCTTCGAAGCACGAAAGCGTCAAGATCTCTACGTCTGGCTCGCCCGAGCACCAAACGGTCCCTCCGTCAAGCTCCACCTCCAAAACTTGCACACCATGGACGAGCTGAACATGACCGGAAACGCACTCAAGGGATCCCGACCAATTCTGAGTTTCGACAAGAGTTTTGATGAGCAGCCGTACACGCGATTGTTGAAGGAGATGTTGCAGGCAACGTTCGGTGTACCCAAGGGCGCGAGGAGGTCGAAGCCCTTCACGGATCATGTTCTTACCTTTACGCTGGCGGATGGCAAGATCTGGTTCCGTAACTTCCAGATCGTCGAGAAAGAATCAGAAGATCCCAAGGCGAAGCGAAGGGGTGGTGACACCAGTGAGCTTTCCTTGTTGGAGATTGGTCCCCGTTTTGTCATGACTGTTATTTGCGTTTTGGAGGGTTCGTTTGGTGGTCCGGTCATTTATGAGAACAAGGAGTTTGTGTCCCCCAACCAGGTCAGAGCGAGCTTGAAGGCGCAGAAGGCGAGCAAGTACAGGAACAGGGCGGAGAGCAAGGCGAAGACTCAGGTTAAGAAGAGGGTGAACCACTTGCCTGCGGATGAGATGGCTGACGAGATGGTCTTCGCGGACTTGAGTGATTCGGAGTAAAACGAAGAGAGTCATTGAAAGCATTGTTTTGGTTATATTTGTCGTCGATGTTGACGAGGGGTTTATGGGTATCTTGTAGCGAAAAGCAAATCGAAACGCCTGTGACCCCGATGCGAATGTCCTGACCCAGCTACCTCTCCTCCTCTCTCTTCCTTGCTCTTGATCTAGATGCAAATAAATTACCATGCTTCGATCCGCTTCTCCATCCCCCTCAATGCCTCTTCGAATCCTCCAATGACATTACTCAACTCCTTCCCAACCACCCCACCCGTCTTCCACCGATTCCTCTCACTCGAGATCCACTCTCTCGACCGTTCCACTCCCGCCAACTCCAACTGCCACTCCTCCACCAACCCCCTAACAACCTTCAACTTCCTCCCCGCCAATGCCTCAGTTTGTTTGATTTCCTGGATAGAGTCGGAGAGGGAGGAGAGGGTGTACGTGAGGGAGGTTGTTAGGGTGTGGAGGGCGTCGAGGGAGGCGAGGGATGGTGGTGGGATGAGGGATTGGAGGGTGTCGAGGAGAGACTGTAGGGATGGGGGTGGTGGTGGTGAGTCGTCCTCCGCGATATCTGGTAGTGGTGGTGATGGCGTCAAGGGAAGAGCGAGTTTCAGGTCGCCTAGTTGTCGGCTTTTGTGTGTTAAACTTGACGTCAATGCCGCATGTACCGTGATCAATCTGTACGTGAATCATCAGTACTGCAGCTAGTTGCTTTTCCCTGAAATGAATCATCATACCTCGATGCACCATTCTCCACAGCCGATTGATCTCCTAACCGTGCTTGTAGTCCTACTATCAGACTTTGTATCGCATCCTCTTGTACCGTGATCGTTTCTCCCAGCTCATCGTATGTCCCCTCATGCTGTGTCGGCGCAAAGGTCTCCTCAATCACAGCCTGCAACTCCGCAATCCTTGCATCGAGACTCTGTAGCGGGAGAGCAGGGTCATCGCTATCGTCAGCTGGGTCACCTACTCGCATACATTAGCTATAGTTCCACTGGTAATTGTGGTTGAGGTGAGGGTAAGGGGAGCGCACCATATCCATCACCTTCATAAGACTCCCTCATCTCTTGCTCCCCAGCGCTACCGCCGAGGCCACTATCGACCTCCATAGCTTTCGCCAATTCATCGCCGAGACTCATTCCGCCGCCTAAGCCTCCCATTCCCATCTCCATCCCCAAACTCATCCCTTGCGGGGAATCTGATCGATAGTATCGTTCGTCGTAAGTATACCCAGCCTCCTCATCCGAGTATCGAGACTCCCCGCCATCATCGTCGTAAATGAGTGAAGAATCTAAATGATAGTCCATCCCTTCCTCTCCCTAACCGAGTGAATGCAAAGAGAGCGTAAAAGGAGGTCGTCGTCGTTTGTTTTGGCAGCTCTGTATACGGCACTGCACGCCCCTGCTTTTTGGCTGCTGACCGAGAAATCCATCGACGCTCAGCACCCCGTGAGAAATGTCTGAACTACGGAGATTCAGAGCGACGGATCTGTTTGAGTTCAATAACGTGTATGTCGAATGCCCCGCCGTTGGAGAGGAAGCTGATCTGATCGTGCGTGTATAGGAACCTTGATGTTCTGACTGAGACCGTACGTCGATTCCAAGTTACACTCAAGGCAACGGACTGATTGAATCGACAGTACAACATATCCTTTTATCTTTCCTACCTAGCAACATGGCCCGACCTCTTCACAACAACCCTCTCCCCAACAACCCAACAACCAATCGCCTACATCATGGGTAAATCCGAAGGCACCGGCACCCTCTGGCACACCCACGTAACAGCCCTCACAGTCTCACCCTCTCACCGCCGTCTCGGCCTCGCCCGGATCCTGATGAACATGCTCGAACGAACAGGTGAAGAAAGTTATGACGCATTTTTCGTGGATTTGTTTGTTAGGTGCGGGAATGAGGTTGCGATTGGGATGTATGAAGGGTTTGATTATAGCGTGTTTAGGAGGGTTGTTGGGTATTATTCGGGGGGGAAGGGGGAGGAGGAGGATGCGTTTGACATGAGACGGCCGTTGAGGAGGGATAAGGAGAGGAAGAGCATTAGGGAGAATGGGAGGGACGTACGCGTACAGCCGCAGGATGTGTGGTTCTAGTTCCATAAAATGGCGCAAATATACCCGGGGATATTGCAGGTGGGGGCAGGACGCGAAGTCAATGTTCAATCATTCTATTCGTGACAACGATAGAGCCTATGGTATTAGAGTACAATATCATCCCCTCACAACGTTATTTTGTCGCTTATTTAACGTAAGTCTGTTTCAAAAAGTTAGCACTTTTCCACACATCTTTGAATCAACCTGAACCCACCTGCAACGCCTCCAAAACCTCAACCTCAATCTTCGCCTCAGCAACATCCGCCTCACTTCCATTTCCACCAGCGACCCTCTGCGCCTCCGCCAACGCATTCCTAATAGCCTCAGCTGAGAAGTCGGTAATAGGGTGTGCCTCAACAGCGTTGATGCTCAACTGAGAGCCGGGCTGGACGACGGCGAAACCACCGGAGACGAAGAACTGCTTGGCGGAACCGCCCTCCTCGATGACCTCAACGAGACCGGCTTTGAGTTGTTGGACGGAGGGGACGTGGGAGGCGAGGATACCCATGTCTCCGGCGGTGGCGGGGATGTTGACCTGGACGCTGTAGACATATGATCCCGTTAGTTACACACTCCGCAATCAATCCTTTCTCCAGAGCACGTACACATCGGAAGCCTTGTAGACAGCCTGTAACACAAATAAATCAGCCAATTGCTCATGGCGGATCCCGGGCTCGTTCGCGACGGATCACCGGGATCAATGATGGTCGACATACCTGGTGAGGAAGCGACAAAGTCAAACGGATGCGGTCAGCGGGGACAGCCTCAGCATATCCACGACGGAGAGCGGGAGCCGCAGAACGAGCAGCCAAACGGACAGTACGGAGAGCGAACATGGTTGTAATTTGTGAATTGATTGAGCACTGATGTTGGCGGTGATGCATGCTCGAATTTCAGCCCGGGGTGTGGCTGGAGTGGGCCCCCTGATCCGTACCGGTACATCACCTCCAAAGCAAGCATTTATCCCGGGAAAGCATTTACCCCAGCCAGAAAAGATACAATCAGCAATGTCATTGCCACAAGCATTTACAGCCGCGAACCGCTCTCGCGTCGCATCCCTTTACCGCCGCTCCCTCAAACTCTCCCTGGACTGGGTTGTGGACCATGGCCATTGGCGTCGTTACGCAATGCTCATTCGGGAGGATTTCGAGGCGAATAAGAACGTCACGGATCCGCGTAGACTGGCGCTTATCCTCGAGGAGGTTGAGGCGAAGTTGAAGGAGTACAGGCATCCGGATCCCTATATTCCTCCTACTGCACCAAATGGAACGAAGTGGGAGAGAAACATGCCGCCGCTTTATGTATGTCTTGTATATGCGTTGTTGTTAATGATGAATGCTAATATGCATGCGTATAGGGTGAGCAGGGACCCGTCAAACATTGAGGTTATAGGACTCCCTCGTCAGCAGTAAATCGACATCTCGATGTGCGGTGAAATTAGAGGAGAAATCAGGGTTCAACTACGTCAATTGGGCGATGATAGGGCAGCCTTTGTACTATATGGAAGTATAAGGACGAACTTCTAAAGCAATATTCATACCATTACATCATTTCCGAAATGTCCCCATTGCAACTGCGATTGATATTGTTGATGTGCTTCAGCATAAGGAGCGCTAGGGAAATATGCCTACTTAATTATACAGCCCATCACTCGGGTCGAACCTGTCTTCATCCTTGACAACAGCATACCCCGTGACCTCAGCGAGAAAAACGACATCATCGTCAGACGCGTTGTTGCGTCCTTCTTCCGTGGCCGTAGCAGGCGACACTCGTTCCTCCGTTGTCCCATTTGCATCAGCTCCCGAGCTTGCTGAGCCCTTGGCACGACACAATTTCTCGTAGAGGTCCTGTTTGTACTGCACGAACTCGAGCTTCCTCCAACGCAACCGATACGTTCCGTCAAGCAGCTTGTCCCGAGCCTCTGCCGCTGTTTCACTTGTCGGCATAATGAGATTCCCCGTCCTGAGTGGGTCATGGTGAAACATGAGCTTATTCCGGTAGTGCAAGATGTTATCAATCCACATATCCTGCTCCGCCTGCGCAAGATCTCGAAAGATAGACGTCTCACCCCCATGCTTGAACCGGTATTGTCCGCAATATTCGTATGTCGTAGCCCTTCGCTTACAAAATAGAGGCATGACCTTTTCAAAAAATGACGGGTCCGCGAAGCCATTTAACATGGTGCCGTCCTCGCCGGCTCTCGCCGACCTATTTGGATTCCAACGCGATCTAAGAATGAGATAACGCGAGATATCATGTTCGAGTTTGTCCATCTTGGCGGGACTGACGGGACAGAACGCACCTTTTTGGAGATCCACCGATGGCTTTCGTTGAGATGACATCACGGCTGAACAACTCGATGCCATTGATCGATGATGCAGGAGTTCCTTCGAGAGATTCTTCGCTAGTTCTTTCGGGACTTTCCAGTACAGAGCTGCCGGCTGTCATAGGCCGTGCGTCATTCGTCGCCGTGTCGCTAAGATCAGTCTCGTCACTATCTGCGTTCGCCGGCCTTTCAGGAGTTCCTTCGTCACTTCCCGGGGGAGGTGTGTCTCCGTATATGCCACATAGTGCATGGTATACGTCCATTCTGTAGCCGACACACTTCAGCTCTCGCCATCTTAGACGATATGTACCGTTCAAGAACCGCTCATGCAGTTGCGCTCTTGATAGGCCCTTGGGGAACCGGGACTTTGTTGCCCGACTTGTGACATTCATAGAACACGGGTCTTGCGCTGCGGCCATAGCCTCTTAAACGGAACATATCCACGCAACGCTCTTGTGCAAAACACGACTGTGCTTTATACCATGTAGGGCCAAGGTATCCCTTGTACGTCATGATGTACTCTCCACAGTAAAAGGTCCTTATTGGCATGATGTGCACAGGATAGTGACAGAGGCTCATCATGGAACGGTTGCCGGTTGAACAGATCGACCACAATGCCGTGGTCACCAGCCGTCTTGGGTATTTGTGGGCCCGTTTTCCAAACGGAAGAAAGCACTACGTATCGGTCAACTGCGACTTGCTTCATGGTACGGACTCTTCTATAGTCTGGAGTAAATGAAGAATCACTGCCACCAAGGACACGTCTCAGACTTCCGTGCTGGAACGTCTGAGGCCTGTCGGGGCCAACATTCACTAAAACCTGAAGTCGAGAGCTCATTCCAATTACTCATCGGGCCCACTTTTGCATCCTTATCCGGACAAGGCACAATGAGCCGTTCGTCATCCGCTGCCATGTAGTCGACCTCAGTCCCGACGGTGTTTGCTTCCGAGGTCTCCGCGGCAGTTTCCGCAAAACGGGGCCATGACCTGGTGTTTAATCGAAGGAAGTCGACGTTGGGCTGGTTGAGGAAAGATGGCGGAGATCAGCGCAAACAGGCAGCTGTACGGCGTAGAGAAGCCGAAGCATGGTCATAAACTCAACGAACCTTCATGAAGACAGGTGCCGAAATCGCCCAGACTCTATACTCCGACTGTCAGAATGATATTAAGGTTGGTTTGGTGTACGGTCGGGACCTTGCAGCTCCGGCCTCGGTTGCCGGCGTCGGCAGATACAAATACGTTGACCTTCTCTTCACTCGCCAGATCCCTCGACCTACTCACCAACACCTCCCGTGTCCCTACGGCGCACAGGTTCCTCTACCTCACCGGTCTTATACACTCCCTCACGGTATACCATCCAGATCAACACTGCGCAACCGAGGAATTGAAATGGCATCGATATACAGGAAGCTAAGCCAGTATGCGGATCACGCCGTGAAGGAAAGACCAGAAGATGTAGTTCAATGGCCTCAGCATCTCGGAGAAGAAGCAAAGGGTGCGGTGGATGTGGAGATGTTGCGTACTGTGCGGGATGACTTGCGAAGTGGGGATGATACGGAGTCTGGCTTGTGGAAGGTAAGTCCGGGCGACCAAGTTCCCTTGGATGAGATTGGCTGACCAATTAACAGACTGTTGTAATTGCATGGGCGGCAGCGCTTTTGCTTGAGCTTTCGCAGGCGTGTGATAAGGAGGAGGTGAGTGGTGTACGGGGTGAGATATTAGAAGACTGTGTGACATTATTGAGACCACCAGCATTCTTTGGAAAAGAAAACTGGCAGACAGGTACCTCTCTACCCAGCCACAACTTGTATCCCTGCTCATTGAGTTTTATAGATGATATTGCGACGTCACTATCTCTACCATTCCGAGCCCGATCAATAGCTCTCTTACACCTCCTCTCAAAGTCAAACCTCAACACCATACCACTATATCCAGCCCACACTGCCATCGCCCTCGCAACCTACACATCCACCACTGATCCCTGGACGTCCCCTTCAGCACACTCCATAGCCCTCTCAACCCTATCATCCCACCCCAACCTCTTTGAAACAAGAGAAGTCCTGATTGATGGCATCCTGCTGGAGTTCATCAAACCCCTCTTCACCGCCCGAAAAACGCGACGAACCGAGGCTGTTTACGCAGATTCCCTCTCTGAAGACGACAGAACACCATGGTTAGTCGACCGTCCCGAGTCACTGACGATCCTAGAATGGATTGTAACACGCCCCATATCCTTTAACACTCACTACCACCTCATCGTCCCACCTATCCTCGCCCTCCTCGACGTAGCCAACCCTCGGCATAAACTCCGAGGTGTACGTGTCTTGCAAGAAATGCTGAATCGTGTTCCAAGGGATATGGTGGAGAAAACTGGGTTGGGCACAGTGTTTTGGGATGCACTTATGTTGTGTCTGACATATCTGCCCCCAATGGTGCCCGCAGATGTGTCGTTACCACTCTTGAGGGAAGCGTTTGGGGGCTTAAGGGAGTTGGCAGAGTTGCGCACGTTCAGTGTTGTGAACACGGAGGAGAAGGAGAGGAAGAGAGCGAAGGTGTTGGACGAGGTTATGAGAAGTGGTGTGCTGAAAGGGATGGTCTATGCAGGTGACCAGGTTGAGGTCGCGGAGGTGTTGATGACGGAGTTGGGGATGCTGGTGGAGGCCATGGGAATTTGGAGCGTGAAGCATCTCAATGTGTGTTGCATTGCCTTCCTCAAATCTTGTGTGTATGAACTGACTGAGAAACCGTGCAGAACGTCATTCCGACAATTCGGGACATTCTCATTCATCCATTTGCGTCGACACATCAAAAGAGTCTGCTGGCAACACTTAAAACCTTGCAGACAGTTTTGCAAGTAGGAGAGCCAAGAATAATTGGGCATCATGTCGACCTTCTCAGGGGCATATGTGTGTGTTGGCAGAATCTGGCTGACAAGAAGGAGGGACTAGAGGAGGTGAAGAGGGAGCTACGAGTCATCTCAGTGAAATTGAGAAGAGTGTGTGGAACAGTAATTGAAGGAGACATAGCGGCATTGGTGGAGGCGGATCCTGTGCTAGAGGGTTTGTTCAGGGCGTGAATGGGAGATGCATATGGAAGGTTATGATAGACATAGAGCAAAATTGGACCGCGGGGCCATGTCTGCGGCACGCACGAAAAGAAGAGAATCGGAACTACAAGGCAACGTGACTTCGCCCGTAGCAAACGCATTCCAAGCAAACAAAATGGTATATTTTCCTCTTTATCATTGCATCCTTCCCTCCTTCCCCATTCGTCTCCTCACCTAGCAATAGCTACCCCTACTGCGACCCACTAACAGCCAACTTCTTCAAATGCTCCATAAACACCTGCAAACTAACATCATCCGTAAAAATAGCCTGTCCTTGATTCGCCGGCACCCCATAACCCGAATTCTGATGCGTAGTAGTCGGATTCAACTTACTCAACAAGAAACGCGCCTGAGAACCTCCGGAATCACAGACGATGAAGCGTGGGAGTGGGAAGCGGTCGATGAGGAGGTCTGCGGCTTCGGCGCGGGGAGCTTCGAGGAGTTCTTTGAAGTTTTGGTAGCCTTCTTGGTCTTGGTAGCCGGCTTTGCGCCATTGTGCGATTGTTTCGCCGTGGAAGATGAGGATGTGGAAGAAGGTGTCCAAGAGTAGGATGACGTCTGGTTTCACACTCAAGGAATCCAGCAACACGGGCTGAGGCGGCTGATCGAAAGTGAAAGACATCAACGTAGGTTGCATCATCACCAACGAGTTATTCACATCCTCGCTGTTGAGGACATGTCTGTAAAACGCAGTCTCATCCGGCGAGTTGTTGAATACCTGCAAAAACTGCGATCGACGAAGGTGAAACATAAACTGTGGGTAAATCGAGAAATTGGGCGCGAGTCGGAAAGAGGTTGGGTCGTCCTTCCTATAATCCGCGAATTTCTGACAGAGGCGGATGAGCATCCGGTCGGTCCACCTCAACACATCAGGTCCATCGTCGATTTCGGCCTTGAAGACTGCGATGCGGGCCATGAGGACAGCAGAGGCTTCCTGATCGAACGAGGCGGCAATGGCGGGGTTTCCTCCATCCACGAAGTTACGGGCGACAGTAGTAACCCTCAACCTAAACTGTCCATTCGCATGCTGATAAAGCGTCAAATACTGGATTAACCCACGCTGAGCAGCGGCCTGCGCATTGGCAATCGCACCACCCTGCGAAACAACCTCAAAGTACGTCGCAACCGAAGTCTTGGGGGTGATACCAGACATCTTCCACGCACAAGTTCCACCAATTCCAATCTCCGTTTCCCCAACACTGCTCGATTTCTCCGCAAGACTAACCGCATGCCCAATCAACCCCGAAATCTTCAACTCCTTCGTCGTCAATACTCTCAGCGTAGCGTTGAATCCCATCTGCAAGTATCCCTGCTGATCAGTGTTAAACACCCTCTGGAAACTCTGCTTGAAGATCGAGGTGGTGAAAGCATCAGTCAAGATCAGGTGTCCACCAGTCGTGTTCGCCAGGGATTTCATCTCCTGCATACCAATCTGATCCAAGCATCCCGCAAAGATATCTACGACGTGTCCGTTATTCGCCGCGCGCTTGGCGAGTGCTTCGTAGTACTTGTTCGCCTTCTTGTAGTACTTGGCATTATCCCTCTCGATATCGTGGTGCGAACGAATGGGCTCCTTCAACTCGGGACCAACGACCATACCCGGACCCTCCGTCGCAGGACCACCGGAGAACAACATAATCCTGGCACCAGCATTGGGAAACGCAGTCTCCATCAATCCAACGGCAACGCTCAAAGCAACTCCAGTACACCTCAACGGACGCCTATCGTTCGCGACGGGCCATGGGTCCTTGGGCAAGTTCTCGAGGATAGAAGTCAACTGAAACTCGCACTGCTGAACGGGCAATAAGAACCTAGCCGCCGTGCCCGAGGGACGGACAGGTTGAGGACCAGGACCGGTTGGACGCAATCCCTGTGCGAGAAGTCCGAGCATTTCCTGGACTTGCTTTGCCTGGTACTCCTTTGATCCACGGAACACGTACGACTTGGGACACTCTCCGTATCCGAGTTCGTGGACTTGGACCATGGTGCCGTAGGTGATCAACCCGACGAGGGAGGTGGGTGGGAGGAGTGAGAGGGAAACGATGAGGGATTCCTTGAGTGCGGCGAGGTTGTCTTCGTCCTGGCAGGTGTCGACGACGAAGACGAAGATTGGGGGGACCTGCGCTGGGCGGGGGAGGGTGTATTCGATGGTAGTGAAGCGGGGGAGGAGCTCCATGGGGAGAGAGTTTGGTGAGATGTCTTTGTAGTGAGGTGGGAGCTGGTTGCGATTCAAACAGAATGGGCCTGCGACGTCAGTTAGCCTTTCATCCCATTGTACACATGTCCACGCGACAACATACAAATCCACAACTTTGCCCGCAAGTCGACTTGACAGTACGGGTTCAAGACCGCCCTACACGGCGCCTTACAGCTCACCGGTTCGTACATAACCGGCGGCAGATCAGGTCTCTCCTTGATCGGGGTGTACAGCGACGCGATGGGTACCACGGTCCTAGAGGACTCGAGACGGGTGTTTGGCCAGGTATTCCAGGAGAAGCGGATACCATCCTGCTCCTCCATGTCCTCGAACGAAACCATAGGCGCTGGGGCAGCCATACTGGATCAATTGAAGCTGTTCTTTGTCGAGGAGGTGTTGGTGTATGTTCGTGTAGCTGACGGTGCGCCCGCCGTGTGCCTAGGCCCGGGCGACGTGGCCGGATTGCGTCGGCGACTCTGGGAAGCGTAGAAGGGAGGGAATGCTTTGATTTGGCTTCGTTTTATTCCGTTGATCAGATCAGAAATATATCTACTCTCTTCCATGACGATTCGGCAGTCTCTGTCTCGTGCACCGAAGACGTAACCAACGACTGCCGGTCCTCCCGCAAAAATCGAGACCATTCATATACTCCACGCTCACAGAGCCGGCCCCGTCCCCGACAAAAATCGCCCAACCTGTTCTCCTCTATCTTAAGACGACAGCCTACGGCACGCCTCGCTTCCATCTCAAGGCACTTTTCTACAACGATGGCTCCTCTCTCTGCTACTAATGGCGTCAAATCCTACGACTACCTGGTCATCGGCGGTGGATCAGGCGGTCTCGCCTCCGCTCGTCGTGCGGCTGGTATCTACGGCGCAAAAGCTGCGATCATCGAGGCTTCTGGTGTGATGGGTGGTACTTGTGTCAACGTCGGATGTGTGCCCAAGAAGGTTATGTGGTATTGCTCCGACGTCGCCGACACCGTCCGCGAGGCCCGTGAGTACGGTTTCGAGAACGTCAACGGCGAGGCTGTCTTCAACTGGACCAAGATCAAGGAGAAGCGTGATGCGTACATCAAGCGCCTCAACGGCATCTACGAGAAGAACCTCCAGAAGGACGACGTCGACTACGTTTTCGGCCGCGCCAAGTTCATCTCTAAGGATACCGTCGAAGTCGACCTCCTCGATGGTGGAAAGGAGCAGTACACCGCCAAGCACATCCTCGTCGCCGTCGGTGGACACCCAAACATCCCCAAACTCCCCGGCGCAGAGCACGGAATCGACTCTGACGGTTTCTTCCGCCTGACTGAACAACCCAAGCGTGTCGCCATCGTCGGAGCAGGCTACATCGCCATCGAGTTCGGAGGCATGTTCAATGGCCTCGGATCCGACGTCACGATCGTCTACCGCGGTAAATCCATCCTCCGCGGTTTCGACCCCATGGTCACCGAGACCATCGCAGACGAGTACAAGAAGCGCGGAATTAACATGCACGCCGAATCAATCCCCAAGCAAGTCACCAAGAACGATGACGGATCCCTCACCCTCGAATTGGAGTCCGGCGAGAAGATAACCGTCGACTGCCTCATCTGGGCCACCGGTCGCGTCCCCGACACTCCTTCTTTGGGCTTGGACACCGCAGGCATCAAGTCCGACGGAAAGAAGGGCTACATCGTCGTCGACGACTACCAAAACACCAACGTCGAAGGCGTCTACGCCCTCGGCGACGTCTGCGGAAAAATGGAACTCACCCCCGTCGCCATCGCCGCCGGCCGCCGCCTCGCAGAACGTATCTTCGGCGGCGAAAAGTTCAAGGAGGCAAAGCTCGATTACACCAATATCCCCTCCGTCGTCTTCGCGCACCCCGAGGTTGGGTCTATTGGCCTCACCCAGCCCGAAGCCGAGGAGAAATACGGTAAGGATAACATCAAGGTTTACACCTCCTCCTTCACCGCAATGTACTACGCCATGCTCGAGAAGAAGGGTCCGACAAAGTACAAGATTGTGTGTGCGGGGCCTGAGGAGAAGGTCGTTGGGCTTCATATCGTAGGGTTGGGATCTGCGGAGATTTTGCAGGGATTCGGGGTTGCGATTAAGATGGGCGCTACGAAGAAGGATTTCGATGCTTGTGTTGCGATTCATCCTACGAGTGCTGAGGAGCTGGTTACCATGCGTTAAGGGTATATTCATAGAGGATGGCGTACGGTATGATAGAGTTTGTACGATGTGATGAGTAGTAATGGAACGATTGATTGCACACAAATATGGATTACCTAGTAAAATGGCTGAGGTATAGCAAAGAAGTATCCAGTAAAAAACCTAACTCCAGTAAATCGTAGATTATATCTTCTCACGCATCGTCTCGGATTTCATCCCTCCCCTACTCAGGATATTTCCTCAAATCAAGCGTCAACGGCTTCGAACTATTCTCATCCTGGTCCCTGTAGATACCAACCAAAGCCTCACTCTGATGGAACAAACCATTCTTTAACGAGATAACAATGAACTGGAACCCAGGTCCCGCATGCTCACGGATATAATTCGCAACATGAGCGACATTGGTATTATCCAACGCCGCATCAACCTCATCCAACACGAAGAACGGACTAGGCTGATAAGAGTGAATCGCAAACAACAACGCAAGCGCCGCCATCGTCTTCTCACCTCCAGATAACTGCTCCATATCACGGAACCGCTTCATGGGTGGCATAGCATGATACTTGACACCATCCAAATACGGCTCCTCGGAATCCTCGAGTGAGAGATATGCGGTACCACCAAGAGGGAATGCCTTACTCTTCGTGAGATCTTTGTAGATCTTGTCGATTTGTTCGGCGATGTGGGTGTAGGCGCGGTTAAAGAGATCGTAACGCTTTTGTTTGACGGCACTGAATTTGTCGCGGGCGTTTTTTGCTTCTCTACGGGCTTTGTCGAATTCCTGTTCGGTGTCTTGGAGGCGGTTTTCGACACCCTCAAGGCGCTCGATGGCTTTCATGTTGGGTGACATGCGCTCGAGCTCGGCTGTGATGTTCTTGATTGTGTCGAGCAAGTCCGCTTCGGCTGAGGAAGACCCATCCTCCTTCAAGTCATCGTCGAGTTCGTCAAAGTCAAACTCTAGTCCATAATCGGGGATCTCAGTCCTGACACGAGCAGACTCGCCTTCATCATCGAGTTCCATGACATCCTGCCTCAACTGCTCCTCCATCGGAACGTCATCCAAAGAACCAGCAAGGAGAGGGATATCAATCTCCTCAACCTTGCATCTCTTCAGCAGGTTGTGACGTTCAGCCGCGATCCTCTCAACTTTGGCCACGAGAGTAGTAACAGTTCGGGCAATTTTGTCAAGCTCCTTGTTCCACTTGGCCACTGCACGCTTAGCCTCAGAAACGGCCTCATTCCTCTGCTCAAGATCAGCCTTCCTGTTCGTGTGGGCCTCACGCAGAAGCTCAAGCTCCGCAGACAACGTATCAATCTCAGTCTGGAACTCAGTCTTCTCCGCCTGGAGTTGCTCAAGCAACTGCTCATCCCTAGCGATGGATGCCTCAAGGTTCTCAATACGCGCAGTGGTCTCAGCCAACCTCTTCTCCTCGAAGGACAGTTGATTCTCGATCTTGCTCTTCTGCGTCAAGAACTTAGCACGCTTCTCCGCGGCCTCCTGAGCCCACATTCCCTGGCGCTCCTCATACTGACGGATGTTGCGTACACCGATTCTCTGGACAAAATCGGCAAAGACCTCATCCTCAACCTCATTGAACGCGGCTTGCAGCTCAGCCAAACGACTCTCAACGTCCTCAAGCGCCGCCTCTTCCTCCTGGAGCTTAGGCTGCAACTCTTGAATCTGACCAGCAATATGCTCAATTTCCTCCTTCTTGCTCTCAACAGACCTAGACGTCGCACTCAGCTTCTCCCTGGCAGTAGTCAACTGTCCCTCAATCCGATTAATCTCAGCCATCAACCCCTCCTCCTCCCCACCCCTCCAGCTATTCGCCTGAATCTCCTTGATCTGCGCCATAAGGGTATCACGCACACGTTTCAAACCCTCGACCTCCTGCTCCTCCCACCTCTTTGACGCAGATCCAACACCGGCACGTCCACCAGTGATCAAACCACTCTTGTGAATCACGGTGCCATCGAGCGCGACAGCCTTCACTTCCTTGCCCATATCGTAGCAGATGTCCCGAGCGACCTTTAAATCGTCACAAACGACGGCGTTACCGCAGGCATACTGCATAGCACGCTCGAGGCTCGACTCATATTGAACCACATCGATCGCCATCCTCGCACCCTTATGGATACCACGGAGGTTGGCATCAACAGGCTTTACCTGGATTGTGTCAAGCGGCAAGAACGTCGCCTGGCCCGCACGCTGGTCACGAAGATACTCGATACAGTCCTTGGCAACCTTCTCCGTATCAACGACGACCGCATCGATGTTACGTCCAAGAACGACGGAGACTGCAGTATCGTACTTTCGTTGACTAGGCTTACACAAATCCGTGATACGACCGCGCACACCAGGGAAGATTCTCTGTAACGCAGCCAATGTCTCACGGAACTTCGCCTCGCGCTCACTCTCCCTCGTACTCGCGTTCGCCTCGAGGAGTTTGTTCAACGTTTGCTGCAGCTTCTCGTTCAACTCAGTCTCGGTCTGCGCAGTACGCAGTCTCTCGCTCTGAGCATGTTCGTGCTCCCGCTTCTTGTCGTCGAGGTCTTGCAAGAGCTGGGCAACCTCGGCATCCAACTCCCTCTTCTTGTCTTTAGCATCCGATCTCTCTTCCTGCAAGCGAGACCTCTGCTGCTCAAGTGCCTCGAGCTTGTCACGGAGGCTACGGACAGCCTCGCCATCAGTCTTTGCCTGGCGCGCTGCGGAGTCGAGCTTGATCTTGTCTCCTGCCGCGCGGCGGTTGACCTCCTCCTTCAAGCGGCGATACTCGGCCAAGTCATCCTCGCTAAGAGTCTGACCAGCCTCTCTTGCGGCCTTCCTCTGTTCCTGCTCAAACTTCTTCTCCGCCTTCTCGACCGTATCCAACTGCTTCCTCAAATCATCAACCTGCTTGCTCTGACGATCCTGATCTTTCCTCACTTCCGCGATTTTGTTGTGGAACTTCTTGACGTTCTTTGTCGCTATATTGATCTTCTCATCAACTCCGAGCAACCCAGGCTGAATATCCTCAACTTGCTTCTCCTTCTTCTTGATTCCGCGTTCCTGCTTCAGGATGTCCTTCTGCACCTTCGCGTGATCCTTCCTGGCCGCCTCAAGTCCCTTCTCCGCCCTCTCCTGCTCCTTCTTCAGCCTATTCCTCTCTTCGCCGACCCTGTCAATCTCAGCACGGCTCTCCTCAATGCCCTTTTCATAGTGAAACAACTTCCACATGACGTGGTTCACGATAGCTTGGTCTTTCTCGGCCTCCTTCTGGGTGAACTCCTCTGCTTCGCGCTTCTGTTCGGTGTACTGCTTGATCTCGGCGTTGATACCGCGCTTTTTGTGGAAGTTGTGTGTGGAAGCCTCAACAGCCTTCTCCTGTTCCGCCTTCAAACGCTCGTAGTGCGCTTTCAGCTCGAGCGATCCGGAGATTTGCTCGATGAGCTTGGTGAGGTCCTTCGGTGATTGCGACGCAATAGCTTCGACATCTCCCTGGAACACCAAGAAATTTCTCGCCTTGATCAACACATTCTGCTCTTCCAGTCTTCTATTGTACTGGGATGCAGTGACTGTGCTTCCGTCAATTCTGTATTCACTCGTTCCTTGTGGCGTGATAGTGCGCTTGAACTTGATTTCCTTTCCATCATCATCTTCGTATACTGCCATGACCCATGCTTTCCTAGGTTTGTTGTCGTCGTCGTCGTCGCTGCCCTCCCCTTCCTGCTCAGCTTCCTCTTCGCCGGCCATGGTGCGGCCACGGTAGATAAGGTCCTTTAGATGGGAGGAACGAAGATGCGAAGATTTGATACCGAGGACGAAGGAGATGGCGTCCATGAGGTTGGATTTACCTATTCGCGTATGTCAGAAAGAGCCTCAGCGCAATCACTGGTGAAAGACATACCAGCTCCATTGGGCCCGATAATAGATGTGAAATCGTGGAATGGCCCAATCGTCTGGTGTCCCTTATAGGACTTGAAGTTCAACAACTCTATCTGAATGAGGCGACCCATGGAGAAGTATTGAAGTCGCGAAGGGCGAGACCGAGTAAAGGCGGAGAAAGAACGGGTCGCGCGGGGTCAGAACCGAGGATGAGGAGTGTTCGTACGGGCCGTCTGGGTATACTGCGTACCCTTCCTTGACCTCTCTGTTTGCTTCGCGGTGGATGCGGTTGGGTGCAGGTCGACGCGTTTACGCGGTCGCAATTACGCCGCAGCTGGGGACGCCGGTAATATGACCCGCAGTCAAGACCAGCTTCATGAGCCTGAGGATAGCATTTCAAAGCAGTAAAAGTTTCTCAATGATGAAGCTCAATGTCCAGAGCTTGGCCGGCTTCATGAAACGACTCCGACGGTCCTGCAAGAAAAAGCCAAAAACGAATCCCTCGAACCGGAGTCGAGCCGGTGACCTTCGCTTGACGATGTTACCATTACAGAGCGACGTGATGAACCAACTACACCATCGAGGGTTAAGTGATAGAAATATTCCGTTGATGAAAAATAATCCCAATGAAAACTAGGGACCTTGAAACGCTTGTTACCCACGGCTAAGGAGCTGCTCGCCGAGCTGTAATTCAAGCACGGAAAGGTCCCGTGCTCTGTCACATGAGATCAATCCAACCGAGAGTTTAACAGGCTGCTGCTTCGTGTCTCGACCTTTTGTCAGTCACCCTGTGCTTGTTCAAAGTAGAAGACCATCGCTCCAGTACTGTCCACCGACGGTGTAACTACACTTACCAGCATGAGAAGACATGCTCCTTCAGGAAACATATGAATACAATTAGAAGTATCTATTGCTTGCATTCTGCCGAGGTCTGTGGCAACTGCCGAACGGTCCGGTGCGGCGCTCAGGCCTCCTTCTGACAGCTCACAACTGCAGCTAAAATGAAACTTTCTTTCCAACGGGCCGGGGCATCTCATAGAAATCGATAAACATCGCAAGTTTTGCCACCTGCAGCAAAAATAAAAGACATGCCTATGTCCTCGACGGCTGACGACTGTCCGGATCTCGATGTCGTTTACCGCAGCTGACGACGCCGGCGTGAGAACCTTGGCCGTCGAATCAGAGGATATAACCTCGTTCTTCAACGACGACATGGATTGTGCCGGTTATGCAGATGAAGTCTTTGAGACCCTCAACTGGGAGCAACACTACATCATCGCCAGTACAGAGGACCTCTGTCCAGATGTCGATATGCGGCTGGGCACGAGGGTAAATCCTATCGAGATCAGGGACGACAATGACAATGCAGACACCACCGACATTGATAATGCCGAGCTCCGTCAACCGAGTCAGAAAAGCAAATTTTTGACAGATCCTACCGAGATCACCAAACTTGTGGCAAATCCCCTCGCGATCACCAGAATCTGGGCACCTCCTATCAAGATCAGCAACGACAAGGAGCGTGCAGAAACCAAGAAGACCAACGCTGCCAAAACCAGTCAGCGGGACGAGAGAGTCGAACGATTTGAAGACGCCTTGCCTTTCGTCTTCGCGCTGGCCTGGTTACGCTTTAAATACGGAAACCTGGACGAGGAAGCACTCGAGGAGGCGAGAGAGGCCGCAAACGATGAGAGAGTGCCCGTCGAATGGCGAGAAGTGGCATACCTCAAAGGAAAGGTTGTTTCGTATTATGCCTTGCGCCACGAAAGCGGTTTACCGGATGGTTGGTACGATGCTATGGTGCGGGAATCGGAACAATACTCCCAAAATACTCTTCATATACCCTCTTCTGACGATTACGCCATCTACCAGCATCAACTAACCATGTACAAGCGCAATATTCTCGAGGCGCAATTGAAAGAAGTAACTCTGAAATATGGCAAACTCGATGACGAGGGCATAGAATTGGCAGAAGCAATAATGAAACGCACGGACTTGGTTTATCATCGGAGACGCATCATATATCTGCGACGCATGATCTTGTTCCACACTCACATGGACATTGAGGAATTCAACTACGGGTATGGGGACCACCCGTTCACTATTGTCGACGGAAAGCCGGTTTGCATTTGTTATACCGATCAGGGGGATGATGTTGACATGGAGGAGGCACAAGAGGAGCAGGAGCTGGAGCAGGAGCACGAGGACGAGCAAGAGCCTCAGGAAGAGGAGGCAGGCGAAGGGGATGGACAAACGCAAGAAGAGCAAGAAACTGACCTCATGATCTCGAACCCAGCACTGTACTTCGCGCTATATGCCGAAGCACACGAGCATGAACCTCTGACGCCAGAGTCAATGTCATGATCGGGATTGGGCGTGGATGGGAGGAATGTGAACAGACGTCCGATACGCCTGTTTCTCCGAAAAATTTACGAACTGCCTACACCCAGTCTAGCACAGCCTTCTCACATTCAGCATCATCGTATTATTTCAAGTCAGGCGCCGGCGCCGACACAGCATTCTCACACAGCAAAATCTATTTTCAGCATCATTGACAGCATAATCCAAGTTTTGATTCGACAGGGTTCGGAAAGGGAAAGGTGATAAGGCAGGCTCGAATGGAGGATGGTATGGAGAGTGACAGACCGGGGAGAATGAAGGATCCGGGGCTGGCGATAGGAGGTGAAATACAGAGCAGAAAATCGGGGATTATAGACCGTGATCGTAGTCGACTATGGCTAGGCATCAACAATAAAGTCGGTAGCAAACAGGAATATAAGGTGGTTCCGGAGACACGCTCTCAAGGTGTACACGTCTCCCGCAAGACATGCAAGACCTAACCTATCGTGAGAAAAGCTCCTGGTATTCTGAGTAGTATGTCATATTGTATGACACTGCTTGGCCACCAACATCCGGTTTCGTGGCGCAATTGGCTAGCGCGTTCGACTGTTAATCGAGAGGTTGTGAGTTCAAGCCTCACCGAGACCGTCTTTTGCCCCTTCTGTGAATGCCTGGGACATGCTTTTGCGTGCCAGGACTAATGCTTCATCATCTGTTGTCATAGACAGACGGGTGAGCTGGGTAGAAGAGATGAAGGCTACATACGGCGGCGGTCTGTGGAGATCGACGGTCAACCTGCAACGGGCGATCTACCGAGCATGTACATTGGAACGGTGGTTCCGGTTGAGACAAGGGTCTTGATTTGACAGTGATTGTTCTCTTCGATCGCAGTGAAAGTGTACAGGGACATACGAGAGTCAGGATGCAGGCAGAACCTCGAAGAAGGATGTGACAGAGAGCAGGAATAAGGAAGGACGCAGTAACAGACAAACGTATATTGAAAAGCAGTAGCTAGTCGTACACATGAGGAAGATGTAAGGATCAAACACGCGAAAAGACCTACGAACACAGTTAGCACCTATGCTCAAACGACCAACGTCAGACGTCCGACTTGACGAGACGAAACAGCGCTCATGCAAACGACAAAAAGATCAGAGACTTAAATGAGTATATCTTCCATGATTCTCGAGAGAGGTCAAGAAAAGTTTGCAGATTTGTTTCATCTTCTCGTGTCGTGGGGTGCGGCTGATCCAAGACCGAGAATCCAGGATCGGGATAACCACATTGCGCAAAGCGGTGCTCGTCTCGTCGAGCCGAACAGCAGGGTACTTTACTAACCTGAAGGATGAAGGATACTGAGAATTGTCGCAATTGTCACCAGTCGCTAGTTCGTGTGGGTTGGGCTTTGACGGTGTTGGTCGAACTTTGCGAACGTCGCACCGAACATTTGAGCAAGAGCCTGGGAAGATTTTCGGATCACCTGATCTGTGCTGGGACAGAGGCCATAGACATCGTATTTATTTCTGCAACTATCAATGGTTTCGTGGCGCAATTGGCTAGCGCGTTCGACTGTTAATCGAGAGGTTGTGAGTTCAAGCCTCACCGAGACCGCTTTTACTTCCTTCGACACTCTTGCAGGATCGCAGGAGACAATACCTCTTCCCGTTCCTTTTGCTCTACTTTCCTCGGGGCGTACGTAGCTAGCGGGTTTGATGAGCTCGATGATTGAAACTTCCATGATGAATTCGCGCCGTAACGTTAACCTACAACCAAACACTTACGCTTGCGAAACTTAAGCTTCAACGAAACAGTAACATAAAGAAACAAAATCGCCCGTGACTAAATTGCTATATCGTCCTTTGTCATGATAACCTCATGCCGTGTTCTCATCCCCAATTCCCTGCCATTCTTGTCCTTTTATTCCTCCTTAGCCGTCATTCCTGATACTCCCATCAATGATACGTTATCCCAATAATCATTCCCTGCCCTTCTTCCAGAACGTCAACTTCTGTTTCCATTTCTTCTCTCCAGTGCTAGTTCCCTCCTCCTTTGGACTCGAGCTATCAGTTCTTGCGAAATTGGGTGTTGACACAGCATGTCTCAAACTCGAGGAATTGCTACCACCTGAGCTAGAACCTGGTGGGGCCAGAGCTTGTGAAGGGGGAGTAGTCCGTCCATTCGTACCTGGAGAAACGACAGAGACGGGAACTTGAGGCATGGCCGTGGTCGGCAGTGGCTTTGGTGGCGGAATAGGCTTCTCCTCAAGACTCGAGGCTCGGGAGCTCCCCCGTGCGACAGTCACGACCGCAGCAGGTGGGCTCATCGCCGGTGGTGCAGGCTGCGGAACATGCTGGGCTGGTGGTGGTGGCGACTGTACTGGAGCACCAAGTGGTATAGGCAACGTCATTGGTGAGGGCTGCATACCACCCGCAACGGCCCAAGTCTCCCTGTTTCTTACCATCCTCTCCACATAGTATCCCATACTCGGCAACACACCCGCCACAGTCCTGAACAGCGGCAAAGCAAACAAGTCAATGAAACCAACCTGTCCCTTACTCTGCGCCTGGACATTCGTCGCAGGTGGTGGTACAGCGGGTGGCAGACCCAACTTCTGCTCCGTCTGAGATTGCGCAGCAAACTCATCGATGAGGGCTCTTGACCATTCAAGAGACAGCTCGTAAGGCCTTGCGACGTTGGAGATATCAGCGCACTTTAGGAGTGCAGCACAAATCAAACCACGGCGCTTTGCTCCTTCCGCATCCGTACCCAATCCGGGCGTCGAAAGCTGATTAATCCGGCCGACATAATCGAAATGCAATGCCATATCAGTACTCAACACCGCCTCGAAAATCCTGATCCGAATCTCAGGCACCAAAACCTCCATCCAATGCCTCCTCAAGAACTCCCTCAACGCACAACAGTGGAAGTTTTCCAGCACCGAACGGTCATTGTAGAGTAACGCGATTGGTGCACAAGCGTTGATCAAGAAGTTGTTGTTCAACCCAGGGTGTCCAAGATCATGTCCAATCGCCGCAATACACAACGCCAGCACGTCACAATGCGTCAACTCGACGACTGGCTCACCCATTCCACCCCTTGCCTCCCACTCCGAGTTTGGATCCTGTTCGTAGCCCGAGATATCCCCAATCCATCCCGCGTTCCGTGCGAAATGGAAGACTCCTTGTAACACATCGACCGCATGCGTCCAGTTATGGTACGCATTTCCCTCCCAGTATCCGCGTTCCACATTCCTAACAAACGTCCACAGCCGTTCACTGCCGATCCGGTATCTTTGACATCCCTCCAAGTTCATCACATGCTCCAAAATCAAGAACGCAGTCACGCTCAACCCATCCGCATCCAAACTCAGCGCCGGAAAGTCCCAGCTATGCAGCAGCGACTTATGACGAGGCATTAAGTCGTGGATAGCGTCCAAATCCCGCTTAAGATTGACCTCTGGATGGGACTTGTGAGGCGTGTATTTGTCGATCATGAACTCGAACTCCTTGGATGGCGTACCCGGACCGGCACCCAACCAAACCTGCTGGTGTTTACCGAGCGCAACCTTGGCAGCTGCTTCTCTGTCCGCAACATCCACGCCTCCTTCTCTCAGTCCTTCGAATTCTTCAGCAGCATACATTGCCTGTAGACGTGCCAAACTATGCTTGTATGACCGAAGTGCCGCAAGGGTAAAAGTTGGTCCGAGAGTAACGATATGAACGAGGGCGTTTCTTGGTACTGCGTTTGCGATGGGGGATGTTGGGGTGAATCCAGAGTCTCTGGGTGACGACGACTCTTCTGGTGGTAGGAGAATTAGTAGCGAAGGCTGTTCGAGGTTGGACTGGTAGAGCTCCGCTGGGATGTTACTGAGGATTTGAACTGTAAACCAAGCTGTTAGCAACAAATTCGTCTAGTGCATCATGTGCTTCGGAGAATATGGCGGTGTCCTCGGGCATGTATGCGCACAAAACGCGTCGATACGGCCCGATCCACCAAGGCCGACTCCTCCTCTACCTTGACTCACCTGAATCAAACTCAATTTCAATCAGATATCGCGCCACTCTGTACGCAACCGTCCGCTGCTCCTCATCCTCCCTACCCTCCAAACGCGAACTCGCCATATCTGACGGCGCCCTCCCCGTGTGGTTTTTGTGCAACAACTCCACCTTCGTCTCCAACGTCGCCGTCGCGTCGACGATGTATGCTGAGTAGAGCATTCCGGTCATGGTTGGTTATGACGCGAATCCACGTAACGTAACGTAACGTAACGCAGCTGCTGTCGGACGGTTGACGAGCTAAGTAGATCGATCAGGTCTGGGCTGGTTTGGCGCAGTTGCTGTTCGAGTCCCTGCTCTACGTACTTTGACTTCGGTTCCGCTCTCGACGTTCGCGGGTCTCGATGCGTGCTCGTGTTAGCTTCACGTTAGTTGAAGGTGCAAGCGCTGTTGGTTCGACTTAGACCAGCAAATCGTAACACGCCTCGGATACGTGGCCGATATTGTCGAGCGGTGGGGTTCTGTAGTTGCTGTCCTTTGGGAGGTCGATCACGTCTTCACCCGTCGGGGTCGTCGTACGTCGTTGGAGGGGCTCGAGGGCAGGCGCGGCTCGTCGTCACAAAAGGGCGCCTGTATCTATCTGTCTCATTCTGTTTGATACTGCTTTTGCAAACACAACAAGTCGGTTTCGTGGCGCAATTGGCTAGCGCGTTCGACTGTTAATCGAGAGGTTGTGAGTTCAAGCCTCACCGAGACCGCTCTTTTTTTTCACCTCACGCCGTCGGTTTCCCACGCGTCAACAGAGGTTGTCAATAGCACTTCCACCGATAAATGCGTGGGCTGTGCTTGCCCTACGGGTAACCAACGCATGGCCTCATATGTGAGCGGATAGAGTGCTTCCCAAGTGACGTTCTCACTTATCTACTCCGTGGTTAACGATGCATGAAGCATGGCCTGAGACAATAGACGTCAACAACATCCCATCGCGGGCTGCACGATCAGCCCATATACAGTTAACATATATGTATAAAGATAAGTGGCCTATTGAACGTATCCGCGTGAGGACCGAGGATAACGCAGGCAACAAGATACAGGTATTCCATTCCTGTTCCCACGCTGCATGCATGGCTATCTCGTACGACCTCTTTGCTGTGGTTAAGGCAGACTACAGATGTGTTATTCCGCATCGTTTGAGAGGACCTTTCATTGTGAGTTGCTAAATGAAACTGCTTGCTAAGTATCGGTATATCCTACCTATAATATCGTTCACCATAACGAAAATGCAAATCCGTCTTTCAATCCATATCCTCTCAATTACAAAGCCAAAGCATCCACCTTCCATCCTACTTCCAGCGACACCATAAAGTCCAGTAGATGGCACTCAACACTCCTCCATCCCTCCTTCGCATCTAATAGTATCCTCTCCCCTTCGCCTGAGCCTGCGCCGCCGCCTGCGCCTGCAGCTGCTGCTGATACTGCGCATACGCCGCCGCACCCATACTGCTCATACTCCCCTGTCCTCCCACAGCAACACCCGCACCCGCCATCTGCGCCTGCTGAGCCTGAGCCGCCGCCTGCGCCTGAGCCTGAGCAGCCTGCTGCGCAGCCAACTGCGCCTGCTGCTGCGGCATCGTAATCTCCGCAAACCACGGATGCCTCAACGCGCTCTTCGCGTCAATTCTCTGGTTTGGTGGGAGCATTAGCATGCGCTTCATCAAATCCATTCCTAGGGCGTCACAGCGGGTTACAATGCCCGAGAGATCTCCGACACCGGGACAGTTACCCCAGGTCTTGCGGCCGTCTTTGTTCCATTCCGGGAGTTGGGAGACGCCGGGCCAGGATTGTTCGGTTGGGGTGCCCAGTACGCGGAAGATTTTGAGGAGTTGGTCTTCGTTTGTGGTGCCGGGGAATAGTGGTCTGCCCATGTACATTTCTGCCATGATGCAGCCGCAACTCCAGAGGTCGATACTGGTGCTGTAGTTTCTGCTTCCGAGAAGGACGTCGGGGGCACGGTACCACAATGTCACGACTTCGTTGGAGAAGGTGTTGACGGGGATACCGAATGCACGGGCCAAACCGAAATCTGCGAGTTTGAGTGCGCCGGAGGAGTTGATGAGGAGGTTCTGAGGTTTCAGGTCTCGGTGCAAGACGCGGTTCTCGTGACAATGCGCAAGACCGAGCAGAAGCTGGTACATGAAGCTCTTGATCGTCTGCGACGGCAATTGTCCTGTTCAGCACATGTTAGCAGAGTCTTAGAAACTTACCACCATGTCACCGAACCATTTTTGCCGACAACATCCATATATTTCTTCAAATCCCTCTCCATAAACTCAAACACAAGCATCAACTTATTCTCCGTGTGAATCACATCATACAAGCTCACGATATTATCATGCTTCAACTCTTTCATCAACGAGATCTCTCTGATTGCGGTACTGGGTGTTCCTTCCTCCGAATCGAGGTGTATTTCTTTCAGGGCGACGAGTTCGCCGGTGCGCAGGTTGCGGCCTTTGTAGACTGTTGCGTAGGTTCCTTCACCCAACTTTTCCAACTGCTGGAATTGAGAGGACATCTTGCAAGAATAGTTATAGATAGACGATGGTGGACGCGAGAGAGGCGGAGAAGGCGGTAGAGTACTGAGATAAGATGGCTCGAGCACGAATGGACTTGGTGGTGTGCTTTCAACGACGGACGACGCGGGCGACTCTGGCTGTAGCGGTTCGGGGCTTTCGTAGATAGGGTATTCAAACGGCGATACTTGCGGCTGCAATGCTGCCCCTACCCTACAATTGAGGGATGTATGCTCAACGGGTTGGTTGTTTGGTGTCGTACGCGTTCGGTCCGGGCACAGACTTTGGACCTGCACGCACGATTTCGGCTAAGTCCCCATAACGGACGTACGAATCGATTCGATACGATACAGTACGGGTAAGCAGGTAAGCGAACGACACCTCAGTACGAACAGACGGGACACACCGCGACGACGGTTACCATCAGCCAGCATTCCCTTCCCTTTCTTGGTCCCCACATCGACGTCATCCACAATCCTCCTCGTCTCTAGGACCATGGCTCCATCAATCCCAGGCGCATGGGAGAGCGAATCAGGATCACCCATACGAGAGAGATCATCTCCAATTGCAACTGTACACAGTCGCGAGCTGAGCTCCACCATGGTGGACACTGATACCTATGTGTTGGAGTACCTGGACGAGAATTTTCGGAGTGTTGAGGGTTTGAAGGCCGTCAATGAGTTGTTGGATACTTTACAGACACAGCAGAAGGCGTTAGGTGAACAGGTATTCTTGTCGATGGAACTATCCGCCTCAATGAGACTTACTGACAACTGTACAGATCCTTGAAGCTAAAACACGGATGGACACAACTCAAGCGGAATCTGCTTCTCATGCTCGTTCTATACTTGAAGAGGTTGATGAATTGAGCGCAAAGAGAGCAGAGTATGAGATGCACAGGGCAAGGTCCGAGGAGTGGAGTGGCTCCTTGGGGAGGCTACGGGAGTTGGACGGGTCATTGAGGGATCTGGATGTTGCATATGGATACGCGAGTATCCTAGCAAAGGTCAAATCACTCAGGTATGCCTGTCAATTACTACTAAGCCGCCATACGCATGACTAACTTGCAATGGTACAGTATCGAAGCATCCTCTCTCATCACAACCGACCCCCGTGCAGCCCTAATCCCTTACGCGTCCCTTCGCACCCTCGCCAAATCTCTCCGCACCAAAAACATTGACGCAGACTCCTCCGCAATCCATCTCATTGAATACGTCGATCTGAGTTCTGACGCGTTGTGGGAGGAGATGAAGAGGAAGTTAAGTGAGGGGTTCAAGGGAGCGTTGGAGGATTTGGGTTGGCCAACGATTGTGGCAAAGAGTATGGAGGGATATGAGGAGAAGATTGCAGCATTTAGGATTGGATTTGAGAAGTTGCTGGTGTTGGAGCAGCCGTACGTGACACCCTACTCGTTGACAAACTCTTTGCTAATAACACATACAGTGACGCCAACGGTAATGACACATCGTCACAATCAGGACCTCTACTGGCGTTTTCCGTCCTGACTGAACCACTCGACCTCCGGTTTCGCTACCACTTCCAATCAAACCGAACCACGAACCGGCCCGACCGCCCAGAATGGTTCTTCACCCATCTCCTCACCCTCTTCGAAGACCATTCCGCCTTCATAAACACAGTCATCCAGCCCATCCTTGCCTCCACCGGTCTCGGCCAACGCATTGCGATGAACGAACTTATAACAGCGATGTTGCCTACGGCCGAGAGAAAGTTGAAGCTGTTATTGGTTGAGATTGAGGGGCATGCAAAGGTGTGGAGTCATCTTGTGCATGAAACGCTGAGGTTTGATGATGCAGTGAGGGAGAGGTGGATGTATGTACCTTTTGGACAGGAAAGGTGGAATGGAACGGTGGAAACCATCATCGGAACTCCAGCTTTGTTCGAGAAGTGGTTGAGTATCGAAGGTGAATTCGATTTGATGAGGTACCATGAGATTCTTGCCTCGCCGGATGCGTGGCAGTTGGAGTTTGAGGGTATTGACCCTGCAGTAACTAAACCGACAAAATCTGCGTTGAGATTGAAGGATATGTTGGATACAATTCTAACACGCTTCGCTCCCCTTCCCCGGTTCGATCATCGGGTAAACTTTTTTCTCGACGTACAACTTGCAATCTTGGAAGGATATTTGGATCGGCTGAATGGGATTTGCGATGCATTTGAGACATTGAGTTCGAGTATCATCAGAGCTGTTCCAGGTGTGCACCGTGATGAGGCTCGGACTACCATGGGTGTGGGTGGGTTGGAGAGACTTTGTCGCGCGTATGGGAGTGCCGTGTTCTTGGAGGAGACGATGAGAGAGTGGTCAGAGGATGTCTTCTTCGTTGAGTTATGGCAGGATTTGGCAGATGCTGCCTCAGACACGAGCAGCGATGAACCAATCGTTGGGAGTATGGGGGTGGAACAGATTGCAGGGAGGACGTCGCGTGTCCTTGTCACAGATCCGGAGAGTGGGACGCTCTTTGACGAGACCATGGAGGCTTATCAGACGTTGAGGGTAAGAGCCGAGACATTGATTGTCCGACATCTCAGCAAGGAAATGGCAAACGAGGGCAAGACCTATGCAAGATTACAATCTTGGAGCTCCGTCAGGCCAGCCGAAACTACCACCATCTCCCCCGAATTCGCCCAACCAATCCAATCCCTGACAGCCATGCTATCCTTCCTCTCCACCACCTTTGCTTACCCAGTCTTCCTCCGCCTCTACCGCTCCTTCTCATCGGATTTTCAACACTGGATTTGGGAGCATATCGTTGAACGGAACAAGTTCTCGGAGCACGGCGGGAGACAGTTCAAGAGGGATATGGAGGGGTTGTGGCAGGCTTGTGGTGAGTTTTGTGCCAGGCCGGCAGTCAGGATGGGAAAGGTGGAGGATGCGTGTGTTGTATTGGGATTGCCTACTGCTGCGGATGGTAAGGGGGAGGTGTTGGATTTGTGGAGTGTGTTGAGGGAGTTGGATGCGGGTGGTGAGCGGGCCAATGTTGTCATGGGCAAATTGGGGTTGACGTCTGTGGATTTACATGAAGCACGGTGGTTGGTGGGGAGGAGGATCGAGGCAGTTGCGTGAGACCCGACTTTGCTTTTGGTAGTCGTAATATGACAAAAACGAGGAAAGGATCACAAAGTCCAAAGTATCGTCCAGCAATTGCTTGAGTATAGACCACAATCTCCTCCAGTTAACTAAATTCACTTTTGCCGTAAACTCAATTCCTGCGGCGCCGGTCGGCGCCGCCGAATCCGCGTCGAACTGCAGCTGCACCAACAGACGTACGTCGATCGCGAAAAGGTGGACCTTAATAACGATTCGAGTCCTCGAAAGATACCCTGATCAGAGAAGCAAAGAAAGAGCTCTAGACAACATGGCTCCATCAAAACGAATCGCCCTCGATGATATTACACCAAACAACCTCGGCACCTTCAAGAAACTCCACCAAGTAATCTTCCCAGTTCCGTACTCTGAGCAATTCTTCAAGGAGACACTCGTGATTGGGGAGCTTGCGAAGCTTGGTACGCCTTGATCCCATTCCCCTCCTTCTGTGTGCAGTGGGTTAATGTTTGTGTGGTACAGCCTACTTCAACGACATCTCCGTCGGCGCCCTCCGCCTCACCCACGATAAATCCACCCCCACAATCCTCTACATCTCAACCCTCGGCGTTCTCCCTCCCTACCGCTCCCTCTCTATCGGAACCACCATGCTAACCCACACCATGACTCAAGCCAAAGAGCTCGGATGCGAGGTTGTCGAGGCACATGTGAGTACGGAGAATGAAGTGGGTGTGAAATGGTGGGAGAAGAGGGGGTTCGAGGTTGTAGAAGTGGTGAAGGGATATTATGAGAAGAAGAAGGAGGGGGGAAGGGATGCGTGGTTGATTAGGAGGAGGGTTGAGTGAGGTATTATGGCGGTGGTGGGGGTACGATATGTGCAAGAAAATAAGAAAGAGGGAAGATATAGACCGGTGAGCATCTATAGCATCAAAATATACCCAGCACGCTCATGCGCCGTCGAGTTCTCTTATATCGCACACCTTTCATATCATGCCAACTCTTTATCCTACAACTTCGGACTCCCATCTCCCATCTTATCATTCCCAACCCTCTCCAAAACCCACCCTCCAAGCATCTCCACAACCCCTTCCCACCCCTCCTCGTTGAGCACCTCATGCGCACCCCCCGGCACGCCCACAAAACTCTTATCGCCGCCTCTCACACCCGTCGCGCCCTCCACAAACTCCCTACTCGCCTCATAATCCGTAACTAAATCCCCATCGCCATGGTACACGAGCAGAGGGATGCGTAGCTCGTGTGCACGCGAGAGAGTGGAGGGACCGAAGTGGAGCATGGTGCTGATACCGTGGAGGGTACCGGTGTCGCGCATCAAAGGGTCGGCTTGTATTTCGCGCTGTTTGGTCGGGTCGGAGGTCATGTGGCGTGGAGGGAGGTTCGTTTTCATTTGGTGGTTTGGACGGAGTTTAGCCGCGAGTGAACCGAGAGCAAGTGTTATTCCCCATGGTCGTGCGGAGGGTGCTTGTCGTAACAAAGGCGAGCTCGAGATAACGCCCTTCAGCGGACAGTGTGGGTCTTCGCCGTGTTGGATTGCGTATGCGAGGGCTAAGGCTCCGCCCATCGAGTGTCCCCATAGGAAATCCGGGCGATGGGTGTGTACCATCCATTGTATATCCCCCATCTGGACTTCACTTCCCCCTGTCACACCCCATTCCTTCTTCTCCGTCGCACTCCGCCCAAAACCTCTCGAGTCCCATGCAACCACCTCGACTCCCTTAGAGGCTAATAATTGGAAAACATGGTCATAGCGCTCGATATGTTCGGCGAAACCGTGGACGAAGAGCACACGAGCCAGGGGAGCTGGGGTGGGTGTCCAGGTTTTTGAGTAGAGGCGGTGGGAGGGGGAGGTTGGGGGTGTTAGGTAGGTTGTTGAGGTGGAGACTGTGTAGGACATCGTTCGTATACCTTTGACTATCGTTAATGCTTGTCTGGTGATGGCCAGGGTGAGTGTATGCTGTTTGTTCTTGGTCGTTTGGGGTGTATGCTGGGATGACTGCGGGGCGTTTCATGACGATGTCTGTCATCAACAAAAAAGGGCATTTTTCTACCATCAATGGTTTCGTGGCGCAATTGGCTAGCGCGTTCGACTGTTAATCGAGAGGTTGTGAGTTCAAGCCTCACCGAGACCGTTTTTTGTGGGGTTTCCTGTTGATTGACACTGTTTTTACCCTCGGAACGCTACCATACGGTACTGTTTTCATACCCGCAAGTGTTTTAATAACGGCGTGTACCCCGCGGCCGGGTAGTTATGGGCTCCTTTATGACCAGATATACCTCAATTGTTCGATTTTGATCGCCATGGCGTTCGTACCCACGTTCATCGGCTCATCTTGCCTTCCACCCCGACCTCCTCTTTAGCTGACTCTTTCAAGCTACGGCAGGTCTTCGCGGCCGGTCTCTAGCCGTCCATCACACCATCCCCGTCTTCCCCAGCCTATATATGTTCTCCGCAGCTAAAGCCCTGGCTGATATGGAGCCCCGCCCTGTCGACTACTGCTGCCAAGAAGCCAATATCATCTCAAACGTAAGAAGGAGCTACGGTCATCAGACCTTGGCCATGATCCTGTACTCGTACGACCATCCCTCGCCGTGCGATCCACTTCCGCCCTTGACTAGTACTCCCACCTACGCCCACACTTCCTCGGCCTCAGCGTCCCGCTTCGGCAAATCTCACCTTATACAATCAGCCTACCAAGATCACCCCCACTAACGCAACGATTTTCCTTAGCCTATCACCGCACACTGCAAGTATCTCGTAATCTACGCGTACCACGTGCGTCAGTTGCACTTGTGGGATCTGAGCTCGAATATGACTTTTAAGAGTTGTCGACGGCGGAATGGTGTACAAAACGACCATCCTGGGAAAAGGCGAGAGGAGGACAGAGGGGATCATGGGGTCACAAGATGATCATTACGGGAAAGCATGTGCGTTGGAGGAGGGGAGTGAGTTTTTGCTTGTGTTTGATTCGGGGGATTTCAATGAGGATGATACGTTCCTCGTTACGGATTGGCTGGCGCATACGCCGAAGGAGGAAATTGCCAAGGATCCCAATGTCAGTATCTCTGACTTGCAATCTTTGCCCTCGAGCGAACTCTACACCTTCCCCGGACAAGTTCCTAACACCACTCCCGATGCATCTCTCCCTACCTCGCCCAACGGTTTGATCAACCCGGGCTTTTCCTTACACGCCTCCCAGGTCCCCTACACCAACCTCGCCGGCGGCCAAGTCAAAATCATTGACTCCCACTCCTTCCCCGTCGCAAAAACCATCGCAATGGCCGAAGTGATCATCCAACCCAGCGCCATGCGCGAACTTCACTGGCACCCAAACTCCGCCGAATGGAACTACTTCATCTCGGGCTTCGCACGCATCACGGTTTTTGCTGCCCGTGGGAATGCGAGGACGTTTGATTATCATGCGGGGGATGTTGGGTATATTCCGCAGAGTAATGGGCAGATGAGTACTTCTTCCTAAGTTTGGACAAGTGAGAAGAGCGTTATGGTAGGTTGGTACTCTGAATAATATTTCTTAGTGAACATCTTTCTTATTGTATCTCCGTTGTCGCTTGTGTTGTGCCGGCCGAGAATATGAATGCAAGGCCGCCTGCACTGTCAATGCCCGCCGTGACACTTTATAGGAGCAATATTCAAAATGTCGAAATCTCAACCAAAAGGTCGAATCAGCACGTTCTGATGCCCAAGGCCAGGTTACTCAACAGTCCCGGATGATTGCCTATCTCGGCATTTTGTATGGCATCGCTCTAGTAACGTAGACAGTCAGTCATACGAGCTCCTCGACCACGGCAAACCTCCAAGTCAACTTTACCGACCAGCGATGGCTTTCGCTCCTCCACGAAGGGCTGCAAGTACCACCATCAGGCCTGATGGCTCAACAAGATCTGCGTCAGGCATTGCAAGTACAGGCTCTACGCGTCCAGCTTCGGTTACGAGCTCGTCGCGTGTTGTGCGGCCGACGGACGCAACTAGGAGTGTGAGAACGTCGTGGATACCGCAGTTATCACCCGTGAAACCGAAAAGCAAGGCTGCTTTGGTTGATGGTAATGGAGATGATGCCGGCGAGGTTCAGCTTGGTGGGAATGGAGTTTCGCGGGGGAGTGCGAGTGCACGGAATAGTCTGGGTTCAGTAATACCAGGCAGCGCAGCGATGACCACAAGCACCAGAACATCCGCGATACCAACCTCACCCGCGCTGTCTACGTCGTCAAGGACCACGGTTTCGCGACTCGCCACGTCACGCATGTCGTCCTCGCCGGGAACTTCATCTTCAACATCAACTCTTCGGTCGTCAACAAGAATCACGAAAACACAATCAGCCCTGCCGTCATCTCCGGTAATAAGGACAAGAGCAGGGATGACTTCGATACCGTCTCCAATCAAATCATCAACCCGTACAGTTACTACGGCTGGTACGTCCTCCACCCTACGACGAACGGCGCTTACATCAACATCGGCACCCCGGAAAATCACGCCAACAATCTCAACCCCACCGCCTGCATCACCCAGAGTTACGGCAGAAGGAAAGTACGTCCCAGCCAGGTATCTACAGCCCAGCCGACGCCAAGCCGTTCAACCCGAAACTCCACCTCGACGACCAGCTTCGTCTTTGACACAGCAAGACCTTACGAGTACGTCGATTGAGAAAGAACGGCAACAAAGACATTACAGAACGAAGCTGTACCAACTGCTGTACGAGATCAAGAATTTTCCACCTGCACACCATCCCTCCACCGTCGCCTCCCTGAAGGAACGATACAAAGCGCTGCAGGAGAAGGAACAAGCCCTCCACAAACGCCAGCTCGGAAACGTCTTTCAAAAAGAAATCCGATCCCTCGAGGAAGTCCTCACCCTCGGCACAACAGTCGAAATCGCAGACGCCATCCGCCGCGCCGAACGCGTCCTCGCCGCACCACGCGAAGCCGGAATCAGCAGACTACGACATGCGAAACAGGGGTTGGGGAGGGTACAAACTGGACCTGGGAGGTTGAGAGATGTTGTTGAGGGGATGAAGGAACTATTGAGGGTTGAGATTACGGTGATGGAGTTGGACAGGGAGTTTGAAGCGTTACGGGCTGGGATGGAGGAGGCGGAGGTATTGGAGGAGTTTGAGAAGGGATGGGAAGAGTCGTTAAGTGCAGATATCAAAAGCGCTTGGCTATCTGTATGACGTGAAGTAAGGTTGGCTGCCTTATGATGGGATTGACTGTTAGGTACATGTACGTACACGCATACCATGCAATACTTGACCGATGACAGGCCTTGATAAGCAGTCCCACTTGAAGAGAGCTTCCGAAGCGTAGACAGTCTGTTGGTGCTGTTCGGTTTCTTGTACATGTACGGGCTGGGGCCTTGATCATCAGGATAAACATTTGAACGCTCAAACAAGTTCGGTATTTGCACGCTACCAATGTCTGAACCCAAACAGTCTGAAAATGCATAGTTACCTGAGTAAGTGACCAGTCTCAACGTCTGGTATATTCTGGACACCCGGTCTTGAGGGTGCATCCTTACTCGATCCTGTCCGAGCAGTGAAGCAACACAGCATTACTGATTCTATGGGTCCGACTTCAGCGGACTATAGCTAAGTAGGTTAGTTGTGATATAACCGGCTTTATTCACCTGAGATAACATCAACACACCTGTCTTCTTGGATACACCTCACTCACGAGTTGGACCGCCAGCAACATTATAGTTTATCAGCAGATCGCCGTCTGATACGAGTAAAAGGTAGTTCATGGTCGTGGGAATCGTTAAAACTCACACAACGCATTACATACTTTACCCAGCAGGAAAACATCACATGTAACCCCTCGATGGTGTAGTTGGTTCATCACGTCGCTCTGTAATGGTAACATCGTCAAGCGAAGGTCACCGGCTCGACTCCGGTTCGAGGGATTCGTTTTCGCTTTTTTGATTTCCCATGCTTCATGGTCTCTGCTCAATGGCACCGCATTGCACCAGACTCGAACGCTTTTCACCATGCTTTCTGTACCTATTGTCATGTTCTTGAGTGTCCTTCTTCGACTGTATAGACTCGTGCGCGCTCATTGCCATTATGCATACTGTACATTGTAGGAGAAGTCTTACCGCCCAGCATACGCCGTGTAGTGAGGTATATGGTATTGTGGGTATAATAATGTGTGTCCTAATCTTATTGTTCTTGGTTTCTAGGATCGCAGATTAGAGAGTGCCTGTGTTCCCGTGATCATGACGAGCAATGCCTGGTCCAACACAATGGTGGCCTGTAAGAGGGATATCAATCTCGTCTGCTACCCGAGACTTTTACCCCGCTTACCAATTTCCAAAACACCACTCAAACGGTGCGCAACACCGAAACACGCTCAACGGACTATGCCCATACCCCAAGGTCGCGAGTTGAACCGGTTGAGACTCGCCGTGATCCTGATCTGCCGGCGGAACTTGCGGCGATTGATCTGGCGACACGACTGCGGAAGGCTGTGCAGTAACGGTATTCTTCTGCGGCATCTTGTTGACGTGTAATGGCATACCCCGAACTTGCGGCCCGAGCGTCATGGTGGCTGATTACAAGGGGTTAAGGTTGCGGACGCCTACGGTAAATCGAGGCAGAGGCCTGGTGGCACGAGGGGATGCCCTATGTTGAGAGGATCAGGATACTGTCGCTTTCGACCTTCCACGAGCCATCTTCGTAGAGTCGTAAGGGTTTAGGTGTTTACGTCTCGTAGGGATTTGAGGAGGAGTGTGGCGCAGCAGCTCGGTCCGGGGTCAGGGCAACCGCACGTACGATTCACGTCGTATACGAGACTCCCTCGAATCACCAACAAGGACAACGGATCAGATCAACAATGTCCACCTTCGACAACATCTATACTGCCGTCGCTGAGGCTTCCTCCGGCTTTGCTAAGCCTCAGGGTCTCATCTACGGTTATGGTACCGCTGGTTTCCGTCTCAAGGCCAACCTCCTCGCCTCAGTTGTTTTCCGCGTTGGACTGCTCGCTGCTGTCCGCTCCAAGAAGCTGAATGGCCAGACAATCGGTGTGATGATCACTGCTTCTCACAACCCCGAGGAGGACAATGGTGTCAAGCTCGTTGATCCCCAGGGCGAGATGTTGGAGGGAAGCTGGGAAGCATATGCTACTCTCCTCGCCAATGCCCAAACCGACACTGAGCTTGTCGAAGCCTTGAAGAAGGTTGTTGCGACCACCAAGACCGACATGGGCATCAAGGCCAACGTGATCTTTGCCAAGGACACTCGATCCTCTGGTCCCAGTCTCGTTGCCGCACTCCAGGCTGGTCTTACCGCCATGAGCTCTGAGTATAAGGACTATGAGATCTTGACCACTCCTCAGCTTCACTACCTTGTCCGCTGCATCAACACCGCTGGTACTCCGGCTGAATACGGTGCTCCTACCGAGCTGGGTTACTACGAGAAGTTGGGTAAGGCCTTCAGGACCCTGATGGACGGAAAGACCCGTCCTAGCGCCGTGTTTGTGGATTGCGCGAACGGTGTCGGTGCACCGAAGTTGAGAAACTTGAGAAGGATTGTCGGCGAGGACATCTTGGACGTACGAATCATCAACGACGACATCGAAACCCCATCAAAGCTCAACTCCCAGTGCGGTGCCGACTTTGTCAAGACCAACCAGAAGCTGCCCCCCGGTTCTCACATCGCCCCTCAGGACCGCTGTGCCTCCCTCGATGGTGACGCCGACCGAGTTGTCTACTACTACCTTGACCAAGACTCCACCTTTCACCTCCTCGACGGTGACAAGATCGCTTCACTCGCCGCCATGTTCATCCAGGATCTCGTCAAGTCCGCAGGTCTGGAAGAGGAGATCAAGGTCGGTGTTGTGCAGACCGCTTATGCGAATGGTGCATCTACGGTTTACTTGCAAAAGGTTCTCGGTGTCCCTGTGACCTGCACACCTACTGGTGTCAAGCACCTCCACCACGCTGCCCAGCGCTACGATGTCGGTGTCTACTTTGAGGCAAACGGACATGGCACCGTCCTTTTCTCCCCCACTTCTCTCAGCATCATCGAGGCTGCTAAACCTCAGAGTCCTGCTCAGCACACAGCGTTGCAGAGCTTGCGCGCGTTGTCCGATTTGATCAACCAGACTGTCGGTGATGCTCTTTCCGATCTCCTCATGGTCGAGGCGATCCTCGCGCACAAGGGCTGGGGACCCAAGGAATGGGATGGTGCTTACACCGACCTCCCAAACCGACTCGTCCGTGTTGTTGTCAAGGATAGACATGCCTTCACCACCACCGACGCTGAGCGAAGACTCGTCTCTCCCGCCGGCATCCAAGATCGTGTCGATGCCCTTGTCGCCAAGTACAAGGGTGGTCGTGCCTTTGTCCGTGCCTCTGGAACGGAGGATGCGGTCCGTGTGTATGCTGAGGCTGGAACCAGGAGTGAGGCGGATGAGCTTGCGTGCAAGGTTGCTGGGCTGTTGAGTGACTACTAAGGACGTTAAGATATATTATAGTATCCAGGGTAAGCACGGTCTTGGAAATTGTGGGGAGGTCGGTTGCGGGAGCTAAGGAGGCCTCGTATAATCCGTGAGAGAAATCACGATGTAGTTCTCTAGATGTATCCGATAAGGTATAGCATTGATATATGTGAAAACGCCTGTAACCGTCCGGTCATACCATAACCAACCCATCAAACCTGCCCAACCGCTCCCTAACACACTCCGGCAACTCTAGCCCGCTCTTCACCACCGACTCCCTCCTAACACCACCATCGACCACCAAAACCTTCGTGTCTTCACCTCCTCGACCTGGCGGCGTGATATCTATCCGTACTCCATCCTCGAACAACATACTCCACTTCCTTCCAAGTTTGGCGCACCACCCAATTCCATCCACGAATCGCGCAGTAGAATCCGCAGCATCCATGTCGCGCTCTTCACCAGTATCTTCATCACCGTCATCTTCTTCGTCGGACTCAGGTTCCTCTTCCTCCTGCATTTCCTTACTCTTCCTCCACCAACTCTTCACAGTATCAAGATAATCCCTCCACTTCGTTGGTACGCTCCCATCAACGCTTCCTTTCCACATCACCCTATCCTCTGCATCCTCAACCACAACGTCTTTCCCCTCCAAGATTCGAACATATACAACCTCCCCACTCTTCCTCCTTATCTTCCCCTCAAAATCACCATTCAGGAAGAGTCTACCCCGACCCCTCGGCATCTCCAAAGCAAGCTTGACGCTCTTCGACCTCACGATACCGACGAAGCGGCTAGCGTAGCGGTACACGGGTAGATACCTCAGGGGTAAATCATCAAGGACATACCTGACCATTCCGCCTCCATGACGAGGGATGATGGAGACTTGCGTACCTGAGGCGTCGATGTGTACCGTATTTTCCGGATCCGTGAGGAGGTCGAGGATGACGCCTTTGTCGTTCCCGAGGATTTCAACGAGGCCGTGTTTTGTGTGTTGTTTGAACCCCTTTAAACCCGTTGTCTGGAATCGGTATTTTGTTGCGAACTCACTCTTCGGCGAGACGACCTTTGTGAGCGCAGCGCTCGCCGAGGCAAAGAGCGTCCGCAGTGGTGTCGTATGCGGTAAAAACCTCGTAGACTGAACTGCAGCTCTTCTGGCTCGTGGTCTTGGTGTGATGATCTCGTTAGAGAATGCAGCTGCAGCGCTGGACTGTACCGGCATAAACGTGCTCAACCCTAATGCCGAATCGCGACTTCCACTACTCGCCTTCAACTCCTCCCTGACAAACCCAACCCTCGGCCTCTCTCTCCTCCTCGCATTCTCTTCCGCCTGTCGTAACTCATTCAATACAGATCGTCGCGCAGCGTTAGTGGGGAATGTTTCAGGTGGTGATGAGCCGAAGGGGAAGGATTGTGTTGGTTTGGCTTTCATTGCGGAGGGTGGAAGGGGTCGGGCTTTTGGGAAGAGGATTTCCATTGCGGTTTTGCTGGGTGGGGCTGTGGGTGGTGAGGTAAACGCGTCGTCGTACGGTGCTTGTTGAGGCGGTGATGGGAAGTCTTCTCGTACCACGGGACGAGGACGTGGAGCGTCATATCTGGATGCGCGTAACGGAGGATAGAAATCCTCGTCCTCATCCTCGTCGTCCTGGTGCCGTCTACTACGCAGAGGTGCATCCTTCCCGTAGTCATTCCCCAACTCTGACACATCCTCACCACCATCTTCCTCCTCCCGCATCCAAGCCCGTATCCGATCCTCCGCCAACCCCCTCACCGTCCCCGCACGCGACCGATTCAGCGCCGTCGGTAACGGCGGTAACTTTGGTGTAGGCAGTATCTGCTCAGACACCTCCTCGTGCTTTTTCGACACCCCACCGAACCGTCCACGGGCTTGCGGGAGTTTGACATGCGGTTCTTCCACATAGGTTGTTCGTTTGACTCCACTCCCGACCGACGACGCCAAACTCAGCGGCGAATACTGACTCGACAAAATCGTCGGTTTTCTCCTCCTCTCATCACCAATCACCACCGTCTCCTTCACCGGCGCCGCCTTCTGCACGAAATACTCATCCCTCAATACATCCCTCGCCGACATCCCCTTAACCGTCGTGTTGTTCGACATCCGTTCCAACAACCTCTCCAGCAACCCTGCATCGCCGTGGTTGACACACCCCCGTCGACCAGGTCCCATATACATCCACCACCCCAACCTCCCCAACGCTTCTACATCGTCCTCCACCGTACCGGGTGTTGGTGTTTTGCTGATTCCGCGGAGGCGTACCCGGACATCACCATTGACGAGAGCTACATTCTCGGCGCACAAGTAGCCGTGTACGTGGCCTTGTTCGTGCATATACGCCAAAACTTCAGCGAGGTGTCGGAGGATTACGCTGATATCCAGCGTGGTGGAGGAGGAAGATGTCGAGGCGAGGGTTTCGGGTGCGTGGTCGAGGATGAGGTAGACGTTCTGCGCGTCTTCGAAGGAGTAGTGGAGTGGAAGAATATGTGGGTGGGTGGATAATTCGTGGTGGAGCTCGACGCGTTTGGCGAGGTCGCGGCGGGCGGGGAGTGTCGTGAGTTTCGACTTTGCTATCTAATCCCCACTCCATTAGCACAGCCCTCCACATCCAAACACCAACGCAGGCAACGGCGACATACCATCTTGACCGCAACCCTCTCCCCTGTATCCCTCCACCACGCTTCATACACCTCACTGCTCCGCCCTCTTCCCAGTAGTTTGCCGAGACGGAGGTCGCTGATGCGGATGGTGGCATCGCGGGTTGCTTCTGTGAGGAAGGTTTCGTCGCCGGTGGGGGGTGGGTGGTGGGTTGTTGTGGTTGGGAGTGGACGTCGCCAGCCGCGGGGGTCAGCGAGGGGCATGGGTTAACCTCGGACTTTCGATAGAGCCTTGGGTGAGTGCGCAATGCTGTGGTTCCGTCGGTATTGGGCAGTGCTGTTTGATGATTGCCGTTTGTTATGTTATGATGTCGGGGGTCGCATGTAACGTAGACAGCCTGAATACGGGAGATTTTGGTAATGGGATATGATTGACATGGGTGATATTTTCCTCATCGAATGGTTTCGTGGCGCAATTGGCTAGCGCGTTCGACTGTTAATCGAGAGGTTGTGAGTTCAAGCCTCACCGAGACCGTTTTTTGTGGGTTTTTCCTGTTGATTTACAGGGTCAAGGCACACCTGCTTCACCTTTTGCGTGGGGTGTCACGGCCTCGCCTATCGATTGGTCCACCCCCACACATGCGCACTAACCCGACTCCGGTAACCCCTTATCGCCTATCCGGCACAGCGGACCCAACGCAGCGCGCTGATGCAATCTCGGAAGCGCTGGTAATTGGTGTGCTTCGGATTGATGGGGATGACTCGAAGCCGGCATTCTAGGCGGAGGGTATAAGGAGAGCAGCATATAGTCAGAGCAGTTGGAGTCGACAACAGCGCGTACGCGTACGAGGAAGACAGTTGCGAACGTCGTGGAAAGTTACTCTCACGGTCGAGCTGTACGCGTAGAACGACACGAGAAGGGGAACACGGCCTCGGTCAACCAGCATACATACAGCATACATCCCTTCCGCGACCTTCAATTGACCTTTTTTCCACCTATTCGACAGCATACACCCCCACGGTTACCATGTCAGCACTCCTCCGAACAAGCCGCACCCTCCCCCGTCTCCATATTACCCTCCCCTCCTCGAGCCTGACGCTCTCAAAACGCACCATCACCAACCTCAAACTCGACTTCGACAAACCCCTCATCTCCACCGGCTCCGACCGCTCCGACGACACCATCTCCGCACCAAACTACGCTTCCTTGGATGGCACGGCCCCCGTTGTTGGGGAGAGTCATGATTCGAATGGGACGCTGGTGTGTAAGCAGAGAACGAGTATGTCCGAACCCCTCCAGCACCAACTCCGATCCACAATCTTCTCCCAACGCCGACACCTCCACTCCACCTCCTCCCCTCCCCACCTCTCCTCGACGAAAACCACAGTTGAGGTGAAAGACGGAGAGGAATACATTGATTTTGACAAACCACACCTCCACGCAAAAAGCCCCGACACCACAGTGAATCCGACAAGCACGGATTATGATCAGGCGTGGGATGAGCCTGTACTTGTTGCGAGGCTCAGGCCGGGGGAGGGGAGGTTGAGTGAGGGGGCGTGGGGGCCGAGTGGACGAAGAGGGCTTCACACAAGAGCGAGGGAGGTGGAAGAGGTTTCGGATTTCGATAGTCCACTTGTCAACCACCAACTTCCCGATGGGATGGTATCCACCATCTCTGAGGCTGATGTTTTCGAATTCGCTAAACCTATGGGCGCGCCGAGAACCGGTGAGGTTCAGGGTGCGAAGGTGCCGAGTGGACGAAGGGGGTTTCACACGACTAGGGTTGTGAGGTCGGAGATGGTGGATGATGTGTTGGATTTCAAGAGGCCGTTGGTTAATCATCAACTGCCCGAGGGCACGGTCTCTACTATCACTGAGGCGGATTTCACATCCTCTATTGCGTCGCCATCTGCTCCTACCCCCGCTGCCTCCACCGGGGGTTCAGCTAAGGTTCCGACTGGACGCAGACAGTTTCACACGACTCGGTTTCTGCGTTCGGACAAGTTGGACGAGTTACTGGATTTCGACACCCCCCTCGTCAACCACCAGCTTCCTGAGGGAACGGTCTCTACTATCACGGAAACAGACTTCCATCCTGCCACACCTTCCGCAGGCTCGTCCACAACCTCCGCCAAAATTCCGAGTGGACGAAGGGCGTTCCACTCTTCTCGGACCGTGCGTTCGGGCAAGTTGAAGGACGATGTCCTAGACTTTGATGCCCCGTTGGTTAACCACCAACTCCCCGAAGGCACGGTATCGACCATTACCGAATCCGAGGAGGGTTTTCCTTCGCTCACTCGTTTTGCGCCGAGAGTGAGCGGGTTAAATGGCGCGGCTTCTTCTAAGCCGGGTGTTATGACGTTGGGGCGGAGGGGGTTTGGGACTTTGAGTGGGAGGAGGGGGGAGCAGGAGAGGGAGGTGGAGGGTGTTTTGGATTTTGATAGGGTGATGGTGGAGACGGTGTTGCCGGAGGGGAGTGTTAGTCAGATTACGGAGGTTGATGCTTTTGAGGTGCCGTTTATGAGTTTCGGGTCTGGTGGTGCAAAGGGACAGGCGGGGAAGGTCCCATCGGGGAGGAGGGAGTTCCACTCCAGTCCTGTTCGCCGTCACGAGATTCAGGATGAACCCTTGGACTTTGAGAAACCCCTCGTTAACTCGCACCTCCCCGAGGGTTCAGTGGCTCCTATCACGGAAGCTGATCATGTCTCAACCGTTTCCCATGAGACGGTCGTGAATGTTTCGCCGGCGACTTTGGCTGCCCTGACAAAGGGTAAGCTGAGGTCTCAGACGAGAAGTTTCAGCACCAGTGGCTGTAGGCCTTCGTTTGAGGGAGAGAAGAGCATCTTGAGCCGTCGTGAATACCACGCTTCACTGGCGGTGCAGGCCGCCGCTGCTCCGACAACTGGTGCCGTCGTCAAGCCGAGGGAAAAGAACGGGAGGAAGCACCTCGTTATTCTTGGTTCTGGGTGGGGCGGGTATAAGCTCCTCAACCAGGTATCAACCAAGTATCACCAGGTTACCGTCATCTCTCCTCGCACGTACTTTGTCTTTACTCCTCTCCTCGCATCCACTGCTGTCGGGACCTTGGAGTTCCGTTGTGCGATGGAGCCCGTGAGGTCTCGTTACCGTGGTATTTTCCGGTGGATGAGTAAGAAGGGCGAGGGTGTGAACTTGATCGAGGCCTTTGCGGATAATATTGATTTCGCGAGGAAGAAGGTTGAGTGTGTGACGCAGTTTACTCCGGTGAAGGAGGAGACTACATTGGATAGGAGTGCTGCTGAGGACGAGTGTCCTGGCGAGATGTCTATCAATGGACGCATGAAGGATGGGAGGAGGAAGTTTGAGGTTGAGTATGATGATCTTGTCATTGCTGTCGGTGCGTACAGTCAGACTTTTGGAACGCCGGGGGTGAAGGAGCATGCATATTTCTTGAAGGATGTTGGTGATGCGAGGAGGATTCGTGCGAGAATCTTGCATTGCTTCGAGTTGGCTGCGTGCCCCTCTACCACCGAGGAGGAGAGGAGGCAGCTTCTCCACTTCGTTTGCGTGGGTGGTGGGCCTACTGGTGTTGAGTTCGCCGCTGAGCTCCATGATCTGATTCATGATGATTTGGCCTTGCTTTACCCCGAGCTGTATCATCTGGCAAGCATCTCCTTGTTCGACGTTGCCCCAAGGATCCTTGGAAGTTTTGACGAGAACTTGGGAGAGTATGCGAGGGCGAAGTTTGCTAGAAGTGGGATTCGGATCAGGACTGGAACTCATGTGACGAAGATTGAGGAGGGCAAGGTCTACACCAAGGAGAGTGGTATGGAGAGGTTCGGAATGATGGTCTGGGCGACTGGACTCCACGCCAACCCCCTCGTCGAGGAGATGAAGGGCGTGCTCAAGGACAAGAGGACCGGCAGTGTCCTAACTGACGGCCGCCTCCGTGTCGTCGACGAGAAGGGCCAGCCTGTTGATGGTGTCTACGCTATTGGCGATTGCGCTGCGATTAAGGATGGCGAGATCCTTCCTGCCACCGCACAAGTCGCCAACCAGAAAGCCATCTACCTCGGCAACTCCCTCAACGCCATCGCTCGTTCCGGTACACCCTCTTACGAACCTGAACCGTTCAAGTTCCTCAACCGTGGAGCGATGGCTTACATCGGCGGTTGGAAAGCCATCGTCCAGCCTGCGAAGTCTGGTGGGCTTTCGGGTCGTGCTGCGTGGATATTGTGGAGGACTGCGTACTTGTCGATGAGTGTAAGTTTGAGGAACAAGATTTTGATTCCTACGTATTGGTTGTTGAACTTTGTCTTTGGGAGGGATATCACTAGGTTTTGAGGAGAGCGTGTGATAGCGGAGGAGGCGTGGGAGGAACTATATACGTAAGTTAGCATAATGGTTCAGCACCTGCAAACATGGCAGAATTAATCTCAGATCAGTATAATACAACCCTGTCCTTCCACAATTGTAATTGCTGCTCGACGTGGAGAAAAGAGGAGGTTGTCGGCGTGATGTCCGGGTGCACTCTACGACAGTGAACGAAACCCCAACGGTTCGCAGATTCACAGAGAGCAGCCCGTATCAGCAAGAAAGCTACGCATGGCCCATAACATCTCCGACCTAATGAATTGAAAGCAGCGCCTGCTTTGGCGAATGAGCCTCCCACATCTCATCGCAATTGCTTCGGAGACGTTCCCGCTCGGACCGCCTGTGCGAAATGAATCGACATGGGTCCACCCTTGTAATCTGTCCCACCATGGACCCGTTGTGGCGAAAGTTTCCTGAAGAAGCCTTCAAGAACTGCGGGAGTATCGCCATCCACCAACGTCAATCGCAACCACGACCATCATTTGCCAGCATGCCTCCTATCAGGATTCCTAACAAGAAGATGGAGCAGACGCCGTATGAAGAGGCTCTTCTGGAACCCAAGATGCCCGAAAGCCAGTGGGAGCGAACGGTTTTGGAAATGCCTAGGTTTAGATATGGGAAATATGTATTGGGTGGGCACTGGATGAATTGTATGACTACCGCCTCTCATTCCTCCTGGCAAACCAAAACGCGTCCGAGCCAAAAACACCCCTATGTCGCCGACCCGGACGCACAGTTTCGCATGCTCCTCAAGATCAGGAAACTGCGACAGAATCTTGCTGAACTTGTCGCCAAATATGGAGGGCCTCGTCCCGTTGCTTTTCTGGCTGGGATGCCTTCAAAGATGGAGGTTGAGGAGGAACTGTGGAAACTCGCGAACTTGCCTTCCTATTCCTGTATTAAGTATTACAAAGTCAAAAGATACCTCGAACGACAAATCGACACCTACAGAGTACCTGAATCCGAAATCGAAGGCGAGGAACACTTCCTTTGCAAAATTGACCGTTGCAAGAAGAAGTTCCGAACAGTCCAGGGATTTCTGGGACATGCTCGGAATGCGCACAAGGCGTACAGCGACACGAGGACACCGTGTCCGGAGCCAGGATGTGTGAAGTATTTCCAAAAGGACGAATCTCTGAGGAACCATGTTCAGAGCAATGACCATCACTACAGCAGGCTCGGGTACGTGTGTCCCATGCCGTCATGCGCTTGGAAGGCATCGACGAGTGACGACGCTGTTGTGGAACATATCGTTAGTTATCATCATAATACCAAGGCGGCGGAGGAGTATGCGCAGCTCAAGGATATCGATATCAACATCGTCCGGGCCGCGAGGGAGTACTACGCCGTTGTACAAGCCGAGAAGGAGCGTTCGGAACTTCATTCTACATGGAATGCCATTGCTGCGTCGAGGTTGCCTCGGAAGTATGTTCTGAGGTTGGCATAGGCGGTTACAAGGCTGGGCATAGTGCTGGAAAAATATGAGACAGATTTGGGTGTGACCTTAGATGAATGAATCTTGACGGAGAACACAAGGTTCGGCGTTCATGAGGAGGAGTCTACCATGGGAGGGAAGGGAAAGAGATGAAGACGGAAAAGCCTTTGCGCAAGAGGTATGAGGGCATAATCAGATATTCATATGTATAGAAAAGACCACTCCAAAAAGCTACCACAGAAGACTTATCCCTCCTAACGTGCGCCCTCACAAGAACTTATCAACCCACTTCCCCTTCTCCCCCCCAGCCCTAATCTCCATCTCCCCCTCAACCGGCACCCCCTCCAACTCCACCTCCTGCCCCCTCCCATAAATCTCATCCGGCAACACCGCTCTCTCCATAAACGTCTCCTCAGCCCTCCACACCAAACTCAACAAAACATAAACGGCAAACGTCCCCACGAAACCCAATAACCACCCGAACTGATATGGGTGAACACCAACACCGACGTGAATTTTGGAGTTGATGGAGTTGATGAACCCGGGGAGGTTCGGGATCACGCCGACGAGGAAGGCGGTTATGGCGCGCCAGTTTAGACCATGGGTATACCGGTATCTGGATGTCGGATTATAGAGCGCCAACGAATCATATTTCCCACGATGCACGATCCAGAAATCCGAGACGAGGATAGCAGCGATGGGACCGAGGAAAACAGCATACGCACTCATGAAATTCAAAAAATTACCAGCGCTCGCGAGGATTTTCCAGGGTACGAGAGCCCACGAGAGTACGGCGCAGAGGAGTTGACCGCGGCGAATGTTGACGTAGCGGGGGAAGAGGGCTGTGAGGTCGTTTGCTGCGCTCAAGGAGTTTGCGGAGATGTTCACACCTAACGCCGCCAATGCGAACGAAAAGGCCGCGAAGAATCGGCAGGCTCGGGAGTCCCATTGAGCGATGAGTGCCATGGGATCCCATTGGAGTGTGCCGTACTTTGCTTCACCGGCGGAGGATGCGGCGATTCCGATAAAGGAGATGAAGGTGAAGACGAGGGGGAGGGCGGGGATGTAGATGATTTGCCATTTCCACGAGATACGACTGTAACGGGAGAAATCTGGCATGTTGACGCTGAGGGTTGCATAGTTTCCGATCACGGAGGTCAAGCTCGAGAGCCAGCCCCAGGCGTATGCGGAGCCGTGAACCGAGGGGGCGGATTGGGAAAAGAGGGTGCCGCCTCCTGAGGTGGACTTGAATGCCCAGATGAGGATCGCGATCCAGGCGATTGGGACGATGATTGATTTTGCGAGGAAGAGGAACCGGAGGTTGTTTGGGTGCATCCATAAAAACGGAAGCTGGAGCAACCAGAAGAGCACGAAGGAGATCATGGTATTCGTCGCTATTCCCTCCGATTCCGGGATCGAGTTGTGGAGGGTGAGGAAGGAAGGCCAGATAGCGCCGAGCATGACACGGATGGTGTTTGCGCCGTTCATGGTTTGAATCGCGAACCAAAAGATGGCGAGGATGACACGAGAGATAATCGCGACATAGGATCCCCAAAATCCCCAACTCGCACGTGCCAACACCGGGAACGGGGCATGATAAATCGCCCCAATGGCACCATTCGCAGCAATAACGAAACTCACAATCGTGAACCCCGTCGCCACGATCCCCAAAGAATCTTTCCACGTCAACCCGATCGCCAAGATACTACTAGCAAACTCCCATGTCGCAGCGTTAAAGGCGTCGGATATCCAGTATGCGACGAAAGACCATAGGCCCCATTTCCGGAGGTGGGGAGGGACGGGATCGAGGTCGAGGTTTGTCCAGCGGGCGGAGCCGGCGGCGAAGGCGGATTTGGGTTGGGAGACGTGGAGGGAGAAGTTTGGTTTCTTGGGGTGAGGAGCGTGGAGGGAGGGGGAGGGGAGGTTCATCATGGAGGTACCGCCGGCCGACGCTTCTGTGTCGCTATTTTTGTAGGACATGATTGTTACGCTTGCTTGATCCGTGACTGGAACAGACGAGAAGATATAGCATCCCTTATCATCCTTATCATTCTTACAATTGCAGCGGCTTGGGACGACCCGCCTGTCGATGTCGACCTTATCTACCTTATAGGATTCTTTAGCCGACACCGACACGATAAGTGCACATAGTTTGGTCAACATGACATCATACAATCCCCCGTGGTCTAGTGGTTATGATGCCCCCCTAGTAAGGGGGTGATCGCTGGTTCAAATCCGGCCGGGGGAATCATTTTTTTCTTCTTCTTTTTTGGTTTCAGGTCATGCAACCCATCATAACCGAAGCGTCCAGAGCAATGCTCAAGTGGTTGAAAGTATATGACAAAATGCACAATGCCTGAACCGTGCTCAACAGTGATTCGCGTAAGTGATATCGATAAACAGCAAACGCGAATCTAACACCATACTTTCGATTCCCATATTCTGTCGCCTCCCATTCTCTCCCCCATTCCCGCGCTCCTCAATCCGGGATCACACTTCGTTCGCATAGTCTCTGCCGTCGTAGCTGAGCCCTCTCGAGAGGTATTCTCCACCAGCAAGGCAGAATCCGACAGATAACCACTTCTTTCCGGATGTTCATGATGCTTCAAACACCGAAGGCGAAGAACAGCAAGTGGTTTAGCCAAGAAGAATAGCAGAAGAGAAAGCTGGTTCGCACATGGTCGTGAACCTGGACGCTGGTGCTTATCGACGTAGCTCCAACTTTATTCCTCGGCTGCGCAGCGGGACGGCGTGGCGCAGTGGAGTGCTACACCATACGGTAACGAGGTTCCGTGAAGTAGAGGAAGGACGATGACCGGCAAGCAGGCATAAGAAATAAGGATATTAAACGTGCAACAAGATCTACCAGAAACTCACTCTCACGAAGCCATAATCAAACCAACATCTACCCACCTAATCATACACATAAAATCTCATGTCTCGATCTCACCTCTCCCATATCGTGTACGTGTGTATCCATCTCCTACTGTATACCCCAACCATGCTCATCCATCCAAATGCTCCTCCCCCCCAACAAACTTCATCACAGCCTTTACCCCACCCGGCCCCATCCCATGCTTCGGATAACAAACCCACAACGGATCCTCCTCCGCCCCCAACTTTGCCCTAAACTCACCCTTCCCCGCCAAATTAAACTGCGTCGCGATCCCATGATAAGTCTTACTCAGAAACTTGGCACGGAGTCCACTGAGGTTCGAACCGACGACGAAATGATTCGTCGCGGTTGCGCCGAACGTTACGGACCTTGCGCCGGAGGATGAGGCTTCGGTGAGGGCGTGGAGGGTGATGTACTCGATTGCACCGCTCGGTGCACCAGGGAAGTCGAGAGACCACTTGACTTGGTACCCATACTTCAAACTCAATTCGGCAAGAACGACCATGGCACAAATCTCCCCCTCCGCCGTCTCCGCAACGAAATACCTCCGATGCTCCATATCCTGCCATGGATGTACGTCCGTCAAATGAACCTGTTTCTTCCCCTTCCGATTATCGATCCAATCCTGAATCCGCTGATCACACCTCTTCCTCCACTCCTCCGGTACCGGCTCTCCAGCAGGCAAATCGGTGATTTTAATCCCAGCTTGCTTCGCATGCCTCAACTTCCTCCCAACCTCCCCTTCCTTAATCTTATTCACATTCTCAGCCGGATCCTTCACCCTCTCCTCCGCAACACAACTCAATGTCCTCCACCCCCCCCTACCCCCCAAAATCTCCTCGACCTCTTTGGAAACAAGTAACCAAATCGGCTTCAACGCCCTCCCATCCCTTCCCAACCATGTCAGGAAAGCGCCGATGACTTCCCCGTATTGTCGTTCATCGCAGAGTGGGTTACCCACAACCATCGCATGTCCCTCGACCTCGACGAACCCGACCGCGGCGCCGGAGCGTTGGTGTCGCCATACCTCGAATCTGGGTTCGAGCCAGGAAGTATTCGATGCATCCCCATAATTTCCAATCAACTTCTCCAACGGCATCGCCCCAAACTTCTCCTCCCCCTCCTCCTTCTCCGGGTTCGCCTCCCACGGCGGCTCAACCGTACTCACCTCGGGATACCTCAACCCCCCTCCCCGCCCAACCTCCTGCAAACTCTTCGGATCCCGCGGAAAAAGCGACGCATAGCGAATATTCCCCAACCCCAGAAACAACATCACCAACCTCTCCAACCCGATCCCCGCCCCCGCATGCGGCGCAACACCCCACCGAAACGCATCAAGATACTCTCGCATCGAATCGGGACGAATCCGGTTGGCGCGCATTGCTTCCTCCAACATATCCGGATCATGGATTCGTTGGCCTCCGGTGAGGATCTCCTGTCCGCGCAGAAAGATGTCGAAGGAGTTTGTGTACTCGCCGTTTTCGGGATCGGGCATCGTGTAAAACGGCCGTACTGCTTTCGGGAATTTGTCGAGGACGAAGTAATCCGTACCGTAGCGTTCTTTGACTAACGCCCCCAACCTAATCTCATCTCTCGTTCCTAAATCCTCTTTGTCGGATAACTCCTTCCCCGACTCATCCCGCCACCCACTCTCATTCAACATCCGCACGCCCTCGCGGAACGGTAAGACAACAGTCTCCTCAGCCCACACCAGTCTTTCACCCCCAAAAACCTCTCTTACAACCTCGACCTCCCGTGCAAACTTCTCGTATACACCAGCAAAGACTTTCTTAAACACCCCATCCACAACCCCGAGCATCTCTTCATACCCCCCCCTCACCTCCATCTCCAAATCCAACCCAACATACTCCGTCAAATGCCGTCTCGTATTCGACTCCTCCGCCCGAAACACAGGTCCAACTTCAAAAACTCTTCCCATCCCCGCACTGATACTCATTTGTTTCGCCAATTGTGGGGATTGTGCGAGGAATGCGCGACGCCCAAAGTAAGGGACGGAGAAAACCGAGGCACCGGATTCGGTTGCGGAGTGTTGGAGTTTTGGGGTGTGGATTTCAGTGAAGGAGAGGGAGGTTAGGTGAGTGCGGAAGAGGTTGCAGATACCGCTTTGGATGCGGAAGATTGCCAGGGAAGAGGGTGTACGCAGGTCTAAGACGCGGTTTGCCATTCTGGTGCGTAACGGCACTTCTTCCTCACCGGGCGCTCCCTTCCGAGGACGCTCGAGATCCCGAACGCGGACGGGTACACCACGGGCTTCGGCCAACACCCACATCCCACGCACCTTGACTTCCAAATGTTGGATCGTGCAAGACTTGATCATGTCGCCGTGAGGTGGTTTTTGCAGAGTGCCGGTGATGAGGACGATTGATTCGGGGGATAGATGGGATAGTGTGGAGAGCATGTGGGGGGAGGGTTTCGCTTCTCCTGAGCCGGAGGTGGAGGCTGCGGGTGTCATTTGCGTTGTATTCGTGTTCAGGCCCGAGCTGGTGGTGGACGTCGGCAAAGAAGTCTGCGGGGTCAGCGGGGAGTGGTGGGTAGGGGCGGTGATAGAGGTAGGATTAGACGGGACTGCGGAGCCGAATGCGTGACCGGAGAGCGGGAGCGGGAGCGGGATTGGTTCAGCCAATGTCACCAACCCCTCGACCCCGTTTCCGTAGCCAATAGAGCCACCGACACCGTTGACCGGCTCCACCCCCCCCTCCCTCTCAACCTTCAACACCGCCTGAACCCTCCCCAACCCCTCCCTAACCACGAAGAAAACCAAACCCTTACCATTCAACACCCGTCTCGCATGCACCCTCGCCCTAAACGTAACCTCATCACCCTCCCCCACATCTCCCTCTTCGATCGCGCCAACACTGGTCCACTCCTGGACGGGCGCCGCCGGAACATTTTCGGGCACAGGGAAAGGGAGGCGACCGTAGAGTGCGCGGACTGATGCTGGCTCAACTTTGGCGGCGTGGGCGTCTTCGCGTTGACGGCGGGTCTGGAGGTCGAGGGCGCGGTGGTGTGCCTGTCTTTTCTTCTCTCTCTTTCGCTCGAGGCGCTTCTGTTTGGACTTTCCGCCTCCGATCCAAGCGCTACCCTCAGGCGTATCGTCGTCGGATGAATCGTCGTAATGCGTCCCCGAGGATTGAGAAGGTGAGGGCGAGTGTTTGAGGTGGAGTTTTTGGAGGGTTTTTGAGAGGAGCGGCATCCTGTCTTCTTTGTCGTTGTGTGAGATCTCCGTGGTGGTGAGCTTTGGAGGAGTGCGCGGAGGACGGAGGAGGTGACGTCATACCCGCGATTCGCTGTCATCGATCAAGACAAAGTATGAACCACGCAAAAGTTCAGGACTTGTGATATTTATAGACGATTAGTCGGTTCTTGTCGTCTCGGTACGGGTCGTCTTCGAGTTCATCGTCATCGCCCGTTCTGTTCCTCATCTGTACGTCGAACACGATCCATCCCACCAGCAACCCTCTGGAAGACAAACTCATCGAATTGAAATCGAGACGGAATATCAAGCAACGTCGCTGATCACCGAACCTCCCACTCCAATCGTATCTTCACTCGGAAACGCTGAACTTCGACGGGCTCAAGTCGGCAGTATATCTGGATTCAATCGCTGCGTCGAGCGTTCTTCGAAGAGGGAATGGTCGGTTGTCCACGATCAATGTGTTGTGTCTGGATTGTTGTTGCTTGAGGGTCTCCCGGGGTGTGTCTTGTTGTGTACTGGCCGCGGTGTGCGTACCGTGTGCTCCAGGTGTGATTAAACCGAGACTGACCACAAAGCAGCAGAAGTTGAAACGAGGACTTGGTTTCTCTTGGTTGTCGCTCTTTGCACGATGATTTGAGCTCTCGAACTGCCATATGGTGTTGTTGCCTCTGTCGAATTCATCGTGACCGTCGAGACTGTCCGTTGAACTTCCGCGCACTGGTTATCGATCATCGACGATTCGGACGAAGAATCACAGCAGAACGAACCAAGGAAGACGACACGAATCGTTCAGTTCCAGCACAAAGTCGAATATCACTATCTCCCATCCATTCGCGATTCGCCACCGATTCACACGGGTACGGATACTACGGCGCGCACCGTTTCATACAACTTTTGACGGAGAAGGACATCTGCTGACAAAGCCCCAATCACGACATCCAAAATTACCAATTCCGTACTCAGCCTTGTCATTACGCACTACGTTTTATCTTGCAACGTGTTGTTATATTGCTATCACCCGTTACCGGCTTTCCCGGTCGAGGCATGCGCGCTAGCCCGCATCGTGGGTGCGTTGTGAGAAACTTTCCATGGCTCACTGAAAGAAGCCACCTGCCGAAAAGCGCAAGAGCTGGGATGAATGGGTGGCTCTCCCGCAGACCACAGTCATCGCTGTCGGGAGCGGGAGAAGGAGGACTGGCTGTACCATGGTGAAGCAAGGAACTACGGAGTTCCGGGGTTTCGAGAAGGGGAAGGACGGTAATTAGGCGGACTTGGTATTGGTCTGGAAATAGAAATGATTGGAGCTGGTGAAGTCGTTTGGAGATAAAGGAAGTCAGGTTGTTCGTGATAGCCATTCTGAATAAAATTTGCTTGTAACTCAACGCATTCGAGTTTACGTAAAGACGAGCGCCTTGATCATGCTCAGTGTCTAGCTAAACTCATATGTACATCTCGAAAACCCTCGTGCATAGCCCATCTCAGTAGAACGACACAAAGGAGGAAGAACGTCGCTGAAGGTGCTTTCTCGTCCATGACATGACATGTACAGAACCTCCAACACAGTGCCTCGGCGGCCAAGATCGCAAGGGTTGCGATGGTTCGAGGCCCATGGGGGGTATATTAGACAGCTCAAGCATTGCGGCGATTGTATTCATGATCGATATCATGTATTGTACGTGATGGTGATTCCGTGCTCCCATGAGCAACGAGCGATAGCAACTCTGATCGTTTGCATCAATTGAAGAACCCGTGGCTGCTCTTCTGGTACAGCTCGTGTGTATGGATGAACATGCTTGGTCAGCGCTTTTCATTTGTTCGATCCTAATTGCAATTGGCTAAGTCCGTCCCTCCCAAAGAATATGACGACCCAGCAAAGTTGCCTACCATCCCTCGGGGAAATAGTGCAACATGGGGTAGAGGTCTTCGATGAATTCTGCGCGCACCCAGTCCCCCCCACCCACTACATGGGTGGGGGACCGGTCTGCAGCAAGGAATGATTTGGGGGTGGCTAAAGTTCGAAAGATCAAAGAGCCCACCTCTGGGATCAAGTCGCTATGGAACCGGTAAGAGAGCCAATAAGAGTTTGCGTGGGTGCAGCCGAGTCAGGAAACTGAACGGCGAAGGGCCCCCTGGGAAGAGGTGTTACAGTCGGGACCCGTTCTGGGTCCTAGCGTAGGCGTCCTGCCATGCCACGGTACACCCAATTGGGAAAAAGAATGTCCTATTCTTTTGCATATCTATCCTCCATATGTTCCAATCCAATCGTAGCCGTCCACGTATCTTTGCAAATCATATGTTTGCGTGCACAACTCTAGATCTTGCCGCCTCTTGCAAGTCTTGTATTGTAGCCTCGCCCCCCATGATCGATCGATATTAAAAATAGCCGCGACAGAGCACAGCACTTGAATTAAACCTAAAATTGCGCGCTGCAGCTGGAGACTAAAGTTCAACGTCTAAGACGAACGGCAAAGACAACGAAGAGAGATCACAACGAGAAGAGGCCGGAGGAGGATCACCGGTACCATTACAAGGAAGCACACGACGATCAAAAAGCGTGGAAGACTTCAGGATCCAACCAGAGGAAGGCATACGTAGTGAGGAGACCAAAGAGGGCCCAGCATCTCGAAAGACGGTTCAGCGCAAGAGGGGAGCGTAGAGGAATTGATATCACATCGTGAGGAGAGTCCACAGCATGACAGCAACGGCAAAACTTGGGGGGAAGGCGATTCTAGCGATCCTGACGTTGAGAGTAGTGGGGCAGAGTTTCAGTATCGTAGGTGGGTTCAATCTTTGGCTGGAGACGACAGAAAGAGAGCAGAGGAGTTAGGGAAAAAGGCAGACTTTGTAGTTCTCCGCAAGAGGTGCAATATTCTCTTGGGGCTTGCGACGTGAGACTCCAGTGACGTGGCAAGCTGTGGGAAATATGGCGATCATTTTCACAGGCGGAGAATGCTCTATGTCGTGCCCAAATCCAGTCGATTCAGCTGTTTTCATCACTCTCGAGAACGTGGGACGCTGAAATGCAAAACGAGCCAGGGTGGTCGTAATCTTGCAAATAAGGAAAGGGGGAGAACAATTTCAATGGCATTGCCGCGATTTGACCCTCATTCCCAGGCCTCAGGTCTGCCCTTCGGATTCACCTGCTGTGGACACACCAGAGTGCGACGAGATAATGCTAGCTGTTGAGAATGACCTCGAAGGCGGGACCGAGGTAGCCGGATCACAACGAGTGATGCTACGACTTGAGGAGGATGGAGGAGCATCACTTGTACGACGGGAGGATGAATCACAATGTCAGGAGCAGCATGTACGACGAGTTGGACATTTGGTCGGCAGTGCATATCAAGAAGAGCATGGTGGAGGATCAAGCGGCTCGGACTTTGAATACGAAACTGTCCTTCAGCCTGAGGGGGACTCGCCGTGCCCGTCGGTTTTAGGGATTACTGAGCTGGACGAATCTCCTGACGATGATCATGGGATCACAGCTGCACCAGAAGAACATCATTCTGAGGTCTTTACCGGCTCGGGCACCGTCGACGAGAACGAAAGCAGAGGCCTGCTTGCCACCACTCGTACCTTTGTACGACTGTTGTTTGGCAACAGGCTCAGAGAATCGAGTATCACTCAAAGAACGCCTCCTCAAATCGTTTCGACTGCGCTAACAAGTTCGACTCAGCCATCTTCACCGCACCAGACCATGGTACGAACGAGAGAGTCGGAGCCTGTCTCAGGAGAAACTTTACAAAAGCGTCGTCGATTAGATCTGGAAAACATCGTCCCTGAGTATACTGGGAGGCATGGGGCAATTATCAGCGAAGCAAAGCGTCGGTCAACGATTTCAAGGGCGAAAATGGTGAAGTACCATAAATCCTCCAGGACAGTCGAAGTGTTTGAACCTTTTGATCAGGTTTCGCTATTTGTACCTCCTCAGGACAGATTCCATGGTACGGATGTGCTCAGAATCGATTGCGTTGCTCTCCGAAAGAAGCATGGGGATGCCCATTTCCTTCTCTCAGAGCATGGAGAGTTCGATCGATGGTATCCTACAAATTCCGTGTTGCTATTACCCAGTACCTACCCCTTACCTTTTGGCATTGCAGCAGGTTGTTGAGCAGAGGAATTTCGAGATGCCTCCAAAATCCGAATGGATAACATTGCGTACAGCAGCCCGACTCATCAGTACTGCAACTGCTGGCAGAATCAAATGTGGTTGCCGAACGCGCTGCACATCCAATTGCCGATTCAGAAAGGCGAAGGTGTCTTGTACCAATCATTGTCATCAGGGAGATCTTGCGGGTAAAAGTAGGTTGAGCTGTAGGGGAAGCCAGAGCGACAACGATGAGAGAGTCAACGGGAGGATCAGCAACGAGAGCAGCGACGAAAGGAACAGCACCGGAAGCAGCGACGAAGAGAGCGGCGTGAGAACCCCTACACTAAAGAAAATGATTTTGCGATCCAGGGAACATGTACAAAGCCGGAGGACTATAGAGCAGCAGCGACGAGTGCCAAGGAAGAGTAAGAGGAGTTGTGCCCGTTGTAGAGGTCAGAGGAAGAACTGCGATAAGTATAGACCCTGCCAGCATTGCTTGGCATTAGAGATAGTTTGTAGCACTTGAGCTTTAAGCGCGAGACAATTAGACTACGCCTTCCCACGGTTGCTCCATTTTAAGGTATTAATTATGGCTGCTGTGCTCTGGCATGGACTGTGCTGCGGCGCAAAGGTGCCCACGCCGTAGCGCTACGGCAGCGACTGTGCTGCGGCGCACAACAGATATCACTCGGCCCAACGGGTCTCTGCTCCGAGAGTCGTGGGTCCACCCAATCGACATCCGCTGGCGCTCACTTCACCAGCCGCCTGCGTGTGCTATGTAGGACAGAGTTAGGTAACCTCACTACTGTACGTTCTTTCTACATGCCGGAAAGATTTGTGAGCCTCGTCCAGTGTTGGTCTATCTAATTGAAGCTATTCCCACGTACAACAGGGCGAGATCGACAAGCTTAAGGAGGAGTCCAACAAGTCGTGAAGAAGTTAGGAGACATATATGAAGAGGATAATTAGGAAGAGTTCTTAAGGAGACGGCCCGTAGTGAGCATGAACGGGGTGTGAAGATGTAAGAGATGAATAAGAGTGGCGATTAGGAGAGCCGTAGAAAAGAAGACTATGTCATTTCTTATGTCAAATATTTGAAGTTTGCATCCCGACCTCCGGCCATGCTACCGCAGAGGAACCGCTCGGTCCGATTACCCTAAGGGCGCACTTGGTCTCCCATCCTAACCACGGGTGGGGTACCAGGTGTTGTCAACTAGGGGGAAAGTCCCGTTAGTTACAGCGTGGAGCTCAGCGGGGCTATGAACGGTAGACACCCGGCCGAACTCAGGGAAGATTTGTGAAGTGGTACCAGCATACTCGGCGACTGGAAGCTAGGGCCCCGTAGGGTGGGTCATCGTAGGGTCTGTCTTGAATACCGAGGAAGGCGTACTGCCAGCCGCGAGTGATCTGGAGAAGATGCCAAGGATGGTCATATTTTGCTCAGATTGTGTAAGAGTCTTTTATCTGTCGATGAGAACCTCCACAAGTTCCCAGCCCGCGCCGAAGTTCTGGGTAGTCGAGTTGTTCGATCGATTGCAACGAGGACGGCCGTAAGTGCAGAGGGCAATTGTAAGACAAACGTAAGTGAATACATGTAAAAATTTGACATCTGAGTAGACCCTCAACCGAAATGTCTTCAGTTTCTATGATCAGAACCTGCCCCCGACGCACATACGTGTTAAGCTTAAGGATATCGATGAATTCGGAGGCATGGCAATTGCCATTGTGACAAACTTCCACCACCCAGGATTTGCCCACTATATGTTCTTACGGTGCCACTCCCTATGTTTACTTTCAGGAGAAATCGAGTCGTGAAAGGTCATCCTTTTCTCTGTCCTACTACCTCGTAACCCCAGGTTTGGGCCTGCAACGTCGACGCATCGCTCAGCATGTCGGTGCAGCCATATGATGTACGATACGCCGACAAAAAATATCTCTTCAATTTTTCAACAAAACCTTCCAAACTCTCCTGCTCAACCATACGCCAATCACCTGTGCGGATCAGCGAGCTTCGTGGTGGTTTCGACATCTGAGATCTTGTCATACGTACTTGTGTCAGCCTGGGAATTCGATCAAGTGGTGATATTGTCATCCTTGTATGACGACCCGTCAGCATGAGCTTCTTACAGAAGAAGAATTAAGTTCATGAGTATGGCTAATCGTGGACCATGACGATTTCATCGCTAACATTCTATTCTTAGATATGGAACTCCGGCTTGGAAGCTTAAGCCTGGTCAGGTGTCAAAAACCAACCAAACCGCTACCCTCAAGCTTGCGTCGCCGTTCCGCCCTTCAGATGCCAATTATATTCCAGCAGATATTCATAATCCTTTACGTGGCGGAGTCATCGGTGTTCAGGAGGCTGTCAATACCGCCGATCAAGTGAAGAAGGATACAGAGTAAGTCGAGCCAGCGCATGAGATGATCCAATTGCTAATTCTTGTGCTAAGACCCGAACCGATCGTTTGTGATACAAATCGAAGTATAAGTCCCACCAGAGCAGCTGCGCCTCCCTCCATGTTCTCGCATCATCCTCCGAATGTCAACTATATCGATCCCAATGCCCATAATCGCGCCACCATGCAGATTCGGAGTCGCGAGGAGATCTTGGAGTGCTTGACGTCCTTGTCGCCAGATTACGAGTCAGAGATAGATGCCTACATACCCATATCTTCGCCTCCAACTTCTCCAACGCCTTTGGTGAACGAAGAGGGATCGTCGACCTCAGTCACCATGGAGTTGGACGCAGCCGATAAGGAGCAAGATGTGGCACTTCCAACATCTGCAACTCAACCTTTGTCTTCCCAATTCACGAAGACTATGAGCAACCTCCTTCGCTGCCCGTCCCTAACGCCGTTATCGTGACGGACACCGCTCACGCGGCGAAGGTTGGAGAGGAGGCTTGCGGTGCGGCTGCTTTCACGCACCCTCTTGTTCCGGCAGCAGAAGATGATCTGCATACCGAGCAGCAAGAAACAACAAGCACCGTGCCGAAAGAACTACCATCGCGCTCGCCAATGGACGTTGTCGGCACTGATGATGTGTTGCCTTCCACGTTCGCGAGTATAGCCATGGCGCAAGCAGTCGACATGGTCAAGAATACAGATGATGTAGCCCAGACCTTCGAAAGTCCTGCTACGTCGACTACAACACAATGCCATAAGAGCATCGACACAAGTCATTCTCTCAGTCTTCACACGGCTGAAGACGCCGGTGGAGTGAAGGCCAGCGACCACCCCGAGTCTCCGTCTGCAGCAATGATTGTCCCACCCCAGCGCGAGGAGGAGACGAATTCCACCTCGATCGAGCGTCCAATTACGCCTCCAAAAATCAATTCTCACCCATCTCAGCCCAGCTCAATTCAAGGAGCGGGGGAGCAGGTTGATCGGCTTACAGATGGCGACGCGATGGAAGACGTGGTGTTTGAATCCATCCAGGAATAGCTCATCGCAGGAACATGTGCCGGCTCAGATCCCAGGTACTGTGCCCTGCCCTTCAACCTTCAACCCTCAAGACTCCCGACAGAAGCCGCGAAGATGTCATGCCAAGTGTCGGGAACGCCGAGGATAAGGTGTCCAGCAAGCAACTTGCTGCACATGACACAACGTCTGCACCGGAGACAGTCTTGGATGCCCCGAAGCCCGAGGAAGGGTCTCTAATCCCGGAGGTCGAGGAGATCGTGGAAGAAATCGTTGAAGGCACGTTGATAAGATCGTGGACGAGGAAGCAATGCAAGAAGATCTCTCCAACAGATATCTTATGGAGCAGATACTTCGACACAAGGCACGAACTTTGGGTTGGATGGCCGGTGCAGCACATTCCATCGCACAGCTTGCCTTCCACGAGCAACAAAAACGCAGTGGCAACTGGATCAACACAGCGGCTAAGGAGGCTGCTAAAGCGGTCATACAGACTACCGCCGAGTCTACGTCTGCCGAAGACGACCAATCCACTTCGTGGGCGGAGCCGGTTATCCCGGTGAACTCGGCCACGAATCAGAGAGTAGCTGCGTGGATTCAGAAAAGAGCGACCGAACAGTCCTCTCAGCAAAGCTCGAAAGACTGAAAATAATTCGTCACTTCTTTGCCCCGATGAGACCTCTGCTGGCGCGCCAAAGTCTCGGATCGTGACACTTCGGGTCAGCGCAGGAGTGCTAGCACAATACGAGAAGGCAGCGTCTTCGTCGAATAAGAGCACAGCAGAAGAAGAGTCAACCGAAAAAACGAGCAGTTCGGTAGAGCCAACCCCGGCGGCATTCGAGAAAGCTGTCAACATCTGCCGTAGTTGCGATAGATAGTTCCCTTCACCCCAACATGCACTGTAGCATTACAGAGTTGCTCATGACCGCCAATGGTTATTCCAATGTCCAGTCGCCACATGTGGAAGAAAATGGACGAACATATCATATGTGACTGAACATTGTGTTCGAAAATACGCTAAGCATGAGACCAGCATCGCTTGTCCAAGCATGGCACGTTACCACACCTTTGCTACGCAAAATGTTCTGAATTCACATGCCAGGAAGGTGCATAAGATGGAAGTTGTTGATGGCGTGATGGTTGGGGGTTGGAATTTGAAGTCCTTCAACTGTAGCTGTGGTAAGACTTTTCCAGATGAGATGAGAATTGTCCAGCACTTGGTCAAAGATCATGCGGGGCAGCCGAGGTATAAGTGCCCGATCCCTTGTTGCGAGCTCCTAACGTCGAAAGTCGAAGATCTGATCCCGCATCTTCACAGACGAGAGCATCTTGGGAAGAGGCCGAAGGTCTGTTATGAGTGTAAATTGCACTTCTTTGATCTGGGTTTGTACACGGCACATCGGTTATCGGTCAAGTGCCGAGGCAACGCCGGTTTAAACAAGAAGTCGGCCGTTGACTTGGCAACGCGTTGCGGATTTGACTTCTTGGGCTCCACGTGAAAAGATACGTGAAGCTGGACCGTCTATGACGAATTCAAGTCTTCCTCAAGCGCCTATTTGTCCGCACGGTAGAAATCCTTCTCTTGAAAGAGGTGAAGGCAGCCCAGAAGATGATGCTATCGCCGCTTTGTTACAGCTTGGTAGTCGCATTGATCATACGTCACGAGTAAGGTTGATCTGAGACGAGGGAGCAGCGGAGGAAGGAATGTTTGTTCGAAGACATCTTCGATGCAAGAGACTGTGATGGAACCTGGTCATGACATGCTTGGATGACATCGAGTTACAGTATGGTACGTTCTACAGGGAATGATGCTCCGACACGGCTGCGCGCAGCGCTGCTGAGAAGGATATTCCACGTCATATTTAGGCAGTTAGATCTACTTTTTGCTATGTAGGAAAATAAGATTCAGGTTATGTTTATCAAACTCAAATCCATTTCCGCGATGCCCTGGACAGGTTGTTCTCACCTGCTGTAGTCTTGTGTCTAAAATTCCCCGGTTTCAAACAAACTTCCCCGACGCTTGAGTTCCGAAGGTTTCCGGAGATACACCTTCCTCCTCACTACCCACAGGTGTCTGTCCTCTCACTTGTCACCCTGATAGTCCTCCGCTGCGTATAGCTAATTGTTTGTGTTGTATACCTACGCACACTCTTTGCACGGTTGTGAGTGCACGTGTGGCGAGTATGAGGAGGTCCGAGCACCGAACATCGAATTGCCGAGGGACATTGAGGGCTCGCCAGGCAGCGTAACTGATGAGGATTGTAATATCATGAATGAGGATTTGAAAATACAATGGCATCCATATGATACGCTATAGGGTCTGCTTAGGGCAATCTCCAGCTACATTACACTTACACATACATGATCATCATACGGCCCGCTAGGATAACGGCGATTCGAGAGATCCTCCATCCCGAAATATCCATACTATGCTCATCAAACCCTTCCAGCAACTACTCATACCACTACTCGTTCACAATCAACCGCACTCGACAATCATTTCGTCGATCGCCATACCCTCCTCCGTCCCAACTTTCTTCGCACTCATCAACTCCTTCGTGAACTGAAGAACGTGGCCTTTCGTGAATGCTTTCTTGAGACCCAAGGTCGCGCTTTCCTCACTCTCCGTAGTCGCTGTGATCCACACAGCTGTCAGCATAGCCAATTCGCCATTGCGATCTTGCCAGGTGTCCTTATTTCAATGAAGTCTGACCTTGGCAAGTCGCGTGAGCGCAGCCGTGCTCGGGGGATGGAAGACCCAGAGTGATTTCGTGAAACAATGCAATTGTGATTTGAATATTTTCACTGTCGTAATCAAATTTTAATAGCTACCGATACTCAATGAGTCATTCCGTCTGGACATAGGCCTTTCACAATTACTCCCACGCTCATGATCGCCAGCCATACGTATACGTACACCCTGCGACCCGTTACCCGTTACCCGGCAAGAAAATGTCCTGACATCTCCGTAAGTACAGTTGTCAGTTAACAAACGAGATGGTTTAACCCCGGCAACGAGTATCAGTCCGTTCCCAGAAATTCTCGTAATTTGCTCCACAATGCTCACAAACACTCCGGGGTAAGATTGAACTGCTGCATTCGCTCAGTTGCAACCATATATAGCAGAATGCAAATGTGATAACGATATCTTCGGTATGCACGCCTGGTGATAGTACGTGGGATATGTACATACCCGATGCTACACTGCGTTCACATGCCCCTTTTACCCAATACCCACGGGGACCCGCCTGCCACACGTTCGTCTTCACGGCCGTCTAGTCGGCTCATTACCCGTCCTCCTTCCATCGTATGCCCGTCATCGCTTGTCCATCCCCTCTCGTAAGGTAAACGTCTCTCATGAGGCGCACGCTCCGCGTCTTGCATATGTTGCACCTTCCTCCTCGGTACTCTCGCCCCGCCCCTCGCACTCTTTTTCCACTCACACTGGTCCGGGGCACTCCTCGCCTCGCATGTTCTACATACGGGAAGTTTTGCGTCACACTTGACTTTTCGGTAACGGCAGGGGAGGCAAGCGACACGGGCCACGCGGCGAGTAGGTGTGGATTTCGAGTTTGGAGTTGCGAATCCGGAAGGTGGTATTGAGGGTGATACGAATTCTTGGAATGAAACGGATGCAAGACTGGACGACTTTGAGGAGGATTTGCGGTGACGCTTGATCTTATCGGTCGAATCCCATAGCCCGCTTTCGGAAAGGGGGGCAGGCGAGCAACTTGAACCGCTGTCAGAGAGTCGGGAGGAGGATGCGGGTGAAGATTTATAGTCTTGTCGAGGTCTGAAGGTGTTGGATGAAGCAGCCTCTGAAGTAATCTCCTTGACTTTCTGTAACTTCGCCTCCTGCACCTCGTTTTCCAGAAAAGCAGCGCGGTCTGCCAGCCCCTTCACAACCTCACCATCGCGTTCAGGTGAATCAACATCCATCACATCCGCCTTGTCTCGCGTATCCAACCTTTCAAGGGGCAGCATAACATGACGTTGACGAGGGAAATAATACGAGTCCTGCAAAACGTGTAGCTTCACACTGACTTGCCGTAAGAGCCGCGGTGTCCGATTATCTTTATCCTCCACCCCTCGCCAACCCTCAGGAACCGAGTGACAGCATCTGGAGTGGTGATCACGCTGATCAAGATGGTGGATGAAGTCCGTATGTGAAGAGATGCCGATGGGAGGCGTGAAGCGAGGTTCTTCCCATCTGCCGGTTGGAAGCAATGGATCAGGCGTATGGAGCATATCCCGAAGAGATGGCAACGTAGGAGCATCGAGATGTGATCTGTTGCCATGCTGATCCTCGTTCGGCTCTGAGGGACACGAGTCCTCGACACCCGTGACGCCTGTTGGTCTTGCCGCGCAGGAGGCGAGGAGGGAGGAGACGCGATTGTACGACATGATCCGAGTCGAAAAAGCGGCCTTGACAGCCTTGAAAGCGAGTTCCTGAGGTCGAAAGATCTAAGTGGAGGCTGTGTGTTAGATGTCTGCCTAGGTTTTTGAGCTGAGGTCATATTACGCAGGCCCCAATTCATACGACTGTCCGCCGGGCCGAAAAAATAGTGCTGGTTGCGATGCGAGTAATGAAGGTAGGGTTGGTCCATATCAATGGTTCAAAGGGTTTTGCATTCGGCCTATGATCATTTCGCTACCCATGAATACCTTTGTCGTACGGTTGAGCTATGTCGATGTGCGTCGTCTCACTACATGAGCAGGCCATCCTGATCGCCACGAACCTCATATACCTCAGGTATCTTCATATGGTAAGCTCTCCTAATCCAAGGCGATTCCAACGATGTACGGGTTGCGTGGCGGATACTGCACCGCCACAGTAGCTATTCTTAGTAACGGCCCGTGCGACGTTGTGAGTGCTTGAGGAACAGGAGAATATTATTGTGAAGCAGTTCAATTCAATTCAGTAGTCGAGGTCAAAGTCACCGCCATGGATACGACAGAGGATTTTTCTTCCCTGACCGTCGCTGTCCTTCGCGAACGCTTGAGTGAGCTTGGCTGGTCGACCCGTGGGTTGAAGAAGGATTTGGTGGAGAGATTGAAGGATGTGCTTAAGGAACAGGAGAATATTGTTGTGAAGGAGGAGCCAGTGGAAGAGCTGCCAATGGTGGAGGAGCGGAGTGCGGATGCATACATTCAGGAGAAGGTCAAGATATGCGACGCGGTTGTTCAAAGTGTTGTAGAGCTGACATCGGCCTATAGATACCTGAGCCTCAAAATCGACATGAGCAGGAACAATTTCATCTTCACCCTCAGCATATGGAACCGACTCCGGAAATGCCGCACCCAGGAGTCAACACCCTTCCGGCACCTGTTGAGCTCACCCCCAACAATCCTGTCAAGGTTCTGATCGAAACTCTCCAAAATCCAGAAGCAGAGTACCATAGGGATCTCGTCACAGCCCTACGCCAAGTGCTTTCTGTCCAAGAAACAGGGATGAATGCGCCGCTTTTGGACGCGAGCACTGTCATCGCGTCGAAGAAAGAGAGGAAGGAGGTGGCGATTGATCCGAAGACTGGGCATATCTTGATATCCAGATTCAAGAGGAGTGAGAAGACATTGGATAAGTTTGAGAGACTGAGTGAGGAGGTTAAAGACGACGTTAAGACTGGTGCGATGGTGGTTAACGATGCGGGGAGTACCGGGACGTTCGATGCGTCGAAGGATCAGATTGCCTTCGCCAGCAAGGTCGCCGCTGCATCTCAAGTCTCGGTTACGGAAAGGAACAACAAGATTTTGACGATGGACATCCTGGGCGAGACAGAAATATCTGCACCAGCTGCCGTTACCGCACCGACACAAACGACTCGACGCAGTGCCAGACCCCGAAAAGTCGTTTCGGACGATACGACTCAGGATATCGACATGGACAAGGAGAACAGCATCTGCAAACTGACAGAAGCAGATTTCGAAAATGTCACTCAGAAGATCGAGAAGCTGCGCATCACGGCTCCTGCACCTGTCCCCATCGCCACGCGCCGTACGCGCAAGAAAGCAGTGCTTGACGATGGGGTAGGGAACATCATCTCCGCTTCCAGTGTTAAACAGGAGAAACCTGTTTCTCAACAGAAACCCGGTGTGGTCATTAAAGAAGAGCCAGTGGACGAATTCCCAGCTCCATTCGCCAGAAGCAGAGCTCGGACTATAAGATCAGGAGATGCGAGGAGGAATGAGGAGGACGATTATACGGGGATAAACGGCAAGGAAACGGATGCGGTCGATGGGGTGAAGGTCAAGCAGGAGGTTGTCGAGAAAGCTTCTGTAAGGGAAAGGACGGTACGGGAGACGAGATCCAGGAGCACGAGGAATCAGTGATGGAGTCGATAGGTCTAGGGACGAAGGTAGGGACCACACACGATACATTGTTTATCGTATATGAAGTCTAGTATACTCTTATCTGAATTTCGGGGAACCCTACTACCAATGCCGTGGCATCATGGAACTCCTGCGCTCTTCCGACCGGACCCCGTGGGATAGTGACGAATGACCTACATAATTCAACCCTAACACTGACCCTTTTAATATCCAACGCCAATGCTTCACCTCGAACAACGTCCTCCCAAGTGACCTCCCTCCACTTACCCTTCGTTCCAGCACTGTTCACCAGGGGTGTGTTGGAGGCTGAGCGCGGTACACACGTTGCAATCCACACATGCTCATCAACTTCCTCCAACCCAAATGACCACGGTTCGACTTGACCATGAACCTGAACTTTCATGCCCGCGCTCCGACATTGATGAAGTTGATGGCTGGAAGGTCTGGGACGAGGCTTGTTCCAGTTGCTTTGACATATGACTCCTTTAGCGCCCAATGCCAGTAAAATACTTTTAGTTTTTATTTGTGTTCTTGATTGCCTTGCTGTTGTTGAACTCATCCTGGGAGAACACCTCATCGAAATCATCGAGCCATGACTCGTCTTTTGGGATATCCTTGAGTCCTGGAGAAAACTGCGAGATGACAATGTCCACGCCGACGCGCCTGCTGCCCTTTGTATCACCCACCAATGCGCCATATCCGCCTTGGTGCGAGACGTTGTAATCCACTGCCTTCACCTCTCTTGCATACAGTCCGCTTCTGTACAGGTCAATAGATGGCCGTCCTCCCACATCACGGGCCATCCTAATTTTGTGAGACGGGGATATTGTACTGTGCTGCAAGGAAGTAATGTTGTAGCAGAGCGGACGCAAGTGCATGTTACCGATCCTGATGGAAGTGGTACGACATAACTCCTTTATGCAGCGGCTCAGGTATCAGCAACATAGCATGATCGGACTATGAAAAAAAGTTATCAGCCATCTTCCATTCCGGTCAAATATACTCAAGCAATTCCTACCGATTCAGCATCATTCCACACCGACCGAACATCCATTCAAACCCTCACACACCCATCCACGCCCATCATCCCATTTCTCTTGAATTCACCACCACACTCCCTCATCCACACCAACCTCTGAAACCGATTCAACCCATCCACAAAATGCCGGCCCGCTTCGTGTTGCTCCAGTTGTAAAAGTAGGTTCGAAGTCATTTCGCGGATGTGCGGGAAGGGGTGGAAGAGGCCCATTGCTAGGGGGCTGAGAGATTGTCCGGGAGTGCCGTCGGTTGTTTGGTAGGCGAATGCGGTGAGGAGATGGGTTAGTCGGTCTTTGGTGAGGTCTGAGTCGTCGTTTGGGATGGTCAAGTCGTGTAACGCGGCGTAGATTGCGGCGCTTTCTTCTGGACCCAGACTCCGTGGGACACGCAACCGATCGACCTGGTACACCAAGTCGATGCCCGGCAACGGTACACTCTGTCTTGCCTTGGCTACATCCGCCTGGTAGTTTCGCCAACTCTCCGTGCCGCGCCATGCTTCGAACCGTCGCCATCCCGTCGCAAGCTCCCTCATCTTACTACCCTCATCCTTCCAAACCCATCCACTCCCCTCCAACCCAGAAGCAGAACCCCTCGTCGCCGGGGCCGATACCTCGAGAAGTGAGGAATCGTGGTGGATGAGCTGGAAGTACGTCGCCGACATCCGGACAAACCTCGACAAAAACGCACGCCAACGGAGACGAATAGCATGTTCCCCATAATGCGCCGCAATCATCGTCAACAACTCCTGTACCGTTCCCGTCGCGTCCGTCGGATCCTGCACACCCCCAGTTCCTCCTCCAGATTCCCGGATGTATGGAGCCAAGATGGGGGGACAGGACATGGTAGGCGTTAGGGGTGCGGCAGAGGGTGATACGGTGATTCGACCCGTTGAAATATCACAGAGGAGATCCCACCACTCCACATGCCTCTCCCAAACCAAATTCGTGACACCAGCGATGTACCCCCTCCTCCTCTCCCCCTCTTTCCCCACCACGTCCTCGACACGTGAGAGGTTCGTATACGGAAATGCGCGATCGACGAAGCCCCGGAGGAGGCCCCAGCCTGAGGCGAATGCGATGGCGGCGAGGACGTAGGAGGAGACTGTTGAGGATGGGAGACCGTGGCCGAGGAAGAGGATGCGGCGGTTGGAGAGGAGGGCGGAGAGGAGGGTTGTTAGGGGATGGGGGTGGTTGGGTGGGGGTGGGTGTTGGGAGAATGTTGTGAGGAACGTGATCAATGAAAACTACACATAAGGATTAGCACGGGAGAGGGTAGTCAGGAGGAAGGGTGACTCACGTCACCGACGATTTCTGGGGGAGTGGAGAGGGGGATCGACATTGGGACCGAATGGCCGCGGTAGTCCACCCTCGTCTGCCAAAAATGCGTATCCTTCGCCCCTCTCGGTCCTTGCGCCCCCTCTCCCCCTCCAAACCTCTCCTCAAACATATCCTTCCTCTCCGTACTCCCCAACAACACCCTCTCCCCCCCAGTCAACCTCGGACACCCCTTAACATCCATCCGATTACACGCCTCATAAAGCGTCTGTAGGGTCGTGGTGGTGGGAGAGGAAAAGTAGTCTGATAAGGCGAGGAGGAGGAGAGGTTTGTAGATGTGGAGGAATGGGTGAGGTGTCAGGAGGGCTATCGCCATTGTTTTTGCTCCGCGGCGGGCGGAGGGGATGGTTTTTGTGTTGACGAGGTTGAGGACGTAGTATAATTGAGTTTCTTTCTCGTTGTCGGGGGAGGTTGGTGGTGGGGAAGAGGAGGAGGATGAGGATGTGAGAGGGATGCGGAGGAAGAAGATTGTCCAGTCTTCGGAGCGGGTGTGGGCTTGGTCGGGGAGCATGAGTTCTGCCAGTTGTCTACTCAGACTCATTAGATCTCGAAATGCGAAGAAGGAGCAGAGAAGGCATACCCATCCTCATAACCTACGGGCGCCGGGTACTGATGCGACACCGTCGACCCAGCATCGATATCGAACTCTGCCACGATGATATGACTGACATGGTTCGCCTGTTCCATCCCGTTTCCATTCACATTCGCTCCATTGCCCAGCTCCATTGCCCAGCTCCAACCGTCTTTCTGGGGTAACCGAGAGCGTTGCCCCCAACAACGACGTGCATGCTCATCAACCGCACCACCAAAACAAATCTCGACAGTCGCTACAAGATACCATAAGATGCCAGTAGCAGCATCAAAGACGTCAACAATGACGATGTCTGCTGCGGCAGCAAGTAAGGCCGTTAAGCAGCTCGAGGTGTTGGAGACGTGTTCGGCTGCGATGGTACAGGTGTTGAAGGACGCGCTCGTACCGGAGAAGACGGCGTCGGGTACGCGGTCGACGGCGAGGGCGTCTACGGTATCTATGACTGAGAAGGGGGAGCGGATAGCGTTGGCGGCAAAGACAGCTAATACGGCTTTGACCACGCTCACGAACCTCGTCGCTGCGCGGAAAGCTTCGGGAGACGCGGCGAAACCCGACTCGGTACAATCAGCACGCGTTGGATACGTCGTCGAAGCATTTAAACTGGCATTACCCATCTTACGAATGGAACGGGCATCACTACGGGGGCCATTGGATGCAGAGAGACTACACTCGAACCTGATCAATAAGCTACGCGAGCTGGATATGGTCAAGGAAGCGCTGTCAGAGTTATTCGTGCTGAAGAAACACTTACTGGAACACCTGAACGAGGCAGACTCCGTACTGGAGACCACGTCGGCACCGAAAACACCCGCACGAACAACCCGCTCAACCCGCACCACGAGCACCAAAACCCCGACATCCCGATCAAGCACCACCAAATCCACCGCTACAACCACCAAAGACCCAACAACAATACCATTAACATCAACAACAACAACAGACCCAGCCTCCCTCCTCCTCTACCCCTTCCCCCCCCCACTAACCCCACCCTCCCCCTCCATCCTCCCCCTCATCCTCCTCGCGCAACTCAACACCCTCCGTCTCCTTACGCGGATTCCGAAGTTGTCACTTACGCCGTCTCTTTCATCTGCGATATCGGTTAGTCATGCACATGGTCCCGTTGCGTGGGCGCAGTTTGCGAGGAGTGGGGAGGGGGGACAGGGGGACAAGGCGTTGGGACAGGTGTGGGGTGTTGTTGTTAGGATTGCCGAAGGGAGAGGGTTGTTGCCTGAGGATCGCGTCGAAGTCGTCACACGCGCTATCGAGATTGCGTTACTCCTTCCGAACCCAGACTCGACCATGCTCAACGCCATCCTCGAAAAAGCCCTTACGCGCGCCTCTACCTCCCCCTACGACTCAATCACCCGCGCCCTCGGAACTCTCCTCGAGTGTAACGACGGGGGGCTGGGGTTGACCCCAAGCGTCGAAGTCTGCGCAGCCCTCTCATTCATCGCACGCTCCTCTAACAAAGTCTCGGAAGCACAGATATGGACCGAGCGCGCGAGTCGGACGACCGGGATAAGTGTCTCAACAAGGATTGCGTTGGCTGCGCATCAGGCTGGTCTTGCGCTCGAATCGAGTGGTGGTGGTGGTGATAAGGGTGGAGAGGGGGTGGAGGGGGTGGAGGAGAAGATGATGATTGTGGAGGGGTTTTTGAGGCATGAAGTTGTTGAGGAGGGGGTGGGCGGGCAAGAGTGGGAGAGGATGTTGAAGAATATCGAACTTTTACGTTCGCGGATTGCCAAAAGTCACACGAAGGATCAGCCGTCGAGGTGGGGGGAAGTGGTGTGGGGAATGGTCGAGTTTTTGAAGAGGCATAGGGAGGTGAACGTGGGGGAAGGAGGATGTGGGGGTGAGTGGTTTGGGAAGGTTGGGGGGTGGGTTTTGGAGTATGCGTCCACCCTTGCACGGGCGGCGTTTAAGGTTGAGGATGCCACGACGTACACCAAGGCGCATGAGATGTTGACGCGATGCACGACCCTCGCTACCATTCCCACTCTCCCAATAGCAACAGGGACGTACCTCTCGAACACCTTCTTCAATATTGCGGTTCTACTGCACAACGCCAACAGACGCGCAGAGGCGATCCCGTTTCTGAGGAGTAGCGTCGAGGTTGCGAGGGTGGTTGGTGATACGGATGTGGGGAGGGTGACGAAGAAGTTGGAGTTGTTGAGTTATTGTTTGTATGCGGCTGGGAATTTGGAGGAGGCGAGGGTTTCGAGGTGGGACGGGTTGGGGATGTTGTTTGACTCTGGTGTTGGTGGTAGAGGGGAGGGAAAGGGAGAGATGGAGGGGGATGGGGATGGGGATGTGTTTGGGAGGGTGGCGTTGGTTGAGGGGTGGAGTGGGAAGGAGAGGGAGACGCTTGCCCGCTTCATTAGCGAAGCCACCAAAATCTCCGTTCACATCTCTCCTGACGCGTCGTTGGCGTTGCCGGGGATGGATAAATTGGATACGGGGATGAGAGGAGCGGTGTTGGAGTGGCAGTTCAGGGTTATTAATCGTGGTGGTGTTGCCGTTACGAATGTGGGGATGATGAGAAATGCGGTTGGGTTGGCGTATGAGGCGTTGAAGTGTTATGAGGTGGGGAAGTGCCCGGTTAGGAGGGGGAGGGTGATGAGTAAGCTCTTGCGGTTCGTCGCTGATGATGTTCCGATTTCGGTGCCGTTTGATGTCGTTGCGGTGGCGGGGAAGGTTGTTGACAGGCTGGAGGAGGGTGAGTTGGGGGATGATGAGGGGTTGAAAAGGTATGCACAGGTCGTCTTGGGCTCCCTGAAAGGTTGGATCGTACAGATTGGATATCTACGAGACGAACCTGATGTCGAAGGTCTCACCGCGGCTCTGCGTGTGTGGAAGAATGCGTTACTTCCATCCGAGGACGCTGTAGCCAGGAAAATCCATGATACCGTCGCCGAGCACGTCGAAGATCCCGAAGCGTTGTTCGGGCAGCTGGGGATGTTGAAAGATTTGTGTGGTTTCAAGTCTTTGCCGTTTCAGCGGCTGAGTGTCTTGAAACTCATGATACACATCCGGAAGAATGCTTCTACTGCGGAAACAAGGAGCGATTATGTCGAGTTGAGTGCTGCGTTGGGATTGCAGTACTGCAGAGTTGGGTATACCGGAAAAGCTGGGATGGTCTTCGCTAAGAGTCAGTCGTACGTGAAGGAAGCAAAGTGCTCGGCGTCGGCTATGATCGCCTGGGAACTGGCGTATTGTGAATACCTGGTCTCCATAGGAAACGTGGATAAGAGTCGTGAGCATTACCGTGCCGCTGGTGCTCTTGCCGATAATCTGGCGGATCTTGAGGAGGGGGTCCATGGAAAGCTCAAAGCGCAGAGAAAAACGATGCGGATATACTTGATTGCGAGTGCGGCGTATACGCTTTCGAGAATATTGTTTGAGAGTGGGGGTGCGGTTGAGGCGACGCTGCATGCGGATCATGCGATGAGGTTATTGAAGAGGGCGTTGAAAAATGCGGCGATGTTGTCGCGGAAGGAGAAACTTCTTGAGACTGTGGCCTCGGATGCGATGGAGGATAATCCCTTTGCGGAGCCGAAGTCGGACGCGTCGGAGAAGCCGAAATCCGCTTCGAGGTATCTCGATGAGGATGCTCAGATGGCACAGTTTTATTGGCCGATTGTGAGTGCGTGGTTGAACGTCAATGTACTTATGGGCGAGCTGTACGTCCATCGTGGAACACCCAAAGCAGCGCAACATTACTTCCAGGTGGCTCTTGAAGCAGCTAGGTTTGCCAATGCGAATGTTGATGTGGCACGTATCCTATCGGTTTTGGGTGACTTGCATGCGCGATCAGGAAACCTCGACATGGCTAAGCAGGTCTTGGAGGAAGCGTCCAACTTGCGACACCAACTGGAGAACATGAAGGAGAGCGTGCAGCTGTCCATGTCGATAGCCGGCTACCACGGCCGCCTGGGCAATGAGGATGCTCAGGTCGCGTCTTACCTCGCTGCTGACAAAACCTTGACGCAGTTGATGAGTTCGAGTTTCGTGCAGGGCATGGATGAGATGAAGCCGCTGGATGCTGTCATGGGTGCCATGAACAACATGCAGATCTCGCCTGCTAAAAAGAAGCGGTCCGCCAAAGACGCGTCATTGATGAGTGAATCCACTACGCTTTCTAAGATGAAGGCGGAAGTCTTACGCGCGCTAGGTCTGAAGCTTGCGGTACAGGGGCAATTCGATGATGCACACACGCAGTTGCAAGAAGCCTTGCATCAGACCGGTGGTGACCAGGACATCGTGCTGCAAAGGCTGGCGGAAGCAAAGGTGATGTTTCTGCAAGCTGTAGATTTGCTGCGGTCTGATCCCGTACTTTGTGTGCTTCAAGATGCCGCAATCTCGTTGCCTAGCATTCAACACGCAACAAGCGATAAGTCATCACCAAAGGTCAAGGCCGCCAAGACACCTGCAAAGAGTCGTCGCACTGCTGCGAGCAAATCACTAGGGGCTCCGTCTGAGATAGGTTCACTGTTGTCAAAGTCTCGAGATGCCCTTGTCGAGGTGTTCAAAAGCGCCACCAAGACCTGTCCAGCTACTACCGTGCAGGCGTTGTCGTCCTTATTGGGGTCAATCATGGTTCTCCATTACGCGATCGCTTTGCCTTCTCAAGGTCATCCGGCTCGTCCGAGTGTTGTGCATTACTTCCTCGACAGTTCCAAAGGCATCACACTCGGTCGTGAACGAGCGTTCTTTGAAGCTGAAGAGAGATTACGTGAGCAGTTGCAGAGCGTAAGGGGGAAGGACTTCGATCTGGGATGGCCAACTCACATGAGGCTTGCTGCGGTTGACCCTACTACTCCGCTCCGCTCATCTGCTCCTTCCTCTCGCGCACTGGATGGGACTCCTACAAGGCCTCCTCCCGGCGATGTTCCACACTTCCAGCAGGATTTCATCGACATCATCCCATCCAACTGGATGGTGATTTCCGTTACGCTCAGCGAAGACTTGACGGAATTGTACATTGGTAGTGTTCAGTCCGGGCAAGCTCCATTGGTGCTGAGGCTTCCGTTAAACAGACATGCTGGCAATGATGACGAGGATATGGACTTCTCGTACGAGACAGCACTCAAGGAGCTTAAGGATGTCTTGTCGTCCAGTAACGCAAGTACGAAGAGAGCGAAGGACATCAGAGATCGAGAAACCAAGTTGGCTTGGTGGAACGAGCGTATAGCTCTGGATGCACGATTGAAGGTGTTGTTGGAGAACATCGAGCTCTGTTGGCTGGGAGGGTTCAAGGGCATTTTCAACAACCGCAAGAGCGATGCGAAGTTGTTTGCCCGATTTCGTGCATCCTTCGCGCAAATTATGTCAAAACACCTTCCTTTCTGCCGCGGACGGAAGTCAAAGGCTGTTGGTGATATCGACGCCCGCCTCCTAGAGCTCTTCATCGCGCTGGGCCCTCCGCCGGCAAGTGACGTGGAAAATGACGAGGACAAAACTGCGGAGCTTTTGGAAGACATCATATATTTCGTTCTCGACATCTACCAGTTTCATGGCGAACCCATCGCCTACGACGAAGTCGACATCGACCAGATGGTGGTGGATCTCCAAGAAGCACTTCGCTCATATCACGAAGCACTCGGGAAGGTGAAAGATCACGAAGAGGCACACCTGATTCTGATCCTGGATAAGTCAGTGCAAATGTTCCCTTGGGAGTCTTTGCCAGTCATGCGAGGTCAGTCGGTCTCGCGATTACCCTCTTTGGCAGCTCTGCGCGAACGACTGCAGCGTCTTTCTGGGCCAGAGGAAGATTCGGATGACGACGAATCTTGCAATGGCGACCGACAGACTGGTGATGTCGTGGTCCGCAAGGAAAGTGGAAGTTTCATTCTCAACCCTTCAGGAGACCTCGTAAACACACAGAAGGTCTTCGCTGACAAGTTTTCCAATCTTCCTGGATGGACGGGAATCATCGGACGTACACCCATGGAAGAGGAGTACCGACGTGCGCTGACATCTCCGGATATTTTTATTTACATGGGACACGGCTCTGGCGAACAGTACCTTCGATCAGCTGCCCTGAATCGTCTGAAAAAATGTGCCGTTACTTTACTTATGGGTTGTAGCAGTGGTGAACTGAAAGAAGCTGGTGACTTCGAGCCTTCAGGAACTGCGCTGAGTTATGTCATCGCCGGGTGTCCCACGCTTGTCGCCAATCTGTGGGATGTTACGGATAAAGACATCGACCTTTTCAGTGTTAAAGTACTCGAAAGATGGGGTTTGCTGAAAGAGGACGAGACGAAGAAGCATTCCAAGAGGACGGATGCGGAGGAGAAAACTTCTTTGGTGCGAGCGGTGGCGTTGTCCAGGGATGAGTGTACATTGAAGTATTTGAACGGAGCGGCGCCAGTCGTGTACGGCATTCCATGTTATTTGAAGTGATTTGAGAAATCATTTGTATGTTATGGAGAACTACAAAGGGGGCATTACCGGACATCGTTTCTTGGGTTAGGCGTTTGTCATTCCGTACAGCAGTCATAATGGGCGTAGAATGCCATTGATAGATACAACTGATACTATGATACGTTTGTGATCTTTCTTACGTGCTTCTCAACCTTACTTGTTGTGCCCTATTACTAGTACATCGACGGCCGATGGCATGGGCCGTCCGTTTGGGGCGCCGCAAACCCGTCTATGGGAACGATCGGCGGATGCGGGGACGGCCCATGCCCTCCGGGGATCTGCGCACTAACCTGCTAAGTTCCTACAGCCTACTCCCTCGTCGTCGTCCTCCCTCGTCGTCGTTCAGCCTACAGCCTACAGCTTCCAGCCTACTCCCTCGTTGTCGTACTCTCGTCGCCGTACCCCCTCATCGTCGTACTCCATCCTCGTTCTTTTCCTGTCCCTTAGGCCCATTGTCATCTAGTTACCAAAGGATGGAGCCCTTACACCTTGAACGTGGCTTGGGAGTTGTGATATAGGCATCCGTTGCCAGTCTGGTGTTGGCTATAATAGTGGAAACTCAATAAAGAATCATTTCGGCTCTGCCCCTCATCACCTGAAAGGTCCTGCCCTCAAGAATATTCAAGACCGTTTTGCGGAATGGGAAGTTGTTGGATGAAGTGCAGCATCCTCCTGTGCAAGACCAGCCCGTTGAAGCTCTTGCATATCTTCGTGTTCATGATGGTTGGAGTTGTTTGCACTGTGGTTAAGGTCTGAGCGAGAATCAAGGCAATGTGAAGAGACACCTTGGTACGGTACATAAGGTGTTTGGCGGTAAAGAAGGGAGTGACTTTCAACCGTGTCTACTTCAAACACTGTTCCGTGACAAGAGGTCTATGAAATGGTTCCGGGTGAAGCAGAGGACTGACGAGGAGGCCAGGCCAGATGAGACATTGGCACCGGCGATAACTGAAGATCTCCAGACGTTCAACAGGGAGAATGCAGACATCTTAAATGGCTAACGGACCGTTCGGGCGTTTTGGAAAAGTCATGCACTCAGGCCGCGGTTGGTAGTTCGAAGCGCGCGCCGCACGAGAGACGGGACGGCAACGAGCAGAAGCTTGCGTTGGTCAGGAGGGAAGAGCTGCTGTCAGCTAAGTATTGTTTCCGAGAACGTACATGAAAGGTGGTGGCTTCGGGTTGTAGCGATGGCCGCATTTAAGACGATTCTCTCTCGCAAGTCCACGTTCGTAGCATGTACGCAAAGTGTTCGGTGAAACATTTTCCCACGCATTCGGTCGCCATATCGACCCGACTGTGAAACAATGACCAAATTTCCCACAGAGAGTAGGATGCCAGGGAACACAACAGACTTCTTCAGTGCGTAAGACTCTTAGCATGCGGTTCAAGTGAGAACAAATGAAATCTCTAGTAACCCTAACCCTAATTCTACTCTCTGGTATTCTGTAGCGTCCGTCAACGTCAATCAAGCAGCTAGGTGCCGCCTTTCGCGAACGCAGCCTTTTGTGCCAAAGTCGGGTATGATGCGCCGTGATAGGAGCGGATTATGTATCGAAGTGCGGCAAGTGCGGCGGCAGTATTCTTTTATGTCGGGCAATTAATCAATTATATGGCTGCACATAACGTCCTATTAAGCGACGTCACCCATGCATGACTTCACCACAACAGGCCGCGTTTAGCTGACGTCGTCGGAACCCCCCAGCTGGCCGACTTGACCAAAGTTGTGACAGCTCTTACTTCGGACGAGGACCTTGATCAAGATGCTCCAGAGCGCGTGGCCACGATCATCGCCACCGTCTTTCGCGCATTCGAGTGCTACGACCTTCTCAGCCTGAAATATTTGCCGGATCTGCTCATCAAGTTCAGCAGCGGCCTGTATACGGTTGGTTATCGCTCACCCTTATCGTAAAAGATCGCACTTCTAAGCCTAGCCCGGTCGTCAGATAAGTCTATCGTCGAGGTACGAGGCGGACCCACTCGTGCGGTATCATGCAAAGGCGACGGATGAAGGTAGTTCAGGAAGGGGAACGATGCATAGGTCAGCCTGCGGACAGACGAGACACGCCAATCGAGCAATCGAGGAATTGCTCGAATCGTTGTGCGGAGTCGACGAAAGGGAATTCTCGAAACGCATGTCCGACCTCCAGATGCTGGACGTTCGCGACATGCCCAGCATCTCTTGCGAGCACGTCGATGGACTGGAAGACACTCGTGGCATTGCAGCAATATTCGTTGCCTGGACCGGCTCGCGGCTGTAGACCATGCGCTGTCCATCCGAACGAACTGCGTCTATTGGACTCTGGGTGCGGCCTACGACAGGTTCGCGACTCCGTGACACAAGGTGTAAATTTCAATGACGACAGAACACGTTCGCGTTACGTGCTTCGGCGACTTCTCGAAGAGCCTTGGGCCGTCCGCGCGTCCCCCGAACATGGTGGCCGGTGGGTGTCTGCGCTAAAAAAGCGCGTCGAGCGTGCGAGGAAGTTCAGGTCGCTCACGTCCGCGCTGCCGGTCAGCGTGCTCTTCGTTGTGCCGCACATATGCGTCACGAGGTTGGACAAGATCGGATTGAAGCAACTGGCTTTGCTTCCGTCAGCCGTTGTCGCTCACGGTGACAGTTTGGCGGCTCTCTTGGCCCTCATAGCGAGAACCGATGAAGCCGTGCTACAGGGTCTGGTGGCTCTCTCTGGAAAGGGCGGGGACGAGGAAGAGCGTGCGAGTTCTTGTATGGAGGAGTGAAATTCTTCACAGAGTCGAAACCTCTGGGTATTACTTTTTGGGTAATGTCTGCAGGCAGGTATTGTCAAATTCACCTATCACATGGTCGCTGCTGTCTCCCCCAATTCATACGCAGCGTCATTCGTTTCGTGCTTTCTCCCTCAAGGGGCCCTCGTCATACGACCTCCTCCACCGATAAAGCCAAGAAAAAAGTTCACAGAACTTTCAATGCCCCTCGCCTCTATCCAAGGCCATCTTTGATGCTCTACTTAAGCAAAAGAAAAGCACAGCCGTAGCCCATCCCTCAACTCCTACTGTCATGAAGAGTCACACGAACAACACCTCCTCCCCCCTCTGGATTGCTTCTTCAAAGGTCCTGCATGCTCGTTTTCGGCAGCAAGCCTCTCCTCGTCTAGCGCTGGTCTGCCAAAGGGCACTCTATTCATTTGGTTGTCTGAGGGTGGTTTCTGACCGTATCATACGCCAACAGTGTTGCCGACGCCCTGCTTCTCAAGCTTCGGAAACCCGAAGCTGATCGCCTAACGAAGAACAACAGTCACAACGCAGGTTTGACCAACAAAACACGATCGCGGCTTTCTCGGGCGTCCGAACAGACAGGCTGTCTTTTCGCTAGATCGTCTTCACATCCCGACCGGGCCCGGGCATGAACAAGTACTCGCTTTGGAGATGGGACGTCATCGGGCTCGTCATCGCGAAGAAGCCCTGCCCGGACACAAAATCGATGTCATGTTTCAAACGGAAACTACAGAAACTACGATACTCCAACCAATACCAAATGCTGTCTCCCAGATTCTTTCCGTCGCCGACCTCGTTCCCCGAACCAATCCAGTTGTGACTTGAACGAGATCCAGTCGTGCCTAGCCTGTATCACCACGAACGATCCCTCCGAGATCATTCCCATTCCCGTGTACCGCATTTACCTCGAAGAGACGAGTGAAGTTTTGTGGAGACAGACCAGAGCGCAACGTGAAGATACCGAGCAAGAATTACCGACGCATTGAGGTGGAAGAAGGGCCCGGCCTCGGCCCTCGTGTATCATACTGAACCACTTGTGCGGTCCAGACGCCTCCATAAGTGGGGAAACTCATTTCTCTTTCGGGTTCACAACTAATGTGGCCTGTCTCCGATATATCACCCGCACATTCCAGTGGTTCCCGCTCCTACTTCCCTTAAAGGTTTTCCTTAAAGCTCATGCCAATGCCATGAGTCATGCGTAGATTCTGATCTGCAGCTGCAAATGGCCTTTATACGAATTACCAAAGTAGATGGGTAAGGAACTCCGCGGCCGCAGTACCTCCACCTTGGCTACTCGTCATGCGGGCGTACTGCGATGTCTGGATTCAGCTCCAGATCCCCGCGGCCGCAGGTACGGGGGTAGCGCCAACGTTAAGGAGCGGAAAGCGATGAAATACACGTGCACTGGAATTTGATCATCTCGAAATTCACTGTAATTTCTGGTCTTGGCGGTTTTTTTTTCCCTTTCCAGTCGGCACGGTCATTCACTTTCTTCTCGTACAACTTGTATGCCGTTCTTTGAAGTTTCAAGAGGCGGCACATAACTCTTGCCCCTCATCTGCAGCTGGCCACGGCTTTCAAAACTCCCCTTAAGGTCGCGGCAATGGCAACAATGGCCGACGGGCATCGAAATCGGCGCGGGCGGGAACAAAATTCCGAGACCGCATATGTTTCAGAGCTTTATGCCCGCGTATGTCTGCATACGACGTCGGCTAATTGTGACAGCACGTGCACGTTCTCAGCGTACGTCGCATTACTCGATGACGAAAACTTCTCGAGAAGGAGGGAACCGCTGCAGCTACTTACGAGTAAATTTAGATGCGGAGCGAATCCACATCTCGATCGTTGTCGTAGACCGCCCGAACTGCAAGGCAGCCCACGCCCACACCCGTTCGTCATGTGGTCGTCGGCCTTTAAGAGGTAATTGTATCGGAGGAGGACCAGACCGGGCGCAGTATGTCTCTAAGGTCACCCCGTTTGAGTCAGCGTGAAGGGCAACGCCGAGCCGAGCAAGACAAGCAATCCTTCGAGTTGACTCGATGCTACTCCTCACATAACGAACGCTCAACCGAGTTACTACCTTTCCGTCTGGACATTCTGTGTGTTTACATCATGTGGTTACAGCTCCGGCCAGTGGAGCGTGCTTCATGACGTATTAGGCAATCGACGAATTGAAGGGCATCTCTAAGCTTCAGAAGGCTGTATATGCAAGGACGATCTCACCTCCAGAATCCGTCCCCGCTTTTCATTGCCTCGGCTTTCCTGCGTGGCGTGGCCCATATCTCGGCCGTGATTGTTATTACGGTTATTCTTACGGCCCATGTGGCTGGGGATGCGGTTGACAAGAGATGGTATGAGATGAGCCGCACCGCCTCTCTTAAACATACAGCCCGTCAGGGTTTTGCTCGACACTTCCGCTCACATCAGCCGCTCTTAACACTACACTACACCAGGAGCTTCCAAACGCTTTCGACCCGACGAGGGACCGGCCCAAGGACTTCCCTCGGCCGTTCGGCCGTGAAAGACGTTACCTCGGAAGACCTAGCATGACCTTGTCCACGGCTCACGGAGTTCATCGTTGTGGGATTTTAAGGAATTCACTTCTCTCGTGACCTCCGAGACCATTGTTGCAGTTGGTCAGTTGTCCGCTCTGACCTGCTTGAGCATGTTTGACCGACCCCGTCCCTCATTCTTGGAAAGTCTATAAAAGGACGGCCTCCTCTCCGTGTTGTTGGTTCACCATCCTCTCGCAGCACAGTTCGCTACAGACATCACCACCACTTACTTCAACACCAACCGCTCAACTCGATATGCAGCTTTCGACCGTCGTCACCGCCCTCCTCGCTGGCGTTTCATTGGTCTCCGCCACTCCCGTTCCGGAGGCTGGGGCACCGAAGCATCAAGCTGGTAGCTCTGTTTCGATCATCGTTGCTCCTAACGTCGCAACTGGCATCAACCTTGTGAGTTCTTACACGAGAGTGGACGGATGTTCAGTTCCTCTAACAAATGAAATCCAGTGCGCCCAACTCGGTGGAAAGTTCAACACTCAGCTCCAGCAGTGCGTCGTCCAGCAGAACCAGCAGACCAACGTTGGTACCTATAACGGTGGGGACCAGACCAACTCCAACGGGGGTATCGTTGCCAGGTCTCCTGGACGCCATGACGCTCCTCCCCCTGCAGGCCCCGTTGCGGTAGTCGTTGCTCCCAACACTGCCACTGCCGCTGATCTCGTGAGTTCTTGCTCTTGGGCGATATCGTGCTCGTTAACAGTTCCTTGCTAACCTTTGACCCTCTGATAGTGCGCTCAGATCGGTGGAAAGTTCAACACTCAGCTCCAGCAGTGTGTCGCCCAGCAGAACCAGCAGAGCAACTTTGGTACCGCGAACGGAGGGTCTCAGAGCAATTCCAACGGGGGTATCGTTGCCAGGTCTCCTGGACGCCATGACGCTCCCTCCGCAAACTCCGTTACGATCGTTGCCGCTCCCAACACTGCCGCTGCCGCTAATCTCGTGAGTTCTTGCTCTTGGGCGATATCATGTTCGTTAACAGTCCTTGCTAACCATTGACCCTCTGATAGTGCGCTCAGATCGGTGGAGTGTATAACACTCAGCTCCAGCAGTGTGTCGCACAGCAGAACCAGCAGGGCAACTTTGGTTCCGAGAACGGCGGGGACCAGAGCAACTCTAACAGCGGTTCGGTCGGCGGTTCGGTCGGCAGAATCTTCCTCGAGTAAGAAACATGAAGGCTTCCACGTCTTCTTGGTCTGGCTTTCTATTTGTTTTTTCGTTCTTTCCCGGAGTGACGAAACGAGGCGAAGCGACGTGCTGAGTTGAGGTTTTAGTATCGGTGTTATGTACAATCATTTTATCTTCTTACAACCCACCAAGTGCACTGTCCTCGACAATGCGTGCGTAGATCTCCTAAATGCGAAAAACAACCAGTGACCTACGAGCAACGTAAATAAAGCTTCAGCAGATCAAGTAATGGCTCAAAGTGTTTCAGGGAAGCACCAGCAACGACGTACGGGCCTTCGTTAGCACCGGTCACCTGTGCGTAGGCGGTTCCAGAGCGTGTAACGAGTCTTTCCGTGCACCACCCTCCACCTCATGGAACTCCGAATCGAGTCTCTGGTGATCTTGTCGAATACCTCCATAATCATTTCGTAACGCGCCGGCCGCTAGCCGGTGAGTTTCCGGCTCCATTTCCTCCCAGTGCTTGAGGGGGTCAATGACCGTGGGTGGAACAGCGTATCGGTGCGTCGGCTCCCGGGTGAAAACATACTGGGCGTTAAAATCTTCATGATGCGAGTATAGGAGGGGCACGGATAGGTCTTCCGTGATTCCATACACATTTTGGGACTGTTGTGAGGCTCTGACTGGGTTTTCCGGTGCCGATTCACGAGTCATCGGTGAAGCGGGTAGGAGGTTTGGTGGTAGGGGCATCTGCTCCCACAGTGAAAGGAGCCTTTTGTGATCGCCTTATTCTACGGCCAGCACCGCGAGGATTCGTCACATTTGCACTATCGCGTCCAAGACGGACACAATGAGCGCCACACCACAGAGAATTACAAAGCCACCCTCAGGATCCTGAGCGTTTTACCCCAGAAAAGCCAGGATCCAATGCCGAGTGTACCGACAGCCAAGACCCTCACAGAACGGAGTGTACGACAACTGGAAACCGGTTTGCACTGAGAGGAAAGACCCGTGAAGATGAAGCCTCACATGATGTTTGCATCTCTAAAGGGTGTGAGAACAGGGTTGAGGATACTGTCGACGAAGATGAGGAGGCCGATGAGGAAGGAGAAGGAGATCACGGCAGCCAGTGCGGATCACCGAGGAAGCACATCCTTTGCCAGTCATGCCTGTCTTTTCACACACGCCGCCTATCGGGCTGCCCCCTCTCTCCTTACTCAGGACAAACTGAACTTGAGGCATAGTAGAAGGTATACCACGAATTTGCCGGACTAGGCCGCGCACTCTTCGGTCAGGAAAGCGTTAACTAGAATGTCCTTCCTCCTTCGCTCTTCCTCCAAGTTGTTGTCCGTGTTCACTCTTATCACCTCCCTGTGCTTTCCATTTCTTTGTCGGCTTAAGCGGCCTTGACAAGGTCTGGCTTCCGATGCTTTGTCGAATTCTCCGTCTCCAGATGTGTATGCACGCATTGCGCTTGATCCCTTCGGCGAGCAATGACTGAATGGTCCCTCCTCGCCTTACTCTCCTTCGTCCGAGACGTGATGTAGAGAAGGGACCTTTTCTGTGGTATAAAATGCCAGTGCTACGGTAGTTGAGTGTCTCATTGATCCGGGCATATGCATCCGACTACGGGCACCCACTCGGTGATTGAGTTGGGATGCAGCTACAGCGCTCCGTACTGCGAGGCAAGAACGAGAGAAAAAGACACCCTTTTACTTGTAACTTATTCAAACAACCGATCTCTCTTTGGCTGGATGTACTCTCGAGCTCACCGGTGCTGTGCTTGAGGTCTCTTCTCCTACGTGGGAAATGGGTACATCGGTCGATCCACCCGGCCTGACTTATTCTCTGTTTCAGATCAGTTCAGCAGCGCATTGCATACATGCGCGTAATTTAAAGTGCGGGAACCTGAACTGCAGCTGCAAAGAAGCTCCCTAACTGGGAATTGCGGCGATAATTTAAAGTAAATTCCGTGAAGGACTTTAATTGTATCTTTTACCAATTGCAAGAAACATTGCACGGACTGAACCGCTATTCGAGTCAGCATGGGACCCGCCATTCCCTTTACCTACACAGTGGTCTACTGACTCGTTGGAACGAAACACCGCTGGGCGTCCCACTTTCCACCGACTCGAGCACACTGTCAAATGTCAAAGGTCAGCAGGGCCACTCAGCACGCTCTGTACGGAGTACTCACGAGATCGGCAATGTTGGCTGTGCTGGGAGCAACGACTACCGCAACGAGGCCATGGGAGGCCACGCTGCTCCGTTTGACGGCCCCAGCCTCGAGATCCCTAACGACGATGCCACTGTTTGAATTGCTCTGGGACCCGCCGTTCTCGGTACCGATGTTGGTTTGCTGGTTCGTCTGAATCACGCATTGCTGAAGCTCAGTGTTGAGGCTAGTGCCGAACTGTTCGCACTGTTCACGGGCCACTGGTTAGCTGACGGGCTGAAGCACTGAACGTCATGCGAGGACTCACGAGGTTCACAGCGGTCACAATATTAGGGGCGATGATGATGGTGATCGGCTCCCCAGCGGCGGCACTCTGGGTAGCGGAGGCAGAGTAAACGACCACGGTTTCATAAGTGCTTGTAGGAGGCGTGAAGGTTGTTGAACCAACGTCATCGACCAAGGCAACTTGCGAAGTAGTCGAGGTAGGTGTAGGACTGAGAGCGGTTCCGGAGGGAGATGTTGCGGGAGCGGAGGAATTAGCGTAACTGCCGACAGGGAAGCGACTGGAAAAGGGTGCTTTGGAAGGGCTTGCAGGCGTGACGAACGTGTTCTCGGGACGCGTGCCGGTCAAGGGGATCTCCACGGTAGCCTGCACAGTCACTCCAGCAACGACGTTTTCGACGAGGTACGTAGTGGGGGTATAGACAGCCTCAAACGTATACTCTCCCACCCAGGTACTTTGGCCCGAGCACGAAGTCCAGGGCACGGAGATCTGGGTGGTGGAGGGGGAGAGCGTAACCTCTGACCCGCAATAAGTTACAACGGGCGCGTAACAGGCAGGACCGGCAGGAGTGCTGGGAGGGATGTAGTTGGCTTGGCTGTTGGTGATGGTAACGTAGAGCGTCTCCGTCGTAGCTGCTACTGCTGTAACAGTGGATGTAGCAACAACGATATTGGTTTGTTCCGCAACAACAACAGACCCGAAGCCGACGCCCGCATTAGGGGTAGAGACAGGGAGAACGACAGCGCCGCCTTGCCCATTCTGCGTAGTAAGACTAACGCTGGTGCACGTCGCAGTCGTGTTGGTGAGCGTGGTGTTGAATCGAGGGTAGTAAGCTGCTTCGACGGCGTACCTACCGAGGAAGGCCATGGCGTTCACGAGGATGAAAGCTTTGGTGTTCATAGCGAGGAAGCAAGTAGGTTGTGATAACGAGCGATTGGGACCGTTGACAACATGGTGTTTGCCAGGCAGACGGCTTTTATAACCAAGGTGCAGTGAGCGGGCTCGAAGCGGACGGGAATGGGTGAAACAAGATGGGGAACTGAGGCGGAGAAGTTCGGGGGTCTTTTAAGAGCGGCATGTTGGAGCTCGGTCACGGCGTCGATGGCTGCTGTGACCCACGGCACGCTCAGACTTCACGCCGGACGGGAACGCACGGACGTTGCCGCGCCACAGAGCATAATTGTTAAGGATTTTGAATCAAGGAATCAAGCGTACATGTTGGGGATAGTCAAACCTCTGTAGATTTTGAGCAGGATTAGATCATGATCGCGATTACAGTCGCCCTCCCTAACTATAGCTAGCTTTGACCCGTTCATCTTACGCATGGTACCCTGGCTATAGGATTCATTGATAACCGAGCAAGTGACCGCGCACAGACCACATCGCTCGCAATCGGCCGCCGGGGACGCGCTCACCAGAAATCGATAAAACCGCGCAGCTGGGTTAGGGGTGCGGGCCGCGGGCCGCGGCCGTATTCGACACAGGTGTGAAGTCATAGAGACGTGTCTCGGAATGAAGTGTGGTGTTAACGTTATGAGGATACGTGGGGTGGAACCTCAGCCCATGATTTGAGGTTGAGGTCCTACTCTCAGTTGCAATATAGTTTACAATTGCAACATAAGGGAGCCGATCTGTCTCTTAAATATTTAAGACCGTTTACGCGCTTGCTTCGGCTATAGTTACTCCCAACGCTGGTGAGATCGGATGCGTTTCCACAGGCGGCGGCAGCGACGAAGAGGACGAGGATGGGTTACGGGAAGAGAACCCATTGTTCAGCGGCACGAAAGAGCAGTGGATGGATTTCGAAGAATGCTTGAAAGCAGCGGCCGATGCGGACGACAAAGAAGGGCTGAGATCGGCCGTGCTGAAATGGAGCATGACGATGATCCGACAGGACCTACCCGGGTACCGCTTCGAGTCGCCCCTGCTGTCGTACTGCGCCATGGTGGCAGTCAACCGCATTTCCATGGGCTGGAAGGTGCCCGGTAGCTTCAACAGTCCTCTGTAGTTCTCCGTGGGGTATGATCTACTGCGCTCAGCTGCTGGTGTTCCGAGAGGCCTGTCGGCTCCGCGACGGGAATTCTTTGCAGCAGCAACACCAACACTCTGGACGAAATTCTCCGCAGGCTCTGTCGGCGATGGAAGAGGCAGGAGAGAAGCACGACCTCTGGCATCGTCCACAACTGGCGATTGATGCTGTTCAACTTGGGCAAAAAGGAGGTCTCGAGCAAGGCTACCACGCGGAGTCTGGAGGGATCAGAAGTCGGCTACCAAGGCACCACCACCTCCATGGAGCAGATCCCTCGATTGTACCATCGCACCCAGCAGGGGGTCCGTCTCATCATGGATCGCGATCTGGTTTTGGGCGCGGCTTACCCACTCAGAATGTCCGGCACGGTTTTGCAGGAAGCCGAACATCGACACAAGCTGAATTGGTGGTTATCCCGCAAAGACGAAATGCTGCGTGGCCACCATGAACTCCTGATCAAGCACGTCAGGACCACTCTGCCGCTTCGAGAGGCCCTCGGTCATCCAGTCGATTAAGACACTCAGCCACTGACTCCGAAAGGCCTGGGACTTCGCCAGAAAAAGCCTGAAGCTCAGTTGCGAATAACCAACTGAGGGATATGTATCGTACGATTCGGCACATGTACGCAAGTACAACATGCCCTCATCCAATGTTGAGGGTTGTCCTTCGCAACTGATCGTCTGGTGTGATGTCGCGTGCCAAACATACTAGTCACTGTGGTTCACGCCCGACGCTACTCGTCATGCGGGCGTACTGCGATGTCTGGATTCAGCTCCAGATCCCCGCGGCCGCAGGTACGGGGGTAGCGCCAACGTTATATACCCAAAAAGCTGCTTCAACGGTTGCGCCTTGTCGTAGATACAGACAACGTGGTTGTCTTCATGACCTCCTGTTACTGGCCCAAGTGAACGACTTCAATATTTGTGTCGTATACAGTTGTCGCTGTTTCCCTGCGATGTTGGTGTCTTCGCTCTATCGTGTTGTACGTGTAGGGGTGTCGAGCTTTACTTGGCTGGGCCTGACTCGTGGTCGTTGCAAACGGGGAATGCTGCTTCATTTGAACGTCAAGTACCCCGAAGTGGAGATACGACATGCAACCGATAACCCAATCGCAATCTCATTTATGAATGAGAGCAACCAATACCAATATTTTGCGCCGTAAAGTTATACCCAATAGTATTCTGCGCGGGGTACACAATAGCCATGATTCTCAGCGGAGGTTGGTCGGCGGCAACGTGATTGTCGAACAGAAGCCGGTCTGTGTCGTTTACAGAGACGTTGGACAACAACTTATTTACTTCGTCATTTTGAGTCATGCAGTAAAAATCATCCCCAGGGCCACACCAGTACAAACTACAGCCAAGGCCTTTGTTCACTAAACCGTTGAAACAGTCAGCTTCGACGTTTCGGCTCCAAAGATATTCGGTGTTATCGACGCCAAGCTTGGAAAGCACGTTCGCACGATGATCAGCAGTAGTTTTGGTGTCCCGCACTTTCCTTACCTGTTACTCGTCATGATTTCTGTGGTTCATTGGAAAACTCAATCTTTTCCTTCGCGCTCTCGACTGCAATCTTGTCTGCACTCAGCGGGAAAGATGGTTCACATGGCAGGAACGAGATGTTTAGTACAGTGAATGTTTAGTGCTATCGATACCCTGGTATTTTTCCATAACTGAAGACTTCAAGCTCAGTATGATCAATAAATCGACAACTTGCAGCTACTGTGAACACGTACGCGTGTGAAGGGTTCGATACACCTGACAGTATCTCCGATTACCGTGTCTCCAACCCTCAACTTTCGGTCGTTAAGCTTGATATTGGTCGTGAAATCTGTAAAAAGCCTTCAACCATGGAGTAGGGCCCGTCCTGCAACTTGAGCGTTGTTGCATCACCCGCTGTCGCTGACGGAGCAACACCGAGAGCGTTGAAATGTGTATTCGGTAAAGCAGAAGTTGAAGAAGAAGCCGGACTTGCCGGAACGCCATCACCAGGGGTCATCGTGCTCCTTGAAGTGTTATCTAGCACAGCCCAGTACGGCTGCAGATACCACAGTCCCGCCTTGTCGCCTTGCTTCTCCGCCAGCGCCATCATGCCTGCAGATATAGGCAGCACGACTTTTGGTGCCGGCGGTTGTCCCGTCGATAACGATTCCTGTGCCGTCGCTGCTGCCTGCTTTGCAATCTCATCCAGCTCGTCGCCCTTAAGCACTTTTGTCTGCTCGAAGGCCGGCACGTCTGCCGCGACCAGCACAGGGCCGATGCGCCAGAAGGCCGAGATGCGGCTCAGCGCCTGTTCGATGATGTAATTTCCGAGTTGGAGCGTCTTGTTGGGAAGTATGGCTGTGTAGGCGTGCAGGGGCTGAAAGGGGTCGATGATCAGTAGGAGGCGGCGGAGACGGGCGTCGTGATCTTGTTGGGTGGACATAGCGCTGGAGGTGAAGGAGGTGCTGAGCAGGTCTTGATAGTACGGCGTAAGCGTCGGATAATATGTTGAACTGCCGTTGAGGTCGATGCGGGGATCGGCATTCGGCGCAGGCATGGTGGCAGGCATGCCTTCGGTGAGGTACGTGTAGATGCGTGAGAAGTCAGTATCGCCCAGTTCGGGATGAGCTGCGAAATCGTGATCATCCCGCGGCACAAAGAAACCTAGTAAGCCGTCGTAATTCCGGTCTCCATCGCCAATCTTCACTTTGAAATGATAGCCGCCTGCCTGCGTGTCATCCGGAACGGGATTTCGAGGCGTGGCATCTGGCCACGATTCCCACGACGATCCATTGGGCTTCAGGAGTGTTCTTGGAGCCTGCTTCCCGGGAACGGGAGGGGCGCTGGGTTCAACGGCTGTACTTTGCAAAGTACTCCAGCTCTTGTTCGCTTCTTGCGATAGCTCGAGGCTCCAGCCAGCATTGACGAGAACAGTAGGTTTACCAACCATAGTTGACGTGTACGCGCCATATGAACTTGGGGGAGGTGGGAGTGTTTTACCCCCCTGGTTCATATCAATGGACTGGTTCAACATCGCAATCATGCCTTCGAAGTAGTCGTCATTCTTCAGTTGCTCAATGAGAAAGTCGAGCTGTTTCGTTTTGGCATCAGCTATCATGGACGTAGCAGGAGGTTCGAACGGCAGCCATTTTCGCGATGCGACAGTTTGTCCCTTTGTCCGACCTCCACGGCGGCGTTCGCGGTAGAAGGTCCCATCAGCAAGAAACACTTGAATGCCTTGGTCGGCGTAGTTGACGACGAGCCATCCTACGACCGGATTGTCCCAATCGGTGCATGATCGATAGACAGGTCTTTGGGATATGGCTGTACCGCCTGCAGTGCCTGCTCCAACGGCAGTCGGGGTGATGGAATCGTCCAAAAGAAAGTGAGCGTTCAATCGAGCCGGTTGGTTTATACTCGGCGTGAGAGAGATGAATGGACACGCGTGACTATTGTTAGGTAACGGCACAATAATGTTTGGCTGTGAAGCAGCATCACTGGGCTTCTTGTCATCCACGATTCCTGGGTAGTACGTATCGGATATACAAGGCGTGATTGGCCGATTCTGCGCCAGGCGCCATGGCTCGGGGTCGACGATGGAGATGGCCTGTCCAAATTTGTCAATGACGTTGATCTGCGTGAAGACAAGTTGCCCATGCGTCACGGGCTTCATCGGGTCATCGCTATCACCGACTGGAAGGTCGCCATATGGAGTTGTTGTCGTGCTTGAGTTCATCTGGCGCATCACGACGTCCAGGTCTGCGGGTGGGGGTCTAGATCGATTTTTGAATGCCGCATCGACTGCCTTTTGGTACACGTCCTTGGCTTCCGCGATAACACGGCTTTCAAGACCTGGTAACCTCACCAGAGGGTTAACGTGACTTCCTTCGAACTGAGTGAGCAGCTGAGAAGTAAGGCCAGTCAAGGGAAAGGACACGATGTCGACATCGGAAAGTATATCCAGGAGTGTACCCTGCTCATCCTTGGACAAATGGTAATCGTTCTCAAGCACAGACGGGTTCGTGTTCTCAAAGATTTGTGACACGAGAGTGTTGAGAGTGCTTGCTCCTTGCGGGATGAGATAATTCCGTCCTCGAACGGTGCGAATGTCAGGTTTCTCGTTTGGGCCTAGTGCAATGGCTTTATCCTGGTCGAAGCCGTACTTCATGACTTTGGCACCCCAGTTGCTGTACTGGTGATGCTCTCCCAGTATCCATTTGTCAAAAGGGATATGGTAATACTTTGCCTCCCATTCCACGAAGAGCGGTCTCCATGGTTGGGTGTTTCTCCAGCGATCCCGGCTTTGTTTCCCGGAGGGAGGGGAAGGTGTCGTAGTGTTGGTTGAGCTCGAAGGCGTTGTGATTGATGGCTCCACATGATAGAGCGGTACGACCTTTCCTGGCGCAGGTTGGTCATTTTGGTTGTCCTCTCTCAATTGGAGGAACTCGGACAGCAATGTGCGCATGGATTGCTTGAGCTCCGCCGGAATCCTTTTGTTCGCAACGATGCCGTCGAAGAACTGCGAGGCGCCTTTCCAGCCACGCACCTCCTCGGTACTTGCTGTCAAGATCTGATTGTCTAGACGAACAGGGATCTTCGACATAAAATCGGCATCCCAGCCCTTGCTGATATTGCCAAACAGAAGCGTCGGGTCTTTCCGCTGGTAGAATCGATCAGACGTCGAAGTCTGACACTTGGCTTTCGTATCTATGATGGTCTTGGTAGGAGTAGTTCCGTTCGTAGCCCACAAACTTTGCAGTTGCGTGACCTGATCAGCCAATTTGCGGAAGTTGTCAACATACGTGGGAATATCTTCGTCGATGAACGATGCAGCAGTCCAGTTCCACCACGATGCAAAGAGATACCACGAGTTGATCGATTGACGACGCGTCATGTAGTCCACTGCCCGTTGAACGGCATTGATCTGGATCAGATCGCCGACCTCGCTAGGTGTAGCTTGTACAGGTCCTGTCCTTGGATCTTGAAACTGCTTCAATTTCCATTCCGTGCCAGCGTTGACCTTTGTAAATGCCAATTCGAGTTGCTCATCCGCCGCTGCTTGCAGTCCATCGACATCGTCGTCGCCTTGGTTGTTTTGTAAGAGCGTGGAAATTAACAGCAGGTCTTTCTCCATTTCAGACATTCGGCCGCTATCACGGTCCTGGAACGACCGACTATATGCGAGCAAGGCGTCAATCGGCGTCACGCCCACAGATATAGGCTGTGCACGGAGGGCGCTCGCGGCCTGTTGAGCGAGCACGGTCGTCGGTTGCGTGGACCTGTTGTAGTTGACGCCATATGTGACGGCGTGGCAAAGCAGCCTGGCCTGTGCCTCTTGTGCCAGCCAGGGAATTTGGACGTCCTGGCCGTCGCGTTGAACAGCATTGCCGTTGCTATCTCTGAGAATTGGATCCTTGAGCTGCATGTTACAGGTGTTGAGTCTGTCCAAGTTTGTTGGCTCAGTGACGTGGACTGATGTCCCAGAACCTGCTGCGGATACCGTTGCCGGTTTGCCAGCGGTGATAAGTGGATCGTCTTGACTTTGACTGTGATAGCCGAGGACAAAATAGTCCGCATGAGCTTGAGTGAGGTGAGATTTGTGGTTTGGGTCTGTCGAGGTAGGATTTGGGTATTCAAAATTGTCCAACATGGTGAAAACATTCATATTCTGATGAGTGAAATCCGCAAACAGCGGATTTCCAGATGCTGTCTCGCCAGTTAGTGACAAATTGGGTCGATCGAGGACTGAAGAACTCACACATCGTCGTAAGATGAAGAGAGGCGACGTTGTCATAATGTTGCTCTTCCCATTCGTGTATATCAAGTTTCATTCCAAGAAACACCTCTGACTGGCCTTCAATGAGCTGGTCAGGCTTGCCGGCCACATCGTCTGGATTCACGTTGATGAATGGTGAGACGTCTACCTGGAGATCAACGTCATCTGGAAGATCGTTGATGTTTCTCAATGCATCGGATAATACAACCCATGCCTTCAGGGGCTCAATGGGTGCACCGGAAGGGATGACGCTCGTAATATCAAGCCTTCGAACCACAATCCATACGTTCGGAACTGGCCTGAACTGTGGTGCCCCAGTGATACCTGCCGGGGTCGCACCCGGCGCTGCGTGCGATGCACGTGGGGGAAAACCGGCCTGCACACAGAAAGGAGGATCAGTGATGCTGTTCTCTAAACGAAACAATTTCCTCGATTACCCTTCTCTGGCGCTCTGCCTGCTGGGCGAGATCAGACGCTGCATCCCCAGCAGCAGAGTAGCCTGTCCGGTAAAATTGTGGCAAAGTCCAGTGAACATAGACGCCAAGTCTGTCCTCGAGCAAGGCGCCGGACCCAAGGTCGGCGATGCGCGAGTTCATGTTCCATGGCTGTGTTGAGTGCAGGTCAACCGGATCCTGGATATCTGGCTCGATGAGACCATCGCTCAAGCGCAGAAATGTGTAACTTTGTCTGTCAGAGAGGTTGATCTAATGCGCGAAGATGGAGATGACTTACCCTGGCTGTGTTATTGGGGCAATCCGATAGCCATTCGCGAGGTCACAGCTGTTCTCGGTCAAGCAAAAGCATGACAGTGCAATCGGCACAGCAACCGTCTGCTCAGACATGATGATGGAGGTAAGGCGATCGCGACTCTCACAATGGGTTTCGGGCGCAAGACCGTCCCTTTAACAGCACAGTCCTTTGCGACTGCGTCGGGACAACATCACCACCTCTTTCATGAGATCACCACCTCTTTCTCACCTACCTCATTGATCATTAAGGTTATGAGGGTCAATGTCGGCGGCCCGCCGCATGTACACTTGACGTGCACGTACGGCCGGCGGCGGGCGGCCCGCGAGGAACCTCTTAAACATGGACTCATGATCGATACCTTCATCGCAAAGCAACCGCGGCTCCGGATGCATATGAGCATGACATATGGCTGTTTCTACCTCGGCCGGATTCTACGAGAGTGATCACAATTCCCCAGCCGCGGTAAAGCTGAAGAGTCAGCTGGTGGGGATGGGCGGCTGACCTATGCCGGGACTGCTGTCCGCACCTTTGAGAAATACACGTCAGTTCAAGGCTGCTGCGTTCTCTCTGGCCACGCCCAACTCCTGCTCCCACTGGAAACATCACCAACGATATGACAACCATGAGCGGACCACGAGCACTTGTCCTCAGAAACTTAGCGAAAGTTGCTGTCAAGCCAACGGATGAGAGCTCCAAGAATGAGGCACCCACTCATGTCGACGAGCTCCAGCCAGGGTGGATGAGGCTCTATTCATTCTACGAACCATCGCTGAAAGGAGGGGATTATACCATAACCGTCAGCCAGAGCGCCACCTTCACCCAACTCACCGATACCAACGATCTGAGTACCGAAGTTCCAGTGCCCACACAAGTGCTAGACCTACCCGGAAGCGGAACCGCGACAACATCACTGATACAGCGCATGACAGTCGTGGTGCCGCGCTTTCAAATTGATACAAACAAAATTCACAGTACGTATCCTCCGCAAGGGGAGGTCGATCAGCCCAATGTTCTTCCTCATATCATATTCAATGACGAGCATTTGCCATGGGCTCGCAACATCCAGGAGCGAAACAGCGATGAGGAAGACATGATACCCTGGTTGTCCCTGTTTCCGTTTGATTGCAATGACCCAACCGATCCCGAACTTCGCTTGACCGCCGATCAACTCAACGGACCAACGGCGATTTATCAAAACTCAATTGTCCAAGATGGCGTTTCGAGACTGCAGACCACCCAGCAGAGTTCGACATACACGGTATCGATGACTGTTAGGGAGTATCTTGATTTGCCGAATCGTGCAACAAGTGCACCGGGCTCGACCAGAGTGCACATTCCGCCGTACACGGACCCGGCAAAGAATCCTGAGACAGAGGACCCGAGCCTGGATTCTAACATCCCAGTCCAAGTTATCTTCTTGAAGTTTTCGCTCTTCAAGAAACTGTTTCCTATCAAGACAGCTCCGTCGTCTACTGCTAGTCCGGGTGCTTCCGGTGCGGCAGCTTCGTCGTTTCCGGACATTGCTTCCTTCAGGTTTCTCGCCCACACGAGAGATGTCAACACCCAAGGGATCGCGACGACCTCGGCTTCTGCAATCAGCGATACTGGTGTATTCAGCGTTGTCCACTCGAAGAGATCAGGTCCAACAGGTATGTCACTCGAGATGAACGATAGCACCAATGGTTAACTAAGAACAACACAGACATTAGACAAGGCAGCAAGCCTCGATCTCAGACTGTCCATCTAATTTCTTTGGAATTGGTGGACCAATTGGAAGTGACGGGAATTGCAGACGACGAGTTAATCGCTTTTGTATCGCTCACTCGATGGACATATCTTTGCCAACCCCCACAAATCGTTAACATTGTGGATGGTGAGTCGCTCTCGCGCCTATGTTATGGTCAAATCCTGATTATGGAGCAACACAGCAATGCGGGCAATCGGCGACCAGGTCAAGAAAGACAAGCAAATTGGTGGTCAATTGTGTTCACTCCGCACTCCTCAAACAATCCAGCAACGTATATGCAAGCAACTCGGACTGGTAGCGACAGACATCGAAAGCGGATATGATGACGATCTTGCTGCCATGCTTCAGGAAAGTATACTAGGCCGGCTCAAGAATGGGTACCAGTTGGTACGCTATCGCACTCCAGCTGGCGAAAATTCTATTGCCTGGAATCGTGGGCCTCTCAGTCCGGTTCCAACGCCAAAGTCGCCAACTCAAGCAACACCCCCACCTACAGGCTCTACGTCAACCCGAACTGGTGCTGTGGGCGGGTGGCCAGCATCGTCCCATAGCGGTCAAGATTATCAGATCTTCGATGTGAACACGGGCCTCATGGACCTCACTTATTCATGTGCGTGGCAAACGGACAAGCTCATGGGCGGCTCAGATCAGGACTTCGTTACTGCTCTATTGCGGCACCGGAAGTACTTGCACCAGCAGGGAATGTCTTCGGTGTCTCTGATCATGGCAGACTCCACGATTGGTGCCAAGTCGACAAAGAATTTCATGTCCAATTTGCACAGTGTTGCTGCCGTGCTCCATCAAACTACGTCCTTTACCGACGGTCCGCATGAGAGTATACCCGACCTGAGGCAACGCTTCAGTCACAATGCGTCTAGTTCTTCTGCTCAGTCCAACATGAACCGTGATACGAAAGCATCATTCGCAGCTGGAGTGCAGAAGGCGGCAGCCAGCGCCGCGTCCGCTCAAGGTGCGAGCGATGGCACTTCAGCGGGTGATCTGTTGGTTGCAAACTCTCCGGATTGGACCACCATCTACAATTGGATTCTAGACAAATTGTATCTCAGTGACATCCCGACGCACAATCTTGTCGGCGACCCCAGCTTCTTGCCTCCAGAGAGCATCCGGTTCTTCCATATTGATCAAACCTGGATGCAATGTTTCATCGACGGTGCTCTCAGTGTCGTGAACCACATGGCCAGCGATGACGACGCAATTCGTGACAGTATCAAGCTGGAGCTGAACAAATCCTTCAACACCCCGATCTTGACCAAGGACGGCAGCTCGCACTTCCCCCAAGTGCCCACTTGGGGATTTCTCTTGCGCTCGGCCATTGTGCGCGTTTTTCCCGATCTTGTCGTCCAGGTGCCCTATCCGGGCGCCTCGGCTGCAGAAATTGCCAGCAATCAGGCTGGTCGAGCTCCCGTGCTGGTCCAGAAGCATCTGGACCGGGAAATCCTGATGGTACTGCTTGACCGCAAGCCAGATCAGATTCGGAGCATCATCCTGCAACAGCCGCCGCACCAGCAACGCTTTACCTGCGCGGATATCCTCGAGACGGACTACCTCCAATTTCTGTGGCGGGTTGTGCATCCCACCGACGGGTCGGGTGACTTCCTGCACGAGATGGGGTTGCCGGATCAGTTTGACTTAGGGTTAGGGTTAGGGTTAGGGTTAGGGTTAGGGTTAGGGTTAGGGTTAGGGTTAGGGTTAGGGTTAGGGTTAGGGTTAGGGTTAGGGTTAGGGTTAGGGTTAGGGTTAGGGTTAGGGTTAGGGT